TGCGTGTCTGAGCGTTTATTTTAAATGTCGATACATCTCATGATATTGGGCATTTGGCATTTTCTGACACTTTTTTTGAACACCCTGTATTCATAACAAAAAATAATATTGGAGAAATGTATAACGAACAACAGGATCCAAATCATGGAATTCCCCAAATCCTGGAATTTCCAATATTTACAACGTAAAATTTCTGTAGTACGATAATTATTAATATTTCAACATTAACAAAATTTTGTCAATATTTGTCTGAAAAATCCAATAATAGAACGAGATAAAATTATTCAAACATTTTTTCAATTTTTGTGAGAACAAAAATTTTAGACAATATGAAGTTATTAATTTTAACACATTTTTTCGTAGTGCTTAATATTATTACCGCCCAAGCTCAAGCTCATCAATCCAAAGTTGCACATGAAATCCATTTAGTGAATAATTTGCTAACTTATCGAATGTTTCAGTAAACTAAGAACCATATTTTTATTAAAAAAAGCGATTTATTATAACTTAAACTCGTTAGTTAAGAACAGAAAACGAAAAGCAACGTGTGTCTAAAATCAAAGACGAAAATCGAATCTGACTGGAGGTTCGGGGTTCGAGGTTCTGACTCGATCTGTCGTTTTGCCTGGTTGGTTTTTGCCGTGGGGACAAGTAGCAAAGTTGAAAGGCAAAATTTGACTTCCAAGGACTCTGACTCGGTGCTTGGAAGAGGACAAATATTGGCGAGAGGTCTGCATACAACACCGGCCCTTGCACCTATCGTTGCCATTCTCGCAACTTCATCCTTCCTGGGATGAAGCGATTCGATCAAGTTTCAAATTGTGGTGATTGTTACACCACTTTTGGTGATTGTTACACCACCAGTATTTGGTGAGTCTACAGAATCCAAAAGTACTGTTTAACGGATTCTTCCATGGTTACAAAAAGAGAGCGGTGGTACACAGCTATTTAGTTACACTGAATAGATGCATAAAACATGTCAAGACTTGTATGATACTAATAAGTTGTGCCCAAGTTAATTAGAGCACAATTCCCAGGAGTTTGGAAACATCCCTTGTAGCTTGCATATGAATTGTCTTTTAATCTAATTGTCCAATGCTTAGATATAAGCACCGAATATTTGAATTATGAAATATTAATTACCGAAAATAACTGGAAATACCCATCTTATTTAGGTAGTACATTAAAACACCCAAAACTGTGTTTGTTGACGTTGAACTCGTCGGACCTCCAACGAACTTATCGATAATAAATTAAGCAAAACACAATTTTTTAATATAAATAGATGATCAAAAGCCACAACCAAGTAAGTCTTGAAGTAGCGCAAAATGAAGCAAATACTACTTTGCAGTTTCTTGATCGCAGTGTGGGCAATCCAATCCCATTGTCGCGTATTGGACAACCCGAACAGCGACATAAGCCAATCCGACTCGTCTTTATTGAGCAAACTCAAGAACAAAGCCAACCATTTAATCGAAAAAGTGTACTATAAAGGCGATAAAGCAGTGAAATCCTTCGAGCGCGGTTACCAAAAAACCAAATGCCGGATGCACCAAATAGCATCGGTAGCAGTTGATGGAGACTATTACAAGCATGATCCGTGCCGTAAGCACGTGGACTATGAAGAGCATAACGTGGATGTTCACATAAATCATACTGGTGAAAACCACGCGGGTTACCAGAATGGGCAGCAAATAGGGAAAAAATTAGGTAAGATTCATTGGTGATGTTCTTCATATTGTCATCTTAAGTCCAGTCAAATTAGTTGTAACAAGTAACAATTAACTTGTCGATGGTTTTATTTTTGAAGGTTATCTCATTTTGTATTTTATATTATTTGGAGGAAATTTATGGCTAATTTTACTGTAGTATTTTCATACTTTTTTACTTTTACTTATTTAATTGGTGTTTAATTTTATTTATGTTCTACAGATGTTCCAAAAGCAAACCCTCAGGTACAGACGGACCAAGAAACGACTGATATCGAAGCTGAAGCTACAGAATAATGAATTCTATTCGTTAATTAATTGTTACGAATTTAAATTATGAAGACAAAAAATATACTTATTCTCGTATGTTAATGCCCGATTTCACCAACCAGTTCCTAGAGTTAGTTAATACCTAAACCAGGTTTTGAAATTCCTAAGTACAATTTACCTTTCACCATGCTCTAGTGAAATTAAACCATGAAAAGTGTGGTTCAGTGTTTTCTAAATGTTTTAGGCAATATGGAAATTGGCTGAATGTCTCAAAAGATATTATAATGATTGGTAGAAGTAAAATTTATTTCGAAAGAGCGCACCAATAAATATTTCGCGCACATCGTAGCAGCCGGGCGGGGCTTAGTCGGCAATTTTGGCAATTTTAGAACGCATTTTGACGGTAGTAGGAGTAGGTTTTTCGAGCCTGGTCCAACGTGGTCGACGCCGGTCAGACTTTGGGGATGTAATCACGCCTATATCTTTAATTTGGTCGGTGCGCATATTTATTGGTGTGCTCTTAATAAATTTTTAGTTCTTTTAAAATGATCACCCTTTCCATTGCTCTACAGCCCAACCGGCGCATTTGCGAACACATGTTTATTAAGACATTTTTTATCATTTTGTGCCATTCTACTCCCCATTTTATTTTGTGACACTTTTTTTGAATACCCTGTGTAGGGTGGTAAGTATATAGTAAATATGTTTCTCTAGTAATGTTTCTCTAGTAATTGTAATACAGGTACTCCTTACGGATCGTGCTGAAATATTTAGGGAAGGGAGACCCCGTATCTATAGAACTAATACCGTTGGAATTTTCCGGTGGAAAGCTTTAGTTTTCGAGAGAAAGAATATTGAAAGTTGCCCTATTTTACATTGCGTATTAACAATATACGTTATAAATGGTTGTAACTCCGCCCACTTTTGCAAGATTCCTACAATCCATGATGTAAATTGTTTGTGAATAATTGATTATTTATTTTGGTACTTGTGAGATATTACATGGCCAACTTGAAAAACAGATTATTTAAGAATAAGGCAGAAAAGTAAGTATAAGTAAAATTTTTAATACTTTCAAAACTATTAGGTATAGGGAAGTAAACATTAACTTCGCTTTTTTTTACCGCTGATTTCAATAAAATAGAAAAAAATGGATGGTTTCATTTAAAAAAATGAAGAAATTTGGTATTTTTGAAGTTTAATTTTTCACATGTTTTGTACACACCCTGTATGCAATTAGGAGTTTTTTTAACACAAGTTCAAATGCCTTTGTCCTTTCTATTAGCCACCCTACAGAAACCGTTTCAATATCTTTAAAGGGATCCCCGTAAAAATTAATTTATAAGGGTCTGCATCAGTCAAATTTTTCAAAAAAAAGAACTAGTAACTCAAAAAATATGCATTTTTGAAAAATGTTTTTTAGACAAAAGCACTCTAAAATTTTGCGTAGATTTCGAAAATACATATATTAATGTATAGGGTGTCCCATTTAGAATAACAAAGTTGCTGTATACTTACGGTATAACCGGAAGTAAGGGAAGTAAGGGAAGTAAGGGAAAGTGAGGGAAATTTGAACATATTTTCATTGAATAGAGCGCATCGACTAACATTTGTAGACAAATTTTCAAATTTTAATTACCACTACTTTTCCAGATACTTCTAATGGACCATCGTCGTGACACACTCTGTATACGTCACATTAATTAGGTATAATTTGACGGAAGGTTTGGAAAATGTACCGGGTGATTCTGGGTGAGTTTAGGTTGAGGAAAGAGTTGGCCTGGAAAATTTAGGGATTTAATTCGTTTTGCGTAGAGAAACACGGTTTATTAAATAATTTTATTTCTATATGAAATTTAATACATTTCTCTGCATACTCCTCTTCTATCTGCTACAAATCCTTCTGGGCAATTGGATCTTGGGTTTATTATAGATTTTACTTTGCCGGATTCTCTGCAAAATATTGTGTTATAAATAATAGTCTTGTGAATATTGTACAATTTTTTTACCTGCACTAAAGTTTTCATGTTTATTAGTAATACTGCTCAATGTTTTCTCATTATTACTATATCGGTGGATTTCATGTACAGGGTGGCCAAATAAGGATGGCTCTCGGCCATATCTCGCAAACTAATTGTCGTAGAGACTTGCGGTAAAAAATCTTATGACTAAATCGGCAAAAAGAAAATGCTGGAAATAATTTTCAGGTCTCTAAAATGGGCGCTAGGGGGAGCATCCGCCATCTTGATTTTTAAAAGTCATTTTTTTCAAAATTTTCCTAATAAAGGTATCAAAATTGTATTTTATTTTTGTAGTTATGTTAATTTCGATTATTTTTTGTAATATATTTTTGACTCTATCTTTGAAAATAAAGTGGTGGGGGTGGTTTGAATATTTTGACAAATAAATGTTAATAACTTTTAAATGGCTGAACCGATTTTCAAAAAAATGAAATTGTTGAAAAGGGCTTTCTTTGGTCTATAATTTACGCTATATAAGATATTATTTTAATTGCTTGCTTGGCCGCAAGATGGCGTTTTTCGACATTACTTCAAACAACACCGATTTTCTCAAAAAATTTAAATGCAACGATATAACTTTTTCTTTGGAAACAAATATTCAAATAATTACCAAACAAGCCTGTGAAAACCGCATCTCGATATCTCCTTCCTAACCTAAAATATATCTAAAAAAAGAAAAAATCAAGAAAACGCGTATATTTTTGGTGCACTACCAATATAAAAGTCTCTAATTAGCGTTGTTCCATCCACAAAAATTATCAATTTATTAATAATCTTCAAGTATGATATTTAGAAACACCAAGCTAAGTAATATTCATTTAATAATTATTGGATTTCCCTTTTATTCGCACTAGTTGAGAACAAACGAAATAACCATACCGTGGAAAATAAAAAATGACTTTTAAAAATCAAGATGGCGGATATTCCCCCTAGCGGCCATTTTAGAGACCTGAAAATTATTTCCAGCATTTTCTTTTGGCCGATTTAGTCATAAGATTTTTTACCGCAAGTCTCTATGACAATTAGTTTGCCAGATATGGCCGAGAGCCATCCTTATTTGGCCACCCTGTACAACGTTGGTCTCATGAGCTTGATCTTGGGCGGTAATAATATTAAGCACTACGAAGAAACATGTTAAAATTAATAACTTCATATTGTCTGAAATATTTGTTCGCACAAAAATTGGAAAAATGTATGAATAATTATCTACTTCGTTTGGGGTCAATGAAAAATAGCACGAACTGGATTTATCAGACTAATATTGACAAAATTTTGTTGAAATATTAAAAATTTCTACAGAAATTTTACGTTAGATTGTAAATATTGGAAATTCCAGGATTTGGGGAACGTTGTTTGTTGTACATTTCTCCCATTTTTTTTGTTGTGAATACAAGGTGTTCAAAAAAACGTGTCAGAAAATGCCAAATGGTCAATATCATGAAATGTATCGACATTTAATATAAACGCTCAGACACGCCATTTTAGTTCTTAGGGGGACACTTTTTTCCTAATTGCAACATTGACACTTCAAACTTGGAGTGGGATTAATAATCCATAAAATGAAAACTAGGAAAATACCAAGTGTGGTACATTTTTGAAAAGATAATTTTATGGCAGAATTCAGCAACACCAAATGTTTCTGTGTCAAATTGTGACTTTAGCGCCCTCTTGGCGGAAAAATCGCCGGATTCATCGTGGAAATTTAATGCAGTAAAAAAGATTATCCTCTAATCATATTTACCTGTGAAAACTATTAAAATATAAGGGTGTGATGTTTTACATTTAAGTTGATTTTACATGAAATGCGATACCCAGGTAATTTTATTTAATGGCCTGAAGTACTAAACAATATAGCTTCTCTGTGCTCGCTATTCTCTGGTATTACCTAAATTTAGGAAGTGCTTGGTGAAACCTAGCATAATATGCAAGGGCGTAATCGCATCGGGCAAATCGAAGAATGAAATCGGGCATTAACATACAAGAATAAGTTGTCTAAAAATTACCTTTATTATTATGTACAAAAATATTTTTTGTCTTCATAATTTAAATTCATAACAATTAATTTTCGAATGGGATTCATTATTTTGTAGCTTCGACTCTGACATGCACCTTGACCTGAAACTTACCTAAATTTTTCACTATTTGCTGCCCAATCTGGTGACCCCCGTGGTTTTCACCAGCATGATTTTGTTTTTTATAGTCCTCGTGCTCAAAGCACGGATCATGTTCGTCATAGTACCCTTTAACTGCTACCGATGCCATTCCCTGCACCCGGCATTTGATCTCGTTATAACCGGCTCCCATGGGCGACAATGGGCTTGGATTGCCCACACTGCGACCAAGAAACGGCAAAGGAGTATTTGCTTCATTTTTGCGCGACTTCAAGACTTGCTTGGTTGTGGCTTTTGATTAACTATTTATATTCAAAAATTGTGTTTTGCTTGATTATTATCGATAAGGTCGTTGGACGTCCGACGAGTTCAACGCCAACAAATGCAGTTTTGAGTGTATAAATGTAGTGCCTAAATAAGATGGGTATTTCCAATTATATGCGGTAATCAAAGACATTATAACTAAGAGACCAAATTGTTTACATTTTTTGTGGTAAATCATTACATTTATGCATTCGCCCAAACACACATCCTGTATTATCGCAGGATGCGTCGTTGTCGGTTTTATTTGTTTGTAACAATTATTTGAAAAAATTCAAAAAAAAATGAAATTTGATGTATCCTATAACTACAATTTTATATTTTACAGTATTGGAAATAAATTGGCTCATAATAGGGAAAATCAACGTTAAATTCCTAGCCGACTAAAAACAATATGTTTTTATTAAAATTATTCATTAAAATTTTAAGTACTCATATGTAAGGTAAAAATAAGGTAAAAAAATCAATATTCACTCAAAGAAATATTAAGATTGTAAACATCTACGTAAATACGGCAACGTTGCGACCTAAATATTGAATCATAATTTTCTTTAGGAACTGGTTGGTTAAATCGGGCATTAACATACGAGAATAAGTTGTCAAAAAATTAACTTTATTATTATGTAACATAGGTACCTATATATTTTTTAACGAATGGGATTAATTATTCTGTAGCTTCATCTTCGGTATCAGTCATTCCTTGGTCCGTCTGTACCTGAGGGTTTGCTTTTGGAACATCTGCAGAACATAAATAAAATTAAACACCAATTAAATAAGTAAAAGTAAAAAAGTATGAAAATACTACAGTAAAATTAGCCATAAATTTCCTCCAAATAATATAAAATACAAAATGAGATAACCTTCAAAAATAAAACCATCGACAAGTTCATTGTTACTTGTTACAACTAATTTGACTGGACTTAAGATGACAATATGAAGAACATCACCAATGAATCTTACCTAATTTTTTCCATGTTGCCTACTGCCCATTACGGCAGGGTTCATGGTTGTAAGAGTCCCCATCAATTGCTACCGTTGCTATTTGGTGCAACCGGCATTTGGTTTCTTGGTAACCGCGCTCGATGGATTTCACTGCTTTATCGCCTTTATAGTACACTTTTTCGATTAAATGGTTGGATTTGTTCTTGAGTTTGCTCAATAAAGACGAGTCGGATTGGCTTATGTCGCTGTTCGGGTTGTCCAATACGCGACAATGGGATTGGATTGCCCACACTGCGATCAAGAAACTGCAAAGTAGTATTTGCTTCATTTTGCTCTACTTCAAGACTTACTTGGTTGTGGCTTTTGTTCAACTATTTATATTCAATAAATTGTGTTTTGCTTAATTTATCATCGATAAGTTCGTTGGAGGTCCGACGAGTTCAACGTCAACAAATACAGTTTTGGGTGTATAAATGAGGTACCTAAATAAGATGGGTATTTCCAGTTATCTGCGGTAATTAATTTTTCACAATCCAAATATTCGGTGAATATATCTAAGCATTGGACAATTAGATTAAAAGACAATTCATATGCAAGCTACAAAGAATGTTTCCAAACTCCTGGGAATTGTGCTCTAATTAACTTGGGCACAACTTATTTACTTATTAGTATCATACAAGTCTCGACATGTTTTATGCATGTATTCAGTGTAACTAAATAGCTGTGTACCACCGCTCTATTTTTGTAACCATGGAAGAAGCAGCAAAATCTCAAAGAGCAGTATCCGATCCACCATTAAACAGTACTTTTGGATTCTATAGACTCACCAAATACTCTTTGCAAACTCTGAATTATTTCTGATGACTTCACACCTTTTTTCCACAGAATGAAAATGATTACCTACCCATGTTACCCATACAAGTTCTATCTAATTTAATTAGAGCACAATTCCTAGAACTTGGAAACATCCCTCGTATATACACTATATACTTACTACCCTACACAGGGTATTCAAAAAAGTGTCACAAAATAAAATGGGGAGTAGAATGGCACAAAATAATAAAAAATGTCTTAATAAACATGTGTTCGCAAATGCGCCGGTTGGGCTGTAGAGCAATGGAAAGGGTGATCATTTTAAAAGAACTAAAATTGCGTGTCTTAGCGTTTATTTTAAATGTCGATACATCTCATGATATTGGGCATTTGGCTTTTTCTGACACTTTTTTTGAATACCCTGTATTCATAACAAAAAATAATATTGGAGAAATGTATAACGAACAACAGGATCCAAATCATGGAATTCCCCAAATCCTGGAATTTCCAATATTTACAACTAGTAAAATTTCTGTAGTACGATAATTTGTAATATTTCAACATTAACAAAATTTTGTCAATATTTGTCTGAAAAATCCAATAATAGAACGAGATAATTATTCAAACATTTTTTCAATTTTTGTAAGAACAAAAATTTTAGACAATATGAAGTTATTAAATTTAACACATTTTTTCGTAGTGCTTAATATTATTACCGCCCAAGCTCAAGCTCATCAATCCAAAGTTGCACATGAAATCCATTTAGTGAATAATTTGCTAACTTATCGAATGTTTCAGTAAACTAAGAACCATCTTTTTATTAAAAAAAGCGATTTATTATAACTTAAACTCATTAGTTAAGAACAGAAAACGAAAAGCAACGTGTGTCTAAAATCAAAGACGAAAATCGTATATCTGACTCGAGGTTATCTGTCGTTTCTCGGGAGTTTTTTCCGCGATTCTTCTATTACGGTTGGTTTTTGCCGTGGGGACAAGTAGCAAAGTTGAAAGGCAAAATTTGACTTCCAAGGACTCTGACTCGGTGCTTGGAAGAGGACAAATATTGGCGAGAGGTCTGCATACAACACCGGCCCTTGCACCTATCGTTGCCATTCTCGCAACTTCATCCTTCCTGGGATAAAGCGATTCGATCAAGTTTCAAATTGTGGTGATTGTTACACCAATTTATTCGTTCTTCATCGGGATCAAATATGCTGTAGTGGTTGGATCCGCTCGTAGTGTGTCAAGCAATTTTCATTCAGTTCCATCAAATTTGGATCGGCGATGGATGTCATTGGTCAGTCAATTAAAAAGTGGGAAGGCGTAATAGGAAGCAAGTCGGAAGAATCGGAAGAAAGGTCCTACAATATTGCTTCAACTTGCACAAGCAGCGTATAAAATTGTTCAAATGTAAGCAAAGCATTGCTACCAGCCCTGGTTAAATGATGTTTCATTTATTTCACCCCGGCCTCCCATAGGAAGTGTGGTGCACACGATGGTATGAAAGACCACGAAATTCCTTCATTTTCAAAGGTCTCAACTAAATTATCCTCGTTAATTTGTAGAAATGTGCCAAGAGCTCGAAGTTCGTTATACCCACAAAATTTGTGCTGTTATTCGAGTACATTCGATATGATTTCCCCCGTCTAGAAATGAATCGCCGAAAGACTGCGAAAATATAATCCGAGGACAAACTAGGATCTAATTTACAGTGAATATACGAGGGATCTTTCCAAAGTTCTAGGAATTGTGCTCTAATTAAAATACGTAGAACTTGTATAGGTAACTTTGGTAATATGAGTAATATGGGTAACATGGGTAGGTAATCATTTTCATTTTGTGGAAAAAAGGTGTGAAGACATCAGAAATTATTCAGAGTTTGCAAAGAGTATTTGGTGAGTCTACAGAATCCAAAAGTACTGTTTAATGGATTCTTCCATGGTTACAAAAAGAGAGCGGTGGTACACAGCTATTTAGTTACACTGAATAGATGCATAAAACATGTCAAGACTTGTATGATACTAATAAGTTGTGCCCAAGTTAATTAGAGCACAATTCCCAGGAGTTTGGAAACATCCCTTGTAGCTTGCATATGAATTGTCTTTTAATCTAATTGTCCAATGTTTAGATATAAGCACCGAATATCTGAATTATGAAATATTAATTACCGAAAATAACTGGAAATACCCATCTTATTTAGGTAGTACATTAAAACACCCAAAACTGTATTTGTTGACGTTGAACTCGTCGGACCTCCAACGAACTTATCGATAATAAATTAAGCAAAACACAATTTTTTAATATAAATAGTTGATCAAAAGCCACAACCAAGTAAGTCTTGAAGTAGCGCAAAATGAAGCAAATACTACTTTGCAGTTTCTTGATCGCAGTGTGGGCAATCCAATCCCATTGTCGCGTATTGGACAACCCGAACAGCGACATAAGCCAATCCGACTCGTCTTTATTGAGCAAACTCAAGAACAAAGCCAACCATTTAATCGAAAAAGTGTACTATAAAGGCGATAAAGCAGTGAAATCCTTCGAGCGCGGTTACCAAAAAACCAAATGCCGGATGCACCAAATAGTATCGGTAGCAGTTGATGGAGACTATTACAAGCATGATCCGTGCCGTAAGCACGTGGACTATGAAGAGCATAACGTGGATGTTCACATAAATCATACTGGTGAAAACCACGCGGGTTACCAGAATGGGCAGCAAATAGGGAAAAAATTAGGTAAGATTCATTGGTGATGTTCTTCATATTGTCATCTTAAGTCCAGTCAAATTAGTTGTAACAAGTAACAATTAACTTGTCGATGGTTTTATTTTTGAAGGTTATCTCATTTTGTATTTTATATTATTTGGAGGAAATTTATGGCTAATTTTACTGTAGTATTTTCATACTTTTTTACTTTTACTTATTTAATTGGTGTTTAATTTTATTTATGTTCTACAGATGTTCCAAAAGCAAACCCTCAGGTACAGACGGACCAAGAAACGACTGATATCGAAGCTGAAGCTACAGAATAATGAATTCTATTCGTTAATTAATTGTTACGAATTTAAATTATGAAGACAAAAAATATACTTATTCTCGTATGTTAATGCCCGATTTCACCAACCAGTTCCTAGAGTTAGTTAATACCTAAACCAGGTTTTGAAATTCCTAAGTACAATTTACCTTTCACCATGCTCTAGTGAAATTAAACCATGAAAAGTGTGGTTCAGTGTTTTCTAAATGTTTTAGGCAATATGGAAATTGGCTGAATGTCTCAAAAGATATTATAATGATTGGTAGAAGTAAAATTTATTTCGAAAGAGCGCACCAATAAATATTTCGCGCACATCGTAGCAGCCGGGCGGGGCTTAGTCGGCAATTTTGGCAATTTTAGAACGCATTTTGACGGTAGTAGGAGTAGGTTTTTCGAGCCTGGTCCAACGTGGTCGACGCCGGTCAGACTTTGGGGATGTAATCACGCCTATATCTTTAATTTGGTCGGTGCGCATATTTATTGGTGTGCTCTTAATAAATTTTTAGTTCTTTTAAAATGATCACCCTTTCCATTGCTCTACAGCCCAACCGGCGCATTTGCGAACACATGTTTATTAAGACATTTTTTATCATTTTGTGCCATTCTACTCCCCATTTTATTTTGTGACACTTTTTTTGAATACCCTGTGTAGGGTGGTAAGTATATAGTAAATATGTTTCTCTAGTAATGTTTCTCTAGTAATTGTAATACAGGTACTCCTTACGGATCGTGCTGAAATATTTAGGGAAGGGAGACCCCGTGTCTATAAAACTAATACCGTTGGAATTTTCCGGTGGAAAGCTTTAGTTTTCGAGAGAAAGAATATTGAAAGTTGCCCTATTTTACGTTGCGTATTAACAATATACGTTATAAATGGTTGTAACTCCGCCCACTTTTGCAAGATTCCTACAATCCATGATGTAAATTGTTTGTGAATAATTGATTATTTATTTTGGTACTTGTGAGATATTACATGGCCAACTTGAAAAACAGATTATTTAAGAATAAGGCAGAAAAGTAAGTATTAAGTAAAATTTTTAATACTTTCAAAACTATTAGGTATAGGGAAGTAAACATTAACTTCGCTTATTTTTTACCGCTGATTTCAATAAAATAGAAAAAAATGGATGGTTTCATTTAAAAAAAAATGAAGAAATTTGGTATTTTTGAAGTTTAATTTTTCACATGTTTTGTACACACCCTGTATGCAATTAGGAGTTTTTTTAACACAAGTTCAAATGCCTTTGTCCTTTCTATTAGCCACCGTACAGAAACCGTTTCAATATTTTTAAAGGAATCCCCGTAAAAATTAATTTAAATTTATATAAAACTAGTAACTCAAAAAATATGCATTTTTGAAAAATGTTTTTAGACAAAAGCACTCTAAAATTTTGCGTAGATTTTGAAAATACATATATTAATATATAGGCTGTCCCATTTAAGATAACAAAGTTGCTGTATTCTTACGGTATAACCAGAAGTAAGGGAAAGTTGAAAATATTTTCATTGAATAGAGCGCATCGTAGATGTAGACATTTTGTAGACAAATTTTGTAGACAAATTTTCAAATTTTAATTACCACTACTTTTTCAAATACTTCTAATGGGCCATCGTCGTGACACACTCTGTATATGACACATTAATTAGGTATAATTTGACAGAACGTTTGGAAAATGTACCGAGTGATTCTGGGTGAGTTTAGGTTGAGGAAAGGATTTAATTCGTTTTGCGTAGAGAACCACGGTTTATTAAATAATTTTATTTGAAAAGAAAATTTAATACATTTCTCTGCATACTCCTCTTCTATCTGCTACAAATCCTTCTGGGCAATTGGATCTTGGGTTTATTATAGATTTTAACTTTGCCCGATTCTCTGCAAAATATTGTGTTATAAATAATAGTCTTGTGAATATTTTACAATTTCTTACCTGCACTAAAGTTTTCATGTATATTAGCAATACTGCTCAATGTTTTCTCATTATTATTATATCGGTTGATTTCAAGCACAACGTTGGTCTCACGAGCTTGAGCTTGGGCGGTAATAACATTAAGCACTGCGAAGGAATATGTTAAAATTAATAACTTCATATTGTCTGAAATATTTGTTCGCACAAAAATTGGAAAAATGTATGAATAATTATCTACTTCGTTTGGGGTCAATGAAAAATAACACGAACTGGATTTATCAGACAAATATTGACAAAATTTTAATGTTGAAATATTAAAAATGTGTACTGAAATTTTACGTTAGACTGTAAATGTTGGAAATTTAATGATTTGGGAAATTCTATGATCTCCGATCCATATTCTTTTTTGTTGTATTTATGTACGTAGGATGCATCCGGCACATTTTACGACTTTTTTTTTGTATTTTGTGCCATTCTACGCCATTCTTGGTGAGTCTACAGAATCCAGAATGACTGTTTAATGGTGGATCGAATATTGCTCTTTGAGATTTTGCTGCATCTTCCATGATTAAAAAAAGAGAGCTATAGTAGGTACAGAGCTATTCCCCAGGACTTGGAAACATCCCCCGTAGCTTGGATTGAATTTTCTTTTAATCTAAGACCTTTTTAATGCATAGATATATGCACCGAATATTTGGATTTTGAACTAATCTTTACCGCATATAACTGGAAATATCATATTTACTACATTTATACACCGAATACTGTATTTGTTGACGTTGAACTCGTCAGACCTCCAACGACCTTATCGATAATAAATCAACCAAAACACAATTTATTGAATATAAATAGTTGATCAAAAGCCACAACCAAGTAAGTCTTTTGAAGTAGCGCAAAATGAAGCAAATACTCCTTTGCAGTTTCTTGATCGCAGTGTGCGCAATCCAAGTCCATTGTCGCGTATTGGACAACCCGAACAGCGACATAAGACAATCCGAGCCGTCTTTATTGAGCAAAATCAAGAACAAAGCCGGCGAAATCGTAGAAAATGTGTACCATCACGGCGAGGAAGCCGTGGAAACCATCAAGCACGGTTACCAAGAGACCAAATGCCGGTTGCACCAAATAGCATCGAAAGTTAAAGCGCACGAACACGAGCATGATCCGTGCTTTGAGCATAAGGACTATGAAGAGCATAACGTGGATGTTCACATAAATCATACTGGTGAAAACCACGCGGGTTACCAGAATGGGCAGCAAATAGGGAAAAAATTAGGTAAGATTCATTGGTGATGTTCTTCGTATTGTCATCTTTAAATCCAGTCAAATTAGCTGTAACAAGTGACAAGTGACAAGTAACTTGTCGATGGTTTTATTTTTGAAGGTTATCTCATTTTGCATTTTATATTTGGGGGAAATTTATGGCTAATTTTACTGTATTTTTTTCAAACTTTTACTTCTTTTGGTGTTTAATAGAAAATGTATGTACAACGCTCTGTTTTTCTTTCAATATTTTATTTATGTTCTGCAGATGTTCCGAATGCAAACCCTCAAGTACAGACGGGCCAAGGAAAGATTGATATCAGAGCTGGAGCTACACCAGAATAATTAATCCAATTGGTTAATTAATTGTTAGGAATTTAAATTATGAAGACAAAAATATTTATATTACATAATAATAAAGTTAATTTATTGACAACTTGTTCTCGTATGTTAAATGTTTACGAATTAATTAATAGGGTTCCCGACAAACTCCTTTCCTATCGGCGATCCATCCGTCGGGACAATTGGTTTTCACGTTACTCAGGATTCTTTTCCCTATTTTCACTGTCACCACTTCGCTCGGGTCAATCGTTGTTGTTTCGGCAGAATCTGAAAATAAGTGGTTAAAAATTCGTCCCATTTCGAAAATACCTACTCTAGTTCGAGTGTAAATAGGCACATCTAATGAGCGGTTTTGGCATTTTTCGTCAAACAAACAGTATAATTGCGAATCGAACAATAATTTATAATGTTTAGACGGTTAATTAAAAAAAAGAGTTGGCGTATTCGATCAATTCGAGGAATTTTATTGACTTCCTTTATTACCGTGCATCCAACTTGCGGAGATAAGCAGATCGCTGTTTAGTCTGTTACCGGTCGATATCGATGAAATATTTATTTCATTAATACCTATATTGAAAGTTGAACTGTTTAATGTTGATGTAAGTAGAAAATTTACCTAGATAGGTTTCAAAAAATACTGTAAAAATGGATTTTCAATCGTGCAATTTACATTCTTAAGAAAATTAAAATTTGCGAAAGTATTTATAATAATGTAAAGGCCTTTAGGAAAGTGCAAGGTATTATCTACCAAGTGCCTAAATAGCCTAAAATTTTTTCAATGCCATTCATTGCTTCAATACCATTATTTACTGATATTTTGCATCATAAAATTATTTTCATTTGCAAATGAAACCCTGTACGTTGTTTATTTTAAATATAAAATGTCTATTTGTTCTATCCCATGGAACAAATACGCATTGCTCCTGGATAGGACCATTTCTCCACAGAGCGAAATTAGTTTTATCTCCAAAACAATCCATATCTTTAAGCTCTAGAAACGATAAAATATTGTCCAAAATCTTCAAAACTTCCTTGACCGAAAAAAACCGGAAATTCTTTTTTCATTTCGATTCCAAGCATTCATCAATTTACTCACCCACTTCCTCATATTCTTCCGATTCGTACTTTCGCCTCCTTTGGTCATCATCATCCTCCTCAGTCGAGTAGTCGTCGTTGTGGTTCCTACGCCAGGAAGAATGGCTTCGAGTGCTCGCTCTCGATCTGCTAGTAGTCACCGTTAGAGCGGGCGCAGCGGTGGAGACAATTACCGACTCGTTTTTGCCGGTTTTGGGCGCGTTGAGCAAACTCCTGCCGCCCGGTTCCTGCAGGTAGCTCGCCGCCAGCTCGTTGTCCGGGAACACTATGTTCTTCTTGCTGCTCTCGGTGGGCTCCGGGACGATTGGCGAGTCCGGGAAAATGATCGCAGCGGCCGGTGATGGGAGAGTTGGTTCTGTTGTGGAATTCGAGACCTGGCTGGTTTGCTCCTTCTCGTTGTGTGGGTTTATTGTTTGGGTAGGACTAACAAGTTTTTGGGTGTTGGTAGAGTTTGGCTTATTCGCTTGGTTATTATTGGATCCTTGTACGGTATTTGGTTGCATGAGTAAAGGCCGGATTTTGATAGGTTTCTCATACAAATCTCCTTGACCTTTCCCAATTACATTACCTTGATTAGGCTGTAGGTTATTAGGAGTTTGAATAGGTTGTATATTATTTGGATTAGGAGAAACATTCTGATTAACAGGATTTTGGTTGTTTATGTTGCTTTGAGGTGACTGTAAGCTAGTGTTTGGTCCATTTATTTCGTTATTTTTGGATCCTTCTATTGGTATAATTAAAGGCTTGATTGGCATTGGAGCGCCATACAAACTATCTTGACCTTGTCCATTTGGATTACCTTTATTAGGTTGCAGGTTATTAGAAGTTTGAATGGGTTGTATATTATTTGGATTAGGAAAAACAATCTGATTAACAGGATTTTGGTTGTTTATGTTGCTTTGAGGTGGCTGAATGCTGGTGTTTGGTCCATTTATTTGGTTATTATTAGATACTGGTACTGGTACTGGTATGTTTAAAGGTTTGATTGGAATGGGTTTACCATACAAACTACCTTGACCTTGTCCATTTAGATTACCTTGATTAGGTTGCAGGTTATTAGAAGTTTGAATGGGTTGTATATTATTTGGATTAGGAAAAACAATCTGATTAACAGGATTTTGGTTGTTTATGTTGCTTTGAGGTGGCTGAATGCTGGTGTTTGGTCCATTTATTTGGTTATTATTAGATACTGGTACTGGTACTGGTATGTTTAAAGGTTTGATTGGAATGGGTTTACCATACAAACTACCTTGACCTTGTCCATTTAGATTACCTTGATTAGGTTGCAGGTTATTAGAAGTTTGAATAGGTTGTATATTATTTGGATTAGGAGAAACATTCTCATTAACAGGATTTTGGTTGTTTATGTTGCTTTGAGGTGGCTGAATGCTGGTGTTTGGTTCATTTATTTGGTTATTATTAGATACTGGTATTGGTATGATTAAAGGCTGAATTGGGATGGGGTTGCCATACAAACTACCTTGACCTTGTCCATTTACGTTACCTTGATTAGGTTGCAGGTTATTAGAAGTTTGAATGGGTTGTATATTATTTGGATTAGAAGAAACATTCTGGTTGACAGGATTTTGGGCGTTTATGTTGCTTTGAGGTGGCTGAATGTTAGTAGTTTTTGGTCCATCTATTTGGTTATTATTGGATCCTTGTATAGGAATGTTTAAAGGCTTGATTGGGATTGGTTTGCCATACAAACTGCCTTGACCTTGTCCATTTAGATTACCTTGATTAGGTTGCAGGTTCTTGGGAGTTTGAATGGGTTGTACATTATTTGGATTAGGGGAAATATTCTGATTCCCTTGTCCATTGTTATTTTGAGTCGGTTGAGGCAAATGATTTTGTAATTGATTTGGATTAAAGGGATACGGGTAAGGATAAGGATAAGGATATCCGTTGTTGGGATACAATTGTGGATAAGGATAGAAATTTTGATTAGGGTTCGGTAGATTCATAGTAGGAAAGTTGGGATTAAAATTAGGGAATGGTCCATTTTGCATGTTCGGAAACCCAAAATTAGGTTGGTTCGGATATTGAGGAAAATTTGGGAAGCCATTATTTTGAATTGGATATCCACTGTTATTTTGTTGATTTGGATTTACATTTGGATATCCATTATTGTTTTGAACAGGAAATCCGTTACTATTTAGATTTGGAAAACCATTAGGCATTTGGAATCCATTATTATTTTGTATCGGAAAACCATTCGGAATATTTACCCCAACATTATTTTGCCCTTGTTCTTGAGGATAATTAGGTTTATTGGGTTCAGTTGAATTACTTTGTCCATTCTGTTTCAATGCTGAAACAAAAAAGTATTTAGTTTCCATATGTCACAATACCTTAAATTCACTCACTAGGCTCTAAATTGCCAGTGGATGTCTTAGGATCAAGTGCATTATTTACAATCTCATTTTGTCCAGAATTAACAGGCTCCACATCTATAGTGAAATCGAATTTAACTAAAAAAATTAAAAGTATTTTATCAAATCGTTAAGTTACATTAAGAACAACTTTTGTACCAACCTGGATTTTCAGTCGTAGTGAGATTAGCACAGGGATCTTGCAATAGCTGGTGCTGGTGAGGGAACAACCTCATATTGGCCTGGTGAAGCTTGCAAGCGATTTCCTGGAAATGCCGCTGCAAATTGTCTATCGGCTGGAACGAAGCAGTCCCTTTACCAACCACAAGAACCAAAAAAACCACTACACTACCACTTAAACCCTTCATCTTTGCGCGTCCTTTCATTTTTTAGATTCAATAAGACACTCTAACGTAGCGATGTACGAAATACGTTTCGATTAAAAAAAAGTATAAATATAATTTTATAGGAGTTATCATTAGTTTGCGATAACACTTCTTGGAAGCGTAAACAACTGTAACCTAATTAACACCCAAACTTCTGCAATATTTTCGAGAATCGCCTCATTTAGCGTATAGTTATTTACTAAACGGAATGAAACAAGTGGGTTTTACAGTCAAAAACATTCAATATTTGGACTAATACTTTATCAAAAAATCTTTGATAACCTATAGCTTCTCTTCTTTCTAACACTCTCCATAATTGAAGCTATCATCAATTTGTTATAGCTCATCGATGAGCAAGATGAGGAATGTCGCTGCATTCTCTATGATCATATTGCTTACAATCTCCCATTGTCATAGCGCCAAGTTGGTGAATAAATTACTGGGACAATTTAGTAAGTCGCTGATCCTCGGCGCGACATATGTAAAAAAAATAGTTCATAACATGGCGGAAGTACCGACAGTGGATAAGGATTTGAACAATTATCGCCAGTCCACAAACAGTGAGAGATTCGCAATTGAAATCAGTAATTAAGGAAATCTTAATGTGAATGTTTCAGACATTAGAAGAAGCAGGCTACATCGTTATGGTAAGAGTCTTATGATAAATATTGTATCGTAGTTAACGTTTAAAAACGCAAGAAACTCATTAAATTTTTACTTTTTTAATTAAGTGAATAAGCCACCTATTATTCACGATTTTTTTAAACGCAAATTACAAGCGACGTTGCCAAATTAATATTAATAATTAAATAGTTATAAAAATTCTGTTATAACGGTATTGCAATTACTATTTTTTAGGAAGGCAGTACAACAACTACTTCTAAAAATTCAATGTACGTATACGTTGTCCATCGAAGAAAAGAAACCAAAACATGAGTATAATTACTGAGTAATTAGTTAAATTGAAACAAATACGTGAATAACGTTGAAACATCTATAAGTTTTACTAGATAGTGAAATTAACTATAAGTAAATTTTTCCATCCTTCCATTGGTCATAATCACATCAACATATCCATATTATACTCAATAAATAACCCTGTAGAAAGTATTTCTTCGTCGCGATAACCTTTAATCACAGTTATTTCAAGCGACTAAACATTTGATGCACGTAAAACCGAATGAAATGTAATATTAATACATAAGTATCGAACAAAATGCTTAGTGAAACTTTTGTCGTTTTACTCGTAATTTCCACATTGACGAAGGAAATTAATGGCGGATTTATTATTACTGGGAACGTTGTCTATCAAATGCACGATGATGGGATTTCTACGATATCTCAGGAAGGCAAACATATTATCCTAGTTAAAGCGAATTGCGGAGCGAATCAGGTGTACGTGAAGAACTTGAATATGTGCCTAAAGCAATATAAGAAAGGATAAATTGTATTAATTATTAATTGTTACTGCCATGTATTAAATAATTTATTACAAATTTTGTGTTTATCTGGCTCAATCCTGTAAATTATTTGTTATTTATTAACGCGATGCTATTGTGAAATAATATGATAAGAAACTGTTAGTTTTGTTTAAAATTAGGGAAATTTGGGGTTAAGTAGGTACATAATACAATTGCAAAAAAAGTATTGCAATATTTAATCTAAAATATTGTTCATTTTTATCTCAGTAATGAAAGTGTAAAAAGATATAGAAAGAGCTTTAATTAAATAACAGAAGACCTCTACTAAATATTTAAAACAATACTATGTAGAAATACATTATTTAACAAATTTAAAAAATTAACTGGTTGACTTAGTAAAATAATTAAATTTAATAAAAAAGATATATAAAACCTATACAGGCTGTTTTTTAGTAACATGCAAATACTGAATGGGATGTTTAATTGGTTTAATTGCTTGGATTCATTTTAAGAAAAAAATTTCATATGAACTTTTGTCTCATAAGTTGATACTTTTTTTTAACTGCGTATAGATCTTTTAATTCTAAGCAACTTTTTCAAGTAAAAATTAGTAACTATCAGAGCAAGGATAATAAATTTCCAAGGACTGCTCAACATCTTGCGATCTTAAAATGACGTATTTTTTTCTATTAGTAACATTGACATCAAATTGTTTTGTTTTTTTAATGCAATTGTATTGCATTTAAACCTCCTCGTCACGTCACCCGCGAATATACCAAGATAAACTCGAATCGGATTGAACAACCCTCGACAATATAACACCCTTGATCCGAAGCACCTGTCAATTTGACAGCAGCTGTCATACACCAAAAAAATCAATAGTAACTATGGCCGAATAGCCCCAACACCTGAGGCTAAATTATCAGAAACTATAACGAATCAACAATAACTATTGTAACGAACAGACATTTCAGCTTCCTCCTTCGCTTTGTCAAAGAAAAACTCCTTGGTGGTCAATTCGTCCACAGGCCCTTCGATGCAAGCGATTCCGTTGATATTTTGAACGTCGTAATTGCCGCTGTGCGTCTCGATTTTCACCTTCTGCGCTTTCAAATACCTAATAACGTTCTTCAGCAAGAGGCAACTGAACACGTTCCCCTCGAAGCTGACGTGCTTCAAGGTCGGGGCCGACGTGTAGATGAGGTGCGCATCGAGATAGAAGAGCCTGTTGCCCTTGAGGTCCAGCCTGTTCAAGTCGTGCATGGGCAGCAGCTCGTCCCCTTCGAAGGTTTCCAGCGAGTTGTTGGCCAGAATGAGGGAATAGAGGGCCGTCAGGCCGGAGAACGTGCCTAAAGAGAACTTGCTGAGTTTGTTGCTCGCCAAATTTAAATATTTCAGTTCTTTCAGGTTCCTAAACGCTCCTATCGGTATGTAGCAGAGTTCGTTGTGGTCGATTTCTAGGTACTCCGTAGCTTCCAAGCCGGTGAAGGAGTCGTAGTGGATATTTTTAATTTTGTTGTGAGATAGTATTAAGTTAGCTACGACTAGGGTGCCTTTGAAAACGTTGTTAGGTATCTCCTCGATTTTGTTGTGGCTCAACGAGAAGTAACTTACTTCCAAATCCTCAATAAATCCGGGTATTAAATCTTTTATCTCGTTGTTCCTGAGGTTGATCTCGTACACTTGCCTCAGTCCTTTGAAGGCCTTACTCGACACCCTGTCGATTTTGTTGAATTCGAAGTAAATGTTGCGAAGGTTGCCCAAGTGCGAGAAAGCCGATTCATCCACTGCTTGTAGGTTTGTGTGGGATATATTCAGCGATAACAGAACGTTTTCGTGGGGAAAAGTGGACAAAGAGAACACTTTAATATCGCAATTTTCGCATTGAAGGTTCTTGTTGCCGTAGTACATGTCCGTGGGGAACACGTTAGCTACGTTTTTGCATACTAAATTCATACGATCGGCGGTGTCTAAGATGCAGATGGGCTGCGACAATCCCAAGGCCCCGGAGAAAGAGGCCAAAATGAAGTAGTAGAGTAGCATGCCTGGAAATGTAAAATTGGTAGTTTAAAAATTGCAGTACCTAATAATATTACGAATAATCTACATATTTACCCATTGAATTTTGGGTTTCATAATTTGGTAAAAAAGTTGGTACATAATTTTGATAGTAATGAAGTGCTATTCTAAATGCAATTAATCCATTGAAATACAAAGATAATACTAAAAGATAGATGATGACAATGAAAGGTAATAAAGAAAATACAAAGATAAATTTCTTGACTTCGTTCAATGAAGAAATGAAGAAAAACCAATACAAAAATCAGTAAATTATAGCAATTTTGTTTAGCGTACTTACCAAATTAATTGAATGGTCTTACTTTATAAACTCGAGTAAATTTGGTTAGGATTATTAAAATTTCTTAACTCTTATAAATAAGTCAAATTCACCACTCTATTTATACGATTTCCAGTCGGGCAAAAATTTCTTTGAAATCAAGTTTATTAATAAACATTAATAAAACATCCAATACGGGAAAATCCCAATGATATTATAACCCATATGTACTCTGATGAATTATCAAAATCTTATGCTTAAATAGTCTTCAATACAGCGATTCTTCAAGGATGCGCATAATGAAAGGATAATAAATCTTCTCGATTAATTATACAGGGCGATTACACGCAGTTTCAGTTGGAACATTTAACAATTTCAATTATGACTAGCATTACAATTTGTACGAATGCGGATGTACACTAACATAATAATTAAGTAACACTTACTTTATTTTAATTTTTTCCTACGGGCACTTTATGCAAATATCACGCAGTCATCAACAAACTCGTAGAATATACACTACTTTTTAAACATTTTTATATTAACATTGCGTGCGTTACGCCTACATGTTACACCATTAATAAGTACTAAAAATAAATTGTTCAATTGCTAATTTGTTAATTGCGAAAATCGTCGTTTGTTGTATACTTGCGGTTTTGGGGTCCGCTTAATTTCAGGAAAACAGTTTCGTATCAAATTTGTGCTTGAAATAGAGGAATTAGACAAAATAAAAACCACACTTTATAGATTTTATACTTAAAATATCGACATATCTACATGTTTATACAAAAAAAAATTCGTATAAAAATACCCCAAAGTCAACTCTCTGTACGATCTGGTTTTTTCCTGTTGAAAATCGTCTCGTTTACCCAAAGGACGACGCAACAGCAGGATAATATCGATGCCGTGTGTAGCGCAGGCACGTATGACTTCCACGTATCGTGGATTATGCCTGAAAAACCAATAAAATAATCCCTAATATCCAAATCACAATTTCCACACTTACCTATCACAGGTCCGATTACCAAAGAAATAGCTCCGGTGAAAAACATCTGGAACCCATTAGCTGTCGCGTACTTATCTAAGGGTACTAGTTTGGGTACTATCACTGACTGGTACACAGCTCGCAGCCCTTTGGTCACACCGAATATACAGACGGCAACGTACACCACGGTGTAATATTGATAGTACCAGGCCAATACTAGAAATATTAAAAGAATTTTTTAAGGAAATGTATCGATGACACATAGAGCAATATTTGGAGCAATACTAAATAATTCTGAAGCGTTCTAAATGGTTCTAGGCAGTTCTAAACGATTCTTTAGCGTTCTAAATGATTTTAGATAGTTTTAAATGTCTCTGGAGCGTTCTAAATGGTTCTAGAATGTTCTACATGGTTCTGGAGCGTTCTACATGGTTCTGGAGATCTCTAAATCGTTCTAGACAGTACCAGATGATTCTGGAGCATTCTAAATGATTCTATGCAGTTCCAAATGGTTCTAGACAGTTATAAATGATTCTGGAGCATTCTAAATGGTTCTAGACAGTTCTAAACGATTCTGGAGCGTTCTAAATAGTTCTAGACAGTTCTAACTAATTAGGGAGCGGTCTAAATGATTCTAGACAGTTCTAAATGATTATGGAGTATTCTAGATTGTTCTAGACAGTTCTAAATGATTCAGGCCGAGAACTTTTCACCCTACCTACGTAATTAGTTCTTAATAAAGAAGTAAATTTCTGGTCGTACTTATATGGACCTCTTAAGGGAAAATTTGTTAATAAATGGTTATAGGCAATACCAGTTAATTCTGGAGCATTTTAAATGGTTCTAGGCAATACCAGATGATTCTGGAGGCATGTTAAATGGTTCTAGGCAATACCAGATGATCCTGGAGGCATGTTAAATGGTTCTAGGCAATACCAGATGATTCTGGAGCGTTCTAAATGGTTCTTGGCAATTCTAAATGGTTTTAGACAGTTCTAAATGATTCTGTAGCATTCTGAATAGTTCTAGAAAGTTTTAAAAAATTCTGGAGCATTCTAAGTGGTTCTTGACCATTTTAAACGATTCTGGAGCGCTCTCAATGATTCTAGATAGTTCTAAATGTTTCTGTAGGGTTCTAAATGGTTCTAGATAGTTCTAAATAGTTCTGGAGCATTCTAAATGGTTCTAGATAGTTCTAAATGTTTCTGGAGCGTTCTAAATGGTTCAAGACAATATTAAATGATTCTGGAGCGGTTTAAATGTAAACTAATGTTATTAACACAAGTCATTCAGGAACAAAATCAATATAGAACAAGAATCCTAAAACCCCAATATTTTATCTTCCACAACAACCAAATAATCATCAAAAATGTGCAATTTGAGTAATATCTAGAGCACGCCGGTAATTTCTAGTACTGTAATATTATTATTATGAAAACTTCCAAAGTCATACATACACGTCCTGGCGACGGAGGCAGCGATCAAAGCGCCGATGTAAATCCACTTGGGCGAGGCGTTGAAGTAATGGCACACCATGGGTATCACCAATCGCCCGATGATGTCGAAGACGAACTGCACGGAGGTGACGTTGGCCACGTCGTTCCCATCGAACTGGGCCAGTTCGGGCAGGATGAATTGCAGCATGACGATCACGTTGAGCTCGGCCGCGTACGAAACGCTCAAGGCGAGCACGGCCACGCTGTAGGAGAGCTGCTTCAGCAGGCTCAGATCGAACAGGTTGATCAGCTTCGATATCACAGTTTCGGTTTTTGGCTTGGGTCGCGTGGTTTCGCTGTAGGTTTGCACGGAGGTCTCGTTGTCCGGTGTTGCCTGGGAAATGGAATGGATTGTTCGTCAAATTTTAGGGTTAGTCTGGAAGTGATGATGGTTGTATCAAAGCGGTTCGTTGTGAAGCACAAAAAAGTGCAATTATGACTAAAAACGCTTACCTGTTGATTTAAATGATTTAATTTAACTAAGTCCTCTTCGGATTTTTGGGCCGGTGGCAGAGGCTTCAACAGAAAGCACCCGATAAACGATAGCAGGCTGATTGAAAACAGCGTTAGAACGGTGTATTTCCTGCCTAGATTCGTTACTAAAAGATGGCATAATTTCGGCGAAAAAATGGAGAAAATGCTAGCACCGGTCGTCGATATGCTTACAGCTAGAGTCAGTCTTTTCTTAAAATAGGAGTTGGTTGCGAGGTACGTGGCGGGCATTAAAATCCCCTGGCCCACACCTAAAAATCAACAATAAAATAACAATAATTTTACAAAAAAATTCTACCCCAATAAGCCCGTAAATTCTGTATAAATCAAAGTTAAGTTTGCTATACATATACTAATCATTACTTTTCCAAAGCACAGTAGCTGGAGTATTTGATAAACAATTAAGAAATGTTCTAATTCTGTTGCCGAGAAAAATAGGTACAGAGCTACAGGAATAATTGAAGACGTAACATTATTAAGTAAATCGCATCTACCATTGCGCATCCTATTCTTATGTCTTTTGTTATTCTCATCGCTCTGTACCTACTTATATTATGAAGTTTTTAAAAGGGAGAAAGTTAATTATTTACATTCAGCAGAAACAGGCAGAAAGAATATAGAGAAATGTAGAAAAATATGTAAGAAAAAGAATAGCAAAATATAGGTATAAAAAGAACTATTTAGAATAATACCTCATTTTTTTCATGCAAAGTGCTATCCTAAAAGAGTAGCATTTTATCAATCCAATTTCTAGAGTTTTCATCTCTTCAACGGGGCCAATTTATAATCCTAATAAGGAGGTACAATTTGAATCACGTTATACAATAAAACCATAAAAAAATACCAAAAAAATTCCACTACTCACCAGTCATAATGGATATAGTAACGATAAGTAGCGCATAGGAATTTGCGAAACTTGTGAGGAATATCCCAGAGCACCAAATCGTCGCCCCCGCACAAGCCACTTTCCTGTAGGAATATCTCTTCAAAAGCGGACTGCCGAAGAATCCTGAAAGGACGATTCGGTTACGAATAATTTATTTTCTATTTTGATTCTCCTCTTTACCAACAACGCAGAATAACGAAATCTGGAGGTGCAGAAGAAACGAGGTTTTGGCGGCTGTGATTCCCATGTCATTGAATTCATCTCGAAAAATAATACCGAAACAGTAAATTAAAGTTAGGAGACTAATCTAAAAATGTACGTTGTCGAAATTATTCGAGTAATACTTAATAATTTCCGTATATCTTCGAGTCAACTCGATTTTACCCTAAAAATACAGGTGTTGTACTTACATTTAACAGTATTATAGCGAACACTATTACCCACCCATATCCTCCCTCTGGATAAACAAGCTCATTGTCTTTCTTTTCATTTTTCTCTTCCATAATTAGAATGCAGTCTCGCACAGAGTTATGCCCATGAGCTTATCTGTAATAATGATTGTTCATTCTTAGTAAAGTTTCACAAGAACGCGCTCTTAATCTGATCAAACAAAGACTATTTACACTCCTGATAATTGGGAATAAGCCGTGCACTCATTTTTCGTTAATTATCGCAGTATTATCCTTAATTAGGGTGATAGAGTCCGATAAAAGAAAATATGCCAGCAATAAATAAAAGTAAATCTAATTACTTATTTCTATGTAAAAATTTACTATTAAAAAAATGGGAATTATGAATAAGAATAAAGTTGTAACGAAAATATTATGTTCAATAAGAGAAAAATATAACAATATTATATCGTTATATGAAAGGCTCATTATTTATTATTTATGCGGAAAATTATACTTTATGACCTGTTGATTTAACATTTATAAGTCAAATATATGTAGTATGATAAGAAATACAATGTTGAAACCTTCAATATTTCAATAAATGGATTCCGATTGTTTCCTTTTCTACTATGGACTACTGGAAAAATAAATATGCCAATAAATTTTCAAACTGTGTATATATTTTATTAGAAAACATTTTCAGGTATACATTAATTTACATTGCACATTACATAAATTAATCGAAATACCTAAATCAATTCATGAATATTTAAACAAAATTTGGTGAATAATTCAAAAATGTTCTTTTCCTCAACTAATTATCACTACAACGTCGTTACTTACATATTCACTAAGGTAATTAAAATGATTCAAAATCGATTAAGCAACGTCTGTAAATAACAAATCTGATAAATGTGTTTCTGATCTTCAAATTTTATCGTTTATTCGAGACAATTAAATCGGCGAATATTTGTTTACCACTTAACTGACTTAACTCACGGTTTTATTGACCTTTTTTTTATTGTGTCACAAACACGTCTCATGTCAAGTTAATTACTGAATAGCAACGTCAACATTTCATTATCCAAAAAAAAAATAGAAGAATATGTGTTTAAAACAAAGTAATTACACGAGTTTTGGAATAAGATTAAAATATTATCGCGAGTAAATATTAACATTCCATTGATTAATTCCATTACAAATATTAATTTTACTTTGTTGACGAAAATTTAATTGAACAATATTTACATCAAAGGCCGAAACATAAGCTAAATGTCATAGTAGTTCATTTATTACAAATTTGTCATAAGAAAATAGAAGAAGATATCAATAATAAAAATTGATTTAGGTTAACACAAAAGAGAAGTTTTTGTTACTGAAACTGAACAAAGCAAACCTGATCTGTTTCTGATCAGGCAAATCTGATCGTTTCTTACAATAATACAACAGTGACCGTAATAATATGCTCCTGTAGTTCAAAATCCCACTATAATTAATGATAAAACACGGCGGATTAACTAAAAAAATGAGCCTGAGTGCGGGCGACGCCAGTGCCCTAACGTTGGAGATCGGTCCGTTCGAATCGGTGCACAGGTGGAAACGGATGCCCGAATGTGATGAATTCGTGGGAGCTAGGTACTTACTTAATATACGGTAATACAGTGTATAATGTAAATGGTTTTGTCTCAATGGGGCATCGTTTTCAGACGGAGCAAGCACACTGTAGTCGCGTACAAAGATGCTATCTACGTGTTCGGAGGGGACAACGGTAAGAGCATGCTAAATGATCTGTTACGATTCGATGTCAAGGAGAAAAGTTGGGGCAGGGCGTTCGCGACTGGAACTCCACCGGCTCCGAGGTTCTTACATTTTACATTTACTATCCTATTGAATTCGTGGGTGTAAAGATTTCTTTCCTGATATTCATTAAAATGATTTAATGCGCAGGTACCACCATTCGGCGGTGGTCCACAACAGTTCGATGTTTGTGTTCGGTGGCTACACGGGCGACATTCATTCCAACTCGAATTTAACAAACAAGAACGATCTGTTCGAATACAAATTCACATCCGGGCAATGGATAGAATGGAAATGGTACCCGGGCCCGGCGCCCGTTCCCCGATCTGCGCACGGAACAGCCGTGTTCGACAACAAATTATGGATATTCGCTGGGTACGACGGGAACGCCAGATTGAACGATATGTGGACCATTTCACTAGTGGTTAGTAGTGCAGTTAATTGTAAGGATTATTGCGTTTAATTATTAGTGTTAATTTAAGGGCGAAACGAAAGTTTGGGAAGAAGTTAGCCAAAAGGGGGAATCCCCACCCACATGCTGCAATTTTCCGGTTGCCGTAGCCAGGGATTGTATGTTCGTGTTTAGCGGCCAAAGCGGTGCTAAAATCACCAATTCCCTTTTCCAATTTAGCTTCACAGACAAAACGTAAGCTCCTTAGATACTCATAATAGAGTAGCATCCCCCTAACTACATACACATACTCAAAAATGTTTTGCATATTACTATTTAATATGCATTTTATTATTTAAATATTACAAAATACAAAATGTCTTTTGTTAAATTGTTTTTATTGTTAATTTTACATGATGTTTATGCCTTTTGGAAACTAGTTTTGATGAGTAATTTTACAAATAATTCGTTGTATTAAATGTTTATTCTTTTATGCAAAACATTTTTGAGAGTGCATATACAGGGTGGTCCGTAAGTAATGGTCCAAAAGTGAAGGGGAAGATTCTGGGCCTCAAAATATTACGGTCTGACCCAACTTGCTTTAGTAAAATATTGAAAATAAAAAAGATACAGAGTGTCGAAGTTAAAATCAAAAAAATGATGTACAGAAATGAAAGTTTAAAGACAGGTGTTTCAATGCACGAGAAATCATAATATGATAAAAACAATTTAACAAAAAACATTTCAAATAATAAATAGCCAGCGGCATTTCAACATACATCCTCAATTGGTAGTACGAATTGTTCAATATTGCCAAAATTACACTCACCCTTACCACGCACCCTTTAAATTCGTTCCTTAAGCATTTGCTCTTTCCAGATGGACTCGGATATCGACCGAGCATATATTGCGGGGCGCCCCAGCGCCTCCAGCCCGTCGCTACGGTCACACGATGGTGGCCTACGATCGACACCTGTACGTGTTCGGGGGCGCCGCGGATTCGACCCTGTCGAACGATTTGCACTGCTTCGATTTGGACGCTCAGAAGTGGTCGATTATACTGCCCGATCCGGAGTCGTTCGTGCCATCGGGGAGGTTGTTCCATGCTGCTGCGGTGGTCGGAGATGCCATGTTCATATTCGGGGGTACTGTGGATAATAACGTGCGTAGCGGAGAGATGTACAGGTAGATTTATTCGTGATGTATTGGAATGAAGCAATTTAAATATTGCGGGGGATTTTTGTAGGTTCCAGTTCTCGAACTATCCGAAATGCACGCTGCACGATGATTACGGGCTGTTGTTGGAATCTAGACAGTTTTGCGATGTGAAATTTATTCTTGGGCCTGAAGAAAACGCGATTTTAGGCCACGTGGCTTTGGTAGCTGCTAGATCGGGGTATTTGAGGAACAGAATCCGTCAGGCGAAAGAGAATCGCGAAAGGCATTTGGAAAAGCTTTTCGGTAAATTAATCTCGCCCTAAAAGAAATTTCGTAAGCACTGTTGGATTCTTTTCACAGGCACATCGCAAGTTCCGTTTAGAGATATCCCATTGCTGGAAGTTAAATTGCCAGATGCCAATCCGGAGGCTTTCGAAATGGTTCTAAATTACATCTACATGGATTGCATAGATCCCACGAAGCAAGCGAAAGACGATGAGGATCCCGTTTCTAACAGAATTGTTCTTAGAATGATGGATGTCTATAGGTTCGTTTATTTGCTCAGCTAAGTTGTGATAGATCAAATTAAATTACTACTAATATTTCTACCTGATACACTTATTAATCGATTCAAGTATGATAGTCGACGGATCTACCGCTCCTTTTTTGTCTATCAGAGTGGATGGGTGTACTAGAAAAGGAGCGAGAATTTATGGTGAGCGATAGGTCCGCCGACCATCATACTTATAAAGTAAAGATGGAAACAAATTATCGAGAGTAGAGATGTCGTAACTTACCCTACAATTTAACTATTATTAATATTCCTGCTTTGCTATATTAGATTAGCAGTGGAATTCAACATGGCTCGTCTGGAACAGCTCTGCGTTCAGTATCTGAACGCTACGATTTGCTTGACAAACGTCCTCGTGGCTCTGCACAACGCTGATCAGCTGCATTTGGATTTCATTAAAGAGTATTGCTTGAGGTTCATTGTGAAAGAGAGCAATTACAACCAGATAGTTATGAGTTCCGAGTTCGAGTCGCTGGAGAGCCATCTGATGGTGGAGATTATTAGAAGGAAGCAAATGCCTCAGTATAAGGTAGGTACTCGAATACATTGTCTGTGGAAATTGCGTTAATAATTGTAATTCTTTAGGCTAATAATGATGCGATGTTCGACACGGCAGGGGGATCTTTGGAGCAGGATATGGCGATGTTTTTGAGAGTAACTGGAAAGGAATTTTGCGATATAGACCTGAAATTGGACGGGTTGTTGATACCGGCGCACAAAACGATTCTAGCTGCGAGATGTTCGTATTTCGAAGGAATGTTTAGGTCTTTTATGCCGGCGGATAGTAAAGTTAACGTACGCTTTTACCATTACAAACCCCTATTTTTGTTAATTTATTATTTTTATTAGATCCAAATAGGCGAGCTGGTACCTTCAAGAGAAGCTTTCGATTCACTTCTGAGGTACATTTACTATGGCGACGTTAACATGCCTCCGGAGGATTCCCTTTACTTGTTTTCTGCTCCCTATTACTATGGTTTTCACAATAACAGGCTTCAGGCGTTTTGCAAGCAAAATCTCGAGATGAACGTGACTTTCGAAAACGTCATTCAAATTTTGGAGGCGGCCGATAAAATGAACGCGATCGACATGAAAAAATACGCACTTGATCTAATCGTGCATCATTTTACAAAGGTACACGCAATTAAAAAAACATTAATTATAGCGGCTAATTACAATTTAATTACAGGTTGCAAAATTGCCAAAACTAAAAATGCTGAGCAAGGAGTTGATTCTGGATATTTTGGAAGTATTGGCGGAGAGTATGGAGCAGAACATGAGAAACGACGTATCGAGCACCTTGCTGAATTTGGATCCATGATTAAGGAAGATCAGGAGAGAGATGAATTTGACTATGCGAAGAGTATCGATTATTTTGTTTACTGTGATTTCAGCTATTGTAGATAGGAGTTTGCTGGATAAACTCGAATTATAAATCATGAAGGAAAGAGCTGTGGTAAGATAAAAGAATGTTAATATGTTACAATTATGTTCTAATATATAGGCCATAAATAAAATATACTAACGATTTTTTTTATTCAATATATATTTTTCCATACAAAACAAATTAATTTAGGAAATTGTTTAAACCTGGATGTAGCGGCTACAAAAAACAGTCTTGTTAACAATAGATCTAAAACTGACAATAGAAACAATGAATTTGTAACGGTAATCTCAAAAAGCAGAAATCAAAGAAAAAAACAAAATAGGAAGATTGCAAATCGTTTCATGTCCCCCTCGGGATTAATTTTTACATATCTCCGTAATAGTTTACTGTTGTTTGCAATTTTGATCCTTAATGGCCTTCGGCCCTGCATCTTTGTTATCATCGGAATCACCTTCATCTTCTTCCTCGTCGTCCTCCTCTTCCTCCTCCTCGAATTCATCCTCATCTTCACAACCTTCTCCGGTGAAAAACAGCACCGCCCTGGGCACGATCCTCTCTCTGATGTAATGCCCAATTTCGAAATCCGTAGTCAGCAAATTTCTCAAATCTTCGTCGACGTCCTCCTCTTTAGTGTCTTCGGGAATGGTCGGCGGACTGAAGAAATTGAAAAACGAATCGTTCTGGACGGTCTTCGTCACCGTTCTGACGACGCCGCGGCTCTTGTGCTTCTGTTTCTTCTTCACCGTCTTCACGGTCACGTTTTTGCCTTTGTTCCAATTGATCACGCACCCCGAACACTTGTAGATCTCGGGACCCTCGAAGCTGAACGGGTCGTCCTCTTCGGGCACGCACTTCATTTGGTACTCCTTCGTAAGTACACTATTGGTGAAATATTCGTTGGGAGAAAAGTGGAATTCTAATATGAAATTCTGAAAAAAAAACAAACAACATAAGTGGAAGATGAATGTAGTTAAAATGGTATGCAAATATTAGTGAATAAATGAAACATTAATAATTATTCTAGAATGAATAGCTTTAGAATTATACTGGAACGAAACTAGAAATTAAATTGTGAATATTTGTATTGTTTATTAGCTTCTGGAATGAGTAATTTCAGGAATAAATAATTCTATCCATTTAGGGCTAGAATAAAACGTACCATTGGGTTTTCTTTGATAATTGTCTTGATATCAACAAGATGCTTTAAGATGGGTACATCGTGGGGTTGTACCATTTCCGATAACAAGCAAACGTTTCTGAAAATAGTTAGCCAGAAGTCTGGAATGCCCTTCATGTCCTTTTTGATATCTACATCCTTGGCTTCCTCTAATTTTAGTTTTTCCTTAATGGCCTCGGTTAGCTCCTCGTCGTCAGAGGGCCATTGAGATTCCTCATCGTTAGGTTCGTACTGGCCGTTTACTATTTTGTTCCTCTTTTCGTAGAAAGGTGTGTACAGCTAACAAACAAAGCAAGTCATTGGTTAGTAATTCGGATTCCACGGTACGAATAAATAAAAATGCAAAAACACGTTCGAATAGTAAACGTACTTTGTGGTATTTACACTCTAAATCGTGAACTTCCTTAAAAAACCTCGCTTCAATGTTAGTAGTTTCTAACTGCATTTTTTTCAAAGCTTTGATTCTCCGTTTAACAACGGGCGGTAAACGGGCTAGCATTTCGGCGTTTCGCTGTTGCTGCAGCGCCGAAAAGCCGGGAAAAGAGTCTAATTGCTTGGCGACATCCTGGCCGAGATCTTCCTCCTCTAAAGATTCGATATCATCAGGGCAATCTCCGGCCTGTTCCTGGTCAGTTGCCATCTTGCTGTAACAAAAACTCGATTTGAAAATTACCGAAATTACGGGCCGAAACCGCAACAAAAACTTATTGATGCTCGTAAAATTGCCGAATAGAATTATTGTAATTGTATAAAATGACTGTTAAATACACGTGCACACTATGAACCGAAATAAAAATGACAAATAGCAGTGATGTTTAGAAGTAAATTAACGAGTTCCTTAGCCGTCTATGTATCAAAACTACGTCAATATAACAAACACGATAAAATAAGGCAGATAAAAACGTAAATTTTACCTTTATTTGTGAAAACGAGACCGACACCAACCTACAACAACGACGTCAAATATCAGAAAGGCAGGATAAAAAAAATTCGGCGATGGCGATGCGACATGCGACAGATGAATTCAAATTCTACGTTTAAATTATCATTCGAATTAATCGAAACGATTAATCGATTATTTTGACATAACGAAAAATAATCTAAAAATAAGAAAAATTACAAATAAATGTTCATTTTTGATTACAAAACTACATAAAAATAACAAAAAGTGTATTTCTAGCTAATTTATAAATATTTTTCGTTTATTCAACAAGCAGTCTTTCTCTTTTTAGTCGATTATTAGCAAATAAGATAAACAATCTTTATAATGACAGATTGACTTGTTTCTGGTAAGTGAATTATCATTAGAGACAAGGCCACAATTATAAGAAAAAAATTATTATCTAAACAGGCAATCAATCTTGTCAGGTTTACTAAATTTTAATTAAAACTTTTATACAAACTGTCGCTGAAAAACTGTAATAATTTTAATTAAAATCGCCAAGAAAATTTATGAAAACTACATACATCTGGCAACGCTGTCAACACGAGACATTGACAGTCAAACTGTCAAAACAGCTGTTTGCTTTGGTTAAATAATTTTTAATTTGCAAATAAATTTTCGTGGAAATTGATGAAACAAACTACTAGTATTCATTATTATGGCTGATACAAGTGCTTCGAACCAAAATGAGACTCTTCTACCAGAACACACTAAACGAGCCGCATCTGCCATAGGAAAACTGCTGTTTTTTAGTGTTCTCATGTTTACACTGCCGTTTGGGGCCTTTTTCGGAACCAAAAGTGTACTTAAAAGTTTCGACGTTACTGGGTTTAATAACACATGTTGGTCTGTAGTATTAGCAGTGGTTACTGTTAATTTAATCATAGTGGTTTACGCTTATATTGCTTACCTGGAACCGGAATACGATGAACAAGGGAATATTATTCGACCAGAAGAGAAAAAAGACAAATAATCTGTACTGTTTTTGTTCATTTTCTTGATTTTGTTAGTTAATTTAGCTGTATTTAATTTAAGTTCTATTTGTGTAATACTAAATAATACACAATTATTACATTTTGAAGATTGGAATATTATGTAAATATTGTAATAGGCGATAAAATAAAATTTTACAGTAAATATTTTTATTCCGAATTGAAATTTTTGAACATAAAATCGTAAATAATCGATTTGTTCGATAATCTTGACATCTCGATTCGACTAAAAATAGACATTTTTTGACGTTTCTACTTTCTTTTCTTCTTCTTCGACTTTCAATTTTCTTTACAATAATGATTGTTTGAAAAATAAATAAATACTTGTTCTTACGTTCGTCAGCATGCACATAGCGACAATTACGTGACTTCTACATTTCTAGCACTAATTTACCAACGCGAATTACCAAAATGAGACTAAGGAAAAGAAGGCGAATTATGATGAAAACGAAAAACTCGGAGGCCTGCGAGTCGGATATTTTGAGCCAGGACGAGCACGAGCAAGGGAATTGCGGGACCACCGAAAGTGAAGCACCCTCAACTAGCGCTTCTGTGCAAGTGAAATCTGAAAAATCTGACATTAAGATTTGTAGGCTATGCTTAGTTTTCCTCGAAGAAAATTATGTTGAACTGAATCAAAGTAATAGAAGCCTTGTGATGCTGCAAATTGTTCTTCCCGAAGTGGTATGTACTAAGATTTAATTACATTAAGAAACTTGCTAAGTTTGTAATTTTTTCATCCTTTGAACTTTGAATTTAGATAACTGTATGTAATGTACTCCTAATCTGATCCTATGCCTCATATTGACTAATCAAATTCTTAATTGACAATATTTTATAATACTGTAAAATCTTTTTTATACCTACAGAAGCCCAATATGACCAAGGAGCCTGTAATTTGCCAAAATTGTTGGGAGTTTCTCGAAAGGGCCTCGACGTTCATAACAAATAGTCTAAACGTAGAAGAGAAAATAAAAAATTACTACGACACGATCAAGTCCGAAGAAGAAATCGATTTGTTCAGCGTGTTAGAATTCGCGTTTCCCAAGATCGAAATGGACCAAGAATTAGAAAGCGAAGAAATTCCGTTTACACCCACCGATTATTTAGAAGTCAATCAGCATAAAACCAATGGAAATAACTCTGATAGTTCCAACGAAGATAAAAAGCCCCTAACGTTAGTATCCATTTAAACTACTCGTATTTTAAAATAGATTTTTAATTTACTTTTTACAGGAAACTACAAGTCAGAGCCGATTCGAACGGTGTCACATTCTACAATTGCGCCTTATGCAGCTTCACGACAAAGTACAAATACAGCCTGAAAATCCACAAAGACACGATGCACACCAGCCCCGATGATTTAATTATGCATTCGTGCACCCTATGTACATTCAAAACGAAGCATAAGCGCTACCTCGAAACTCACATGCTGGTGCACAAAAACCCCGAAGAATGCGAGATGCACAAGTGCAAAGTGTGCGACTTCCGGACGAAATTCAAAAGTTACTTAAAAACGCACTCGCTCATACACAAGAGCCCCGACGAGATTCCCATGCACAAATGCGATTACTGCAGCTTCAAAACGAAACACAAAAAATATTTAGACACTCACGTCATGATACACATGAACCCGAACGACATACCGATGCACCGTTGCACCATCTGTGATTTTCAAACGAAATCGAAGCCTTATTTGAAGACCCACATGCTGACGCACAAGAGCCCCGACGAAGTTCCTATGCACAAGTGCGACGAATGCAGCTTCCAAACCAAATTCAAATACTACCTAAACAGGCACATGCTCATCCACAGGAACCCCGAAGAGATACCGATGTTCCAATGCGAGCAGTGCGATTTCCGCACGCGCCACAAGAAATACCTCGAAACGCACAGCATGCTGCACAAGAGCCCCGACGAGCTGGTCATGTACTCGTGCAACCAATGCGAGTTCCAGACCAAATCCAAAGCGTACCTGTTCAAAACGCACATGCAAATCCACAAGAGCCCCGACGAGCTGGTGCTGCACAAATGCAACTTGTGCGCGTTCAAAACGAGGCACAAGAGCTATTTGGAGACGCACATGCTCACCCACAAGAGCCCCGACGAAGTGACCATGCACTACTGCAACCAGTGCGAGTTTCGCACTAAGTTCAAGCACTACCTGAAGAGGCACGTTCTGGTGCACTTGGCGCCCGACGAGTGCGTCATGTACAGGTGCTGGGAGTGCGCTTTCGAGACCAAACACAAAAACTATCTGGATACTCATATATTGTATGTGCACAAGAGCAAAGACGAGGTGACCATGCACTCGTGCACGCAATGCAAGTTTCAGACCAAGTCTAAAGGCTACTTGAAAACTCACATGTTGCTGCACAGGAGCCCTAACGAGGTGACGATGTACAAGTGTAAAAAGTGCAAGTTTAAAACGAGGCATAAGAGCTATTTGAAAACTCACATGACTCATATGCACAGTCGAAAGTTGTAGATATTTTTGGTTGTATAATTCGAAATAGTACCTATAAGGTGGTTCGTAAAGAATGGGAAACTGAAATGTGTTTAACTCGGGATTTACTATCTTTACGAATCGTCTAGTGTAGAGAGGGATGAGGATCTCAAACAGTTGTTTTCTGTGTAAATATGTATATGTTTTATCAGGTTTATCCATTTGGTAAATGTACAAACTTGGTAGATATAAATGGGTTCCTTTTTTTATAGACAATTTACAATATGAGAACTACTACTGTAACCCTTCATTACTTATTAAATTTGTACATTCATCAAGGAGATAATCTGGTGTAATGATTATTTTATTGTTGATTTTATTTTTTTTATAAATGTTTGTTTCTAAAGAAAGCAGTTATTAACTATAATTTTTTAAACGTATACAGGGTGTATCTAAATAACACCGAAAGAATTAAGGGATGATTCTATGATGAACATTTTTTTGAAATGAAAGTTTTTTGGAAAAATCTTTAGAGATAAATTTTTATCTAATAAAAAGTTGTAAGAAGAATGTGGGAAGGAAAAATGGGAGGATTTTTTCAAAAAAAAATTATACCAAGTAGCTACTTTAACTTTCATCACAGAGTATCACTCCTTAAATTTTTTTGGTGTTTAGATACACCCTGTATAAATTTAAATAGTTGGTTATGAAGTATTTATGTTTAGTTAAGACTAGGTTTATCAGCATGCTCTCATGACTAATTTACCAATCACCAAAAAGTGAAATTTTCTAGTCTTTACTTAACACTAGCGTTATTAAAAATGATCTTATTTCATGCAGTTAAAATATATTATGTATTACATACAATAAAAACTAGTAAAGTGCCATCAATGAAATAGAAAATTTTCACTAATTATAGTTAAGACAGATTTTATCTATATAAATGTGTTCTATTTTATAAAGAAACGAAATTTATCCTTTATAACGTAGAATAAACTATTATATATTTTATTTCCTATGATCTATTTATCATCAGGTTATACTTTATAGAAAAGGCAATAAATGCTATGGTAGTGCCATAAAGAAATCTATACGTGTAGTTTTGTTTAGTAAATTTGTGATAATTTACGTAATTTCGTATTTAAATTTATATATTCTGTTTGGTATTGTTTCTTTGTATTTGTAAAAAATAATATAATTTAATAAAAAAAATCATTTTATTTTTTGTATACCAAAAAAAATCATTTGAAATTGAATATATTTTATTTTTACGCATACTTATATACATAGACAATTTGAAAATAAACATAAGTATTAGATATTTATACAACATGAACATAATACATAATAAAAATAAGAGATTAAATTTATTTACAGATTTTTTATATTTCAAGCATTTTCTCTTGCTACATACTTTTGAATCGATCATTTGTAATCACGTTTTACAAACTTTAAGGCAAATACATAACAAGAAAAGCAACTTTTAAATTTACGTTCCAATTTTGTGTAATCGCCACCAGTTAAAAATATATTTCAATTACGAATTATTATAACATTGTGAAGGTTTATGTGCAGATTCAAATTTCTTTTTTGCTTTAAATACGTAAAAATTTTTCTGGTATGTAATAAATGAAATGAAGCCAATTTCGATGGTTGAAAATTATAAAACCAAATCTTGGACGGAACAAATTTGGAACAAAATTAATTATTGTCCCTTTTAATAATTTGAACAATATGTATTCACCATGTTAACGAATGTTCGAATGTGTTTCGTTCAAAACACAGGTGATCGAAATATCACAAACATAATGAAATTTTATGGATAATAAAGATCAGAACGTGAAAGTCATTGCATATTACAAATAACGTCTAAAATTCTTTGATAAAAACAAGAGGAATCAAATGATACAGATTTTGGTATTGCTCAAAATATGGAAATTATTAAACGAAAATATTTTGTTTCAAAATTCCCTCGATATAAGTTACAACTCTACATTATTTTCTTTTATTTTATAGTCCAACTAAGAAAAAAATAACTATAAAAGTAGATTTATGAACATATTTAAATTTCTACTATTTATGAGGAATTAAAGCAATTCATTGGTAATTACATTTTTGGCATTACTTTCTATGAAACAGACCTTTTTTGATGTTTGAACAAACTTCTTCAAAGAAATTGTACTGAAAACGAGCCTTAAAATTAATGTTAAAAAATTAATATCACCACATTATTAAACTTTCTATATTTTAAATCGCTTTAACTTCAAGATTAAATTATATTGCAGATTCGAAAATTGACCCATTATTTTACTTATCCAACTAAATAATAAAGTAATGATGGAATCTACAACAATTTTAATCAATTAAAACTACAGGATAAAATATATTCAGTAATATCTGTACTTTTTTTAAATAAATTGTTTTAGTTATCACAAATTTTAATGTAAGCATTTATTGGTGCCTAAACTCTACCTCTTAAAAAAATAAAGATGATTACAACTAAATATTTATACATCATTATTGAACCGTAAATCAAACGTAAAATACTCCTGCATATCTAAACAACAAACGTAATAGACCAGTTTTAAAAATCGATACGTTACAAAGGCCAAATTCAAATTCAATTCTTCACCTCCAATATAATAATTATGATGATGATCAACAAAATAACGGCCCCGATCGCCGCAAATATCAATTTCTTCCTTCTTACTTTGTTTTTATACGTACTGGCCTCGCGCAGTTGCATCGCCCCTTGGCTCACGTAATCAGTCGTATGTTCCACGCTCGCTTCGATACTATCTATAACTTCACCTTGCTCGTGCACTAACGATCCCAATTCCTTGAATATTTGATTTACGTCGTTGATATCGCTCTAAAATCGTTTTTATTAATTTTACAATACACCAGCAACATTAATCGTACTTCTAACTGCCTAATGGACTGTTCTTGTTCTTCCAAAGCTCTCAAATCCTCCTGCTCTTGCAATTGCAACTGTCTCGTACTGTTATCCTGTAATTCTATGAGCTGCTGGTCCTTCGATTTGTAGCCGACTACGAATTAACAGTGAATAATTTGAGGGTATGTCGAGATATTTGAATAAGTACCGAGGTGTGGTTCGCCGTAAGCCTGAGCTTTGGCTTTATTGACTTGTTCCTTTTCCTTGGAGGCGGTGCTCCTTTGGACTTGCTGGAACATGTTTAACGTGCTGGTGAACTCGTCCTGCAGCCTCTCTTTCTGCATTTTCCTCTGCCTCTGCTCCGATTGAGAGAGCGAAGGTTGGACATTACTCAAATCTTTGATGTAGCCGTTGGTGTCTTTTACTAGCTGTTGTGTATAATGCTGGATGGAATGCCTAAACAATATTAATAAGTTTATTTCTGGTGATTTATCATAAATTAATTTTTTCTACGATGAGTTATGCATATACGGCGAATTATACATTGTTTTGAGATAATTCACAAAATATGTACAACTAAATGTAAAAATGATAACTTCATTAGACTTAAAATAATATCAAGGTCAATTTACTCAAAGGTAATTAAATAAGAATACCTTTAAGTTTGTTAAGAGTAATTAGATTCCTAAAAATAGCCAATGTATGATTACTTATCTAGCTTACTTTGAGATATGTAAAAATTTAATACCATATTGGCAATTAAAATAAATCAAATCAATACAACAATAACGATTTAATAAACTTACAATTGCTTTCGCAATTCAGGGGAATCTTGGTGTGTTCCAATTTGGTTGACCATACGTTGCATTGAGGAAACTAAAAAGAATAAGATTATAATAATTTAAAAGCTTTGTTTTTATACAATTTTTAAGTTTATAAAATCATTATAAAGTCTTACCATTTTGGGATATTTTTTGAATGCTTGTACCTATTGTCTGGGAAAGTTTTTGAAAATCTTGTTCCCTGTTTTGCTCCCCATTCTGATAAGAAAAATTACCTTCCATTTTTCCTACAAATATAGGGCTTTAGGTGAAAGTTTACGTTTGATTTTACAAATTTAGTACTATAAATTATTGTATTAAAGGGGTTTTTCTTAACTATTTAATAAAATCAATAATTTTGACGTAAATTGGTGATTCACTTTAAAAAAACAAGACTGTTTTGTTTGTCACTGTCACCTGTCACTAGTCACTAGTGTTACTGTCATTACTGTCAAATGTCGGTAGAATGACACGTGACGCCTAGACATTTGACTTTGACAAATTGACACTTATAATTTTGTAAAAAGTAAAAAATGTCAGAATAAATTTTATCAAAAAATATATTATGTTAATTAGCTTTGGCTGTAATTTAATTGTACATTTTGTAAAAAGCTTTGTCTTACGGTAATCTCTCATAAATAATGAACGCAAGGGGCCTTATTTTGTGGTTAGTTTTTAATGTCTACTTTAAATATGTCTCGTCAGACGAGCAGAGTTCTTTCGAGTCTTCCGCCGAAGGGGCTAGATTTACCAAGGAACATTACAAAAATCCAAAGTCTTCCTCTATATTCGAAGGTAAAGTGCATTTTACATAAATTTTCGTTCAATTAACCATTCTGTTTGCAGGCAATTTTGATACCTGCAGCGAAGAAGACTTTGCTTGCTTAGCAATGGCTCAAAAAGATAGATTAGGTTTAGAAGCTATTAAACAGCTACACAAGCAGTTAGATGACGATAAGGACGGTACCATTGATTTATCCGAATCGGATGATGTGAGACCATCGACTATTTAAATCGATTAATATTAAATCCATTTTTTGCAGTTTTTGAAAGAGGAATTGAAATATAACTCGGGAGCAGAGAAGAGGCAGAAAAATTTCCACCGCAACGACGATTACCATATATCCGTTAAAGAATTGTGGGAAGCTTGGCTGAAATCTGAAGTACACAATTGGACTGTCGAGCAGACCACAGACTGGCTATCAAATAGCGTTGAACTGCCCCAATACGTTCCTAAATTTATCGAACACCGAGTTACGGGGGCCAATTTACCAAGGTACAATTTACATAGAATTTTATGGGAAAGTTTAAGAAAGGCTGTTCGGTACATATGAGACATTTAACAGAACAAACAAGGAAAGTTCTTATCTTCAAACAAAACGTTTCTACGATGTATATGTTTATTTTTTCTATAAATAGTTATACACAGTGCAAATAGCCAAGGTCATTACGTTATAATCTTAATAAAATTAGGTTTCTATATGGAGAGTCCACCTAATATGGTACTAAATCGATTACCATGGAATATCTAATAGAAACAAGATTTAAATGTATTTTTCATACCTATTTTAGAAGAAAAAGAATCCATTTAATTTATTTATTCTAATAATAAACAAACGCTAAATAGTACATTTATTCACTTAAATTAGTTTGTTAATGTGTAAAAACTAAAATTAAAAAAATGTTAAATATATTTGTGGGAATTCTAAGACAACCAAATTATGATTGGCAATGTGATTTCATGTTTCATAAAACGTGAAAATATCAGTTAATGAGGAGTAATTACTTTAACGACATTTTTTGATATAGATTTTATCGTCGCGTAACCAGTTGTTAACAATAATTGCGTTCAAATATTATAGAAAATTTAACACATTACAATTTGTGGTAGAAGAAGCTAAGAAGTCTTTAGGGATTTCGGGTTAGTACCTTCTAAATAATCGAGTTGTAGAAATGGTATTAATATTTTTAGTTCATTCCTCAATGAGTTTGAAAATAATTAATAATTTTTTTTTAGTTACATTTATTCTCTATTTATTAATAGCATTGAGCGCCATTAAAATAGGCAAAATACAGATGTTCATAACTATTTAACCTTCAAACGAATGTTTTTAAATCATTAACCCAATGTCGCAAATTTTTACATTAATTTTATAGATTTATTTATTTTAGCAAAGCGCAAATTCGCTTTCATCTTTTTACATAAACAATTTATCTTTTCCTACACGAAAACGATTCCCGCTTAAAAATGATATTTTTATAGATTGGCCGTCAACAATGCGCCCTACTTGGCTGTTCTCGGGATAAAGGACCCCATTCACAAACAAAAAATCACCTTAAAGGCTATGGATGTGGTCCTTTTTGGACCTCCGAAAGGTACGACTATAGATACATAGGCACCATGACAATATCCTATACATACAGTCTTATTATATTGTTTATCGACCGTGACAAATGCAAATTCTTATGAATTAGTTTTTTTATGAACCTCGCGTAATTGTGTTAGATTTTTTATTGTGTAACATGTGTGCTGTTTAAACAGATGTTTCAATTCAAAAATATATTTTGATTGGTTTATTAATTTTAAAAATAAATAAAGTCCCATGCTTTTATGGCTGATAATGAAGGTCAGTAATATACTCTACTGAAATCGAAATTTTTAGCTTATAAAAATTCACGTTATTAACGAGTTTATTAAACTCTAAAATCGTAATTTATATGCCATAATTAATTTATGATATATATTTAAGAATATGCTTTATTAGTCTCCTAATTTTTTCTCCTAATAAAAATGGTAAATTTTGACGAATAAATGAATTAAATATCCTTTGCAGATACCCATCATTGGAAAGATTTGACCCTAATTTTCCTGATCGTCGTCGGCGGTCTGGGTAGTTGGTATGCATACAGACAGAACAAGAAATTCCGAAACCACTTGAACAGGATGAGCAGGGACATGGACGGCCTTCAGAACGCCGAAAAGGCCTTGGAGAACCTTCAGAAGGAACTGGAACGCGCGAGACAAGCTCAAGAAACTGTGATAACGGAAAAACAAGATTTAGAACGAAAACTGCAAGACTCCAAGAGCGAACTGAACACCCTTCCGAGTTCCTATTCCGATTTAGAAGTCACCCAATTGAAGGCTGAAATCGAAGTTAGACATTTCCTTTAACATTATCGGTCACAGTTCATTATCATTGTTTTTTTTTTCAGATGCTTAGAACTGAATTACAACTAGCCGAAGGCGAATTGAAGGACCGTTGTTGGGCCCCACCGGTCGCGCTACAACAATGGCTGCAACTCACCCACGAAATAGAGAACAAAGGTTATCTCAAGAAGAAAATCAGCGCCGAAAAGCAATTACAACAAGCCCGAGAAGCCGTAAGTACACCGTGCCATTACTAGAGCCTGGAAAATGTGCAAAATGCATGTAAAGTGCATGCATTATTCCCCCAAAAATTCAAAATGCATAGGCAAAATCAAATTTTAAAATAAAAGCGTTAAAAATTACTTGCAACTTCGGGTCACTAAATAAAACACCCAAAGCTCATTCTTAGTTCTGTTTTCTAAACGGTTCTGGATCATTCTAGTCGGTTCTTGACAGTTAATGATTCTAGAGAGTTCTAGTTGATTCTAGATAATTGTAAATGATTCTAGAGAGTTGTAAATGATTCTGAAGTGTTATAAACGATTTTAGACAGTTCTAAATGATTCTAGATAGTTACAAATGATTCTGCAGCGTTCTAAATGGTTATAAATAGTTCTAAATGATTCTTGAGCGTTCTAAATGATTTTAGAAAGTTTGAAGGTTTTTTGTGCATATTTGCATGCATATTTTGTCAGTTTTAGTGCATATTTTCCAAGCTCTAGTGGTTTCACACAAATTTAAACTCACCATGTACACAACGACGCGCTCCTTTTTAACGCTAATCAATCAATCAACTGTACAGCCAATGTATAACTGTCGAGGTAAAGAGACTCTTTAAATGATTGACAAGCGTTAAAATGGAGCGCTCAATACAGGCCATTGTGTCCCAGCATAGCAGCAATGGTACCGCCAGTTTCCTCTTCTCGAGTTCTATAAAATGGTAAAATATAAGAGCAAAAGTTCAACATTAGAGCATGAAACAACTGTGTACTTACTGAAGAGATTTGGATCAATTTTAACAGAAATCCAAACTTAATGTTTTATTTATTTAAACAGTAATCCAAACTTGAATATATTATTCACACGATTCAGTCGCTTGTTCGATGCCTCGATAACTTACTATATATTTCTGTATCAGTGCGAGAAATTGAGGAAGAAACGATCGAGTCTCGTGGGGGCTTTCGTATCGACGCACGGAAAGTCCATCGACGAAGTGGACAGGAGCATCGTGGAGGCGCGAACGTCCCTGCACGAGGTCACGCAGGAGTTGCAGGAGCGCGTGCACAGGTGGAAGCAAATCGAAATGCTGTGCGGTTTCAACATCATGAACAACAACGGTTTCAATTATTTGGAGAACTCGCTGTACAGGAATTCCAACGGGAGAGGTGGGGGATTAAGAGGTATGTTTTTAAAAGATATGTTTGCTCGTGGATAGTGATTTTTACGTGTTTCTTTTTTTATTGTATTAGGACCAGCGAGCAGTACGGATAATTTGGATGATGATACGGGATCTGTTTACAGCGCCTATCCAGGTAAGAACGTTTCGTTTGACAATGATGATTCGGAAACAGATTGAATTTTTTTTTATTGAAAGAGTGGTAGATTTTAGTCTAATCCAAAATTAGTAGATTATTTTGAATTGTAGAACGTTGTTAAGTTCTAACAGTGGCACAGATTGATTACTACAATATGTAAAGTGCAGCGAATTAAACTAATTAATAAAGTTATAAGTGCTTTTTTATCAGATAGATCTATTAACTAATATTGCTAAATTGGTTCAAGTAATTTTCGATTCGGTCAATTTGAACTAATTGAGAAAAAATGATTCATAATTAATTCATTTAAATTGCCCATTAAATCTGAGAGAATTAGCAATTTAAAGCATTGCATTTTTAAAGAAATATACTATATGCGATATTTTTGTTAGAATTATTACATAATTATGTACTGCATACTCTAATTTTTAAATTTGTAGTAGTTAATCTGTGATATACAAAGTGTACTTTACATTATGTGGTTTATCACAAGAATTTCTCTATGATTTTGTCATAAATGATAATTTTAGTTTCACAAGTGGATTTAAAAATCATAAAATTTATATTATCTGAAATCATCCACTATTAAATCATTCCAATTTTCTATGACAAAATCATGTGAAATATAATATGACAAATCACATAACAGTACACTTTAGTACTTAAAATTTGTTTTTTTAATTTCCTTTAAGAGTAAATACATGCCTAAATTTATATGTGTTCTAATATTTTTAGAGAAAGCTCACTCTTTTATCTATAAATAAAATTTTAAATTTCTTATAAATTTAGGTATTTAGTCACCTTATGAGTATATTGGAATGTGCATCATATTGAACTATTTTTTTTTTGCTTGAACCCCATGTTATTTTATTGAACTAAAGCTGGGAATGTTAAGTGATCAAAGTTACTTATTTGTGAATGTACTTAAACATAATGGCGATGATGTTCTATGCACTTTTAGAGATATTTGTTTGTCGTTTATTAGAAAACTCACTAAATTGAATATTTTGAACAAATATCCCTGAATTACATATTAATACGATTGAAAATAATGTACGTACAAAATCGAACCAGCTTACACGAACAAAATATTTATAATTTTATATTAGAGAGCCTGTAAATTTTATTGAATATGTTCGTAGGAAATATTTACAGTTTATCTCAAATATTTAGATGAATCTAGTTTTCAAAAAAAATAAAATGCATCACTGTGGATGGATGGATGGTCACTCATTCAGTCAATGCCATTTTTGAGGCTAATATTTTACTGTGATAATATCTCAAAATTAAAGCAATATTACATTTGAGAATAATAATTGTTATTGGCAAATTTTGGAGTCGAGTAAACATTACAATTTGTGTTTTTCATTAAATATCTAGGGCGTAAACACGATATTTTTTAATCGTACATTTTTTTTGAGAAACGCTTTCTAATCGGGTGAAATTTTTAGAGATGAAAATAGTTACTGAGAAAATACCAAATAGGGACCATTTGGATCACAATTTGTCGTTAGGCAAAATGTTGATTTGTGCTGCAAGTACGGTGCTCAATGTTAGTATTTACAAATTTGAGAGAAACTGTTGTTGAATAAGACATCTTATTGAAAAATAAGAAAATATTTTTCGCCTGAAAGAATCTCTTAAAACGATAAAACGTATTTATTTATTGAACTAACATATTTTTGCTACTAATACTGTATTCTTTTTATTTTGATAGTTTTTTCGCTTGTACATGTTTGTAGATTTTATTTTAAAATATATGAGGTATTTAGAGATTGTTATTCATTTGATGACCCATTTCCTTATTTTTCAATTTGAATGGTACAAACCAGGTAAGCACATTTTATCAATATATCAAATGTTACCGAACCTAACATATTAAATTACTTAAATTTAAAAGGTGTTGGTAAAGGTGTATGTACTATAACAATAATGGAATAGCTCACAGTTTATTGTTATTATCTCAAACCAATAAATATTTGTAATTGTAATTAAATTCAATGAACGAGTATTCGCTATGTAAATATATTCATAAAATTGGCTTTAAATTAGGTGTTGTTTAAATAATTGATCACTTTATTATATGTTTTATTTAACAACTTATCTGTGTACTTCCTGTGAACGTTCTGCAATTCCGATGGAATTAATCCTTACTAAAATTTACAATGTTGGTTAATTACGATTTTTTCTAGGTTATCACATTAGAGATGGGGATTCTTCGAGCAGCGAAACTAGCAAACAGGAAGAAGAAAGTTACGGGACCGAATCCAAAGTGGGCAGTCGAAATAACGTCAATTTTACTGTAGGCGACGATATGTAAGTCATTTTTAAAGTACTATTATTGGGCCACTCTATATATCAAACTATAGGTGCTGCAGGGGCTTCCATCTTAGACCTACAGCTCTTTGAAGACATTTTGAGTTGGTGAAATTCCTTTTCATAGTGCTCTAAATCCTAGGTCATAAATCAACATCATCATCAGCTTTTAAGTCCTTTGCTGGAGATAGGCTTCCTCCATTTTCTTCCAGTTCTTCCTACACCCTGGTTTTTGTATTTTGTATCCAGTTGCCGGTAATCCTGCCCACATCATCCCATCCAGCGCATTGGCGGTCTTCCTCCGGTCATTCATTATCCCCTTGTGTTCCAGTTTCGACGAAACCTTGTGCAGCCCCACACTGTCCCGGAGCGCCGCTGGTAAATTCACCGCGCAGCAGCCGAAGAGCATCAGCCACAATCAGTTGAACCTGCTGAACAGCGCTTCGAAGGCCGCCGCCATGACCCGATCGGTGTCCACCGACATGGCGTCGCCCGCGGTCGAGGCCAAGTCGAAGTCCCTGTCGGAGACCAATCTGAAATCCGACAAGCAAACGGCCACGATCAAGGAGCAGCCGAGCACCTCGACCGAGGACGATATCTGCTCGACGAGCTCCTCGGTGCTGGACGAGGACGTCAAGAAGAAGAAGCGCAAGATGAATTTCTTTTCGAAGAAGAGCAAGGGTAAATTGCAAAATTGATTTTTGGCCTCTTCTTTATTAGGCAATTGTTATCTAATTTGTAAGTCCGTCGGTTTATTTTAGCTCGCGACGCCGTACTTGTGAAATGTTAGTGAATGTTTACTCGTTTTGTTGGTAAATTTTTTCGTCCGGTTTTGATTTTTGGTACCTTTTTGATTTTAATTATTTTTTTTTTGGTAATTTGGCTGTTTTTGAAATGGCTTTTAACGATATTTTTAACTGGGAAAATTGATCACAAATCTACTTAAAAGTGGCCAGTTGTTTTGTTATCTCTAGTATTGATGGTAAACTATTTCGCATTGAAACTAGAGATTTTTTGTTTTTCTATATACAAATAATTTCTTTTAATTTTATTGTGCTACTAAGCAGAGGGCCATGCAATCTGATAATTTTTCAAGTTATTGGATAGGTGTAATACATATTAGTTGATATAATGCACTGAAGCAAAGTTTATTATTTATAACCGTTAACGTCTGTCGAGCAATAATAGTAAACTTTTCTTGCAGGTAAATAGATTAATTTCCTACTTATGCAAAAGAATGCTATTCCTTATTCTTATGTATTTTAAATCGAATATCGAGATATATTCGCGCTGTTGATAAAGGAGAGTTGATCGAAGCACAAATTCGTTTGTCTTCCGTATTTGTCATAAGGAGTGTTATTGTACTCTCCTAAAAATCCTACCTTTATAATGTTCCGATTAGTTAGACCTAAGATTTTTGGCAAAATATCGGTTGATAAGCACATTAATTTCAATAGAGGAATTTTTAAAACTTAGTCATCATAATGGTAAAATGAGATTTCTATATTATTTAAGTACGTAGGTCTTTCTAAAGTCAATTTCATTTTTTTATATTTTTATTCGCTTAAAAATACTTGTATAACTGAAAAATAGGTTGTGATAGAAAATTAAGTGTACTCTAATTTTTTTAGTACACAATTTTGATGGTATATTTTTTGTGAATTAAGTTATAATTTTTATTAAACCTCCGTTTTGTAGGAGATATTTGAGCTTCAACTATACATTTCGTCCTAATGTGTGAGATATTTGAACATACTTTGGAAGGATTCTCACAGTGATTAATGACAAACAAGCTCTCTTTATTAAAAAAGCTGTGTCAATTAGATAGCTCTCTAAATTCATAATATATTTAACCATTTTTATTGCAAGGTTTTTCTTTCTATATACTTATGTTACATTATTGTCAAATTGTATTTAATTCGATTCTTCAAATACTATGCACATTATTTCACTGAAATTAATTTATTAAAAACAAAATTCAATTTGATCAACCGATATTTATAGCATTTGTGCTTGTGCCAAATTTGATTACATACTTACTTATATTAAAAATTAGTGTTAAAAAATGAATTGGGCTGTTATAAAAATTCGTTGCAAGATATTTCGACTAGCTTTCTCTATCGAACAAGCATCTGAATTATGATAAATTAGATAGCTTGGTTTTGAAATATCTTCTAGATAAATAAATATTGCAATAATTTTTATGTACATTGTAAGTTTTATCCTTATGACTTGTGATATAAAAATCCTGAATTGAAATCCAAGAAAAACTCATTTTGATGAGCACTGGATAGACCTACAGCACATCCTGTAGAATAATAATTGTTAATTGGTGGGTTAATATGTACAAATATTTTTAAAGGTAAATTGACAGTAATAATAATTACTTCTCTTTATTATAAGTCTACTTAATTGAACGTAAAGTACTTAATATGAATACGAATTTGTTCATGTATGTACTTAATAATGTTAAATACATATTATCTCATCAATGCAGACTGGTGCAGAGCTTTGTTTGAGCTCCTATTATACACTTGTGAAAATATTTATACCACATTTGCTAAATGAAATTATTTATTTAAATAGGCATTTTCATTTCAATTTCGTTACAGTTTTCGATCCGAATTATCGCAATAAAGGGCAAGTATTTTCATGAACATTTCAGTTCCATCATCATCCCCACGACAAGAGTGAATTAATTAAAATGATATACGAACGTTATTGAAAACAAAGTACTCATTTTTGTAAGTATTTGTTTTATTTTAATATTTACAAAATAAATTATAAAATATCACGATTTGCTTTTGAACTAAACGATTACCTGAGGTCTTCTGAAATACACAATTCCGGCTAAAATAACAGTCAATGTAGTTATCAAATATAAATCCCAATTAGAACCTAAAATTTCGTTAAAATCCATCAAATGGTGCACGGGACCCTGCAACAAAAACTATAAAAATAAAATGCATAATCGCGTTTAAACGTACCACACAATTTAAACATTTCTATCAACGTTTATTTTACTCGTATATCAACAATTCGTTTACCTCTTGAATACTTTCGACGCTGAAGAGCACGTTTAACTTGAGCAACGCCAACGCGACCGGTACTTTCGCGTCAGGACTCAACTCGGCTGCTCTATCGTAATACCGCTTCGCCAAGTGCATATCTCGAGCCATTCCGAGTCCCTGTTCGTGCATGTAACCTAAATTGAACGTCGCTTGTGCGTTGTGCTGCTGATCAGACGCCAAACGATAGTGGATCGCCGCCGTTTCATAATCTATGTTCGTCCCCAAACCATAATAGTAGTAATCTCCCAGTTTCACCTAAATAGTAATAAAGATTGATAAGGGTGTGTGGGCAAGAGAGCGATATGATTTGTTCTTGTTTCGTACATCATTAGTACTTAATTACAGTATTTCTTAATTGTTTTTACTCTAATTGCCATTTTAACTATTTCGAACTGTTCAAAATCATTTAGGGTGGTGCAGTATCATTTTAGAATTGAATACTACAATTTGAAAGAGTTCAGAACTATTTAGAACTTTAAACAACACTGAGGATTGTCCAGAAACATTTTGAACTATTTTGGGAATTAATTAGGACCATTTGAAATAGTTCAGGACTATCTAAGAACTACTCTTCTCTACTGTTCTCTACTCTATTGTACTCTAATCTACTCAATGTTTGCAATGAACTGAAGTAGTCCCCCCTTTCAACTTAAAATACAATGTACGAGAATCAAGAAACAGTTTTTACAGTGGGATTAATAATCCTGACAGTTTTTCTCTCACATAACAAATAAAGCATTACCTGTGCTGCTGAATAACCTTGTGCAGCTGCTCGCCCCCAATAGAGCAAGGCGCGCACGAGGCCCTCGGACGTAGTTAACATGGGAATTTCATTTCTATCGAGCAAAAAGGCCGCGTTACTCTGGGCCACTTCGTATCCTAATTCCGATAGGAGCGCGTATTGCACGAACGACTCGTCGTATCGCCCGTTTCGATAGTCGGAGTGAGCCTGAAAAAGTGAATTATTAAACTAGAATACTCGATGAACGTTGTAGACGGACCTGCATGAGAATTTCACCCCATCTACCGCGTTCCGCTACGTTCTTGAACAATTCCACGGCCGTAGCGCACGATCGGATCATCCCCGTTCCTTGGGCGTGCATTTGACCTAAGTTGTAATAGGCCAAAACGTGACCGGATTGAGACGCCAATGAAAAGTATTTGTTGGCCATTTTGTAATCTTTTTTCACTCCCAAGCCGCCTGAAAATCAATAATACGGCAAATAAAGCAACAGTGTAATGTATTAGTATTATTTACTTACTAAAATACATATTTCCAAGCTGTAATTGCCCATCTACCCAGCCTTGATCGGCTGCTTGCAGGAAATACTGATGCGCTTTCGAATAGTCCTTATCTACTCCACGACCATATAAGTACATCAAGCCCAAACCACTCAAACCGACAGGGTTGTTCAATTCGGAGGCTTTTTTGAAATACTTCAACGCAGTTTCGTTATTGGCTGGAATTTCGTCGCTACCGTCTAGGTAAATCTATAAATTTATCGAAATGAATAAATCCGGTCGAGGTAGTGAAAGAGGCAGCTTACTTTTCCTAAATAGGCCATTGCCAAAGCGTTACCGGCCTGTGCTGCTTGCGTGAAGTAGTGCAAGGCCTTTTGGTAATCCAAATCGACCCCTCTACCACCTTGATAGTGAAGCTGACCCAGACCAACCTAATCAAAAAAATTATTATATGATTTTCATTAACAGATAAATGCATCTACATAATGGTAAATTCACAGTAAATCATATTATATTAAATAATAATAATTTACTTGAGCTTGTACGTCGCCTTTTTCTGCTAGTAATTGGTAGTATTCAATTAGATCGTTATCGAGGATACCAGATGCATAGCCATTTTCTAGCTCATCGAACAGACGAATTCTTTGAATAGCAGAACCGCCGCCAAACGATACACCTTGGCTCACTGTAAATCAAATACAAATAAAAAATAACTAACTGGAAATTGTAATACAATACATATCGAACAATCAGGTATTCTTTCAATCAGTATTCAGCGGGTTATCTAGTACATTGATCATTACGAGTATCAGTTTATATCTACCTTTATCAGCTACTTGACGGTAAAATTCTAGAGCTTTCTCGCAGCTTGCTGCAACAGTTATTCCTGACCAGTATCTGTACCCCAAAGCCATTTGAGCCCAGTAATTTCCACCCACTGCAGCGAAAGTGTAATGGACCAAAGCTTTGGGCTGGCTTACGTTAACAGCCAAGCCTGAGGCATGTAGAAAACCTAATAAACACAATATCGAATAATCAACATAGCGCGGTTGTAATAGAAACAAACCTAGTCCCATGTGGCCTTCGGCATTACCAATTTCAGCCAATTCCGTGAACATTTCCTTGGCAATGTAAATGTCTTGCTTTAAAGGATTGCCGAAGAGTTTGGCCCAAGCTACCATCGCTTTGGCGTCGGTGTTGCCCTTATTCGAAGCTCCCATGAGGATTTGATATGCTTGCTGTCTATCTGGCTTTGTTTTATTCAGCATTGCCGAAGCAATATCGTATAATTTTTTAGCTTCCAACTCTTCGTTAGTGAGTTGTTTTTCCTTTAAGGCAGCTTCGGGCGGAGGCGGCAGTTCTTCGACTTCGGTCAAGCCGTTGTTTTCTTGGAAATTCACCATATCTAAGTGCTGGACCAATTTTTGAATAACTTTAGCCTGATCGAGCATGAACAAATCAACTGATTCCGTTACTTCACTTTCCACTATATCATCTGAAATTCATGAATGAACCTTAGCATGTATTAATCTTAACTGAACTAGTGTACCTTTGGAATATTTCTCGTTAGTGAGATCCGGGGCAGGTTCGATTCGTATAGCTGTTGCCCCATCACGAGCCTCAATTGTAGCGATAAATTCCGTTTTCTCGTCAGTATCGCCTCTGTCGCTGTCTTTCTTTTTTTGGTCGTTAACCGTGGGGTTCTGCAAGTTTTCATCGGAGAATTCACAGCAAATTAACATCACGAATAACATAAAATAAAACTTGGACTCCATAACTCCGTTTTGTTTATATATAGTTCTATTTATGTACAGTTAATACGATAAAACGCTTATTTCCTAGGCAAAATTATTCTACAAGTAAATACGGCTACAACTCATCAAGAAATTATGAAAATACAAATGAATTTCCACCACACAAATGTTGACAAATTTTCCACAAACGTCAAGATTATAAATTAGACCGTCCAATCAAATCGCTCGAATTTGACAATTAACTGACTGTAAGTAAAACTCTTTTTATATTTTGTGGTCTTGAATCTAATAAAAATATGTTTAAAGAGTAACCGAATACCTACTTTGTTAAGATCATTTTTTCATGCGACAAGTGTGGTGACAAAAAAAAGTAGGAAATGTCATCAGTCATGCGTCATGCCTGCTGTGATGTCATGGTATGGTTGTTTTGGCTTTGACATTTGTCCTGTTTTGATGAAGTTTTTCTAAAGTAGTGAAAAAATTATGTGAATTTTTAGATGTAGGACATTTTTATTAATATAAAATGACATTAGAAGGTAAGCAAATCAACAATTTACTAACGAATTTTGCCAACATTTCGAGATTAGTTAACGCTTCCTTGTTTACGAAATTACTTTTATATTTAATTAGAAAACCTATTTTTAAACGTATTCGTATAACGAGTTAGAAAGTTATATAAGGAATCAATGGTAATTTGCCTAATTCGAAAGCCCTTTGCCGTAATTATAACTCGATAAGTTCAGGAGTCTCCGAAATCCAGGTGCTGAAAGCACTACCGATTCGTCAACTATTGCAAATAGTAATAAAAACACCTTTTAAATGTGTTTGTGTAACGTGCGTGGTTATATTTAGTTACACCTAGCAAAGCAGAACATTGTGTACCGCTTTAAATCTACTAATCTTCAGTCTCTCTGCGATACTAAAATAGGACGTTTCATTTCTCTAGTCGAAATTTGGGTTACTGTCGTGCAAAAAAATCGTATTCAGTGTCCAGTACCGAGTGCTCTGACTAGGTAGCTCTCTTGATGTGGTACTAATTATTTTTAAACTAATTTTTATGTATTGAATTATTACAGGAACGCGAATTATTCAGTGTCTATTTTATGGCCACTAAATATAAATTGAATGAATCTAGATTAAGTTACGTTACAACTTACAACACATATAGTAAGTAGTTAGTTTTTTTTGTACTCATTTTATTGTTATTTTGCTTCTAAATTTTACATTCATGTAAAATATTTGTTTTTAGTAAATTTGTTTGTATTTATAAGGAATATCGGATTTGCTAAAGTTTAGTTTAAAAAGTGGAATTGATGGTAATAAGTAAAGTAAAAAACTACAAAAGAAAACAAGTAAAGAAACTGCCGGAAAAAACTTTAATTCCTAATCATATTCTTGCACTCATTACAGAGAGAAAGTTACCTATACTATTACTACAATCATATGTAAGAATTTTGCAAAAAAATTTGTACACTAGTGAAAACTTGCCTTGAACATGTCACTTAGCTACACAGAGATTTATTCTTAATAATATGTATTTATTTATCTTCCATAAATGTAGACAGCGAATCGCATGCCTTTACCAAAAGGCGATGTAAATTTCAGTTTCACGAATTGCCTTCCAATGCCACCGTCTTCAATCCAAGATTTGGCTCCGTGTCCGTCTAAAAATTTATTATATACCCTGATGGCGCTTATCGTTTCATGCCGGGAGTACCCCGTTGGTAGATCTTTCGGATATTCCAATACTTTCTGCCTGTTCGACCACCATCGGCTGGTCTTCTCAAATTCCTGAAATAAATATTTACTGTGTTGTATGAACACATTTTAAAGAAACAGTAGAAACAGAAATTGGAGACAATTCTGCTTATACAGGGTAGCTAAAATATGTTGTTTAACCCAACTTTAACTTAATACAGACAGCATTTGATTTATCGACGATTTTAAGTAACATTGATAGTGTAGGTGCATGACTTTTCATCAAAACGACAAAGAATTTTAGAAAACAAAAAAAAGTTTTAAAACGAAATTACCAATGAAATGATCTAACAATTTTTTAAATCATCCATCAGTTGAAAACAATATGTAACATTTTAAGGGAGGATCATCCCTAATGAACCCTATCAATAAAATACTATCAATTGATCTCTCCTAACTATTGATTAATGCTCTTATTACATTCATAACTTATATCAAATTTTGTTGTTTCAAGTTTGAGTATTAAGGTGCTGAAATATTAATTTTTTTAACTTGTAACTCAACGTTGAAGGTTGGGTTAAACAACATATTATTTTGAGCCTCTTAAGACGTTTTGCTCTGTGTTGGTTCTTATGGGGGACACCCGGTATTTAGAATCTTAAAAATTTTTAATGTTTAAAAAGTTAAAAAAATTATGCTATATTGAAATTGTGCAAATTATACTCTAATATCCAAATATGCAATACAATAATTGCTGGTGTAATATTGTACAATTCCCTTATTTTTTAATTGTATCCCTGATTTAACCTGACAAAATTTAATCTGTTAAGAAATTTTATATTCTCATTTTGTACCTATAATTTAGTTTATTCAGTAATTAATGATTATATCCATTTTCCTGTAAGTTTCCGAGAAAATCAATATAACTTAATAACAATGAGATTTAGAAAAATTTTACAATCAGTACGATAAAGGTGAGCATTTCCTTTATAATATTTCCTGCTATGTGCACATATTTACTCATAAATGTTCTATAAAAAGTGTAATTTCCTTGAGGCATCATGTAGTGTATAACTTAAGATTTTGTTATTTTTAAAGCAACATTTCCCAACAAAGACAATTATAATAATTGAACCGTTTGGACATAATGAACTGTGGCGTCAACGGTGACTCACCCTATACGAACACAAAGCAACATTTTCCTTTTTATCATTCTGGGAAACTGCTATTTAATAACGAAAAAGAGCTGTCGTTAATTATCTAAAAATAGGTGCGGAATAAATGATTATTTATAAGTAATTAATGCTTTAATAAATTAGTGTTGCTTTACTAAAACTAAAAATAGCGCCGGCAAATCTCTCGAAAGTTTGTGTATTTTCCGTCTGTAGGTGCGTACACGAAATGGGATTTTTCGTGATGCTTCGTCTGTGAAAATAAAGAGATTACGTGTTCCCGAAGTCCAGACGTTGCGTTGTAGGTGTATGTAATTTTTTCGGAACGATTTCATGAATTCTGTTTGGATTTTACGCAGTGAAAAAACGGTGTCGGATACTTACATACGACATGTATGTATATTAGAATTACTGGCTTCAATCAAACCGCAAATAACTGTTTTCCCATTCCTTGAGGCTACCGATTTTGTTTTAAATTGCTCAGATGAGTCACGTTTTAATTTATTTTTCAGCTTATCGTGGAAATTAATGTTAATGGGAATTTTCACCTATCTGTTTTTAGCCGAAAATCTTCGAGTTTTAACACTGTTTCTTCGTTGATTAAATATTTCACATTACTGTAATTTGGGCTCGATTCTTTTGCATTTTTTACGCATAACTTACAATTTACACAGTCTAGTGATAATTTAAAAATCCATAAACGAATAAACGACCATTCTACGCATTTATTTGCATTTTTAACTAACCGCTCGCGATTTTTAAAATGTTTTTATATTAATTAATGTATACGAATTAACGGTGTTTCTAATTAAATCGCATGAAATAATATTATGCTTATTTGTAGGTATTTAGTTAGTCCTTTCGAATGCTAATGTATTTTCCTATTGTGTTTTTTGTTTGAGTAAGAAAGTAATTTGAAAGTTATATGGGTGTACAGGTATGATATTAAATTATATTTTTTTTCAACTAGTTCCCAAAATTAGTTTGTGGTGTTTTTAAAAATGTCAATTTCTCGGAAAAGTTGCATTTGAAAATTTTTATTTTTCTTACGTGAGAATATGTTTCCATGTTTACATCATTAAAAGGTTTGAAGGTTAAATTAAATAATTGCACTTATATGTACACAAATTTCATTATTCTACCATTACCATTCTCGCCAAAGTCCATTTCGAGTACCCACAATTTCACAAGAAAAAATATTCTGTTATAAGAAACATTATCTATGTATGAAACATTTTGTTATTAATGTTTCTCATTTCATTTAATTAAATGCAAATACCTACATTATCTCCTTCGAAGAATCAATCTTGATAATTGAATAACATATCAGATATTGCAACTTATTATTGCACTACCTGTTTAGTATGTTTTAATCATACGTGCGACACGGATATACTTTAGTGCGGAATTCGGGCTATTCGGTTTGTAGTAGATCTAAATGAATCAATATTAATATAGTGCATGATTTTTTATATACAGGGTGTTTCTCTTGATATCCCATAACTACCACGAAAAATGAAAATTTCCCAATAATGATAAGTTTAATCATAATAGGTACCATTGCTAAAATCCATTTCGACAATCCACAATTTTGGAAGATTTCGATTTATTCTATTAGAAAAACAAAAACAATCATGATTTTTTATCACGAATGATTCACATTGCGATTTGGAGCAATAATTATTATCCTCCTTCGAAGAATCAACCATTTGATAATAATATAATAGATAATGCACTTATTGTTAAATTACTTGTTTAGTATTTTTAGAATAATTATGTACATAGTGTTTCTTAGAATATGTAAGAAATTAGGCCTTTACAAAAATCGTAAAAAGGTTTGGAGAGAATCATTGAAAAGTTAGAACCAAAAAATTTGAATTACAAATGATTTATTAATTAAAAAGTGACTTACCTATTAAAATATTATTTCATATTTATTTGTTAATTATCTTTTTCTAATTATTTTTAGTGTCACATTTTAGGAATACATTTTTCGTTCATATTTTGTATAAGAAATGTCTAGTTTCCTCCACTCACGACTCACTCATATTCACTTTCTAGACATAATTGGCAAACACCCTGCATAATATTTAAAAAGGATGTAAATTGAGCGCAAAAGGGATTATATATTTTAATCCTGTAGGTAAATTGGGCGCAGAGTGCCCCCAGAAAATAACCACAAATAATTCTTTTGATAAGTATTTTCTTGCACATTATCTCTTTTAATATAATTTTTATGAAAATTATAAGTCCCACCTAATCCTACTCTACTCCACTCTACTATACCCACTCTCTTCTACTCTATGCTTCTACTCTACTCTGTGGAATGTTTTATATGCCTTACAGGACCCATCCCGTAATATTACCGCCTGAATAATCCCAACAAACTTTGTCCACGGACCCATGAACAAATTAGCCATTCGTTTTTATTCTTCCATTTAAATTGAAATCATACTCGAGCTCACCTGATTGAACAGCAGTCGATCGAACGGTCGAACGACGCCCAAAAATAAGTGCCCGTCGCCGGAGCCATTGTTCGCATTCCCGTATTTGTTGGGATTGTTGTACGAGCTGGGATAATTATTGTTGCTCGGATTCGGATAAATCGAATTCGGATAGTACTGTTGAGGGCTGTGAGGCGGCGGCCGGTAGCCGGTGTTGTTGTGCATCGAATTGATCGAATGATTCGTCGCTAAATTCGTACCGTTGAAGGTCGGTATGAGCACTTGCACCGGTTGATAGTAAACTTGGCACCGATAGCCGTCGTAAGCGGCGATCGCCAGGACCAAATACAGCAGCACTTTCATCGTTTTCCTTTATCTCGATTGGGACTACTGGTGGCGCTTTGCCATTGCAATTTCACTTTTATATCTCGAACGAGCTGTTTGCATTGCAAAATTATATCCGAGATCATGTGTAATTTGAGTCATACGTTGTAAATTACGATTAAATCACTGTAACTATAGGCTTGTTTTGAAAACGGTGTTTGGATTGGGCTTATTTGAAATTTTCGGGAATTTACCGCTCTGAAGGTAATTTATAGGATGTTATCCCACGCGTTTTCAAGCGTGTCACTTTTATTGGTTTTTGTTCTAATATTGCGCTGAACTTTTTGTTATATTTGTAAATAGCCCGTGTGGAGTTTTAATGAATGACAAGTTGGTAATAGAATAATTGTCTACAGTGTAACATAATTTGACAAAAAAAATTAATAATTTGTTTCCAATGTCAAAAATTGTCAATTATGTATTAATTAAATTTTAATGAGTGTTTCAATTTAACCGATATTTGATACTTTTGATATTGTTTGTTCTAATTATCTACTAATTTCATTTCGTTTCAAATTTACATGGAAACCCTGAAGTACCTATATTTGATTGTACTAATCTAATCTAATTACGTTTCCTTTATTTAATAAATATTTAATATTTAATTTAGTCTGGTTCTCTAAATTTAATTTGTCATAATAAATCCGATTTATACAAATGTTACAGCGATTTTTTTTACAAATTTTGGAACTATTTTCCGCCACGAGAAACTTGCCTGTTTATTTTGGAATCGCAGAAATCGGTCGATTTTGTTTGTGCTCGTGCAACTACATATAAAATTTTGGCGTATGTTTATCTATTTTTAAAGCGGCCGTTTATCGAGAAGCGAGAACGTTTTGGAATTAGCCCGACCCGTATCCGCGGAAATCACAAAAAATAATGTAACGATCTTCGCGCTAAATTTACGGTTGCGTTTTGAATTTCTACCGTGGACGCAATTGAAAAATGCGTGCTTAAATCGACTTATAAACGGCTATGTCAATAGATATTCCATTCACTTCTGCACAGTTTACTCGAAAGAAAAGTGTCGTAAAAAAGAAATTTTACTGTTCGAAACCTAGTAAGTATTATAGCTGATTCATGAGAATTCATTTCGTATCTCCTTTAAAACACCTAATTTTGCGACCTATTTTTAACTTTCATCATCTTGATTTATTAGCAAAACATATTACCGAATTCTTGTTTTGTGCAACATCTGTGCAATAAATACTTACCCTTTTTATAGCGTGTTTAATAATAGACATCATGCGTAATTATTAGAGATTAATTACCTCTGATTTTTTGTTTACCAAATCGATAGTGAAAATCAAACATCCTCAATGAATTTATTATTGTTAGAATAAACCAACAAATTAATGAAATCGAGAAAGGAGAAATTGAAATCGGTTAAATAATTATTAATATTTACTGTAAATTAATTTTTAGTAGACGTGCTTGACAGTGTTTACATGTTTTTGTATACTTAGCAATTGAAGTAATGTGTGTATAATTGCATATCCTTGATTAGGATTTGCTTGGTGCCTTTTACTAGGACTACATACCGGCACGCATGGACCTGGATTCGTTCTTAAAAGGTGTGGTTTGCGGCCCTAGTTATGCATGAAGCGGAATGCGTACGTTTTTTTCTTCTGAAACTGTTAAACTCGCATTAATGGTGACATACAATTTTTGTTTTCCGACAGTAATGGTCTTTGTATAATGGGAAACAGTATTAATTAATATGCGTAGATCTAATTATATCTTTAAATTGGACTTCAAAATGCATTCAAATTGAGAGTAAATACATAAAATGTTGCTTATTAAAAGTATCATACATTTAGAATGTATGATTAATAACATGGTATACAACTATATGCTGGAATAAAATTGTACCTATAGAAATCGATGAAATCGCAAGCAGTGTAATTTTCACTCATTTTCACTGCATAGTAAAAGAGTACTTATACGTATATGGTTAGGGAAAATTTATTATTTTAAATGAGAACACACAATTTCGAGCAACTTGCAAGAAAATACATGCAATTAGATATTGAACCGTTTTGCTATTTATACTTTACGATTATTTCCTCCCTCGTTTATCCTCGCAATCTCAAAATAAAATCCGACGCAACGTACCCGCCGTAATTCTCGAAAAACTAAATACGCAAAGAGGAAGCGATTCGGACATTATTTTCGAAATGTCATCGGCGTATTTGCATAACATCGTCAATTGCGATATTTTTATTTTCGCGTATTTTTAGAGAAGTACGACGACCCCAAAAAATTTTCCGAATCGCAAAAATAATTTGTCGCCGGCACCTGCTCGATCGACTTCTCGTAGTTTCTCTATTTTGATGTACAGAGCGTTTCAAAAATTGTTCGTGGGTTTTTTTTTGTATAATAATATTCTTCCGAAATATTACCACTTGAGTTTCGGGGTTAAAAGTTGGTTTTGATTAATTTTTCTCAATTTTTTGATACGATATAAGTTGAGATATAGTGTGTTAAATCAGTGTATGAAAATATCAAGTTTTGGTAATTTTTTTAACGTTTTATTACTTAGAGGTTGTAATTCCATTATATTTTACTCATAATTTTTATAGGGCAGTTTGTAGATTAAAAATGTAGTATGTCGTGTTGGAGAGATGAGAAATTCGTTATTTTTAATTTAGGAAAATCTGGAATCTGATTAAATTGAATTTTATAAAACCGATTTTTCTCCTCTGATCAACTTCATCCACGACTGTATATGTTTTATTCGGTAACAATCTCAATTTATATTCCTTAGTTAGGACTTGTATTTATTCCCAATTATTTACAATTTTGAATCAGTCTCTATCGAAAGGATGTAAATTGGACGCAAAAGGGATTATATATTTTAATTTTGTAGGTAAATTGGGCGCAAAATGTCCCCAAAAAATAACCGCAAACATTGCCTTTGATGATTGAGAATTTTTGTTTACAGTAAAGCAGTTTCATGCACTTATTATCTTGAAATATACAATAGTAATTTGTAAAAATCTGTTCTATTCTATTCTGTTCTATTCTACTCCCTTCTACTCTATTCTATTTTACTCAACTCTACTTTACTCTAATCTACTCTACTCTATTCTACTGTATTTTAGGTACATTGCACTGTTTTTTAAACCAACGCCAAAAATTTTCAATTTCTTCGGAAGTTTGCAATGAACTGAAATAATCCCCATTCCTACCTGCACTATTCATTCGTCCAACGTACCTACAGTATTAAAACACCCTTTTAAGCTTTCAGGTAATAAATATATTTTGGCCTCCAACTTACCACCGCCGCCTGTATCTTGCATGGTATTTATTTAATTATTTCTTTTGCAGACACGCATCAACATTAGCGAACGCCTTCACTCCGAGCCAACCATCCGCGACCATGGACTACGGCAAGCCGGCCGGGCAGGCCGCCGTCGCCGCGACGGCCGTCGTCGACGCCGCCCACGCCAACGAGTACTTCGAGCTGTTCGTCAACGCCAGCAGCATGAAGCACATCCTCGGCTACTACAGGGGCCTCATCGATTGCCTGCACATCCGGCCGAACGTCTTCAACGCCTTCTATCCGAAGCTGAAGGCGAACCTGACGTCGTGGCGGGCGAAGGCGCTGCTCAAGAAGTTCGACACGCGCGCCTCGCACAAGTGCTACATGAAGGGAAAGGCGGCCAGCAACACCAGGGTGCTGGTCATCGGTGGCGGGCCGTGCGGCATGAGGACGGCCATCGAGGCGCAGCTGTTGGGCGCTAAAGTGGTAAGTAAAGGGCCACCATTCGCGTTCAAATCTTTATCGATGTATCATTATCTCGTACAATTACCTAATTTTCCTTATTGTCAGGTCGTGGTGGAAAAGAGGGACCGGTACTCCAGGAACAACGTGCTGCACTTGTGGCCGTTCGTCATCGAAGATCTGAGAATGCTGGGAGCGAAGAAGTTTTTCGGCAAATTTTGCGCCGGCGCCATCGATCACATCAGCATCAGGCAGTTGCAGTGCATTTTGCTCAAGTGCGCTCTTTTGTTGGGCGTGGAAGTTCACACGGAAGTCGGTTTCGCCAGTTTGATCGAACCCGAAGCCGATACGAGTATGTACTTTTCCTACATTTTAATCATGTAGAAGATTTACTTCGAATTTCTCAATTCGTAATTGTTTATTATCAATTTGATAGGTATTATTTAGTCTCAGCTTGATCATAATAATTCAATTTCTTGGAGCGTAATTGTGGTTTTGTTTGTACAGAAATAGGCTGGAGAGCGGAATTCAAACCGTCTAATCATCCCGTGTCCCAGTACGAATTCGACGTGATCATAGGCGCCGACGGTAAGCGCAACACGTTGCAGGGATTCTCGCGCAAGGAGTTTCGAGGAAAACTCGCCATAGCCATAACTGCCAATTTCATAAACAAAAAGACCGAAGCGGAGGCGAGCGTCGAGGAAATCAGCGGCGTCGCTTTCATATTCAATCAGAAATTTTTCAAGGATCTACAAGAGGCCACCAGGATCGATTTGGAGAACATTGTGTATTACAAGGACGATACGCATTATTTCGTCATGACCGCCAAGAAGCACAGTCTAATCGAAAAGGGCGTGATTAAGCAGGTTGGTAGACAATGTTTTGGAACTCATCGCCCAAAATGTTTTTAACCTGCTTGCTGCACTCATCCCACGTAGGAATTCTCTATACATTACTCTACCCCGCTCTCTACACTCTACTCGACACACTCTACTCTGCTCCCTACCTTCTGTTCTCTACACTTTGCTCCCTAGACTGTTCTCTATACTCTGCTCGCTGCACTACAGTCTACTTACACTTCTGTCTACGTTCTACATTCTACTCACTACACTCTTCTCTCTACACTCTGCTCTCTATACACTGCTCAAAAAACTCTGCTCTCTATACACTGCTCTCTACATTCTGCTCTCTACATTCTGCTCTCTAAACTCTGCTCTCTACACTCTGCTCTCTACACTCTGCTCTCTACACTCTGCTCTCTACACTCTGCTCTCTATACAATGCTCTCGGCACTCTGCTCTCTACATTCTACACTTTACTCGTTACACTCTACTTGCCCCATTTCTACACTACACTCTACTCCTACTCTATTTCTTACTCTATTCTATCTATTATCTACCCGCTACTCTCTACTACAATATAATCTACCATGCATTTGAAATGCATATTTTGCGCTTCATTAATATGGATTGAATTCGTTTTGTAGGATTTTTCGGATACGGAACGGCTGCTGGCTCCCGAGAACGTGGACAAGGAAGCGTTGCAAAACTACGCCATAGAGGCGGCCAATTTCAGCACCAACTATCAAATGCCCAATTTGGAATTCGCCGTTAACCATTACGGACAACCGGACGTCGCCATGTTCGATTTCACGTCGATGTACGCCGCCGAAAATGCCTCGAAAGTCCTCGAAAGGAACGGCTACCGTTTGCTGAATATCCTCGTCGGAGACAGCCTGCTCGAGGTAAATAGTCCTTATTTATAATAACGAAGCATTTACTTTGAAGTAAAAGGTAGAGGCAAAAAATAAGAGGAAAAGGGTTCTTAAACGTTATACAAAGATTTTAAAACTATAAAACTATTTGTTTTAAAGCAACAGCAGGGTCCTCGAAGCAAAATCTCTCTTCCTTCTCTTCTTTTTACGCATACATCTTAAAGCTATTCCTTCATTTTTTGAAGCAAAAGGTTGTGCTTCTTTTTATAAATAAGCTCTAAAATGTTGAAAAAACTTCAACAAACTGGTTAAAACCTGGTTTTAGGTAATATTAATCGTTAAAAGTTATGAAAAGTTCTAAATAGTCGTAAAAGCTAAAATAAAGTAGATAGAAAACGATTTTAAACGGGATAATCTTTAATAAGTAATAATAAGTTCTAAAATGTTGAAAAAACTTCAAAAAACTAGGCCGTCTATTGATTCATTAAAGTTTATACAAGGTGTTAATTAATTGAGTGCCTATACTTCAGGATGTAAATATATAGGTGATTTTTAGAAGAAAAGTTTGTATCAATATATGTCTAAAACCTCTTAGTTTTCGAGCTACAGGGTGTTACAGTTTTAAAAAATAGAACGTCTCTATCATAATTTTCTTATTACTCCGGATATTTTTATGAAACAGTGTATATTGATACAAACTTTTCTTCTTAAAATCATCCAAATATGTATTCACATCCCGAAGCATCGACACTCAATTAATTAATTAATTGTGGTAAATGTTGTTCATTGTATAAGCTACTGTGATTTTCCAGCCGTTCTGGCCGACGGGATCCGGCTGCGCGAGAGGGTTCCTCTCGTCGTTGGACGCCGCCTGGGCCATACGCAGCTGGTCGATGGGCACGGCGTCGCCGTTGGAAACGCTCGCCGAGCGAGAGTCCATCTACAGGCTGCTGGCGCAGACGACGCCGGACAATTTGAACAAAGATTGGAAGTCGTACACGCTCGATCCGGCGACGCGCTACCCCAATTTGAACAAGGCCGTGGTGCTGCCGCACCAGGTGGCCTGTCTCTACGACACCGACAATCCGGCGAACGTCGAAAGGATGAAGCGCAACTACAACGAGAAGCCCGGCGACGTGCCGAAGAAGCGACGACGAGGTGAGTGCGATTTTTGCGTTTGCGCGGGCGGGGGGCGTTTGGAACGAACCGGCGATGGGCCGGGATCATTTTGGTCCGGTTTCCGTTTGGGCCACGATAGATGAGAATGGTGTTTTTTCAGGCCGTTGGTGGACCGGAATGCTATCCGTGGCTGTGGTCGGACGAGCCTATCTGAGAATGTCTAGATGGGCTGGTCGGACGCGTCGTAGGGTTTTCAAATAGGATGATATTGTTGATTTAAAAACATGGAAACATCGGCCAACGTCTCGATTAATTGGTTCCGCTCGATTTTTTTTAAATAGTTCGAAGTCGGTAAAACATACGTGTGGTTGCAGCATTGCCGCTTTGTGAATTGGTTTTTTTTTTGTTTAATTTTTAATTTATTATATGAGTGTTTTGTGTTCTTAAAGTTTCGGACGGGCTTTCATTAATTGGTTTATTTTGATACATTAAACGTGGGTAGGGTGAATAGTTCTCGACCTGAATCATTTAGAAATGTCTAGAACAATCTAGAATGCTCCAGAATTGTTTAGTACTGGTTATAAACCGTTTAGAACTCTTCACAACCATTTACAACGCTCTAGAATAACATAGAACGGTCTAGTAGAACAATTTATAACGCTTCAGAACCATTTAGAACGATCCACAGTCATTTAAAACATCAGAATCATTTTGAACTATCTAGAACCATTTAAAATGGTCCAGAATCATTTTGAACTGTCTAGAATCATTTAGAATGCTCCAGAATTATTTTGAACCATTTAGAATGCTTCAAAACCGATTGTACCGCTTTAGAGCCATTGAGAACGCTCCGAAGTCATCTAAAACGCTCCAGAATCATTTAGAACTGTCTCGAAATGAAGATTTGTATTTTATAAGTAGAATAATGTAATTTTTTAATTGAAAATCGCGGTTTTTTCATTATCAGGCCGAGAACTTTTCACCTTACCCTTGTAAACTGACCGGTAAACGAATCTTTCGCTATTTTTCATCCTTCATTTGTTATTCTTCTTTCGATACTATTTTCTTCATTTGGTGTCGTCTATTTATAAATTATCCCTCTACTACTTTGTTATAACGAGTGATTTAATTAGTGAAGAATACCAATTAATGGTGGGTTTGTCTGACGAATTTTATTCATTGTAAACGGTTTTTGTGATATACCTTTAAGTATTTATTGAGTATCAATTTTTACAAGACTAAAAATAGGATTGTTAATGAAAACTGAATGTCAATTAATTGGATGTGCTAGTAAAATTGTATCATTTTCTTTGATGTGTTTTATTGGTGTTTTAACAGTGAATTAAATAGACGAAGAATGCTCCTTTTTTCGGGACAAACTGATTACTGGATAACTTTCTGACCTTGTTTCCATGCTTTTAACTTTTCTTTTTTGACTTACTATACAGGGTCTTCAGAAAATAGATGTGAATAATTCATGAGCGTATAGATGACATCAAAATTAGGGTATAACTTCATATAAATTTTGATCATTTGAGTGCCCCCATTTTTGAGCCTTATTATTGTGATGTCATCTATACGCTCCCGAGTTATTGACATTTATGTTCTGAACGCCCTGTATAATTATATTAAAACACTTTTATACTCTATTAAAACTGATTAAATTGTGCCGTAAAAAGACCTTCAATATCATACAAACCTACTTTAAAATATCTAAAAAGTAATTAATATTCACGTGACTATCAATAAAATATGTTTAGGTCCTTTTAACATTCTCTTCGCTTTCCACAGGTCCTAAAAATCATGCGCTTTAAAATCCTACAATTTCTGTTCCAGGAAACGTCGATAATGAAATATTGCTCAACTGGTTGAAAGATCAGCTCAAAGACAAAGAAGATGTCGTTGTAACCGACATGGCTTCAGTGTTCAAAGACGGCAAAGTACTATGTGCAATAATACACCACTACAGACCGGATTTATTAGATTATAGTGCAATCAGTCAGAACGATCCCGCCAGGAACAACCAAATCGCAGTCGATATCCTGGAAAAGGAACTTTGTACGTAAATTACAAATTAGTTTACAATTTTTAAAGTTATATTGGTCATTTTTTTAGGTATACCACCTGTGATGACTGGAACTGAATTGTCTGTTACGGAAGATTACTTAACAATGGCTACTTATCTTACCGAAATTTATCACAGTTTCAGAGGGGAAATACCGTTTATAAAGCATCCTAAATTGGTAAGCAGTAGTTTTCAGTGTTAACAACTTAATAAAACAATATACTCAGTAATAACCCTACCCTGATTCTTACTTTCGGCCATATTCACCAATGTGAGTCACCAAGTTCTTATCAATCTGTTAACGTTATATTTTATCATTCACCAATGTGAGTTTATAATTAACAGTCAGATAAATGTAACAGAGCAAAATCGAACTGATAAAAGAAGTAACAGACTGATAATCCAACAGACATCAATCCAAATGTCGAAATTTTCAAAGTTTTTACGACTACTTAACTGTAACATATAATATTTTAATTTTATATCTAATATAATGGAGCATTTAAATATGGAATAGAATTTCACGAATTGTTCAATTCATCTTCCGAAGGTAGTGGTAGAAATAGATATTAAATAGATATAAATATTCCAGATTAGAATTTAAAAATAGGTTCAGATTGAAGAAAGATTCGGTAAGATGGAATAAATGCTGTAATATGGTTATTACTTCTTCAAATAAACAATTTTCACATACTAATTTAATAATTTGTGGTTATGAGTTCCGCATGAAGTTAGGAACTAAATCGTAATACCAACTTAGTCTTGGTTATTTTTATGAAAACTGATATTGTTAACCGACTGTTAAATTTTATCAGACTGACAGTTATCAGGATGATAAGCCGAAATTGGTGAATATGGACTTAAAATCGAGCTATTGTAAAACGAATTAACCCGTGTACGGTAAAATTCAATCCGTTTAATTGTAGCAATTTAGAAGCCCCAAACCTATTAACTTTATCGAAACAATACAATATCCCGGCCTACGCGAATCGGCTTCGCCGTGCAAAAAATGCCATAAAGCTTATCATTCGAAATTGGTTTTTTATTCGAGCGCGATGGAAAAGAAACTGCTGGCCTTTAATCGAACGTGCGAATCCGTAATAGTCCCTTCCCGCAAAAACTCCTCGCAATCGAAGCGAAACAACGTGGAAATTGTTTACGAAAATTCGGCTTGCGCCGATCGCAGATCGATTCAAAAACGGCTCGGAAAAATGGATAGTAAACGATCTTCTAAAGTGAAATTAAATGAAGAATATGACAAACGTTCGGGTCAATTAAAAAGGTCCGAAACGTGTAAGTATAGAGTATCTTTCTCATTCTTAATATGTATGAGAAAATTCTTCGCAATACATGTTATTTTACGACGGTAAGGTGAAAAGTTCTCGGCCTGACTTCTAAATGATTCTGGAGCGTTTTAAATGGTTCTGAAGCATTCTAAATGGTACTAGACAGTTCTAAATTATTCTGAAGCATTCTAAATAACTTTGGAGCGTTCACAATGGTTCTGAAGTGTTCTAAATGGTTCTGAAGCTTTCTAAACAGTTTTAGACATTTCTAAATGATTCTGGAGTATTCTGGGTTGTTTTACACAGTTCTCAATTTTACAATTTTATTATTCAGACTGAGAACATTTCACCCTACTCACGTAATTAGTTCTTAATAAAGGAGTACATTTCTGCACCTAATTTATGAACCTCTTAAGGGAAAATTTGCTTGTGATGAAATTTTAAACACTGTTAATCACCGCAGGCCTGACGCAAGAAGAATTGCAAAGAAGATGCATAGAACGAATTTACAGCAAGCACGACAAGTTGAAGCGGTTTTTAACGAGGCTTTTATTGAAGAAGAAAAATTCTAATACCACAAATCGGACTCAAATTAATCAAAAAATTGAATCTTTTCGCGAGATTAGTTCGCAAACGGTCCATTTCACGGAAAACAGCTGTACTCAAGTGGATAAAGTAAAAACCAGCAGCGCGCAAACGGAAATTGAATTTGGTAAAAAACAAATAGAGCGTTTGCAACAAGGCGAAAAGGATAAATCCAAACAAAATGGAGACAATCCCTCGGCTAACAGCGCTGAGAAATTAATCAAAATCCACTTCCTGAACAAGCGATTAAACGAATTATCCTTACAAACCATCCACTACGCCTCGTCGGAGGATCTCCTCACGATTTCATCGAAATTCGCCTTCAAGCGCCGCTCGAAGAAACCCCGCAATCGCCGCCTTTCGACGTCCCCTCGTAAAACGCCGGCGAATTTAAAGCGAAGTCGAAGTCAAAAGTCCAAGTCAAATTTCAAACGTCAACGGGAAGCCGAGGAAAGCGAACCGACGACGCCGGCCGCACGGAAAATGTTCGAAGGCGATCAAATTTACAGTAGAGTCTCCAATTGGATATGCTCGAACGACTTCGACTGCCTCGACTCGGGCAAAACGGAGACCTTCTCGATGGTATCCAACAGCAAAATCACGGACATCACGTCAGGTAACAGCGTCTCGACGATATCGCGACGGATTCGCTAACAAAATCGCTTCGATTTCCGTCGCCAGTTTCGAAGATGGACCGCTACAACGAGATTCGCGTGGAGGAGCGCACCGACGTGGTGGATTTCTCCGACGGGAAACCGCCGAGGAGCTCCGAGGAGAGTTTCGCGGAGAAGTTGAGAGTGGCGCGCCACTCGCCGGTTCGGCATTTGTCCAAAACCCAGTATTCCCCGTTCCAATGCAATTCGAATTTGAAATCCACCTCGGCCCCTCCGAGACAGTTTTCCGTTATCGTCGAAGGAGAGGAAGGAATTCGCACGAATTCGGTCGGTATTTGCGGTTTTAATTCCCCCTTGTTTCTCTAATCGTTTACAGTTGTGAGTGAATATGCCTACGAGGGATTTTTTAATGAGGATCTTTATGATTGAAAGTTTCTTTTGTAGAATATAAGATTTCAGGGTTGGGTTATTCTGGGTGTCTCATTGCCTGTACGGAATTCTATAAGTTTTAGATGATTTTTCATTCAATTTTCATTAAAATAGCTTGCTTAGTTTTCCATACAAGGAGAATTTTGTTTTTTTATCTTATTTCCTCAGGAAACTGGCCTTGCATGAAGTATTTATTTTTTATCTTCACAGGAATTGCCTCCAGGTAGTACAAAAATGAGCGAGGTGTCCTTCAAGACCATAAAAACCACAGCACAGCACCACCAGATGACCGCACAGCCATCTGCACCATCTGCAAGACACAGGCACAAATATCCGGATGCCATTGCGCAAAAATTGGCCAGCATAGACCGAAAACCGAGGAAAAGAAGAACCTTGGAGAAGATCGGGGCTAGTGTTGTAAGTACACACTTTAATCTTTTTTAATTACAAAAGTAGTATTTTGGTTATTAAATTCCCCGAGCCATTTTTACCCAATTCCCTGATCCCGATTTCCCTCTTTTCCAGATGTTCAACCTGTTCTTCAATGGCCTTATTGAAGCAGGCGTAGTAGGAATATTGCTTTTTATACTAGACTTAATAATAAATTCCGAACAGTACGACTTACACAATTACATATTTAATTATTAGTAGGATGAGTAAAATTATTTTAGCGATCGCCGTGTAATTACCACAATAAAAAAATATCCTAAACGTGTGCGTTGAATTTATTTTTGCACGAAGGAAGAGCGCCAGAGGACGCTGGAGGAGATCGCCAACAACCGGGCCGAAAGGCACAGCAAGCGGAGGCACCAGAGGAAGCTGCAGACCGAGCAGTTCTTGAAGAGCATGCAAATGCTGCAAGCTAACGCTAAGCCCGACGCGCAGCCCTTCGAAGACTATTCGATATTCTTGTATCGACAAACGGCCGCTAAATTCGAAGACAGAGTCAAAGATTTAGAAAAACAGTTCACTTATATTCCAGTAAGCATCGTGTGGATTTGAACTGAAATTGATGTTGTTTGGCTGCATTTTAACGTTACTATAATCGCTAACTTTTTTTATATCGTACATTTACATTATTCGCTGCGATCCTAAATTACAAACGTAATAATTAAATTATTCCAGTACATACTGTATATAAAAATGTTCACAAATCGCGGCCAATAATGTTACGAATTACTAATAACAGCATAACCATGTAAACCACGCAATTAATCGACGGGTGTTCCAATCAGTTCACTTAAGCAGCGTGTGATACTTAATTTAATCTCTAAACACGACGAGAAATTCCAGCGAATCTATCGGGCGATCGAGCCGGACTAACGTGTACGCGCATCGGTTGTTTCCGGACGGGATTTCATGCGATTCGCGATTTTTCCAGGACCACGACAGCAAGCACTACCAAGGGTCGCGGGCGGGCGGCCGCGACGAGGACATCGCGGCGAAGATAAAGCACCTGGAGAGCAAGTGGCGGCAGCCGCAGCCCGTCGACAAGAAGCCCAGGGACCTGCTGCGCGCCATCGGCAAGATCGAGACGTCCGATTGGAACATCAAGGAGATCGAGAAGAAGATACTGGAGAACAAGATGGGCAAGCCGTCCAAGGCGGTCGACAAGGAGAAGGTGCCCAAGTGGAGCAAGGAGGAGTTCCTGGCCAGGCAGACTAAAATGGAGAAGAAGCATTTGGACAGACAAGAAAGTTCCGAGGGTAATGTCTTTATATTTTGTGATTTTCTTTGGTATAAACTTAATTAGCTGGACTCAGGAAAAGTGCTGCATATTTTCTAAATTTTAAGTCTAGATGGACCCAAGTATACTGGGTGTTATTTAATTGGGTGCCAATTCTTTAGGATATGAATTATTTGACGATTTTAAGAAAATAGTTTTTATCAATTTACGTTCTAAACCCCTTAGTTTTCGAGCTACAGGGTGTTACAGTTTTAGGAAAAAAATAACTTTAACCATATTTTTTTAATTGCTCCAAATATTTTTATGAAATTTTGTAAACACTTTTTAATTATTAAGGAGCTCCTTTTGAGGCAAAAGATTTTTTTAAATTTTTACCAGTGACGTCCGTACGGGGTTTGAACTGAATATGTTTGAAGAAAAAATGGTACGCCACTGCTTTTTCTAAAAACCAAAATTATGCATGTACACCATGCATGTAAAGACTTTTTTTTGGATACAAATTAATTTCTACTATTACCAGTGACGTCCACTTCCGAAATTTCATAAAAATATCTGGAGTAATAAGAAAATTACGATAAAAAAAATTTCTAAAACTGTAACACCCTGTAGCTCGAAAACTAAGAGGTTTGGAACATATATTGATATAAACTTTTCTTCTTAAAATTGTCCAAATATTCACATCCCGAAGTATTGGCACTCAATTAATTAACACCCGGTACACGCTATACCTATTAGTAAAGCTCATTTAAGCCAATGTAGACTTGAAATTTAGAAAATATGCAGCACTTTTCCTGATTGATACCAGTTCGCTGTTAAGCCATTCTGGCGATGAGCGACTCTATTACTTGTAAGTTTCGCGGTGTCTTTCACGTGGTTGTTTTGCAGCCAAATTTGCCGACATCGACAGAAACATAAAGAACCTGGATCAGAAGCTTAAAGAGGGTACCGCTCGAGAATTGGGCACGAATAAAGTGGCTTCTATAACCGAGAAATTGGTTAGCAAAATTCCACCGGAACCCAAACCGCCCGAGAAGCACGTAAGTAAATTACCAGAGTTTTTTTATAAACAAATAACTTAATTTTTCTGTTACTTTATAGCCTAGTCGTCCTTCGAAAGTTTTACCGAAACAGTCTGCATCGGAGTTCTGCCATTTCTGTAACAAGCGGGTGTATTTAATGGAAAAATTATCGGCGGAAGGGCGTTTCTTCCACCACGGTTGTTTCAAGTAAATACTACGATTTTTATCACTGTGACCGATTAGTGGAAAATCTCTTATTTTATTTTACAGATGCCAATACTGCCACGTTCAGCTGCGCCTGGGCTCGTACGCCTTCGACCGCGACGGCCTCTACGGCAACAAGTTCTTCTGTCTGCAGCACTTCGGCATGGCCGGTGAAATCCCCGTCGCGAAAATAACCCGAAAACCGTCCGTCAAACGATCGGCCGAGAACCGCAGGAGCCCCGAGAAGAAAATCAACGTCGGCGCCGCTCGCTCGGATTCCACCGACAAAGGTACGTAGACCGAAACCGGTTACTCACGCCCGTGCGATTCGTTAATCACGAATTGCATCGCCGTGAATCGCTCCGTAATCGCGTCTCTGTTTCACGTGCAGTGCAAACGCCCGAACGCATCGAGTTCTCGAACCTGTCGTCGGGGCACATCTCTTCGGACCAGGAGGATTCGCTCAATCAAATGGACGAGGACGAGTGGACGGACAAGAACTTCGGGGGATCGTGCGCTGAATTCGACACCGACGACGATTCTTCGAGCATGAGGTAATCGTCGATGAACGATGAATTTGGTTGTCGATAAAGCGGTTCTATCTTATTTATTCGGATTTTTTTTGCATAGTGATAGCGACAGCGACGACGCGGATGCTTTTGGCGATGCGTTGGAAGAGCCGGTGACCAAAGAGGGTACGTTAAAATGGGCGGAAAGGTGGAAGAACAGTTACCGGAGAAATTCCGATTCTAACGAAAATTTGAGCAGCAGCAGCAGCGATCAGTCCAGTTACTACGACAGTTCAGACGGTAAGAGGTTTTTACTTAAGAAATACATAATTATTATGTTGTTATAACCGATTGGTTAACTACCAAGGTATCGATAACCTACAGGTTGTAATAACTTAAGTTACACATTATGGGTTAACATTAGAAGAATAGCATTAAAGATGAATTAAAATCCATATTTTGAATTGTATTATTTTTTAACAGTAATTAGGAAACTGATGTCGGTAACGCGTTTCATGAGGTTAAGATTCACATCGTCTAGGAGGAGTATGTATTCGCATTCAAAGTTGAGAGTCCATATTGTACTTCAAATCGACAGTTTATTTGTCTGTGAACCGATTTAATTGAACCCGTATTGTTTATGTTGATTGAACTATAACTACAAGACTTATGTACAACGAAGCAACCTTCTTTTTGCTCTTCGTATGTCTTAAAAAAAATCGTTCAATTTCGTACAACCTCCCTTTATTTTTACTATACCTCATCAAATGTAGCTTGGCAGTTGGAATAATTTAGGAGTTTGATGCACTGTAGCAAAATTTAAAGAAAATAGAGAGGGTAGGTTAAGAGGGATCAATTATTATTATCTACTGATTCATCGAAGAGTAAATATAGCAAGATTTCCAGTGGTGTTGTAAATGATTTATATTGAGGAATTTAAATATCTGTTTCAAAAGGTGTTTTCTTATAGAGTTCCTGAAACATTTATCACTATAGATTCAAAATTAGAGAACAATTTCATAATTATTTATCAAATTAACATGCACAAAAAAGGCTAGCATATTATCTAAAATGCATATTTATAATCATCCTATTCATATTATACTTATTGTCCAAACTTTCTGTTCCTGTAAATTAAATACAAAATTTATCAATTTTTCCTTCCCCTTTGCGCATCCCATGCGATTTTTAACTGCCAAGCTACATTTGAGAAGGTACAAACGAAACGATACTAAGTTGTTTGTTGGGTATTAACATCGTTTTTTGTACGATGTATCCTGTCGTTTTACTTCTGTTGATTGCATAAATCATTATTAGGTGTTAGCGTTACATCTGAAGGATCTAAATTATATTGTTTTATAGACGATGAATCGGAGACGGCGACCGAAGGCGAGGAGGAAATCCGAGCGAGGGAACTGCGAAAGCAGGAGGTGTGCGTGGAACCGCCCATCGTGCACACGGACACGGGGACCGATACAGAGGTGAAGTCATCCATAAACTTAGAAATATCTAATTGCGATCATGCTTTAAACATTATCAACGCGATAAGTAAATCCTCGGACAGCAATTCGGTTAATTCGGGCGAGTACAGTAGTGCCGAATCCGGGGATTTGGACTTGAACATGAATAAAATTAGTTCTAATAGCAATAACAATGCGGTGGTGGTAGGTAAATTAACGATTCCGAAACCGGCCGAACCTTCGTCGAGCAAGCCCCAAGCTCTCTCTAAAAGTTCGACCACCGGTAACATCTTCAACAAGCCTCCGAGAAACTTCGTCTTACCCAACAAACAACAAAGGAAATCCTACGGGCCGGAGTTCGTCCCCAAATTCAAAAACCCCGAACCGGAACCGTTGCTCATCATCAAAAGAACGCCCAGCAAAATATCCCTTCCCAAAGAGATATCCAAGCCCAAGGTGGCCGTGAACACAGCCGTGCTCAACAAAGAGAAATACTTCGGCCTCAAGCCCCCCAAAGGCGCTACGCAGAAATCCAAAGTGAACCGACCGATGGTGAAACAGCGCAGTTTGCCCGAAACCTCCACGAAACCCGTAGATATCTTCAATTTCGATCCCGAAGACGACGATTTGAAGAACGTCGACAGCTACATCGAAAATTTGCTGGCCAACGAGGACGAGCTGAGCAAGCCCATCGACCCGAACAAATACAAAATCGATTCCGATCCGGAATCGGAGCCGGAAATAGCCTCCGGCAGCATCGAGGATCTCCTCAAGGCGCTCGAAACCGAAGCGCTGGGCGACAGCCCCGAAATTCTCAACGAATCGGACGAAAAAATCGACGATCTCCTCAGCTGGATGGACACTCTGGAACACGATACTCCCGACAGGAAAGTCTGCCGGTCCGCCAGCGACGTTAAATACACCAATTTAGAGAAATATTTGAAGACTCCCGAGCTGTCGGATACCGTAATCAGCAAGATCCCCAAAAGCAACATATCGAAGTTCGAATCGCGCTTCCTGGGCCGCGAGTTGCCCGACGAGAGCGCCACAGAGAGACCCTTCGGCTCGGGCTTGGCCAGGTCGAAGACGGAAATCCACTTCAAGAAGCGCCCGGAAGTCCGGAAATCCGTCGACCTGGACGCCTGCGACAAGGTCAACATCAAAAATATCCTTAAAAAGTTCGAAACTGACCGGAACACTACCGGCGAGAAGCCGTTGTCGCCGCAAAAACCGAAACCTCTCGCCTACAAACCGTTCAATTCCGAAACCAAACGGATCACCGAGAAATTGCTAAGCAACAACGAGAAAACGGGCGATTTGAGAGACGTGAAAATGAAAAAGCCTCCTTTGCCTATGGCAGCGCGAAAATCGATATCCGATTACTCGTTTACCGATTTGGAGAGATTCGTGCAGGACACTCTGCAGGAAATCGGGGATAAGTACGAGAACAATTCGTGGTGTGCTAACGTCTCTGTAGCATCTACCACTTACCCCGCTCACGAATATCAAGAATCCAACGAACAAACTCTAGATAATACTAATTTAAAACTTGAAAACGAGAACCAAATCGAGCACTTAGTAGAGAAGCCTCTAAATAGCACAGAACTGGATGAAGCTACAACGAATGGTAACTCAAATATCGAACCTACAAGTAGTTTAAATACTCATAATTTAAAACTTGAAAATGAGAACCAAATCGAGCACTTAGTAGAGAAGCCTCTAAATAGCACAGAGCTGGATGAAGCTACAATGAACGGTAACTCAAATATCGAACCTACAAATAATTTAAATGCTCATAATGATTGTAAAGAAGGTGATTTATTAGATAATATTAACCAAGAATTAGACGAAGTCTCCTCGTTAATCACACACGAGGTTGAAAGGAACAAACGAGAAGCACAAGCACTGGAATTAAATACAGATGCTGTTAAATCAGAAGAGAATCAAACAGATAATGTCCCTGTTATCATTAAATCACATGAACAGCACAATAATGAAGTTGTCGACGAACAAAGCATCTTAGAAAATAATAACAGTACGGTAGAAGTAAAAAATTCGTATAGTAAAGAACCGGACTACGCGAACGTGCCGCCGCAGCGGCCGGAGCGCCAGAAGTCCTTCGAAAGGAAGCCGAGACAGCAGGAGTTGAGCGTTCCGCCGAGCGCCCCTCAAAGAAGGAAAAAATCGAGCGCGAGTTCGCCTCTTCCTTTGAGGAAAACCGGCGAGGACCTCACCAAAACGACGGTCTCGTCTTACGAGCTGCCGAAGCCGCAAAGCGTGAATTACTTGAGCGTCAGCCCGGATTCGAGTTTGTCGAGCTCGTCCAGGTCGAAGAAGGATTCGGACAGTGACAAGGAATGCTGCGTGCAGTAGAAAAATCCTCGAAAATAAAACGTTTATATTTGTAATTTTTTATACGAATTTTGTTAATGATTTTTTTAAATGTTTAAAATGTGTTGAAATGGCTTTAAGAATTTTATCGACGTGTTTTTCAAGCTGTATGGTTTAGTTATAAAATGCATTCACACCGTTACTTCATTGGATGATGAGTTGGGCGATCTTGATCGGCAATTACGTTAAAGCAATGGTAAATAAGGTAATTATGGAGAGTGTACTAATTGGTTTTCCGTTATGTACTGCATAAAATTCTAATCCTTTGCTAATATGCGTGTTGTTGTTAACATACATTTTCTTTTTTTTTTTTGGTTTATTCACGTTAAATTAATACCGCCTTTTTTTTGTCAAGGTACGATTCAGTTGAGATGAAATTGTTGTGTACAAACATGTAAGACAATTATTTACCATTACTTAACGGTGATAAACCTGCCAATACTTCAGCTAACAAAAATATTTTTATAACAGACGTTCAGTTGCAATATATTTCTATATTTTTAATGTGGATAGTGTACATTCTATTTCGATGAGTAGCGGATACACAAGCATTCCCATTCGCACATGCCAAGTTCATTTGTAAACTATTTTTCTTCATACATGATTTGATCCCGTTCGGAATTTGTGTATTTGCCGCATTCACGGAATACGTTCTATTCAAAGAGCGCACAGTGGTAGTTATTATTTGCCATTAATAGCTTAAGCCTGGTGAATTAATGATGGTAATAACGAAAGCAACATTATTCGTGAATAATAACTACATTATACACTTATCGGGTAATTGAGTGTTATAAACGCTTCATGTTTATTTTATTTTAGGTGGTGTCGGACGAGTCCAGCTCCGCCAAGTCGAAGGAAGCATACAATTCCGTAACGGAAATATCCACGGATTCGGAATTCGCCCAGGACGAGCCCACCCCCACCCGGGAGCTCCCGTCGATCCTCCTCAACGATTTCTACGTGACGAAAACGAGAGGCAGCGGCCCCAAAAGAATCCAGGTGAAAAGCCGGTATCTCGAGCAATCGGACACCAAAACCAAAAAACCCAACATAGAACTAAAATTAACACCACTGGTACCTTCTGCACAACCGGCCATTAAAAAACCCGCACCGATCGCTCTATCACGGCCGGAGGGCTACACGTTGAATCGCACACAAAGCACCGGGGGCATAGCGGCGAAGGTGTCGCTCGAATTGAAGAAGAAGTACCTGCTGGGCGAGCCGACATCGGGCGGCATCCAGAAGTCCGGCAGCGTCTCCACGCTCGACACGAAATTCAAAAGTTTCCACACCAACATTTCGGATTGCCAGAAAATGCTCAAACCGTCCACAGAAATCAGCGCCAGCATGCAGACGTTCTGCAAGAAACTCAACGAGCTCCAATCGCCATCGATTGTTACCAAAAATATCGAAGACGAGAAGGTGGAAGAGCCGCTGGAAGAGTCCAAGGAAGACGAAAACGAATCCGAAGGTCGCCCGAGAAGTCCCCTACACGAGACATTCATAGTAGTACCGCAATTCGATTGGAGCAAACGAAACGATAGCCTAACATCAGACAGTCTAGCGTCATCTGACGAGGATAAAAAGAAGAAAGCTTTCGACAACATACCCACCATCGAGATATTCAAAGCGCAGGAGAACGAGCCACCCAAGGAGGAGTTCATCCCGGATTCCCTGCAGTACTTCGAGGAAGCCGCGGAGCCGCCCAAATCCATAACCGCCGAAAAGAAATCGCTGAACCAGCCGAAGACGCTGCCCAACTTGGAGAACCTCCTGCCGGAGATCCACAACTCGTTGCACGTGAAGTACAAGGACGCCGGCGCGGCGGAGAAGGCGCCGCCGGAGGCCGTCGCCAGCTCGCCGGAGTCGCTCGCCGAGCCGCTCACCGCCGCCCTCACCGAGACGGAGCTCTCCGACTGGGCGCGCGACGAGGTCGTCTCGGACGATTTCGAAGAGGGCGAGCTCGACGAGGACTTCAAGCGCAGCCCGCAGGGCGGCTTCGCCGAAGACAAGGTCATCCTGACGGAGAGCATGCAGAACGTTCTCAGCATGAACTTGGACAACATCGAGTTTATGGACACCGGCACCGAGACCAGCAGCGACGACGGGATAGCCAACAGCCAGAACGGGTACGTTTTGTTCAAAAACGAGGACGAGTACGCCGCTGATAGTCTGAGCTCGAACGCGGTGGTGGAGGCGAGAAACGCGTACGTTGGCACCGCCAAAACCTGCGATGTAGCCAACAAACCCGCCGAGTTAATAACAGTTAATAACGAACAAATTAGTAGTAATTGCGATGGGTCGCTTTCGGTGTGCATCAGTGATAAAGTAACGGAGGAAGTTAGTGATAAATCGAAATTAACCATCCACAGTTCCGAAGCCGATGAAAATAGCGCGGTAATCGAATCGGGTACCACCACAGAAGAAAACACTCTGACGGATTCCACGGTTAAAAACGTAACCGAGTGTTACAACGAGCATTTAATACTATCGCAGAATAACAATATTAATAAAATCGACACGGAAGAGAAGGAGAACAACATCGACGCTAACGTGGAATTCCACGAGCACGTCCAAAGGCTGCAATCTAAAGTGGAATTTTCCAACGCCAAAGATTCGATTGATATACGCAAAACGAGGAGGAAGAGCAAACCAGACGTTTTGCAGAAACCCGATTTAATTACAGAGGAAATACCCAGCCCTCTGGCATCTCCTAAATATACACCGATACTCCACTCGCCGGACATATTGTACAACAAGGAAGTGATAAAAAAAGAGCGCGACCTTAACCAAAAGCTCATACAAGAAATGGTGATGAACAAAATGCGGGCCGAAAACAAATCGCTGGAGAGACGAAAACGGAACAAAACCACCAGTATGAACCCCAATTTGGTACTGTCGAAATCCCCATGTAACCCTGTGGTCGACGGACGTACTCAAAAAAAACCCACACCGCCGCCCGTCAACCAAAAGATCGTCAGCGCCGATTTTATAAACGCCGAATCGAAACCGAATTACAAAAAACGCGACAAGGACTCGCTTTTCCTCAACAAAGACCAATCGAAGGAGTACCGCAACCGAAGGTGCACCGTCGGCGACTTCATCGTTCCTCCCAAGCAGCAGGATTCGCTGCCGTTGAAGGCCAAGTCCATACCGAACTTCCAGCAGAAGATGAGCGCCGTGCAATCGATCGACGTCGACAGGAGCGTCCTGAAGGCGTATAACTCCGACCCGAATATCCTGGAGACGGTCAAAGACAAGGGCAAGAGGAAATCGCCGGAGAAGAAGGGCTTCGCGCAGTTCATATCGGGGATTTTCTCGAAGAAGAGCCCGACCGGCTCGAAGGGTTTGTTCAGCAAGCTGTCGCCGAAATCGAAGAAAATTTCGAAGGTAATTATGACGGAGAGCTTCGGTGGTGTAACGCCTCGCTTTACTAACTCGCAATTTTATTTTACAGTCGTGTACTAATCTGGGATATAGAAAAGTAAGATTTATGTTTCTGTGATCGTTCAATGGGGAATTGTACTTTCGTTTGGGAATTTTATACAATACAACAAAAAATATAATTTTGAATTTTGATCCCTCAAATCCGTTATTAAAAAGTGTTTATTTTACTTTGAATTTGACGATTTCTTATTTTTATTATTGATTTTAAAAAGAGTGAGAACATGTAAAATTTACATGTTAAAATAAGAAAGGAATAATGTCAATAGTTTGACATGTTGACTACGGAACTATAACTTTGTTCTCTGTTGTTGACAGTCGAAAATAACTGAATTTGACATCGTTTAATGCAACTTACTAAAAAAATTCAAACACTGGTCTTTTCCCCTTTGTGTGTGTGTGTGTTATATAATTTGCATGTACGTTTAAATGCATTTAAACGCACTAATATTAATTTATCTAGGAGGGGTTCGTGAAATATTCGATTTTCCTATTATTTATAGCAACGTAACATTAGCATAATTTGTAGTTTAGTACAAGTTTTATTATAAACTAATTAGTACAACCATTAAGTAATATCGGGTGTTTTAGGAAAATGAAGTGATAAGCCAAAAGAAAAGTATGTCGGAATATTCTATTAATAGAAACGTAACTCCTCCACCTGTTCCACCATTACCAATAAACTACGTAAGGAAAACAGGTGAGTTAAGTATTTCATATTTACTATTCAGTTTATTGTAGCAATCGTAGTTACCTTATAGTTGAGGTGGCGCTGCACAGCGGTCAAACTCAGTACTAACCAGTGACATTGTGGAATTCGTTGATTTACATTTTATTTTCTTGAAGAACAATGTGATTTACTTTGTGCATAAGGAAAAGACGATGTATTTTAATGATATTTATTTACCACAAATCCACCATATTCATCGACTGCTAACGCCACCTGGAGGCGCTCGGAACGAAATGTCATTTCTGGCAACCGGTTTACTCTGATTTAGACAATTTTATTGCCAACTTTTTTCATATTTTAAGAGAGTTATTTATACTTCAGACGAAAGTTCGGACGCAGAAGACGAGTTCAAAAAGCAAAACAACAGCTCCTGCGACACACTCGATTGCACGGGAGCCTCCACCGGCAGCGCCGCCGGCAGGAGATCGAGCAGCAAAAGTCAGCGGGCCATCCGGCAAACGCAATTAAAAAGGTACTAACTAAATTCACATTCTCGATATATTCGTTTAATCAGTCGCCATATATTCGTTTAATAATCCGTAATAATGCGTTTCTTATCCGAAGGCATCGCATGGCTCAAGAGATACAACGAAAACTGGAGGAGACCGAGGTGAAGACGCGCGAGCTCGAGGAGCGGGGCGTGCGCGTGGAGAAGGCGCTCCGCGGCGAAGGAAGCCCGGACTCGTCGAAGGACGAGGCCGAATTGTTTCAGGAATGGTTCGATTTGATGCGGGACCGCACCGAACTGAGGCGGTACGAGCGGGAGCTGACGGTGCGCGCGCAGGAGCTCGAATTGGAAGACAGGCACGCCAGATTGCAGCACGATTTGCGAGATCGCCTTAGCAGCGGTACGTTATTTTTTTTTCTCTACTACTATTCTACTTTATACAGGGTGGACCAGAACTCACGCCCCACCGGGAAATGCCTTATGGAAACGACAGTGGAGATGCCAAAAACATGAAAAAGTTATTCCTTTGTCAAATAAAGAGGTTTAAAATTGACTAATTCCAGTACAAAAATGCGAAAATGATGTGATTTAACTATACACTAATTTGACATTATTGTATGATTCTATCTCCTTTTCACTTTCAAAGTTAACAAAGCCTGCCAAAATCAGCTGTGTCTAATCAAAAATTTGCATTCAAATCAATCAAAAAATGGATCATTCGATTCGAACCACTTTTGAAGCAATAAAAAAATTCATAAAAAAAGTCATTTTTGCATTTGTGAACTGCTATAACTGGGATTGGTCGACTTTAAACCTCTTTATTTACCATAGGAATACCTTTTGCATGTTTTCGGTTGCAGTTTTGGTATCTTTATTGTCGTTTTCATAAGGCATTTTCTGGTTGGGCCTGAGTTCTGGGCCACCCTGTATGTTACGGTCAAATGCCGAGGCAAGGGCATATCATAGAGGTCTGGTAACTCCAGTAGAAAAGGTTTCCCGTTATTTGGATCTAAAGTGCGTAGTTCCTAAAACAACCAGTAGGCGGCGATGTTGTTAAAGATATTTGTTGAATTCAACATTTAGTTTTCTGGAGATGTAGCCATAACTTAGATAATTTAATACTTGTTTACTGAGCTTATTTCTCAATTATTTTGTCTACAAATGTTATAAATTCATATAAGTTTGAACGTCGCTGATTGGCTGATTCTCCGATCATTTGCCACGGTGCGGTGTCCAAGCGAACATCTTCATTTAACGGGACACATCAACTAATACAAAATACGTACAGTTTCCAGACCTTATAATTAGATGGCCGTACTCTACTTTAGATTATAAAATTTGACGTTTGTATCATGCCGTTTTAGATAAACCAAAGAACGTAGATGATATTAAGGTTGAAGAGAGCATCATAGAGGAAATGATTGATATCGTTCAAAAGCGAGATTCACTCGTCGCCGAGATTGAAGAAGACAAAAAAAGGTAAATACCGAACTGTACCTCTTTGTAGTGACGTCACTACTCAGGGTGAGATCCTATTGGCGCCTAACATGATTAATTGACAATCGAGCACTGTGATTGGCCAGATTCGGTGAAGTCACTGTCTGCTTTTGAGTATACTCGCATTGCTGAATTTACCAATACCACATTGTGTAAATTCCATGTGTACTTTAGTAGTTTCATAAATAAATAATGTTTTTATATTGTAGATACTCTTGCGAATACCGAGATTTAGAAGAACAAATGCTTGCTAAAGGACTAATATTATCTTCATACAAGAAATCGCCGCAGCATTGAAAGGAATTGATAAGTACATTCAAATTAAGCTCAATAGCCTTTTTTTCGTAGGCACGTTATTAACTATGAAATAGTACAGTTGACGCCTAAATGAAAATCTGTAGGATTTTTGTATTAATACCTTTACCATGAATTAATTTGAATACACTGTACTTAGTTGTCGACAACACGATTGTTATGTTCAAGTAGTATTTCTTTTTGTTAAAACATCACATAATTTATAACATAGCAATTTTGTTGGAATGGGTTTCTCGTTCGATTATAATACGTAATTGAGTTACTGTTTTTGTTTCAAAGTGGATGTATTTAGGTATTTATTTTTGTATGTATCAAGAGAGTGATATTTTTATAATTGGTAGGTTTTTCAACCGATATTCGGAGTATATAGTCAGTAGGGTGGGAATTTGTGGAATTGATGCATGCCGCGTGTATACCATTATTTTATATTGTTGATTTTTTTGAGACGTTTATTTCTACAATTTACGCAAATACGTATATCTTTCATACTGTAACATTGTTTTATTTAGGTTCTATTTTTTGATTAATGTGTTGCATGAAGGAATTTACCAACTTGTACCATTGACCTTTTCGCTTTTTAAATAATAAGATGTCTTTTGTTGATTTAACCTGGGCTCTGTTCTCACACTTTTTTTGGGCTTTTTTGGGCTTTCCGATAGAATTTTCGGCGGGTATATTACACAATAATAATTTCAAATATTTACTCCCAAATATTGGCCTAGTGTGTATTATAAACTGCTCGTCAAATTTAGTGAATCACTTTTTTAATACAAAATTGAACGTTTGAAAAAATGAGTAACTAATTTAGATGGGTATTTATTTTTATCTTCAATAAACTCGAAAAAGGCTGATTGATTAATTGAACCGTAGAAGCATGTGCTATTGTAAGCGATTAAATTATTGGAATTAAATGAATTGGATAGTGTTTACAATAAAATTTAAATATTTTCTGATAGTATTGATAAATAGCCAAGAATAGATCAGGTCGATTTTGTAAAAAAAATACCATTTGTTTGCGTTGTTTTTTCATTTTGTAAATATAATTTAAAGTTAATGTAATTATTTGATTATAGTTTAAATAGGTAGGGCCAATTTTATAGAAGTTTACAACAATAATATACGCAAATTATGTTTTCTTCTGTAAATTGAAAATACTTTTTAATTTAATCGAATGTGATATACGGTAAGATTGAACAAATGAAATTCGAAATCTGGTAATTATACAAATAGATTTTAAAAATTGTGGAACAAGTTTTCACTATTATTGCAGCAATTTTTAATTGAATTTGTACGTAGTTATATTTCACTTCTTTAAATTTTTTACTTATTGCAGTATCACAAAATACCCAGTATTTTTTATAAAACCATTAGTCGATTTTAACAATAAGTATAAAAAAATTCAAGTGACAAATTATTGTAATTTTTTTATCTGTTACGAGGTTCCGTTATATGAAAGACCGGAACAAAAAAATGTATTAATTAATTCATGTAAATGACCTAATCCCGCACGATAGCAAATATTTGAAGTAACTAGTCTTTATTTGTAATAGTTAGTTCTGTTCAATTGCAAGAAAGAATTAAAAATTTAGCCTCCTCAAGATATTTATATTTTCCATGACTTACCTATTGGTTAACTTTCTTGTAAATGGACAATTTTAGTTTGTTATACAAGTACATTGTGATTACAAATGCATTTTTTACAGAAGGAATTGTAAAGAAATGTGGAAGATCTAATTTTGTGAATGCATTTTATGTAAGTAAGAAATAAAGTGCTTTTATAAATTTCGTTTATGGGTCGGTCTAATGTGTAAGCTCGCGCTTACTAAAAAAAATGGGTAATTCAGAAACTCAAAGTTTAAAGGTTTATCACCTTTTATTGAGTAGTTTTTATTTATTACAATGTATTCATGTATTTTATGTAAATACCTTTTTAAAAGTTTTCTGATTTTACATAATAGCGGCCAAGAAGAAAATATACGTAATAAAAACATCGAATAAAATGAAAATAAAACAATATTTAACATGAACTAAATAAATTAAAATATCTTAAAAACAATCACATATTTTCATTAAAAAATAAAAATTTTAAAATGTGATATATCACAACGTTAGTGTTTAAACAATTCGAATATCAAAAAATACAAATAAATTAAAACTTAACCTAGTATAAAATTAGAAAAAAGGCAATTTAAGTCACTGGAGAAATCCACTCACATAAAAAAAATACCTCTTAAATATGAAAAATGGAAAAACCGTACTTAATTTTTAGTAGATCATCAGGTTTAAATGCTTCTAAAACATACACACTTTATGCTAAATATGAAGATTGTTTCAATGCTTTTAGAACAAATAATGTTAATCAAGTTTTTAAATATCATATTTATGAGTTTGTTCCAAAATCCAGTTTTAATCGAATAACAATATAATGCATAAAATATAACCAGTAAATGAAAGGTAAATTTTTATACATATGTAAGGTGACAAGTTAACAAAAAAATATATTAGATACTTTTTGAATAAATTTAGCAATCTTCTATTGAAAACTCCATTAGCATTATTCATTCGTGTGTTGATGAAACAAACTTTAATTATTCCATATATACATACAGTTCATATATTATTCTAATTCGAGAAATGTACTATAATACATCGTACGTTTTTTAGAATACAACTTCATACATTCCTTTTCATGACTTAATTATATTTGACAAGATTAAGGAACAATAAAAAATCTTACTTAGGTGGCACTCTCGAAACTTAAGTAATAGAAAAATCAGTAAACATTGCAATATTTAATCATTAAAATTAGGTACAATCGTCTTAATGCAATGTAATGAATAAAAAAACGAATTTTACGATATTCTTTGATAATCATCATTACATCAAGACAGTTGTATTCAGCTACACCAATAAAACTAAAATAAAGTTGTAAGAGAAGTGTGGCGAATGAAAAAGTGTTCTTATTTTCGGAAATACTATGGCATCAGTTGATAAAAGTATATAGTGTATACCTACCATTCATTAGGTTGAGTATCGAATTGGTTTTAATAAAATTGTATTTATCATCACAATTCCTAACATCTTCTACTTAGGCTTTCTTTTGGACCTCTTGGAATACCTTCAATGCTTTCTTGAAGTATTACAGAGACGTATTCAATTCATGTTGGATATTATTGCTAATCAATTGCAAACAATCTAATAGGAACTGAACATAAATAATGTTTCTTTTTTTTTCATTTAAGGCCTTTCACATACCAATTCGACACCACAAAAATACCCCAATAATAAATCTCACCTGTTCACTATTTCTTTTTGCTCGCTTTGTCGGCCTTCTTCTGCATCTTTTCCTTCTCCTTTCTGTCGCGCTCCATTTGCTTGCGCTCCTTCTCCGCCTGGAATTTGAGATCTTTGATTTTTCTCTTCAGCCGGCTCTTGTCGTCACTGGTGATTCCCAGGATCTTGAAGTCCGCGGACGTCAGCAACAGCAACGCGCTTCCGTTCACTTGCAACTCCGCGAATTTCGAAACGTGTTGCTCCATGCCCACGGCTATTAGCCAATTGCAAACCTAATCAAAGACCATACATTTATAAACAATTCTTAAATACCAGTGAATAGTATGTTATACAAATTAAAATCGTACACTGTTCGAACTATCGTGAACCATTTAGAAGTGCCTAGAAAAATTTAGTACGATTTTGAACCATTTAGAACTCTCTGGAATAATTAGGAACTGTCTAGAATGATTTTGATTGCTGCAGGATAAATGAGAGTTGCCGAGAACCAATGTAGAATTGTCTAGAATGATTTGGAACTGTTCAGAATGATTTAGAACGGTTTAGAATGTTTTAGAACGCTTCTGAACCAATTAAAACAGTCTGAAACAATTTAGAACTCTGCAGAATCATTTAGATTGCTTCAGGGCGAATCGGAATTGAGAAGAATCATTTAGAACTATCTAGAATGATTTAGAACTGGTCCTGAAACAATTTAAAGAGGAGAATCATTTAGAACTATCTATAATGATTTAGATTTATAACTGCCCATAATCATTTTGAACTCTACAAGTTCGAAATTTGGAATTGAATATTAGAAATACTAATTCACTTGCCATTGAACTCTGTTTTTTTTTTATTTATGAAACTAAAATTTATCGTAACTTCAAAAATGAATAAACATTGATGTTCCTAATGGTGTTTAGAAGACCCAGATTGACAGTAATCAGCTACTTAAATCAATATTATTCAAAATTAAAAAAATGTCACGTAGTTATCGAAGAATTAGGCTACAGTTACTACGCATGCGAATTCTGACGAAATTTGTTCTGACGTTCTGACGAAAACGTCCGAATTCGTACGATGTTTTTATCGTTGTCAGTGTAAACACCTTCATTAGAAACTAGGAGTTTGTTTTTTTTTTGACGATTCGTCAGAACTCATCAGAAGTCGTCAGAACAATAATTTTTCGTCAGAATTCGCATGCTTAGTAATCGTAGCCTTACCTGATCCTTGGACCAATCGAGGATCGGCGTCGACTGCCAATACTGAGGATTCCTCTTTTCGCTGGCTATGCTGCAAGAGGAAAGGCTCAGATCGGTATTGGCCCAGGAGGAATCGTGCCGGGACGGCGACACCGAACCGGACGACAGACTAGACGGCGAAGGCGGCGTCGGCGACATGCACATTTGCGGCTGCCACGGCGTGCTACCTGGAGGCGATAACGTTACGGGAACAACTCTCTTTACTACAACACAAATTATCAGTTAATTTCCGAGCGAAATCAACGTTTTATTTTTTTCGAGAGAGAAACGGTAGGTAGTACATGTACCTTTGGAAGTAGCTTCGTTCACAGCCTGTCGGATCTCTTCGAGGAGATGATGAGCGGGATCGTCTCTAGTCTTTTCGTTCAATTCGTCCGTTGAACTGTGCGTACTGTCGGATCCGAGTCGTTTCTCCCGTTCTGCTAATACCTAAAACATACACCAAACATGTAGCAAACATTTAAGCGATGCTCGAATTAAAATCGATTACCTGCTTCAACTGTTCCTTTAACGTAGGAGGAGGACAACCGGCCGAGCTCGAGTTCTTATTCGCGCTGTTGCTCCACGGGTCGGGGCTCGGCTGTTGGAACTTCTCCTTTTGTATGCTAGCGTAAACTACGTTCGACGTTTGAACTGAATTTTGATTCGTTACGTATTGATTCGATTTTTGTACTTGCGTATATTGCACTGTATATTGCGAATTTTGATTCAATTGCTGCTGCGACGTGTGCTGCGTTTGAGCGAATTGTTGCGTTGCGGCGTTCGTGAATGACGTGGGCCTCGTCAGGCCTTGGTTCAGTTTCTGCTTGATCTCCGCCACTTGGGCGAACACCGAATCGGTCACTTCGTCCGATGAATTGTAGCTCTCGTCCAGACCGTAATCCGAGCTGCTGTTGCTCAACGAGCCTTTCTTCACGCTGGGCAATTGCCTGAAAAATCAATTATCACAGTATTAGGCCCGGTTGTAGATGTCATAGATGAACGTTAGTTCAACTAAACTGTCAGTCAACATTGAACCATGCCAAACTTTACAATTTATATTTGAACATTGACAGTGTTGTTTAATTTGATATTTCGTATTTCGTTTATTTTAAATTATTTAGACTGGAACACGCCCCTATATTTCTAGAAATATACGGCCGTGGACTGGAACTATTTCTGGTCTATTTCTGAAGGTTTGTGGTCTTCTAGAATGTAAAAAGCCATTTAAAACTTCTAAAAATCTTCATCGTCGGTTAATTTTTCTAATAATACGTTCATTTTGCATAATAAATTATAGATCAGAAAATGAATCTCACTTTTTGGGTAACACAGCTCAACGTCAAATGTAAAAAAGAAAACCTTCTTGAACCGCCTTTAGACGCTCTTCAAGGAACGTCCACGTATACTCCTTTTTGAACCACAGGTCAACAGTGACTGACGTATTTACAACAGAAATTTGCAATTAAACTCAGTTCAATGCAGAACCACAGTTGAACTATGCACTTACAACCGGACCTTAATGTTCTGTTTTATTGCCTAGGCCTTTTCCTTAGCTACCCTACAGCTACTCCCCCTGCCCTAGTCTTTATTCAAATTGTTATTGACGCATTCTATTACCTATCGTGTAATTTACAAACTTAAAAACGAGAGCTAATCGATTCTTAAAAGTGGAATAGCCTCTGTCCTCTCTTCATCTAAATCCGGCCCCACCGTACTTTTAAAAATAAGGTTAAAATAGGGCCAAGTTCCCTCTATATTTTAGCAGTGTTTTGTATTAATACGCACCTATTAGCCAGAGCTCCTCGATTCGCCAATTCCGCCTTGCTTTTGCTGGCCGAAATGTCGAGTAATTCGTGAGGAGGTACGGCCCTGTCGAATTCTTCTTTAATGGGCAATTTTCTTTCGACGGTAGCGGTTTTATCGTCGTCCGGACTGGCGTCCGATATCTCGGTATCGGAGAGGTCCGATTGTAGCGATTTGAAGAGCGGCTTGGGCGGCTGTCGCCTCGACATTTGCGGGGTGAGCTGTTTGATGTTTATGTTGTCGTAGGGAAGGGCCATCGGCAGGCCGGCTTTCCTTTGAGTATCGAGCAGGTCCTGTTCCAAAGCGATGATTCGGTCTTTCAGCGTTTTGACCAACGAGTTGTATTCGGTGTCTTTCTCTTGCAGCAGCTGCTGGTAGAAGTCTTCCCTGTGCAACATGTCGAGCTCGCGCTGCTGGAACTCCCTCACCAAATGCTTCGCCCTGTTGTACTTTTTCTCTAGCGCTTGGTATTGGATCTGCGATTGCTCCAGCATGTTTTGGTAGGTTTGGATTTCTTTTTTGGCCGTTATCAGGCCCCGTTCTGTCTCTTTTAATTTTTGACTAGCTTGCTCGAATTTTTCGGAGTCGTCGGGTTTCATTCCGTTTTGCTCCATTAGCTAGAAAAATATGTTTTTGTAATGTTTCGAAATACCAGAAATAGTGAAACATTTTTTATAAAGCGAAATCTGTAGGAAACGGTAAATGCGATTTTAACCTTTGTTATAATCTACAGATATGGTTAAAATCGCATTTACTGTCTCTTCCAGATTTCGGCTTATACGTCTTACAGATGCTCTCTGAATTCAGTTTTAGAGTATAGTTATTAAAGTTATTAGCATCGGATGTTTCAATAAATTAATATGAAATTAGGTAAACGATGTTAGTTAGATATATATTTTACCTCGACAAGTAAAGTACGCAGGGAATCCACGCTATCTTGTTCGGGATCAAAAACGGCTTCTTGATTAACGAGAGGACTGTTCGGGCCATCGCTTACACTCGTATTTCCCGAACCTGCAATTATAACATTATAGTAAATATTAGTTCCCTTAACATTCATTATTTCATGAACACGGTCCGTATTCAGCCTTCCTTTTTTAACGCTAATCGATTATTTAAAGAGTCTCTTTAAGAAACGGCCGTTTATTTCTAAGGTCTGGAAACAGCCTATGCTTTTGCTTTAGAGAATGTGTCCCGTTATTTAAAGACTTTTTGAGCTTCACTTTTGCGCCGCACCGTGGCGAACGATCGGAGGACCAACTTATCTCAGCCAATCAGCGTCGCGCTACATATAAATCGCGGTTGTGAGATGACTATTCAAGCTGTCAAAACTTCAAAAATTAGTTTTTGACATTTCGAGGAGAAAATGGAGAAATACATCGATACAATTCGAAGATACGTGACGCATGATGTTAACAACAAAATCATCGCTGATTTTTATATTTTGTATATATTTTTAGTTTGAATAAAACCTCTTTTAATGCTAATTCTATACAGGGTGTCTCATAAGTTGATACTTTTTTTTAACTGCGTATAGAACTTTTCATTCTTTTTCAAGTAAATTTCTTTAATATGCTGGAACATAAAAAAGATGGACATTTTTAAAATTTCTTTACATTTCCAATATTTTCCAATACTTACCTGACATTACCATACAGGTCTCAAAAAAATAAAAAATAATTAATGACAAAAATTAATTTTTCGATTGTTGAATTGAAAGTGGCTCATTTTTATACAAATAATGAATTGGTGGACATGCTGATTATTTATGGAGAGTGTCTCCAAAGCGTTTCCAATCAAAATGGCGACAATTTTGAGCAGTTCCTTTAACTGTCAATGAACAGAACCGTATTGAAAAACTTTAATAATTAAAAATTGAAAAAAAAGTGCTCTCTTATTTTCTATAATATTAAAAAATTTTACTTGAAAAAGTTGCTTAGAATTGAAAGATCTATACGCAGTTAAAAAAAAGTATCAACTTATGAGACACCCTGTATAATTCGTACGTAAAAAACAGTGGTCCTTTACAACATCGCCTCCTAGCAGCCGTTTTAGGAACCCTGTTTTATCCTTAAATAACACAAACAATGTCCATAACAACAATCTAAAACTGCCAAGTTAGAGAGACTCTTTGATTGATTAGCGTTAAAGCGAAACGCTGAATTTGGGCGAAAATTGGCAGTTTACGCAAAAACTGGCAACATTTTAGTACATTTTCTGCTGATTTTTGCCAAATTTTTTACTCATTACTTCCTGGCTAATATACAAATAAAGAACAAACCATTACCTAATTGAATAGTGCTAGCTTCGCTCTGTTGTTGTTGCTCCTCAATCATCCTCTGCCTGCGTTCCTCGCGTTCTTTGTCGGCTTGCAACGATTGCCTAATTAACTGCGCCACTTCGCTATTTTCCGGATCTCTTTCCCTGCCAATGCTAAACTTCACCAAACCGGACGTGTTTCTGAGCACGCTCGCCGCGTAAGCTTGTGTCACGCCGACTAAGCTCTTCCCATCGACCTCGATTATCTGATCGTTAACTTTGATCCTACCGTCTTTGGAAGCGGCGCCGTTTGCCGTTATAGTTTTCACGAAAATGCCTTAAACGATCAATAAATTTTTTAATAAAATCCATTTGATAATGGAGAAGAGTACAAATATATGAAAAGATATAACTCATTAGAACTCAAATCAGTTTTCAGTTGCTGAAAATATTCAATATTTTAGGAAATATAGCCATTTTAGATTTAAAATTTTGACCCGTGACGTGTAAAGTTACTAACCAATCACAAGAGAGGTTTGTTGTATTGAATCATTAGTGACATAGGAATTCGAACAAACTGTTCGGAATAATAGAAGAAACGAACAAAAGTGAAATGTAACATCAAATGACAGATGACATATTTACGGTTAGGTTATTGAAATATTTTTGTTTTAAGTTTATTGGGCCAAAAATAAGCACTTTTTAGAATACAATGAAGAATTTTCAAAAAACGGCATGGAGCAAGGTTTAACTACCTTCGGATGCGACATTTTAAAATTGTATAAGTTGATTTAGTTAGAGGTTAAGTTTTTGTTTTCATTATTTGACAAGTTTAAAAAGTCAAAAGTATACATTCGATGATGCCACATTACCATTTTTACTAAACAATAATTTAGCATTTTAGTTATTTACTAGATATTCATAAATATGGGCATATTATATTATTTAACAATTATAAGTTCGCTCTATATTTTTCGAATAAATCATAACTGTATCAAGAAATATAAAAAATAAATTATATCATTAACATACAAACAAACGCCATTTTTTCAGAGTAAGAAGATAGTTGACAACGTCGCTAAAAACGATCTTTACCACCAATTCTTAATGTGATTGGTTAATGACTTGTGACGTACTTCAAACTTTAAAAATTAATTGTGGTCTCAATAGGAAACGGATAAATTTAAAAATTTCACCAATGACTTCATAAGGTACTCCTATCCATTCATTTTTAAAGCTAAGCGCATACCTAATTTCTCTAATCCAGCATCCGCCCCGACCCCCATACCGATGATACTCAACCCCAAACCCTCGGACCCTTTGACCAACTCCACGGGGAACACGTCCATCTTCTCCACCCTCTTCTCCAGCTCGTACTCCGCCGACGCGGCCACCGGATCGACGTCCTCGTTCTTCCTGTCGTAATCGGATATGCTGAAGGTGGAATAGACCTTCATGGGATCCTTGGAGAACTTGACGCGGCCCCTCGGCTTCGGCACGTACTCGAGAAACTCCGAATCGTCGTCGTCCTCGGGCGGCAGGCCGGGCACTTCCATCCAAAAGTGCCCGTCCTCGTAGTAGTGGACGCCGTGTTCGACACCGATGATGGTCACCGGCCTCGGAACGAAGTCTTGTTCAGTCTTTGTTTCTAAGCAAATGCCTTCTGACAAGCTCGTTATCGAATCTACGAAGAAATCGACAAGTGAACATATATTTTTTTATAAAAATAGCTCGGCTAGTTTTTCTTAGTTTACCTATTAATCCCGAATCCGTGACGCTCGTATCGATTTCGACTTTGGAACCGTCCTCATCGTCTTGAGTCGAGTTCAAGCTCTCGGTGGACTCGTAATACTGCGACAACGGTTCCGCGTTTTTGGTTTTGGAGTCCGATTTGCCGTTACTTTGCGCCACTTCGGGCTTCGCCTGTTCCTCCACAGATTCTTCCGGCTGAACGAAGCAAAAAAACAATGAGCGAAATTCCGTTGGATCGAGTTTTAAGGGAATTACCGGCTCTTCTTGGAGCGACGGCGGGCCGCAGCTGTCGTTCAACGAAACGGGCCCCGAAGAGTCGTGCATGGAAGCGGTGATGGAGTCCTGTAGCGCCGGAGGGGCCGCGTTCGGCGGCCAGCGGTTGGGTTTCGGCTCTTTCGAATTCAACAGTCTGGTTACCTCTTGGGCCTCTTCGTCCGATAGCAACGGAGATCTGTAAGGTGAGAGTGCTATTAACGGGAATTTCGAATGTAAAGAGAAGCCGAAATGATATATGCACAGAGTGTAATTGTTAATGGGCTATTGGTATTATAATACAACGGGTGTAGTTATGATGTTAAAGCACCAGGTTTGTAGGGGTATGTTATTTGTTTTATTAATCTTACTCTATTGAAATGATTGGTTTATGAAGTATTTTTCGTTTTTTTTAAATTAACTGGAAATTAATGTCTCTATGAAACCAAAATAGCTTTAAACAATGAGAATAAGTATATCATCGAAACAGTGTTGTTAAGTAGTTAAAAATGTAGTTAAACTACTTTTAATGTATTTAAATAACCAACTAACTAATTTGCTCATAACTAAGCTCACAATCAGGAGCTTAAATATATTTAACATTACATTTTTAAAAGTAGTTGTAATTGTAGTTAACTACATCAAAAAAAGTTGTTTTTAACAACACTGCATCGAAGAATCTTCTATTCTAAAAACTCATCTAAAGCAGGATAAAAATGTCATAGACATTATAAAAAAACTAGAACCTTCAAAATACCTTCAAAAATTGTCTAAATTCGCCAAAAATTCTTCAGAAATTCTATTAAAATGGCTGCTGTTGATCAGCTAAAATTGCTCAGAACCCGGTGCACAAAAATAGTTCTTTACATACACATAAGTACAAATTTATACGAATCATAGGCTATGGGTGTAGCAAATAGAACATCTATTAGACTCATATAGACTCCTACTCTACCCATAAATGGGTAAGTGCAATTGTGTTTGCAATTCTATGAGATAAAGAAAGATTATTAAAATAACAGTGATTAGTGTGATAAAATACAATGCAATCTTACAACATCAATTATCTTTTCTCTATATGAGACTAATGGGAGTTGTCTTTGTTGCACCCATCCTATATTGCCTATAACTTCGCAGTTAGCTGTATAAAAACACCATCCAACACCATTACATGCTATCAAACGAACCTGCGTCGTTTTCGGCTTACCTTGTCTGCTTCTCCAATATCCTAGAATGACAGCGGATATATGGAAGAAACACAAAAACAGTTAGCGACAACAAACAAATCGTAAGACCAATCCGATCCGCTTTTCTACTTACTTAACGCTCAACAAGTTCTCGGCTTCGTCGGGCGTCATGGCGTCCGGTTCGCGCGCCTTCGATGTCTCCAAACGCCCGACGACCTCGTCGTCGCCGTCGCTCGCATCGGCGTACTCCACGTCGTTCAAATCCAAAATGTTCGCTTCGGCTTTCCGAATCTCCGGCGTTCGAACCGGCCTATCGTCGGTCTGCAACACGTCGCGTACGATCAAAAACGGCTCCGACTTCATCGCGGAAGCCTCTCCGTCATCGGCGTCCGCTTCGAAGCTATCCAATTGGGCCAAAACGGCGGGCGCGCCGTGCCGCGATTGATCGTGGTACATCACGTCCGAATCGATCGATCGCTGCGGCACCACCGTCACCTGCGACACCTCCGAATCCGTCGATCCGACGGACTTCTGCTGGCTGACGCTCGGCCTGTAGGGCACCGCGTAATGGGGCGCGTCCTCGTCCGACGAGGTGCTCTCCGCGTGCAAGGGCGCGACGGGCGGCTTGGCGTCGGCGGGCGGTTTCTTGTGCGGCACCGCGTACAGCGCCTCGATTTCGGCGGCGGTGAGCCTCGGCGGCGCCGGTTCGTGCATCGTCGAGTCCCGGTACTCGCCGACGTCCTCCGGCGAGTCGGCGTACTCCAGCGGCTTGTCCTCGTTCAACGGGAAATCGTAGAGCGATTCTTCGTGCGGCTTGAGGCGCGCCTCGACCTTCGGCGACGGCTCGTTGAAGCCGCCCTCGTCGGAGGTGGTCGCGCTGACGATCGACGACGGGCGGCTGCCGGCGCCGCTCGGCGCGATGTTCAACGTGATGCCGGTCGCTTTGTTCCTCTTTGGCACCGCCGACGGTTCGGAGGCGGGTTGGTCGGCTTTCGGCAATTCGTTCCCTGGAAATTAAAATTCAATTAGCCTCGTTGGCATTGCACTCAAGGGCTGCTCGACTAGATCAATTAGGGCCGCTTTATCGTTCGGCATTTATGAGTTATTCGGGTAAAAATCACTAGTCTAGAAAAGGAGTATCACTGAAATAATAAGAGAGTTTCTAGCAAGGTTTTTATTGCTCTGAGAAGGAAAATGGTGACTAGAGTCCAATATACGCCATTCAACAAAATTTAATTAACACGGAATTTCTCACTAAGAGGATATTCGCGATAGATCAAAGTGAATACAACAATCAGGAAAAATCTATTTGTATTAAATGACCGTGAATAAAAAACTGTTTTATTACAAAAAAAAGTTCAAAAAGCTTTTTCAACGCAAAAAAACTGTTATTGTCCCTGTATATTTTTATAAATATTATAGTCTAGGATGTGTAGACATTCTGAGAAAATAAAAATAACCAAGACAACTATTTTTAAAATTCGTCAATGCTGTACCGATACGTGAATTAACCAGCGAAAAATGTAACAAATAAACACGCTCTCTTCTCGTACGAAGCAGTCAACAAATTCGTTACAGTAAGAAAAAAATAACAACCACACATAGATACGAAAACAGACCTGAACAATCCATGCACATTAATCTCAACCGCAAACACATTTTATTCAGATGCTTAACCATTTAGGACGCTTTTCGATGAAGAATTCACGAAAAACGGAACTGTTTACTATCGCATACATTCAATCGAGATTCGTCTTGTCGCTCGTCGGGCGACAGGAACGATTTCGGTTTGGAAAATACGCGGAGCGCGCCTCGAGCACCGAGGTAGCGCGTTCACTGGTATATAAACAGTATCCCGATGCCCGATGCCGATGCATTCATAATAACGCCGAATGTCCGCCATCTAAAAATAACCGAACCGCGTACCTACACGCGTTTCGAAACATTTTCAATCTTTTTTGTCTTTGTCCCCTTGTGTCGCTTCTTTCCGCCGCCCACGCCCCATCGCCGTCTGGATGTTTCGTTTTTAAATTTTTCGAGCACGAAAATATGCTTCCCCGTGTAATTGCACGTTACCGAACTGTTACGTTATCCGGTCGAGATCATTCGTACCGTTAGTGCTCAAGTTTTCTTTGACTGTATTGATAAATGGTTCATTTCAGTTGTTAATTTATCCTCTTAAGACGAGAGTTCTGTTATAGATAATTAACACTCATTGGTAGTTAATTGACTCTTTTGGGTGCATATGATACTATCTTCGATAGGCAATTAACAATTTAAGCAAGTAATTCTCTCTTGGATAAATTGAATTTCTCGACTCTTATCTACCCTACCTTAAAAATTATATTAATTTGGGACACCCGATATCTCATGAACGAGTCATTTTTTATCAATCATTAGTCACTAATTTATTTCCCTACCTTGGGACACCATGTATCTCACCAGCGAGAGTCACCTTTACTCATTTTGTTTTACAAGAATTATAGCTTTTATAGTAACCCTTTAATTTATCCAGTTGTTAATTGACTATCTTGAATTGTATTAAATAAGAACTTGGCTCTCTTAGATAAATTGAATTTGTTCAATGAATACTCGACCCTACCTTTAAAATTATATTAAGATGGGACACCCTGTATCTCATAAACAAGAGTCATTTTAGTAACAAACTCATTTTGTTGTATGTACAAGTATTATAGGTTGTTCCATGCTATTTGAAAGTCATATAAACCACCCATCAACCCATTTCAAACATTTAAACAGAAACCTAGTAACCATTCATACAAACCTGAGGATTCCTACGAAAATCGTATACATACCAAAAATATTTTTCTCGTTTTCCTCCTGTTCCTGCTTCTCCTGTTCGGATTTGATTTTGCTGGGGCTGCTGGGCGGGCTCAAGGACGACAGGCTGCCCGAAGCCACCGAGAGATTCTCCCTGCTGGTGTCTTTGTCCTCTAAAGGCGACCGGGAGACGGCTTGCTGCGAAGCAGCCGTCAACAGTAACCCGTCCTGGTTATCCCTCCTCGTAAAGGCCTCTTCCTTTTGATTGAAACACTTAACGTCGTTGTCCAGTTCAATGATACTAGCTACGGGCGATTTGTTGTTGTCCAAAGTAATCGATAGAATGTCGTCTTTAGCGAAATGAGCGTCGGTGGTGGTGGGTATAACGGAAGCGGGCCGTTCTTTCTTCACGTAGTTCTGTCTACGCGACGCCTCCGTCCGTATGGGCGGCGGCGGAGGCGGCGAAGTCGTCGGGCTCTTTAATCGACTACCGAACGAAGCGCTACGAGTAGCCGCCGCGGTACTTTTGGAACCCTCCGAAGGGTCTTTGTCGGCGCTCACCACCAGCCGTATATCGTTTCTATTCGGATCGCTGTTGTACCGACTGTTGCGCGTCTTCGAAAAGTGCGACGTCCAATTCCTCTGGCGCTCGATCAACTCCTTGCTGTTGAACTTCCGTTCGGGCTTCTCGGGCTTGCGGGCCACGCACGGCTTGGCGTCGGGCGCCGAATCGCTGCGATTGAACCCGTTGGTCTTGGTGACGGCGCGATGGCACTCGTCGTAGTTGTCGTTGGTGGGCGACGATGAGTGCGAACGGACGTAGGACTTGCCGTCCTTGCCGTCGCTGTTCGAGCTGGACCGCGACCGCGAATCGAGGATGTTGGAGGCGCTGCGCGTCGCCTGCAGCGGTATCACCCTGTCCTTCTTGTTCTCCTCGCCGAGCTTCTCGAAGAGGGCGCGGGCGTTGTTGAAGCGGGTGACGTGGGACTGCGTCCGCATGACGGTGATGCTGGCGCTGTCGACTTCGAGCTTTTCGGTGGAGTTGTGGGTGCTGTAGCGCTTCCGCGACGGGGCCATGATGGACTCCTCCTTTTGCGCGGGGGTCATGGCTTGGAAGATGTTGGCGATTTCTGAGACTTTCGAGCCGCCGATTCGGTGGGACTTTTTGTCATCCATGTTTGTCGATTGATCTGTAGAAAGAAACTAAGTTACTAAAAAAATAGTTTAGGTACTTATGGTACAATTGGAGCTACTAAGGAAGTTTAAGTTGATTAAATTATGTGACATAATTGGAATGTTGTGGACTGATAATTTAATAGATATCCCTGTTTCGAGAGAATAAAAAATTTACCAAAACAATATTTTGCTGCTTATAAATTGATTCAAATATACAATGATAAGAATTTTAGTACAAAAGCTTGGGAACAATTGAACAATAACTATCAAGCCTTTGGAAAACAGAGAGAGTAAATGAATAAGTATTTTCCCAAATAAATCAAAACTATGGGATTTTTGAAAATTCCCACGCAATAAAACATTGTAGAGAAATGTTTTGTCTAAAAAAAAATAAGTAGAATATTCAATAAAAATGTTAATCAATGACATTATTCAAAGAATAGGACACAATAATTGTTGCAAATATAGAAAATAATTTTAAGTAATTAATAAGTAATTACTAACTAATAATAGAAGTAAGTTGTACACTACCTAATCTCTACAATATTTATTTAAGCACTTGTAATAAATGTATTAGTAGTTCCAAAGAAAATTGCAGAAATTTAAAAAGAACAATATTATTTACCCATAAATATCCATTATTATGACTTATATGAAGTATAATTATTAAACTGAAGCACGTTTATAAAAAAATGGAATGTTTATTTACACTTACTATCGCTATTCCATTATAAGGTATCATTTGAACAGTGCACTAGTCTCAGACTGTTTATAAAATTATAAAGTAAATTCATGAGAATACTAGAAATACAGTTGAAATATCCGAAATATTTTGCTGATAAATTTTTATTTAGTGTTTTGCGGCAACGTTTTCACCACGAATTTGTTGAATAACAATGAATGTACCTAATGAAAAATTCAATGTGTACTTTTTTGCAATTAATGAACCTCTTCAAGAATATGTTCAACAACAACAATAAATAAACATTAACGACTTACCTGACAAAAAAGATGATGTATTACAACAAGTGAGCCAGTTAACTTATTTTCCCCGATTTATTCATTCTGATTTCCATTTTTCCAGTAATAAAAGGACTTGTGAAATGCATTTTTAACACACAACAACCTCATAATTTTAAAATTTCTTTAGCAATTCAGAAACGGTAAATACTGTATTGAGAACATTGTTTTATGTTTGTGGCCAATTGATTGCATTAAATCGGAAAAGCCTTTCTTATAAATTAACAGTATTACAAATACAGTAGTAGGTACACTTTTTCGGAATTGACAATTTTATAGATCAACAACCGGAGTCATCGGCATGGCGCAGGACTCACACCCCGTTTTTAGTTGTCCAATAAACAATCAAGTTCACTAACAATGTTGCCAAAACAAGAAATTTTTGCATAAAAAGAAGAAGACAATGACATAAACATCGACAATCGATTGTAATCTAATTAATCGATGATTCTAGTTAATCGATGATGGCTTTAGGAAATATTATTGTTACTTGAACTTTGTGAGCCTGTGTTGCAGATAATTTGTGCATTGCTTTTAATAAAATGATGAAATAATAGATTTTTGGTGCAATTTATTATATTCTAAAATTTTCGATATATCGATAATTCAGCTACATTGACAGCGATACGATTTATTAAATCGCAACGTTGACAATTCAACACTCGTCATCTTTGTTTAACAGAACAGTATTAAATGCATCAAAAAGAGACGGCAACAACCGATCGACCAAATTCAGAGATGACTTGCGTTTGCATTTAGTTTTTTTGACAGTTGAGGTTAAGTGCAGAAGTGTTTACTCAAATTAATAATTTTAATCAAAGAAAATTCAAATTCTTTGAGAAATGTCGACCTTAGAAGACAAATCGATTTGGGAAGACGGCGAGGAAGCGCTCGGCGAGGAGGTTTTAAGAATGTCCACTGACGTTATCATAGGTCATACGCGATTGCTGGACAATGAGATCAAAATAATGAAGAGCGAAGTGATGCGAATAAACCACGAACTGCAAGCGCAAAACGAGAAGATCAAAGAAAACACCGAGAAGATAAAAGTGAACAAAACCTTGCCTTACTTGGTCTCGAACGTAATTGAACTGTTGGACGTAGATCCCCAGGAAGAGGAAGAGGACGGTGCTGTAGTTGATTTGGATTCTCAGAGAAAAGGGAAATGCGCTGTAGTTAAAACGTCCACAAGACAGACCTATTTCCTACCCGTGATAGGGCTGGTCGATGAGGAGAAACTGAAACCGGGAGATCTAGTGGGAGTCAACAAAGACTCGTATCTAATTCTGGAAACATTACCTGCAGAGTACGATGCGAGAGTCAAGGCCATGGAAGTCGATGAAAGGCCTTCTGAACAGTATTCCGATATCGGAGGTTTAGATAAGCAAATACAAGAACTTATCGAGGCTGTTGTACTACCTATGACTCATAAAGACAAGTTCGTTAACTTGGGAATTCATCCTCCCAAAGGTAATAAACTTATTTTAGTCATTTAAAAACGATCTAATATTAATTATTCTTTGTAGGTGTTCTCCTTTACGGTCCCCCGGGTACCGGTAAAACCCTCCTAGCCAGAGCCTGCGCCGCCCAAACCAAATCAACTTTCCTCAAACTGGCCGGTCCTCAGTTAGTCCAGATGTTCATAGGCGACGGCGCCAAGTTAGTCCGAGACGCCTTCGCCTTGGCCAAAGAGAAGGCACCCGCTATAATATTCATCGACGAGCTGGACGCCATCGGTACGAAGCGATTCGACTCGGAGAAAGCCGGAGACCGGGAGGTCCAACGAACCATGTTGGAACTGCTCAACCAACTGGACGGCTTCAGCTCGACATCCGACATCAAAGTCATAGCGGCTACGAATCGCGTGGATATTCTGGATCCCGCCCTGCTGCGGTCCGGAAGGTTGGACCGGAAGATCGAGTTCCCGCATCCCAACGAAGAGGCGCGGGCGAGAATCATGCAGATTCACTCCAGGAAAATGACGGTTAACCCGGACGTGAACTTCGAGGAATTGGCCAGGTCTACTGATGACTTCAATGGGGCCCAGTGTAAGGCTGTGTGCGTCGAAGCTGGTATGATCGCTCTCAGACGTAACGCTACTGCTGTGACTCACGAGGACTACATGGATGCTATTATGGAAGTTCAAGCCAAGAAAAAGGCGAATTTGAATTATTACGCCTAATTAAATCTAGTTTTTTTTTTAATAAACATTTCGTAAAGTTTTTTTTCGGTCATTCTATTAACAGTTTCTATGAACATTATTTATATTAATAATTAAAACTATATTAAAATTAAGTATTGTATGTGATGTTTATGTTAATCTAGTAATGATGTCACTTTTACTTGATCATTAGCAGTACAAAATAAATGATTTTTACTTAGGACGAATGAAAAAAGTACAACCTTGCAAATTGCAAATTGTGATGTCATTGCTAGATAAGCATGAATGTACTATATGTCTATTATTTATGCTGAAAAAGCACAAAATCGATAAAAACTCATAATTAAGTAAAGAACTAGTGGAAGGTTACAAATTATTGTTCGATTTGAGTATATTTTGGGATGAAAGGGCGTGTTTAAATAAAATACAATAAACTAAACGTATCTGCATATATTTATATTTGTAGCAGGTAAAAGGTGACAGGTTTACATAGAACAATACGGCACCCATCACGGTTTATCTGCAGCGTAAATTTACAACAAAACGTGCCACCAAATTTGTACATTGATATTAAAGCTTCACAAAAACACCAGCGTTTCTAGTTAGTTCACGGGGCGCTCCAGGCGGATTTTCCTCGAAAAAAAATGCCGACGAACGCTCACAATCTGCAGCTGGAAAATTTCCCTTTTCGATGGACGATAAGCCACCACAACAAGGCCTAGCGCTGTAACGTTTCCTGGCAACTTTTTCCAAAGTATGCTGTTACTTTCTCGGCCGCGAGGGCTCCGTTAATATGGAAGAATTCTAGACGATAAAAGAAACATTTCTTCCTTTTTTTTTATAACTATATTTTTTGTAACTAATTGCCAATTGAATGAAGAACGACAGTACCCAGGTATAGCTAACCTTTATGAAGCTACAGATGAATTGGTGCCGGTCTAGTATGCGGTCTACCCTACCGCATCTGGTTTAATATGGGGTCTACCCAAATTTATTTTATACAAAGGATAACAGCAAGATTTTGAAAGTTGACCCTTTATTAAGCAAAAGAAAAAATGTACTGGTATGGTATTGTGTATGGAACAGCAATCCAATTTAGCGAGAATTGGGAAAGTACCAGTAATTATTTAAACGTAAATAAACCTACATATCATTAGGGAAATGAACAGTAGTATTAGAGAATCAGTTTCAGTTTTGTACAATATGACACCTGTCAAAGTATTTAAATATACTTGGGCGACGAAATATGTAGGCAGACTGCAGGATAATTTATCTACCCCTGGGTAGACTGCAAATATTATGGTAGACCACATACTAGAACGGCACCCATGAATTCATAAAATACAGGGCGTTGCATTGAAAAACACACATAGCACCTCTTTGAGACAACCTGTTTAAATTTGCATGATTTTTTTTCCAAAATATAAAGGATTTCAGGTACAATTTTTACTTTGAAGCCCACTTAAAGTACGAATAAAATTTTTTACTTACCATTTCAGTGGTAAGACAATTGATAGCATGCTCCACAGTTTTTTTGTGATGGGACTTAGTAGACACATGAGTTGTTTGTCGCAAGGGAGTTGTTGGACAACCTACATGAATCAAAAATCGAATTATATTAAAATTTTTCTGTTTTTAGAAAGGTTTTCATCGAGTTAATCACAATCTTAGAAATTTATAGTTAAGTACCATTAACTCCAAATGATTATAAAATGTTTATTTGTCTTCACTTCAATATGTATCTTCTTAAATATTAGATACAATTTAAAGCTTTAAAGTAAAATATTAAAATAATACATTTCTAGCACACCACCTCCAACAAAAATGATGGAATTATAAATGAATGATTAAATGCTAGTAATTTAAATGAAAGCTAATTAACCACAACACCCTTTCATTCGTATTTAGGGTTGAAATAATACAGCCAGGGACGAATGGGTCATGGAGCTTTAGGGAGATTTCCCTAAGGAGCGGTTATTCATGAGTCAGTCATGATGAAATAAGGTTAAATTTGAGTTTTAATCATTTTTTTAATAACACTAAAATAATTTATTCGAATTTTTCAGCCGTTTTTTAGTTAATATTAACATAACCCATTTGCCTCTTCAAAACACAGCAGATCATGCCACTAAAATTACCTTCTAAAAAAAGCAAAGTACACTGCTCGTCAAAAAAACCAGTCGCTTTATATTTAATACTTTTTATAGTGTCTTTGATGGTAGCTCACTTTAAGGGCGCCACAAATAAGATTCAAATTTTGCTTCATCAATTGATTTGAATCTTTTTTATACATAAGATAGAGACTACAAGCAATGATATCTCCTATTTTTAATCTCACGTACTTCATATTTAAGAAAAATTAAACCTAGAGTTTCAGCAGGATGAGAACGATGTCTCATAGTTAATAATGATCCACAGGCTGTATTAAATTGAAACAGTAATTAAAATATTTTAGCAAATGATGATGATAGATTACTGTAAAATTATGCTGTCGCCCGACATAAATGTCAAATCACAGAACAATTTTGCAAATTTTTCAGATTTTTTTGAATAATTTGCCCTTTTTTAAAGGATAGTTCCATAATACCCCACGATTTATGAATTTGAGGGCGTGCTTTGGCGACCTTAGTAAGGACTAAAAATCAAGTTAAATCATAAAATGACCAGTTTTATTCTAAAGCATAGTGTATACTACAACTAAATGTACCACAGAAAATGAAGAAAAAAGCTGAACATTCAATTCTTCGATTGAACAACACCGAATACTCCACGAACAATGACCGATGGAACAGATATGATCAATAAACAAGACAAACATTCCCTGAATGATCCGTCGAATCGGTTCACTTGAAGAATTGAACAACAGACAACGCTCTTCGGACATCCAGTAGTACCGTCACTCACCCATATCTCCACTACTTGATGATTCGGTAAAAGAGGGTGTACCTTCAGTCCAGGTCGGAGTGGAGCCTTCAACGGACGTCGGGGGCGTCCACGCCAGCCCCCTGGAATGACTCGAGTGCCCACCCGCACCTGAACTGCCCGACTCGACGCTTAGCGTCGACGACTTGTTCTCCGGTCGAGATTCTAATTTTATGTCGCTATAACTATAACCCAACAGAGAAAAAAAAAACAAACCTCGTCTCATTTGTTACCACCTCTTCGACCACAACCTACAGTCTCTAACTTGGCGATTTAACGATACAATGAATGAAACATGTTAATTTCAAGAAAATGAGCTTTGTAGGTTACGTGACAGCAATTCTAGCGAACTAAAAGGGGATGTTAACTCACCTGACAGCGTCGTCTTTGTAATTTCTCACGGCGATGTGATGTAGAGAAGCGTACGACTGAGCGGTGGAAGATGCGTGTGAACTAGAATGCACGTGAGAGGGTAGTGAAGACGCCGCCCCCATCGCTAGTCTCACGTGAGACGGCTCGTCCTCGAGGCCTTCGTATGTCGGCGGTGGTGTACTGCAGCAACTCGGCGCTATACCTTCAATAACGAATAGATTATAAATAATAATCGTGGAAATTTATAGAGGCGTGAAAACGTAGAAAACTTGCTGTAAACCTTGCTGTATGGCGAGTGTTCTATTGTACAATTGACAAACTTTGTAGGAAAAATGAAATAATATAATGGGTGACTCTTGTAACCTTCGTATAAAGTTTGTGCATACACCAATGAAACGCCCTGTATACAGTAAACTACAGCAAGTTTTCAGAAAACAACATAGCTACTTCTAATTATCACAGTTAATAACCCTTCAACTCGTATAAAGTAGAGTTAGAATAGGAATAAAACAAAGCAACGGCACATTTCCAAAAAATAAATCGCAAGAAAAAAGAACATACAAAATAAAGTTACGAAATCGTACACTTCCATCCTTTGTGTATTGCCGTGCAAGAACCTAGCAAATAAAAAGAAAGAATAAATTAAAAGGTATTCACTAGCTACGTAGAGAGAAAATGGAAATTTGTAGAGGTGCGAGTAGCGGTTACTGGTTTAGGTGAAGCCGATTCTATGACATACAGAATCTACAATAAATGAACTTGTTTTTTTTTAATAATTAATGTTTATATTTCTGGTGCAAATATTATAGTTTATCATTCGATAAGAAAGAACAACTCTAATCTATTATAGAATGAAGATATTAGGCTTTAAAAGGATTAAACTCATATGAAATGAATCATTTATGTATCCGCTATCTAAAGATGAAAATAACACTATATTCAAAGAAACTTTTAATCTGTTGAAAGAAAATGTAATCCTGCTTCATTTGTATTTATTATACATGCGTTTGTAGGTTCTGCATATCAGTTGAATGATCAAAAAAATTCTAATCGCGATTCTAGCTGTAAATACAACTAAAGGGTTTTCCAATAAGAACATAACAATTTTGCATTTAAATAAAATAACAGAATAATTGAGTTATTGGGCAGAAATTTATTTCAGGGGTGGTATAATGGCAGAAAAATTACCTAAAACGGACGAAAAGCGCAAAAATTGTCTAGAATCAGTTAGAACATTCCAGAATCATTTAGAACTGTCTACAATCATTTAGAACGCTCCAGAGACATTTAGAACTACACATCTAGAATCATTAAGAACTGTCTAGAATCAGTTAGAATGGTCCAGAACAATTTAGAACTACACATCTAGAATCATTTAGCACGCTCCAGAATCATTTAGAACTGTCTAGAATCATTTAGAACACTCCAGAGACATTTAGAACGGTCCAGAACTATTTAGAACTACATATCTAGAATCTTTTAGCACGCTCCAGAATCATTTAGAACGTTTCAGAATCAAATAGAACTGTCTGAAATCATTTAGAACTATCTAGAATCAATTAGTAGGCTCCAGAATCATTTAGAACTGTCTACAATCATTTAAAACGATCCAGAAATCATTTAGAACTATCTAGAATCATTTAGAGACGCTCCAGAAAAAGATAAAAATCGCTGAGAAATCGCTTCAACTTCGTCTTTTATTTAAATACAAAATCGTAATGACCTTATTAAAAAACCATCTACTACAATTAAAAAACAAACTACACTCATCTAAAAAAACAACCTAATCTACCATCTAACAAGAACCAAGAACTAACTATATTCGATCTTGAGATCGCGAAGTTCGGGCGCATGCCAGCCGGAAAAGGCGTCTACGGGCGCACCTTTGTCCGCGTACTCGCCGCCACCGGCGCCGCGCTTCGCCTTGGGCGTGCCGCGCGGCGGCACCGGCGGCGGCACCTTGGCCTTGGCGTCGGTCGGCGCGCGGCCCACCAGCACGGCGGGGTACGCCGACGGCGGCGACGTCAGCGAGGCGGCCGGCGAGAGGGCCGGCGTGCCGCCCGATGGACGCGACGACGGCGCCGGTGCACACTTGCCGGACGGCGGCGCCTCGGCCTGCGAAGCTGTTCGGAGAAAAGATGAAGCGAAAATTTTAGAAGAAGGAGCCGGCGGGGTACCGGTAGCCGGTAAGCGAAGCGGCGGTAAATCGGTTCGATCGTACAATAGGGGATTTTCTCGTGAACTAATGTAAGACTAATGCCCGGTTGCAGTAATATATCCTAGGTTGTATTTTATCTAAGTCTGACTTAAATGTGGGATCTACTTAAGATTGGAATATGTTGCACTATGTTCAAATAAAGGTTATTTTAGCTACGATCCATTTTAACTTAGATGATAACTGACAACGTATAGCAATATTGTTGAAAAACTTGAAAAGAAGGAGATGATACTTACATATTTAGAATTATACGCATTTTATATAGGAATGCATTAATGCATTCTTCTAATGTTTATTATTGTTAACGTTGCATTACCTTTTCACTTAAGATTTTGTATTTTAGATTCATTCTTTATCTAACCACATGATTGTAAACATTAAATAAAATATATAATTTTTTTAAAAACGGATTTTCGAAATAAAAATCTCTAATTTGATTGTCATTTTAAGTGTAAAAATAGCCTATTAGTTGTTGAGGCCAGTGAAAAAAAATCAAAAGAAGAAGTTGTGGTTTTAACATATCCTGTAACCTGTAACCTGTAACCTAAAAATTAGTACAATCACAATTAAATTTTGGTTAAATTTAAATAATTGTAGGGACGTTTTTTTTGACGAAACCTCAAGACGAAACCTTTTAAAAAATTCTTCCTCCGAGAATGTTTCAAAATAATTAGTTCCTATTCGAATTTGTCGTTGCATAGGAACATCTACCACATTAATTTCTTCCTATACATCACCTATTATATCTACATTAACCACAATATTTATATCTGCATTTATATCTAATTTTACAACTGTCCCGGCAATTCTCAAATTTTTGAGGTTAACATTTTGGTTTTAAGTCGTAGAAATCGACGACATAGGATATGTGAACGATTCCTATCACAGGAAAGAGATTTTTTAGTTGGTGCAACAGTATAAAATTGATTTTAGACTTAGGTCTGACCTAGGATAGGAATTCATCCTAGGATGCTTTGGTGCAACTGGGCATAAGTCACATTAATGACTACGTTAGGATAATTATTGAGTTCTAAAACAATCGCCTGCACTGATTTCACGCATTGTTCAAGATAAAATCCACTACCTTTAATATCGTTCAAATCTATTGTATACTCTTCATCCACCTTCTATCACCTGTCTTTTAGGACAAGGAGTAGAATAAGAAGGATTGTAAATTGTTTATGTACATATTATGACTTTAGCAATGGTACTCGATAAGTAGATGCCGGTCTGGTATTTTTACTGTATTTTGTATACCTTAAATGTAGTAAAGGTCTTTGTTAAATGTTGGATTCAAGACGGTAGGATGTTACTCAAAAAATACAGCCGTACAATTTGGATTAGTTTAGAAAGTCTAGAAAGTCTTGATTATTCTAATAGACTTTTCCAGAGTAAATTATTACTTTGTTTTTGCATTAAAGAATAAAAAAATATATTATATTCATATGCCCTTTTAATGTATAGAAAATTCAATACAAAATTGGCCCAAAAAGAAAAAATATACAATTTGTATCTAAATACCGGAAAAATTAAGGGGTGATTCTGTAATGAAAATTAAGGTGGGAACTTGGTATAAATTAAAAAAACCTTCCCCGGAAAAGTTATACCTCTTCGAAGATTAAAAAATGTTTTTTCTTTTTTATTTTCCCTGTATATTAGACACAAAACTTTGGGAATATTATTTGTCAATAAAACTACATTTTATGTATTTTGAAATTTTTTCAACCCTTAAACTTGGGAAGAATTGAAATAATTTACCTCTAAGATATTTTTCTTACAACTTTTTATTAGATAAAATATTTCTTTTAAACAAAAATGACTGGAATAGTCCAATTTATTTAGTAACTTTTTTATCTCTACAAGTTTTTTCAAAAACTGTTAAGCATTTACGAGAAAAATATAAATGTATTACAAACTCATGTTAAATACCATTCTATTAAACAGCCAACCAAAAAAAATTATACCCACCAAGTACCCACCTTAATTTTCATTACAGAATCACCACTTAAATTCTTTCGGTGTTATTTAGATATACCCTGCATAAAAAATAAATTTGAAAATTAAAAAACCCACCCTCAGAGAAATGTAAGAACAAACTGCCAGTGTTAGTATACAAAGAGCATCCGAATTACACCAAAACCTTATACCTCCAATAAAATTACAATCTTCTCAAAAAATCCCAAACCCACCGAAACAACGGTTAAAGAAATAATAAATTCGAAACAACCCAACAATCATGGAGGCCCTACGAGGCCATACGCATCCAAAAACTTACCGCTTTTGCCGCCGTTTTGTTGAACCGTATTATTCCCTTTCACCTGTGCAGTAGCTGCATGTACGTAATTATTGTTAATTAGATAGTACGTAATGATGGTAGAACGAATTTTCGCTAGCGAAATGCAATGTATTCAGTTTTTGGTACTCACTTTCACGTTCGTTCGTCTCCTCGTGCCGACCCATCGGTCTCGAGAGCGATTTTCTTTTCGAGGGCGAATGCTTTAGGGCTGCAACAAGTAGATCATTAGAATTTCGCTCGGGCGAATCGGATTTCATGTGAAAACGGGTCGTTTTGTACACGCTATTAGATACTAATTTCTTTTAACATCGAAAACACATATAACATTCAATAGATTGATTCATTCAATTAATTTACAGTATATTTTTAATTGTAATAGGGTTGCATAAATAAAGAAAACGGAAAATAAACCAACGTTGAATTATAGTCTTTCTAAAGTCAATTCAAAATTGTATCTGGATTAAAATGCTTGCTGAATGAAAGGGTCGGATATGAAAATATGTAGAAAGAGAAATTTATAGAAGAAATGATTATTTTAAATGTAATGAAGGATTTTTTTATATCTACAGGGCGGCACATTAGTATGGAAAAGCTCAATAATAGCTACTGTAGAGGATATAAAAAAAAACTTATAGACAATTTTTACCAGATAATGTTCAATTGAAGTTTTTTACTTCTTTATTTAATGTTTACTTCGATTATTAAAAGAAGAAGGGCTAATTTTTTCTTTAATTCATATTATTTAAATTGAAATATCTCGAAAATTATTAAATTTAGGAATGTTTAATAAAAATGAAAATACTTTTTGGCAATGATATAAAATATAGGGTGATCAATTTAAAATAACTGTGAAAATGATACTTTTGGATCCACCCTAAAAATAGTATAATTAAAATTTACGAAAAATATTCATTTTGTATATTTTCAGGATATATGCAATGTTGTGAAATCTGATATTTAATTTCAATTCAATCCATTTTGTATCTTCTGTAGTTTCTAGTGGTAAAATTGTCATAACTTTTAAATCACTCAGTATAACATTATACAATATTATATTTTTGGAAAGCTGAAAATGGGCTAAATTCAATTTTTAAATTAAAAACAGGGTGTTCCATTTAAAAAGTATAAATTTGGTCTACCCCGAAATAATGGGACACTCTGTATTAATGTAACCAATTTCAAAATATACAGCTTAAAAATATCTGCAACTTTTATAAAGAAGTTTTTTTGAATAACATATATTGAGCTTTCCCATACTAATGTGCCATCCTGTATATTTTAATTTTTATTGCGTATTTAATAAAGAAAATTTTAATCTCTAGATAAAAATATCAATATTTAAACGGTCTTTGGAAAGACTATACACAAATTTACACATTTATCATGCGATTATTTTAATACAAACAATTTCGACCAATAATAATTAGTGGACTAACCATTTGTATCAATCATCCTTTATCAAAATTACTTTAAAATACCATACGTAGTAATAACTCATGCTAAAAGTATTATAACACAACGTATTTATAAAAAAATATCCACTCTTGTTTATTTTTAAATTATGCCACACTATAAGCCGATAATAAACTGTTTCGTTTTCGAATGAAAAAGCCCAAATAATAAATCAAAAACCATGCTAAATTTGATCTAAAAATCAAAGCTGAAAAAATATAATAAGCAAAATATAATAATAGCGAATAAATTGGCCTAATAGAATTCAATAAATTTTACCTATGTAGGTGGTAACCAAGTTACGAAACTTGCGATGGTTGCCCTTTATTTCTGGTAAGTCCACTACATGAAGCATTGAAACATATACTTACATGAATTACCAACAACAACGGGAGGGATAAAATGTTTTAGAATAACGAAAAAAGTAGAAAAATTGTCTCTGCATTGAAACGACCAGAAACAATTAATCTTAACTATTTCTTTAACGATTGAAACAAGCAATATCAAACTACAAACTCATCGTAAAAGGATAAAAGGACATAAGAAATGAATAATAGAATTAAAACAATCTGTCGCGATCCTTTTATACATTTACGAAAACATGAGAAAATACATAATTCAAACAAGTTGCACGGTGATGTAATAATGTCTGTTTCCATTTTGATTTTTGTTTTCTACTTCGCCACTTACAAGCTTACATTTGATGCTTACAAAATTCGATTAGAGGAAGAAACCATTGCTATTTGGAATATGTATGAAGTAAAGCTCGTTTTAAAACCGATATACAGGGTGGCCCGCAAAAAAAACCGACATAGAACAGGGGCGTGTAGCGGAGCCCAAAATTTGTTGTTTAACCCAACTTAAGTTAATGCAAAGTTACATTCCTGAGAAGTTATGGTTTTATTAAGTTAAACAGCCTAGTTTAGGCTCCCCTACACGCCACTGCTCTGTGTCGGGTCTTATGCGGGACACCGTGTATAATATTCTTTATACACACAGCGTGTCCAATTAATACGTTGAATTAACACAACAAATACATGTAAAAGTACACACAATGATTCAAGGCCCTACTATGAATGAACTACCAGAAAAAGTTAAATTAATTAATAGTAAAATTAGAATTAACTATTTATTTTTTTCATAAAACAGCCCTTAAACCATGATTATTTAATAGAAAATACATATACAGGGTGTTAGTTAATTAACTACTATTACCAGTGACGTCCACGTCCGAAATTTCATAAAAATATCTAGAGTAATAAGAAAATTATGATAGAAAAGTTTTTTTTTTCAGAAATTGTAACACCCTGTAGCTCGAAAACTAAGAGGTTTAGGACATACATTCATATAAACTTTTCTTCTTAAAATCATCCAAACATTCACATCCTGAAGTATCGGCACTCAATTAATTAACACCCTGTATAAACGTGTTTGTAAATAGTCGCCAATTTTTGTAACATCCATTAAATTTCCAATGCTTTCTAAATTGCAATGGTTTAACAAATATGGGACGTCCAACAAAGCACAATTAATACATTTTAGCTGAGCGACAAATTCTACGAGAGAAACGTATATCTGTGTGGTATCGAACATGATTTTAATAGAATCAACGCTTTCGGAACAGAGCTTTCCTCGATCAGTAAACTTTTAAAAGAAGCTTGTACTTACGCGATGGGATCTTTTTAAACACGGTTTGAGACATGAATTTCTGGAATCTCTGAGCGTAAAAACTCGGTCTATGCACGGAGACGGTGTCCTAAAAGAAAACAATTCCAAATCAGCGAAACGTTACGCACCATTAAAACAAATTTATTCGGCTTTCGTTAAGATAAAAATAAAATACTTGCACCGTCGTGAATCATAGACTTCCAAGTGTGTTCCAACTTTTTCTTTAACCTATAGCTCTGCAATATATCTATAACTCCAACGTATAAAAGAAGACGTTCTCCTTGGCCGTTCCTTGCAGGTATACCGCCAGGTCTAAAATAAAACAAATCTAATTACATATCAAAAATAATTAGTAAGTATATTTTATAATAAATATGCAGTAGAACCGGGTACAATGAAGGAAACCAGTTCTTATAACCAGCAAACTTCTCCAGAGGAGCGTAGGCGAAGGTGCTGTTGAATTGGTTGCCTACCTACCAGGCACACAGAAAAGCTAAAGTTCATTTTAGCTCCATTTATTAATTTTCACACAGTTCAAAATTTCCCTCGTGTGAATGGTAATTCTGTCTTTCACTAGGGGAATTTTATGGCGCGCGGTTGAAATGCCGATGCGTTGTTGCCATATGTTAATCACAAAATTTCGCTATTTGAAGTTGACACGTTTCGACTACAATTTGTTTCTAAATGTTTCTATATAGTTCTAAATGATTCTAGACAGTTCTAAAGGATTCTGGAGCGTTCTAAATGGCTCTTAGGCATTCTACATGATTCTGGGCAGTTCTAAATGATTCTGGAGCGTTCTTACTGAGCCTGGAGTGGTCTAAATGATTTTAGATAGTTCTAAATGATTCTACACAGTTCAAAATGATTCTTGAGCGTTCTGAATGACTTTGGAGTGTTCTAAATGATTGTAGACGTTCTAGATGATTCTGAATATGGTATAGCTCGTTTGAAGGTCCCTTTTCAATGGAAAATATACGCGAGAGTACTTACGGTGTATCGTCGTCTTCATCGATGGGTTCCGATTCAGCCTGAATACTCTCCATAGCAGTGGAATGTGCGACCAGCCTTTGCCTATTAATCGACCTACTTCTGTTCAGCGCACCAGCGGCGGCCATTCTGTCTTCTTTCTCTCTCTCCATTTCTTCGCGGATCATGCGCGTGCTGACGTCGCCCAGCTCGCCTTCCACGTGCAATCTGTCCAGATTCATCTGAGATTTCCTCTCCTGCAACGATAGTTCGGTTAACGAGATGTTCAGAGTTGCGTGCGAGTACTCGCCATTTTCTCTTTCTGCGCCTGATCCAAATTGTGAATGGCCAAGAGCAAACTGTAGTCCATTATTTTGAAGCTTTCCAGTACCCTACAGTCCCTTTGGATCGTCTTCGTTAAAGCGTTGTACGTGTCCGCCTCCATGAATATCCCGTCCGGGTGGTGTTCGATGAAATCCAGATCTTTGTAAGTGGGCACTCGTTTCGCCCGCTCGGCCTTAGAAGCCTAAAAATAACGACAAATTCCATGAATAGAACAAAAATAAAACTAATATCTCCCATTGATCTGGTAGACAAAAGTCTCTGTATCCAGAATCGGGTATGGGAAAGAATAATAAGGGAATGCTTGTATAATTACCTTTCTTTTGTAGGTACTGCCTTTCAGATCATATTTTTGGTGCATTACTATGCTATTCGGTAATAAATTATTCATGACTACCAGTCTCACGTTTTTACTATTACACTGATAACAATAGAGCCCGAAGAATTTGGGCAACAAGGTCCTAGGGTTCTGATTCAAATTCATATAATAACCTGCAACCAACAAAAGTATATAATAAACGTAGAATAGTTTCAATTTTTCGCGGTAGCAGGAAAAATATCTCGTCACTTCCTAAACATTTGTGGTATTATCTACATTTACATAACCCTTTCATGTTAATGCCTCGCCTATCTCTGGTGGTTCATTAATTCGCCATTTTACGGGCGACCTTAATTTCATTTAGAGTCCTCCGCTTGCAATTTACAAGCCGATGGAATTGGCGTTCTTTGTTGGAAACCGAACACGCTTTCATGCTAATGTTTTATTGTGATGTAAGTGTCGTTAATTTCTTCGTAATAATTCCGTTTCTCCTCAATTTCCCTGACAAATTTTCTTTTCTATCGAATAATCGAGTAAGTGTTGCAAGTTCGAGCAAATTAATTGGCCATTTACACGCACAAATTAGGCCTTAATCAACGATTGAACAAGATTATTAGTTAGACATGTTATGATTCCGCAATAAATAAATTTGATAAACAGCAGGTGCTGGTATGTATGTACATACATTATGTACTTTAACCGAGTTTACTACATACTCGTTTCGACGGAATGAATCATTTGTTTTTATTGCGTGCCATGCGCGGGATTTTTTTAACTTGTATGTAAAAAAATTCGCGAATTTTATCCCCTTAACGCTGGTTTTTTTAACGAGTACATAATCTCTTTATTGAGAGATCTAAAGTAAACTATTTAAGTAAAAAAAAGTATTTAGCTCCCAATAAATCAGTCGAAATCGATTGGTTAAACAAACAACTATCGAATGCATGATTATCCTTTGAATTCGCCGAGTAGTTATCGTGAAAATTTAGGAAACTGCAGTAAAACTACTCAAGGTTGAAGTTGCACATTTTATCACTCGATGTTCGACGTTAAATCGTTTTATACAGTAGTTAGAAAATTGCACAAGCGCTCAAAAATAAGTTTATGTTATATTCCACAGTTTAGAAAAAAATCAACAGTTTTTTTTAATAAAATTGTTTTGGTCCATACCTGCTAACAATTTTTGCAAAAACTCCCCTTCTTTATGCTGAACAGTCTTAATTATAAACTCATCATCCTGGGTTACGTAAAATATGGAACCGCTGGCGCCTGGATTCGATAATTCTCTCAATCTCGAATTACACATCGACATCTAAAATTTTCAATCAAACACATAATAAAACCAGCTCTATTTTGTATGATAACGCTTGTTTATTTCACAAAAAAAAAACGAACCGATGCGCAAATGTTCAGTGTTTTATACAGGGTGTCCAAAAAACAGATCAATAATTCGAGAGCGTGTAGAGGACACCAAAATAAGGGTATACCTTCGTATAAATTTTGTTCATTTGAGCCCCCTTTTTTGAGCTAGAGACCTTTAAAGTTGAAAATTTAAAACTTATTTTTATGTTTTATTTCCAAATTATACATGGGAACAATATAGAATTTTTTTGGTGATAAAATGAATCCTACATGCACTACTCACTAAAAGAGAGTGGCGGCGTATTCCCAGTGATTAACAATTCGTAACTTTTATGGGGACAATCTGTATAACGCAAACATATAGTAAATACATTTTTTAATCGATAAACTAACAAAAATAGACTCTTGTTTGAAGTCTATAAAATTAACGGTTTAAGAGAAATTTCAATTTTTTTATGATAGGCTCAAATATTGGGAAATAAAAATAGAGGCTCAAATGAACAAATTTTCTGGACACCATGTATATATAATCTTTTCAGAAGTGAAGGATAGATTATGATTCGTTTTAAATCTGGTTTCAAATCGAATTGTTCGAATCTATCGAGTATACCTAATTTGAAATTGGTTCAAGTCTAATATTGGTTTACGACAAGTTGTATTACAGATTACATCTCAATGAACAGTTCAATGAATTAAATTGCTATTGGAAAATCTGTCCAATTTAAAGTAGAAAACTAGCGAAACAAGTAAACTTGTTCGTCAATAAAGGAAGTCCAAACTCCTTTAATTAGTTAATTAAATCACCAAAAAAAAACCGAACAAAATGCGCAAATGCTCGCTAATAATACCGTTAGAGCGAACAAAAAAATCTCTTGCGAAAATTATATTACCAAAAAGTCATCGGGCTGGATGCCGAACAGGTCCCTGAAATACCTGAAGGCTATGGGAGCGTAATTTTTGAATTTGAATTCGGAATAATGATGCGCCGGAGTGTGATTAGACCCTTCTCTCGGAAAATTCGTCGTCTCCACCGTCATGAAGTCTTGCATGAGCAGGTCTCTTTCGGGCTTCGACGCCAGCCCGCCGACGGCGTGCTGAATGCCTATGGGACACATTCATTTAACCATCAAAATGGAAACGAAATTAATACAAAAACCTCGCGTAAATGATTAGGGGTTCGTTCTAACAAAAATATTGTACATGGTGACTCAGAGTAGATTTCAGTTATTTCACCACAAATTGCCAGCCCCCCACTAACTTTTCAAACGGTTGCACAGGGCATGTTTGAAAACTGAAATCTACTCCGAGTAATTCTGTACTTGATTGGATAATTTTATTGGAACAGTTCTTCGGTAGCTGCTGCTTTTTACCTAATTGTATCGATCCCATGATCTGCGTTGTCTGGATTTTCTTATAGGTAATCTCACCGCCCACGCCCACCCTCCTGTGACCGATTTTTCTTTCGCGTTCATTTTTCGGTTTGTTGTCTTGAGAATTCTTCTGACTAATCTGAAAACGAAGCACACACTTTTAGTTTGTAAATCTAAAAAAAATGTTATTTGCTGCGTTTAGTTTAGCCACTGTTCGATTGAAATTGCAACTTACTCAGCAAGAAATGGCACTTATTAGACGATTACAAATTAACCTGACACTTACCTCATCGTTTATAATTTTGTAGGATTCGAATTTTTCTGTGTAAACCTCGACAGCGTTAATTTTGTATGACCCGACAGTCATTATTATTCGAATCGGCCGAATTATGCGGAATTTTAAACGCGAACAATCACCTATCAGTTTATTCCAGCGCTGTCCCGAGGAAACCAGTTAACATAGAACTTCTAGTCGGTCAAATTGAATGGGTTATTATTTATTACAGATATGATCTTTATCAGTTTGTTGCGTCACCAACAGGACTCGGTTTTAATCGCGCTAAAGCCAAGTTATTGCAAAACTTTTCGAGCATCTTATTGTGTTTTGTTAATTAATTTTTTCGCCTAATTAAGAGGCATTATTTCGCATCGTTATGAAGCGTTCACCACTAAAATAGGTGTAAAGTGCAAAGCAAAGTTCAACCGTAAAATCGTTGCCTTGGGTAATCAATTTGCACTGTCGTATCTACGTTTCATTACTTTATTAATTACTTATACAATTTAAATGATTATTGTCCCTTATTAGTGCAATTGGTGCCGGTCTACTACGTGGTCTATCGTAATATTTTCGGTCTACCTGCATATTTCATCGTCCAAGTATATTTAAATACTATGACATGTTTCATAGTTTGCAAAACTGATACTGGTTGTGAACATGTCTTACTTAACTGCAAATATTTGTTCATTTAAACTTTTTTTCTATCTCCTACAGCTTCCGAAATTCCTGTACTAAACATCGAAAAAAAATTCTGATAGGTACTTCCGTAATTCTCGATAAATTAAGCTACTTATCTGCTATTCCGTACATAATATACTAGTAAAATCTTTTCGTTTGCGTAATGAAGATAAGGTATATTTGCGTTTAATTAAATAAATACTGGTAGGTCTCCAATTCTCGCTAAATTGAATTATCGACATGTTGTTCTAGTATAAATAATACAATACCAGTAATCTTTCTTTTCAAATTTGATAATCTTGCTGTTATACTTTTTAATAAATAGTATATTATTTTGGGTAGACCGGGACCGGCACCGTGTAATTTGTATTTGGCCATTTCAATTAGTATTTCGGTAGTTTACAAATCGAATGAGTACCATCTAACTTTTGTACCATTTCAATAAATACTTGTATATTGTACCAGATGACCCAATTTCGCCTAACCTACTTTAAGCATGATTCTTTATATTTCATATTTATTTCTTACGCGGAACCGAATGTAATTACCGATAAATTAGAAGCAAATTACCTCAATATCGCTAACATTTACACGAACTAACTAGAGTGAAGTCGACGCTTTCAAATGATATAAAAAAGCGTCTTTAATGGAGCGTCGAGAACGGAATTATGCGCGGCCCGTCCGAATCGGGTCAGATACGCCAAGAATTATTATTGTTTGTGCGAATGTTTAAAGCGTAATGAAATTTTTATTGTATTGTAACGGATAAAAAGAAAGTGGACGGGGAGTAAATTGCGATTACAATCGACGTTTGCTCGACGCTTTCAGAAACTAAATTCAAATTTACGTTGAATTAATGGAAATTACTTACGTCTTGTATGCTCCTGTAGGCGATGGAATTGTCGTCTTTGTCTGAAAAATAAGCAGCAAATTTAATCGGGTTTAATTTACTCGGTAAATTTTAAGATTTATTCTATATTTTATTTCATTCTATATTTCTCTTATTACAACATTAGAATTATGGGATAGAATCTCTTAGAACGCTCCAGAATCATTAAAAACTGTTTAAAATGCTCCACAACTATTTACAACTATTTACAACATTTTTATTTTATTATTTATTATGCACTATTTGTCTATGCACTTTACATGCATGCGTTTTGCATTATTTCAGTCTCTAGTTATAAGACTAATTCATTTTTGAGTTATTCTGGTTGTATAATTAATATTTAATGTTTGTTTAAGAAAAATTGTATTAAATTAACAATGCATTCAACGTACAAAAATAATTCCTGAGTATTATTATATTTCACATAATTCATAGGAAATTCCCATTTTTCAGAGGAACGAAGATAAGGTGTAAGTAATGTTAAGATTCTAAAATTAGAATAAACATGTTCAAACATTTCGCAGATTTATTAAATTAATTTTTCAGCACGATTTGTTGATTTTACATTATAATATGTAATTAAAAGCGAGTTAATTTTAATAAAATTTTCTTAGAAATGTCTAATTGTAGTTTTAATATTTCTGTAAATATTCCTCAAAATACCATAAAATGTTTTACACAATTACTGAGCGTGTTTTAATAACAAATATGTGCAAGCATTTTCAAAATATTTTTATATTATCTATATCAACTCGTTTCTGTTAAATATACATACTACATAACAATTATTATTATTCAAATTGATATTTTGATATTAAATAATTATTCCGATGAAAACTAGTTAATGTATCACTTCTGGATTAGTTTAAAAGCGATAAAATGCCATTTCATTTGGCCCCCAACCACGTTGTATCAAATAATAAATCTGAGAACATTCGAAAAAAAAAATACTTTAATTCGCTTTTCTGGCTTATTTCTGATTTATTCTGACAAATATTATTATTTAAACAATCCTGACGTCCTTTCGTTTGCAGTGTATCTTTAGTAAACATTGATAATTTCATAGGAAGCTGTTTGCTAAAAAAATCAGGAAATTCTGATGGAGACCGTATTGAAGGACGCTGATTTTGAAACACAGCGTTGATAAACCAGTAATGAGTAATTTTTATCTAATTAAATTTCAGTCGCTACTTTCTTTGATAAACAAAATTACTCGTACATATAACAAGCTCTCTATCAGTAATTTTAGCAATGAAATTAAAATAATTAATGTCATAAATCTACCCTATAATAAGCGATTTTTTTAATCACGTGGCATTTTTGTTAAAAATATTTAAAACTGTTTGACATTGACAGCTCTTTTCAATGACAGTTGTTTTATGGTGTCCCATGTTGCAAATATAGGGTGTCCCAACGAAAAGTAGCCCATTTTATCGGCTCGTAATTTTTAAACGCATAATTATAAAAACATGCGGTTTTCGCAGATATGTTTTATTTTGTTACAGTGAAAGAGACATTTTGTATGACTTGTACAGGGTGTCCTATCAAACTCCCCTCTTTTCAATTGACATAAATGAAGTTTAATAAAATGGAGCACCTTCTTATTGAAGAATAACGTGCAAAAATAAAACATTTTTTTGAAAAGAACAAGAGTATATCTTTCAGAATACCTCTACATATACCATTCCATTTAACAAAATTTGAATACCGTAAATTTAAAAGAGGAGATTGTGATCAAATACCATGTACAGGTAATTCATAATTTCTGTGTTCTGGTAACAAAAATTATAGCAAAATAAAACAAATCTGCGAAAAGTACATGTTTTTATTAGGCGTTTAAAAGTTATAAGCTAATTAAATGGGCTACTTTTCATTGGGAAACCCTGTATATGAAAAACCGAATTGACAGAAGGAATTGTCAATGTCAAATATTTAAATATAGACAAATTTAAGAGTTTGAATTTCTCCGTCTATAAAAATGAAAATTAAGAACTACATGGCTCCCAAATAAATTTTCGAAACAAACTGGTACGTTAAACAATATTTTACCAACGAGTTCTTCAATAAGTGTCCAAAATATTTGTTCATAAACAACATTATAAGTAGATAAAACAGCTCCTACTATTCTTTTGTCAAAAATCTATAATAAGAACGAATCTATATTAACTATTAAAACTCTCATTAAACTGAATAAGTGGCATATCGACCGCTACGTTTTTGGAAATAATTACAACCAAAACACCTACGCAATTTGTTGAGGAGCGATAGAAATAAATGTTGTCGATTTTCAAGTACATGTCGCATTAAGTACACGTTATATTACAATTGCAAATATCCTTTTATCGTGGTAATAAAACGAAGGAAAATTCAATGCGCATGTAAAGCGTGGAGGACAGAAAAGCGGCTGTAAATGTAGTTTCCGAAACACATCGAGCGTGCCCTGTCTACGGCTCCTTTTTCAATTGGAAGAATCGATTGCCCAGCCGACTCGACTGTTTATTTCATTAGAGACTAGACCAAACTGAAAAGGGCACACGATTCAATTTTCACGGGATTTTTCGTTGTCCGAAATTAAACTGCGCGAATTCTCCAAAACGAAAACATTTTCGTCTCTCCCGTCCCCGAGGACAGCGACGATTAATTTATTCAAATTGCCGCTATTTATAGCGAAATCGCCCTTGCGACAATTTTGAAATTAAAATTTTTATCGATCCGGGCCCGTTGGAGGTGTGGGATCGCAAAGTTTAATGAATAATGTTGAGTTTATGGGGAGTTTTTTTTTATAATAAAAAACCATAATTCGGTACTTCACCGGGACGGATTTAAATTGAACGCAACAGGGATTATAGATTTTAATGCTATAGGTAAATTGGGTGAATGAAAGATCATTTCAATCTGACCTCATTTCTTCTACTTCTCTACTCTCTTGTACTCTACTACTACTCTCTTCTAATCCTCTACTGCTCTATACATTTTTCTACTCTATTGCTCTACTCTCTTCTACTCTATTGTACTCTCTTCTAATGCTCTAGTTTCTTCTACTCTCTTCTTTACCACCGCTGCTTCACAGGATACCGAAATTTTTGTTACAAATAAAAACCAAATACCAAAATAAATAAATACCAAAATTTCGCTAGAAATTAAATCATTTCATAAAAAAATAAAATTCGCCTTGATGAAGATCTCATCGAATTTTCTATACGATACCTCGCAACAAGTGCTCTAATCGCGCCTCAGCGGTTTCTAATATAGGCAAAATTCGGTCGATTATGTAGGTGAATTAAAAGTTTTAGGCGATACGCCGGTACACGTAACCGATCTAAAAAGTCGAAATCCGCAATTCGTACATTTATGTCCAGTGAAAAACTAACTAGTCCGTTCGAAACGCCGAATGTGGTGAAATGGAAGGCCCTGACCCACTTGCTAATTTCTCTAAAAAATTAATGGTAATCGAAATGCTCATTGTGTAACGCCGTCACGAAACTCATAATAAAGCGGAGAATCCATTGCGTAAGGTGCGTCTTCGTTTCAAAAGGCTCTTCAAAAGAATTTTTATAATAATAAAGCAGTGAGCGACATTGACTGGCGCACTGATTGGAGAGTTCTTTGCGGCTATAATTCTTCGTTTTTGAAAGGGGAAAGTACTTTATCATATGTGAATGATTACTACGGATCGAAAAATGGACGTTTCGGGGTCAGACTTCATCATCAGGGTAGAATTTGACAAAAAAAAAGATTATTTTTGGGTTTTTTCGAACTTGTCTTGAAAATTCCCAAGAAGTTATCTACGAACAACCTTACTAAGCCCGTTACTTGTGAAAAAATCATTTTGGAAAATTAGTTCTTCATCTCTCCAAAGTTGCAAGTAATATTGTTTTTTACTATATCTCGAAAATAATGCGATTTTCGAAAATTTTCGACTATCCAAAAATTGTAGAGAAACTTTTTTCTATAAACAAAATAAACACAATGTTTATATCTCAATTTTCTATGAAACAAACTATGAACCGGATGTTTCTCTATTAGTTATCAAGGTAATTGCGATACTCATCGAATTGCAATAAATAAGTAGTTTCGACAAGATGTATAAATAGGTACTCACATTATCTCGAGAATTAAGCGATTTTCGAAAAATTTACGATTCTTCAAAAGTTACAAAGGAAATGTTTTTTTCTACAAAACAAAAGCTATTGTTCTCAATTATTTTTACGAGATTTTATTTACTCATTCTTTCTTTTAAACCCTTATTAATTCTTTTCGCTTAACCCAAATTTCATTCGATTTTAGCGAGTCCACTATTTATATCAGCCACACAACTGCGAATAGAAATAGATTATTAACAAACTATTAAAGTCATCTCGTAATAACAATGCGGTGTTATCAATTTAACGGGCGGGTTAATTGCATAAATATCACCTTGATGAACGTGGTAATCGAATTGTTTCTTGAGAATGCGGATATTTTCAAAGGCGTTCAAATCGAACTTGTAATCGGTCGAATTTTACAATAATAAGCGTTATTTCTGTTAAGTTCAAGTCGGTTTTAACGGGTTATTATAATCGGAACGTTGAATGTTTAACGACGATATTCTTAGACATTATCGAGCCTCATAAATTAATCAAAAGATTCACTAATTATTGAAAATTGTAATGAACGAATGAGTAACCAATTCTGTTATTCAACCGGCTCCGCTACGAAATTTATCAATTAAATTTGAATTGTAAAACGTCCATCGCGCCTTATTTGTTTCTATAATGTCGCATAAAAATTCTACAATAAAATTACTGAACGATTATGTTTGTGAATAATAAAAGGTATCGCTAATAGCGCTTTAATATTTAAATGCAGTAATGATAGGACTATCTTATATTTGCATTTATTTAATCGTTTGTTTACTGGAATGTAAAAATAGGAATGTATTCTTTAAATATTCAAATCTCAAGTTAGTTTTCCCGAAATCAATGATGAGTGAAAATTAACACCGTTTTCGGGGACAGTGACGCATTATTACTGAACAAATAAGTGTAACAAACCAAAACAATTAGCGAATTTATGTTATTTAAATTATAATCTTGTAGCCAGAAAAGCGTTGCAGAACATTGACCGAACCAAGTCCGTTACCCTTAACATACAATTTTACAAGTAAATACATAATTAAGTGCAAACTATTGCATATTTCTAAGACAATACTTTAATTAAAAATCGATTTAAACGAAAACCAGCGCACGATTCTATGCATGAAATGATGAAAACATGTTATGAATACAGTCGAAATTACAATTCACAAATACCCAGGTACAGAGTGTTTAAGTTTGATGAAAATACAAATATTTTTCGAAGATAATTTACGACCGTTCAATAGAGCTTGATTCGATGTAAAGTAACTTTGCATTTTACGTAAAAATTAACCATCATAAACAAGCCTGTTGGTTTTGAAACCTAATCAACAAATCACTTTTATTGGTACGTTTTTTTTTCATTCAAGGTCTCCACGAAACCTATGTAATAAGTTTAAAGTTTGAGGAAACTTACACATAAAATAGGCAGGTGCAATTATATGCAGGATATTTTAATTATTATATTTAAATGTTTTCGAATCACAAAATTCCTAAAAGTGAGTGTAGGAACAGGAAGTTGGAATTTTCCTGTGACTATTTTTAAAATCTAAATCAGTAAAATTAATTAGTTTTATTCCCTATTGCAACAGTATGATTTAAAAAAATATGTATTTTAACAGATATTTTGTGTTAACAGGCAATTTTCTTTGTTGTAAATACCCTTGAATAAAGGTTTAAAAAAAGGTATGTTAGTGACTCAGGTCTTAAAAGTATGTCAAGAATTTCCTATGACTGAATTCTTTCAATAAATATATATTTATTTAAAAGTAATATTTTATCTAAACTTAGAATTTTAATAAATTTATAGACAATAAAACGACAAAAGAGTGAATTATGTTTTAGCAAATAAGCACTAAAAAACGTTCTAAATATATGTAATAAAGAATGAAAATTACACTGGTCTGTTAAACTATTTAAATTAATGAAACATACCATCAATTTCCTCCGATTCTGATGTTTTTCTATAAACAGAGCCATCCTTGGAGCTGTTCATATTCGTTATTTGAATTGTATCTACAGTTTGAATAGTTTCGATTGTATCTCCAGAAGCCATTTTGTAAACTAGAACTAATTTAATTTAGAAATCAAACGTTGATTTCATTAAAACAACACACTAATACAACATTTATAACGGACTAATTATTGATACGGTGAGAACATCGAATTAGTGTAAAATCCGTTTACACTCCACACCTTTCGACTGACTGAACTTTGACATGTCAATATTGACTTCTATTTGAAATGTCAAATAATTTCTTCAATTTTGTTAGCCTCGTCCTTTGATGTAGTTGTTCTTCGTTCAAATAAACTAGAAGAATTTTAACGTTCGTTTGTATTTGACATAAATTTTAATTTTATGAAAAAATTTATAATTTGTTATATTACTTTGTGTAAAGCGACAATAATCACAGTGCTTAAATGATGCGATGAAATATTGTTTCAAAATTATCATTTAAAAAAATATATTTTTTAATTTGTGTTCGGAATAATTAGAAGTTTCTAGACGTCGGAGCAGGTCGAATGAAACGAACGCAATCGCGCTGTCAGTTGTCATTACTGTGAAAAAGCTACGTCATTCTTTGTCAGTTTAACGATCGTCAGCATTTGGAGAAAAAACTGAATTAGTTTCCGAAGTGAATAAATATATCTCTGGTTGGGTAGGGAATAAAGTTCCAGTGTTAACTATAAATTTGTGTTAAAACCATGGCTGATAGCAAAAGGTAAGAATCGAAATTTTGCGTTCGTATCGTTGCCGGTTTGCTTTGATTTCAAATGGAAATCTACAGTGTCATCATGGTGGATTCCGAAATTTCTATTTATACTATATTTTTTATTTTCGTCGATTCCTTTAAAGGAATTTATAATTTTCGCCTAAATTGATTTCGGCGTTAATAAAAACGAATCCTGCGATCGAAAACTATTTTTTACCTATCAGATTCCGATGATAAGATTTTTTTTTTATTTTCAATTACAGCCCAGACGATCTAGCGACTGCGATCCTCCGCAAAAAGGACCGTCCGAACAGGCTTTTAGTCGAAGAAGCCGTTAACGATGATAATTCCGTTGTGGCCCTGTCCCAGGCGAAAATGGACGAACTGCAGCTCTTCAGAGGCGACACCGTTCTACTTAAGGGCAAGCGTCGAAAAGAAACTGTCTGCATAGTCCTCTCCGACGATAGTTGTAGTGACGAAAAGATCCGCATGAACAGAAACGTTCGGAATAACTTAAGAGTCAGGCTGTCTGACGTCGTTTCTATTCAGCCCTGCCCCGATGTTAAGTACGGCAAAAGAATCCACGTTCTTCCCATAGATGACACAGTAGAAGGACTTACAGGGTAAGATCTAATTCACAACGCTTCTAGCTCGATGCAGGAACATATTTGTTCGGAACATAATTTTAGAATTGTTCTGACAATTAGAAATCTACATAATATAATACAATTTAAAAACAAAAAGTCCTATTTATTTAAAGGAACTTATATAAAATCTGAGTATTTTCTCTATGAATATTGTTAATATTTCTAACATAATCTCTTAACACAAAGTTAGGTGAAGTAATTGGAATATTTCTCACAAAAATGTATCATGTACAACCTGTTGAAGATGAGAACAAGTCAAAGATGTCAGATTTAAAATAAAATATTGGTTTTAATCTGTTCCTTTAAATTAGCCGGTGTGTGTAGTTCCACCTAATTTTATCTCTTTAAAAAAATTATAATCTTGCAAGCCCAAAAAAACAAACGTTTCGTTAACCATCAATTACTTGCTTTAAATAACGTTTCGAGTGTATTCTTTTAGAAATCTGTTTGAAGTGTATCTGAAGCCGTATTTCCTGGAGGCCTATCGTCCCATTCATAAGGACGACGTTTTTATCGTAAGGGGCGGCATGAGAGCCGTTGAATTTAAGGTAGTGGAAACCGATCCGGCCCCTTACTGCATAGTCGCGCCCGATACGGTCATCCATTGCGACGGGGATCCGATCAAGCGCGAAGAAGAAGAGGAGGCCCTCAACGCTGTCGGCTACGATGACATCGGAGGTTGCAGAAAACAGCTGGCCCAGATCAAAGAGATGGTCGAGTTGCCGTTGAGACATCCTAGTCTGTTTAAGGTATTAATTATCTATTTATTTTGGTTACTGTATCGTAATTGTTTGTTTGTACCTGTTTGTTAGGCTATTGGTGTTAAGCCGCCTCGAGGTATCCTCTTGTACGGTCCACCAGGTACTGGAAAAACTCTGATAGCCAGAGCCGTCGCTAACGAAACCGGAGCTTTCTTCTTTTTGATTAACGGTCCGGAAATCATGAGCAAGCTTGCAGGAGAATCGGAGAGTAACCTGCGCAAAGCTTTCGAAGAGGCCGACAAGAACTCCCCGGCCATCATCTTCATCGATGAATTGGATGCTATCGCACCGAAGAGAGAGAAAACGCACGGAGAGGTAAGATATTTGTAATTGATTTTTTCGAAGAAATATGAGAGTATTTCGGTTTATTTAGGTGGAGCGTCGCATCGTTTCGCAATTGCTTACTCTAATGGACGGCATGAAGAAGAGCTCGCACGTCATCGTTATGGCCGCCACGAACAGGCCGAACTCCATCGATCCCGCGCTACGTCGTTTCGGAAGGTTCGACAGGGAAATCGACATCGGCATTCCGGACGCAACCGGTAGATTAGAAGTGCTGAGAATCCACACCAAGAACATGAAGTTGGCCGACGACGTCGATTTGGAGCAAATCGCGGCCGAGACTCACGGTCACGTGGGCGCCGATTTGGCTTCGCTCTGTTCGGAAGCGGCGCTTCAACAGATCAGAGAAAAGATGGACCTAATCGATCTCGAAGACGATCAAATAGACGCGGAGGTGCTCAATTCGTTGGCCGTGACCATGGAGAACTTCCGTTACGCTATGACGAAGAGCAGCCCGAGCGCCCTGCGCGAAACCGTGGTCGAGGTGCCGAACGTCACATGGGAAGATATCGGCGGTTTGGCGAACGTCAAGAAGGAATTGCAGGAGCTGGTGCAATATCCGGTGGAGCATCCCGATAAGTTCCTCAAGTTCGGCATGCAGCCGTCTAGGGGTGTGCTGTTTTACGGGCCGCCCGGTTGCGGTAAAACCCTATTGGCCAAGGCCATCGCTAACGAATGTCAGGCAAACTTCATTTCCGTCAAAGGACCGGAATTGTTAACGATGTGGTTCGGTGAATCTGAAGCTAATGTTAGAGACATTTTCGATAAGGCCAGATCAGCAGCTCCTTGTGTACTTTTCTTCGATGAGTTAGATTCGATCGCCAAGTCGAGAGGTGGAAATGTGGGAGATGCCGGCGGTGCCGCCGATAGGGTGATTAATCAAATTTTAACCGAAATGGATGGTATGGGAGCGAAAAAGAACGTTTTCATAATCGGTGCTACAAATAGACCAGGTAAATTTTATTGCTATTAATAACACATGCGTATTTACTATCGATTGATTACTTTTAAGATATCATTGATCCCGCTATATTACGTCCCGGCCGTTTGGATCAATTGATCTACATCCCGTTACCGGACGAAAAGTCCAGAGAAGCAATCTTTAAAGCAAACTTAAGGAAATCACCTGTAGCTAAAGACGTCGATCTTACGTATATTGCCAAAGTTACACACGGTTTTTCGGGTGCCGATTTAACAGAAATATGTCAAAGAGCTTGCAAACTCGCTATAAGACAAAGCATCGAAACTGAGATTAGACGAGAACGTGAGAGAGCATTGAATCCCAACGTAGCAATGGACGTAAGTACTTGATAAAGAAAACAATTAAACTTAAACGACCTCTTAAAATATATTTTGTTTGTGCAGCTGGATGACGACGATCCGGTTCCGGAAATAACCAGGGCCCACTTTGAGGAGGCGATGCGTTTCGCCAGACGCTCGGTTTCCGATAACGACATCAGAAAATACGAAATGTTTGCACAAACGCTACAACAATCTCGAGGGTTCGGGACGAACTTCCGTTTCCCGACGGCCCAGGGCGGGCCGCAAGCCCCGGGAGGCACCGGCGGGGATCAGGCCAACTTCCAAGATGATCCCGAAGACGACCTATATAGCTAAACAATTTGGTTGGGGGCCCGAGCACCGAGTTTGAAGAAACTTTTTTTATTTTGTATTTATTTACGAATTCCTCATACCGCTGGCAATGTCACATTGTCGGGGTATATTCATATGTTGTTTAATATAATAGTTTTGGAATATAATTACAAGTTTGTCTAAGAGAGTTCATTTTTATTTCTTTTTATCGATATAACATACAAATATAGTAAATGCTTGCTGTTATGGAATTATCTTCAAACAGTCTTTTCGTAGATATTGTATGTAAAGTTTATTCCTTTTTCAGATTGAATGTCATCAGGTACTTCAGGATCGCTGAAATATTGCATTAATAATACAGTTTATAGCAAAGTAATATTAGCTCACCTGACTTTTTTAAGATGTGCTGGTAAGGGTGGGAAAAATGTATCACAATCGAAAGTTTTTAAAATGCGTGTTAAATACAGTCTGTAAAAATTATTTGATCTCATGGCCTCCTGAAATAAACTTCAATATGTAAGTAACTGTCAAAACATGTGACATTTATAGCCAACTCGACTAAAAAGGAATTATTTCCTGCTTTCATGTTTACTTTGTTTTATAGTTCATCTCAAAACAGTATTATGTAAATGCTAAGATGATAAAAACTTAAATTATACTTGGATTTATGGTAAATATGGTAATAAAACAAAGTGAATGACCTGTATACCTCGTATAAATGACTGCCACCAATAATCCAAACGGTTTCATAAACATTCTTAAAAGAATCGACTTCCAATTTCTCAATGCACGACTCTAGACTATTAAAATGAAATGTATTAGTATAGTCGTTTAAATCTAAATCCGATCGAGATAACACGAAATTTATACGATCCGCTAATGGCTTGTATTTTTTAGGTATAGACTCCCATGTTCTTCTACCCATTATAACTACGTTTTTCTTATTGGGATCGCTCGTTTTACTGGTCATTTTAGTAAAATAGTCCATTTCAGACCTACAAAAGGATACCATATGGAATTTACGTGTAATCTTCGATATTTACTAGTTACTTTAGTTTCCATGGCAAGTTGTTGTTTTTTCCTATACCCATGTTCTCGCATGCCGCAGCAATTAGATTTAACTTCACAGGCATTGTTGATTCTATAGGCGTAAATGTACAAAGAAAGGAATGTATGAAGTATATGAAAGTAAGATTAAAAAGTCCAAAGTTTAATAAAAATCTAATCTTAACCATACTTTTATCAAAATCAAATCTAACGATTTTCTACTTTTTATTTAAAATTTTTAAATTTTCATTAAAGACACAGAACATACAGATGTCTAACATTTTGCATAGAACATAATAAAAAAAGTCATTTTTAAAAAAAGAAGAAAAACAACCTATAAAAAAGTGGTTATTAAAAATATGATAAATTTAATTTATATAATATTTTAAATGAAACTAAAACTAGAATATATTTATGTCGCAGCTATTGTAATCAGCATTTTACAACTGATAGTATTTTTCACGAATCTGGAATACGATGGTAAGTATTATTACGTCTCGTTTATACAGTATGACAATTTAAAAACTTACAATGGCTATATCTTCCAAAGGAAAGATGATATCCAAAAATGCCTAAAACCGTTTCTAGCATATGAAGGGGGAACTAATATGACATAAAAATGAATTCACTCCCATCAACCCACTAGGCCCCACGTACCCCAACTATAGAAATTTAAATAGCAACCCCCAACTTGTGATACATCATTGAAAAGCCTATAGAAAATACTATCCAATGGTATAAATAATAATTGTACAGCGTGAATCAATAATTGGGAAACTTTGCCGTAAAAGCAAAATTTAATAAAGTAAAACACCATCGAACCATTCATTGTGCATGAATTATAGAACCAAAGGAACGAAACCAAGGCAAACTAGCTCTAGACGAAGATTTCCTGCTCTTCTAACAAGATGAAGCATTAACTTCATTAAATTGTGCTTTTAAGACAAGGTTTCATAATTATTGATTAACCCTGTACAATTATTATTTATTCCATTAGATAGTATTTTTATTCTACCTTTTTTAGAATTCTTCTTTATGTCATTTTAGTTCCCCTTTCATATCATAGAATCGTTTTTACGCATTTTTTAATATGAAGCCTCGTTTGGAAGATAGCCATTATAAGTTTTCAAATTATCATACTATATTATGATTTAATATGCATCTTTTAGTTGAAGGATGGGGTAAAAACTCACTTAGAAACCTCAGTAACTACGTGTCCGAAGTAAACTTTCAAATAATCCCCTATGACTTTTGTCAAAAACCTGGGATGCTCCTAATATTCGTGTGTTCTGCCCCTCAAAACGCAGAAGCTCGTCAAGCTGTAAGAGAAACATGGGGCAGCAACAAAGTAGTTTTAAACGAAAATGTAGAACTGTTATTTTTCCTTGGAAACTCCTTAAATGCATCCGTCCAAGTAAGAGCCGTACTCGAGCCCGATAAAAATAATCAATCGTCAAAATTTTAGGAGGCTGTTTTAATTGAAAGCGAAAAATTCAACGACATTATTCAAGCCGATTTCAGCGACTCCTATTATAATCTGACCATTAAATCTACCTTAATGCTGCAGCTAGTCTCCAATAAGTGCCTAGATAAATATAAGTTTTTCTTCAAAATAGACGATGACATGTTTGTGAACTTGCCTAAGCTGGTAAAAGTGCTTAAAGAACAAAACAGTTCCGAAAATGTACTGCTGGGGAAAATGATGTGCGGTACCAAACCTATTAAGGATCCCACAAGTAAATGGTACGCAATATTTACACAATATGCCATATTTATAAAAAGAAGCTTAATGCTATAAATAAAATGCTTAAGGTTTATGCATAAAAAGAAATGAAGAAACAGGTTCTGCTTCGAGGACCTTGCTGTTGCTTTGAAGCAAACGGTTTTATGTTTTCTGTATTCATAAAAAGATGCATTTGATTAAAAAGACGAGTATTTGCTTGTGAAAATGTAAGTCAAGGTTTTCACAATCTCTTCAGTAGTTACTCAGCCACCACACAGCTTGTAAAGTAAATTTTTTGTGCATTTAGAACCATCTAACCATCATTTAGAACTGTCTAGATCAGTCCAGAACGCTTCTCCAGAATTGTTTAGAACCCCTAAAAACGCTCCAGAATCATTTATAATTGTCTAAAATCATTTTGAACACTTCAGAATCATCTAAAACAATCTGGAATGTTCCAGAAACATTTAAACAGTTAAACAGAACTATTTAAAACGGTCCAGACTCATCTTGAAGTGTCTAGAATCATTTAGAATTGGCTAGATTAATCTAGAACGCTCCAGAATCATTTAGAACTGTTGAGAACCATTTAAACTCGTTTCGATTAGTTTGACGAAATCGCTAATCTCTGGACCATTTACTTTTTTTATCCGAAAGGTTTCCTTGCAAGGAAAATGCGGAAATTATGAATATGGATCAGAGCGGAACCTTTTCCTTTTATCTTTGGCTTCTACATTTTACTTCAAAGTAAATGTTTCATTTTTATAAATATGGACTAATAAATATAGATTTATTATTGATAATAATTTATTTGTTTTAGGTATTGCCCGACGTATATGTATAATGGTACATATTTTCCTAATTTCTTATCAGGCACCGGGTACGTTATGTCGATGGATGTTACAAGGAAACTGTATAATTCTGCTATGACCATTCCTTTTATACATTTAGAAGATGTGTATTTTACAGGTGAATATTTGCTCCATAACTTCTATTTGATATTAATGATTTTTTTATAGGTTTATGTGCACAACGTTCAGGAATAACTCCAAACACACTATTTGAATTTTCTACAGGATATGTAGATGATAATTCATGTGATATAAACCACTTAATTACAATGCATTATGTTACACCTGAGAAGATGAGAAATGTATATCAAAGAATACAACAGCCGGAATTTTTGGGAAAATGTTCCCAGTACAAGTCGGTTTTTGAACCAATAGCTTGGATACGATCAACATTGTTTATTCCTCCTGCTAGGTGGAAGAGAAAAAGGATTTGTTGAATTTTATTCGTTTTCATTTTGGGTAGTATTTGATTTTATGTGATATTACTATTTATGTATTATAAGAAAGTTTCTAGGATAAACAAGTGTTCTGTGCATAGATTTTGAAATCGCACGTGTGGTAAATTGTAGGTTTGTTTTTTTTATTTCCAGTATTTAAACTTTAGAAAGTATGCGAAAGTGCCATAATAAACTGTTGAATTAAGAAAATAAAAGTATTTCAGAAATTTAAGAAAAATATATTTATTTGAAAATGTATACTACAAAATATCGTTGAAGTACAATCTAAAAACAAGTTTTATATAACATATTTACATATGGACACGTTTTTTACATTACAAAATTCCTGTACATAAACAATAATACATTTAGTTTGATTTGCATCCTATTATCATTATTTCAATCTTTCAATTCATCATAAGATTTGTTTCCATCAAAATTTCTTATAAAAAATGCATTAGCAAATGTTTTCCTAAATTTAGATAATTTATGAAATAATCAATAATGAATTTTATCATTACATTAAACACATTAAGTTTTCGTTTTTTTAGTAACCGGACACTCATTATCACTGTCCTCGTCAGTTTCAGGATTAACCTCGGTGGTATCCCCCGCGTCCGTATTACCATCAGTCCTGGATTCGTCCATAGAAGTTTCGTTATCGCAGGACACGGACGGCTCGTCGTCCTGCCTGTCTTTCAGCGTTTCCTTCAAATCCATTATCCTGAAATCGCGCACGACGCCCTGCCCGACGTACTTGCTCAGATCCGTCTTGCTCTTATTGGACAGCTGCGTGACGCATTTGCTGAATTGCTCGATCTCGTATATCACCGTCGGTATCAGCCTGGTCTCCCTGAGCACTCGCGATTTCAATGCGCTGGCGTCCACGGCCTTTTTCTTCGCCTGAGTGTTCTGCGAGTCCTTCCTGTTCTCCTCCAAATAGAGGATGAACTTGTAGATGGCGGGAGAGAGCTGCTTCCCGGAGAGCCTCACCAGTTTCTCGAATCTCGCGTCTTGAAACGTGTCGGTTTTGGTGAAGCGGCTGTTGAAATATTTCGTTAGAGAGCTCAAGCTGCCGTATAGCAGTATGAGGCTCTTGAAGAGGGACTCCGAAAGGTTGCCGGAGGGTATTTGGAGATTCGCCAAGTTCGTCAGGATGTCTACTACGAAATACAACTGACAACACACTCCTTTCTCCTTTAACTTGAAATTCTTCTTGCTGTTTTCGTAGTTGTCGTCGAACTTGAGCACCGAGTGCTCGGACTTCAGGCGGAGAATTATCGAGTCGATATCGTCCAAAATAAATTTACCGACTATGTTGCATAGAGACAAGAAAATGTGATGCACTGACGACTCGTTTATAATTTTAAAGCTTTCTATAGTTTGCTCTTCCTCGGTGATGACATCAATCATCTCCCTGATGCTCACCGACATGCTGTTAAGCAGAGCCAAGCTGACTTTGTATTTTAGGTGAGTGTTAAAAAATAAATTCACGAACGCCGTGGAGGTTTTTAAAGTAAGCGTGTTATTGCAGGCGAAATTCTTCAACCAGTCTAGAACGTTGTTGGATAAATCAGTTTCCGAAGTGGGAATTTCGTTAACTAGCGTAGTCAGAGTGTTAATGGCGATCAGTGGGATTTTCTTCATCTCCAAGTCGACTGCGTCGTTGAAGTCTTCGTTTTCGTAAATCTCTTGGTATATTTGAATGATCTCTCTCAGAGGTTTCACCAGATCCTGGGCTTGCTCATCAAAGGCAACTGTGTTCAGGAATGAGCTCAGATTATTTTTGTACTGGTTGATGATTAGGTTGATCAGAAGATTGAAGCATTCCATGGCTAAAACCGCCGTCGGCGCATCGAAATCTGTAAATTCCGCGAGTTTCTTGATGATTCTTTTGTAAATAATCGTAGCTATGGCAGTTATGTGGTCGAAATGTAGCTTTTTAACTGCCGTGTCTAGCTCTTTTTTGTGCTTGCTGGTCTGAGCTAAGTGCAAAACAGTCCCCATAAGGTGCTGATGAAGTTCTTTGTTCGTGCGAACTACGTTTGCCTCGGAAACGGTCGTCCAGGATAATTGTGGTTCATACAGCAATTCTAAGGCTTTTTTAACCGTTTGGAAATTCCAAAGAAAATCAGGAAGCTTTATATTCTTGCTCGATTTTTTCGACGCGCTTTCTTGCGTTTCCTGCGTAGTTTTATCAGCGTTCTTCTTCCTTTTCACGCCCGCTTTCTTCGGCTTGGAGAGCGACTTGCTGAATTGAACCAACCGATTGTACCCTTGAAATAGGCTGTTAACTGCGAGGCCTTGTCTCTCCGATTTCTCGTTCCACGAGTATATTTTATACCCCATCAAAGCCTCGTAAATGCACAAAGCTTCTTTAAGGACCAACAGCTTTTTCTGGCTCTCCGGAACGTCGTCCAGCAAATCAGTACCGTCATCTAATTCGAAATGCACCAGTTCGCAGTTAACCATTTTCTGCGAAAGCTCGTCTAGGACCTTAATAAACTTGTCTACATTACCAGAGTTGTTGTCTTCTTGCTCTACAACCTTAGCGCATATGAGACCTCCAGCGAATATTAATTTACCTAAGGGCTCCGCTGATATAGCTTGCGCTTCTTTGCAGGTGATTAGCTTTTCGAAATCAACCGGTGGCAGAGTATCTTCGGAAATAATGTATTTCTCGAGATGGAACCAAAGAAGATCGAGGACCGGTACGCCTAGAGCTGCGTTGAAATCGACTGCATCGTACAAACCTTCGTACAATTGCGATTTGATATCGGCTTGCTTCATTAAACATTTATTGAGAATGTTTAATATTTGGAAGCACAAGGCTTCGTTGTTGAAATTTCCTACGGTGTTTTGGGTGGTTTTGTAGGATAATTGAGTAAATACGGAATATCCGGATGAAAAAGATTGCACGCTGTTCTGACTGAGCGTAACGGCATCAGTTATCTTCAAATTAGTGAGTAGTTTTAAGAAACCGCTAACGGATATTTGCACGGTTTCGCTCGATCGAGAATACAATCCTTTCCTTAAATAGATCAATAGGTTGTCTCGTACGGTCAGCGAGAATTTCGTGAGCGGTATTAAGGCATCGAACAATTGTTTGTCCGTAGTAATCTGCAGCAAATCCTCTATGTTCCTCTGGTTTTCGAGTATCAACAAAGGCATGCTTCTGGATATCAAATACAGGCACTCGATGTACTGAGAAACGTTCTGTTTCGAAACAATGTTCATGCTAAGCGTTTGGATAATGGTAGAGGCGATTTTTCTCTTCCTCTTCACGATCTTCAGTAATATGGCGATACCTAGTGACCACTGCTTCTCAGCGACGACGTCTTGCCCCAGAGCGGAGCCCACTCCAAGCAGTACGAATGCGAAATTAATCAAACCCGATAAAGCCAGATCCCTGTCCTCTACGCTGAAGTGAACGACCTGCGATATGACTTCTTCGAGCTTGATAGTCGACGGTACCATTTCCCTGTACCACGAGGAGTGCGCCCGCTTCTTATCTTCGTTGTAAATTCTAACCACGCACGACCGTATTATTTCGAAAATGGTTTCTTCGTAGCTGTTCGATATGGTGAACAGCACCGTCAGTTGGAACGCGTTCAATACGTGCTCGGGCGCTTTGACCATGTTTTTGAGGAAGCTTAAGTACTCTCTGATGCACTCGTACCCCAGCGAAGCGGCTCGATGTATGTGGAACAGAATGGTGCTTTCGGCTTCTATGCAATCGGCGTTGTCGGTCGATTCTATCGTGTCGAAGAAAGAGTTGGAATCGGGGGAGTCTTCGGTTCCGACGTTGGCGTTTTTGTAGATCTTCAGGGTAAAGTAGTTCTGGAGTTTCATGAAAACGTGCTTGCAATTTTGCTGTTTGCAGAACTGCAACAGTTGGTAGATGAACGGAGGGAGCTCTTGAGGGGACATTTTCTTGATATACGAGCACAATTTCGTGGTAACTTTCAGGTGCTCCTCTTTGCTTAGAGGCGTATCTATGAAGAGTTGGGTCAAAGGGGTTAGAACTTCCGGAGACCATGGACTCATACAAACGCTATTTATGAAGTCTGTTTTGTATTCTTCGCCTGTGTAATCCAATTCGTCGTAGGTGAAAATGTCTTTATTTGCTAGAACTTCCAGTATTTTGGGTAGAAGGTCTTTCCAAACGAATTTTGTGGGCTTGCTCGACCGGATTTCTTCCAAACAGTAATGGCATATTTTGGCTAAATCGCCTGGTATGAATTTTCCTAGCTCTAGACATAAAACTGTTATGACTGCGTTAATACTCGTTTGGGATATATCCCGTTTCTCCAGCTCCCTTAATATGGAAAAAACTAATGTTAAACGTTTTTGGTGGCTTTCCGGGCTTTCGGAAAACGAAATTAGTATGTAATTCCATGTTTCAGTGATGTTTGAAGATCTCAGCAATGCTTTAACCAGGTCCTCTATTTCTGATTCATCAATATCATTCATTAACTCTACCAATGCATCTTTATCTCCTTTTTGTCCTAACTTATGAAATTTTTCTATATTAACTGAAGACATTGCTGCATTATATTGAAGCTAAAAAGAAAATTAACAATAAAATAAGAGTGCTTTAATATCAAATAAGTTTTTTAACTTCTTACTTTTCTTTTAATTTAATATTTTCATCACAAACAAGTTTACTCAAGTGGTATTTTCATTTTATTCAAATAATACGTTCTTCTTTTTTAAAATGTAAGATAATAGTTGAATTATCGACTGTCTTAAAGGGTCAAAGGCCAATTTTGACATTACTCAGCTGTTTGTCAATAACTGTCAATTTTTTTTTAATTCGCAGAAAGAGTAATCGAATCGTTGGTTTTGTTTGGATTGTAAATGGATTGTTATTACAATGCAAGAGAATTTAGATGATTATATTAAATTAGCACAAAATGTTAAATCGGAAGAACCTTCAGTCGAAACGAGGTATGTAACAGATTTATTATTACTTGAATATTTAAAGCTTTTAGCATATTTTTGAGAGATGTAAAACCATTTTCGAAACCTGTTGTTATTAAGAGCATTGTTACACCTTATAAACTAGTAAGAAGTCTTATTTTATAATGTACTATAAATTAATCAACTTTCCGCAATTTTTTGAGAACACAAAATGGGGTTAACGACATGCTGATGTTGCCAAGTAGCTGTAAACTACTAAACTATCATTTCACAATATTTCATATGCAAACACATTTTTAGCCTTAAATTTACCACCTGATTTTTCAGGAAAGAAATACAAATCAGCCTACAAAGAAGAAAGGCATGCGATGCTAGAGCGCAGAAAATAGTTGAGTTTTCAGTCGAAGGAAAACTTCAACCAGAAATTTTCACTAAATGTGTAAGTTGTATTAACTTTTATGTAACTTATAGCATTTAATGTTCATATATCCTGTTATTAGCTTCCTTTTATTAATCAATCACACTACCAAGACATTGTAGAAGAAAGAGCTATTACGAAATTGTGCGGATATTCCATATGCGGTAGACGGATTCCGGATATGCCTAAAAAACAGTATTTTATTTCTACTAAAAGCAATAAAGTGTACGATATAACTGATCGCAAAGTAAGTGCTTAAATCAAACAACACACTTTTTTGCGTAAAATAAAATTATATTTAATTTTAGAATTACTGCAGCAACTTCTGTTATAAAGCAAGTTTGCACATAAAGAAGCAAATTGATGATAGCCCTCTTTGGCTGAGAAAACTTGAAGACATTCCGGAATATCAATTACTAAAATCTGATGGAGGGTAATACACTTACACATAATTGTTTACCCTCTCCTATATTTCTATTGCATTTGCAGGGGTTTACCGGGAGAATACATTGACCAAGGCATTCCAAAACCCGCAGTTGGACCATCATTTACACCAGTAGGAGTTTTTACAGAAGCTTCATTATCAGATATGGTTAATAAGGAGATTAGTAGATCGAAACCGAAAGAAAAAGAAAAAAATAAATCACAAGGTAATGGATCTAAATCATTAGTAAAATTGTCATGTTATTTCTGTTTTTTTTTATTCAAGCTAAACCGAAGAAATCGAAGCTTGTGAAAACGATGCAAACAATAACTGAAAACAGCGAACAAACTGAAGAAGAAGACGAATCAATTCGACCGGCAAGCGAACACCGATGTCTTCAAAAATCTGCCAGTTTGCCAGTAATAATCGAAAATGAAGAGAACTATGATGTGAAATACGATTCTTGCGAAAACTTACATTCAACTGGGTGTGTTGCGAAATCCGAAATCAAGAAAACGAGGAAAAAGGCCTCAAAAACTCCAAAAATCAACCCCGAGGAGCTTATTAAAAAAGTTATTAGGGAATGGCTGACATTAGAGTCGTTTATCTTCCTATATGGAGAGACCAAAGTGAAGGAAATACTAAACGTAGATAAGATGAGCGATTGCTTTGAAAAATTGAATATATCCGAACTGCAGAGGGAGCAACAGGTAAAATACATGGACATCTGCAGGAGGCTTCACATGCAAGAACTGGCAGATGAGAAATTCGACAATGCAGTAGTCGGTAGCAAACTGAAGCCTGTACCGGATTATCAAACGTTAAAAAAGGAAAACAAGGAGTTGAACTTGAAAGTTAAATGTTTCTATAGTGGTATTTTACACGAAAAAGAAGACAGTAATTTTCCTACAAGAGATGATGCTGCAGAAGAAGAAGAACCGGAAATTGCTCCTGTGCTTCCTTTGGTCGACGTCACGTCCCAAAAAGCTCTTAGAAGAAAGATTTTTTTGAGGGCCGTTAGTAAATCGTAAGTTACTGATGCTCAAAACATTAGTAGTGTTAATAATTTGGAAATTTTGAATTTTAGAATGCAACAATTACTTGAAGAGCTAAGAGTTAAGTCTATCACCATTATTCTCTCTGATCTACAATCACTTGTGAAGACATTTAATTTAAATGCTGACAACATAGTATTCAAGCCTGCTGTATGGAATTATATTAGTGTAATTTTACTTCATATGTAAGTTATAAACTATGCAAATTCTAAAAATAACTATTGATTTTTGCAGTTTGGCTATCCGAGATTCTAATATAAAGCACTTATTACAAGATAAATATTCAATGGAATACATTAAGGTCCAGTTTTCGATTTTACCGAATAGAGAAGAACTTGTTAGTGATATTATGAAGGAGGTCTACAATGTTGAATTGTTCATTGAAAACTATATTTCATCGAATTAATGTGATTTTAGTTTTAAGTTAATATAAGCCTCAAAGTAGTCCCGTTTGACTCGTTTTTTTAGTCTGAACCCATCTGAGTTTATTAGAATTAGATTTTTTTAAATAACCAAATACAAGTAATATTGAAGGCTGCACCTAATTTTGTTGATTGCAATGAAGTTAGTGTCAATTCACGAATCTGTCAGTGTCACGTTCTGTCAAAGTCAAAAATAAGAACAATACAAAACAAATAAAAAATATTCGTTTTATTATTTACTGCGACTGCGATTATTTAACGTTCAAGCATGTCTTCGAACAAAAAGATAGAAGAAGGATTAGAGCACATTAGAAACGCCGAAAAAAGGTAACAGTACATAACAAATTCGTATAGGCAAAAACTAGTCTTGGTATTTTACAGTTTAAAAACTTCTTTGCTCAAGTGGAGACCGGATTACGAGAATGCTGCTGATGAATATAACAAAGCAGGTTTGTAAAACAAAAGCAAACAACAAATCCGAGCGCTCTTCATAATATTTTTTACTTTTCAGCAACATGTTTTCGAAATGCCAAATCGTATGAGCAGTGCAAAGACTGCTTACTAAAAGCAGTAGAATGTTACAAGCAAAACAAAGCGTATCCTTTTTTCACTAACTATACAGTAATTACTAAATAAATCTAATGTTTTTCTTAACTCGCAATATAGATTGTTCTATGCTGCTAAAGCTTTGGATCAATGCATTTTAGTCAGCAAAGAGCTGGGGAATTTGAAGGACATTGCTCAATACGCCGAAAGGGCGGCTAATATGTACCAAAATCAGGGAAACGGCGAGTCGGCGGCCTCATCTTTAGATAAAGCAGCCAAAATTTTAGAATCCCAATATCCCGCTGACGCCCTCAAGTTATTTCAACACGCCACCGAAATTGCTATGGCAAGTAAATCCAACAATACCTTGAAATGTGTGAAATACGAATGCAATACTTATTGCAATAATGTATCGTTTTAGATTCAGGATAGTACTAGACAGGCCGCAGAGTACATCAGTAAAGTTTCACGGCTGCACGTGAAGTTACAGCAGTAAGTTGTTTCAAATATCGAATCGTATTTGCGTTATTTTTATAATTTCAGGTACGATCTAGCTGCAGATACGATAAGGCGAGAACTGGGACTTCATCAGCAAAACGAATCATATCAAGCGACCGGTCGTTTAACAGTAGCTCTGGTACTAGTTCAATTAGCAAGAGGAGATGTGGTCGCTGCAGAGAAGGCTTTTAAAGAATGGGGTAAACATTAATTCTAGCTTTTTTTACTCCTACTTTAATAATATATTTTGCAACAGGTAATTATTGCGAAGCCCCAGAATTACAAACATTGGAAACGCTGTTGCAAGCGTACGATGAAGAAGATCCGGAAAATGCCAAGAGGGCGTTGAACAGTCCTTTTATTAAGCACATGGATGTGGAATATTCGATACTTGCTAGAGATATGCCTTTGCCCGAGGGCACCATACGCCAGTCCAAAGAGCATACTAAAGAGAAAAATGTAGAGGTAAAACTTATTTTATCTCTCACAGTCTGAATTTGATTTTAACGTGTTTGTTCGAATTCGCAGGATTCCGCAGATGCCGATTTTTCGGTACCCACCGATGCAGCAAATGTGGAAACAGACGAGGATGAAAATTCCGGCGGTTTAGGTTTATGTTAATGATATAGTTCAATTAACTCTACAGTGTCTTAATTTGCTCGTCATTTAATTGTATAACTTGTCACAGTTCAGGTAAGCATACTCGTTCAAATATGCACTACATATTTTACTTAAATGTTCTTAAATTTCATCGTGCAATAGGGTAATATTACTGTTATTAAGAGATAACGTATTTTAAGAGCAATTATTTGCCATATGCGTGTATCTAGATATAATATAATGGTCAAAATTTAGCTCATTAATAATGATCAAGATCAACCATTAATCAATCATTACCCTGTAGTCTAGGATAGATTGATGAATGCTTAATGTATGTTTGTAAATTTGCATCATAAGTAAGGTATATTTTTATGAATTTATTTATACAATATTTGTCTTTAATATTATAGCTTATCTGAAATCGTATTTTACAGAATTAATTTTTCAAGTCACTAATTATAGTAATAGTGGCATGTAAGTTAAAAATTTTAAATTGTTTTAGAAATATTCTAATCCAGTACCTGTTATAATTAAGAAAAATATTTGTCTGTCAGTTACTTTCTATTTATTCACTGTTAATATTCCTCCATGGAATTAAGTATAAATGTTAATTCTTAAATGGGTTGGCAATGAAATTTTAGAGTCCTCTCATTAAAATTCGATGAATCGTGTAATAAATAACGCAAGAATTTTTTGCATAATCGTATATAAGCTCGTAAAAAATGTTTTTAAATATTAGTGAGATTTTCTAGTCGTAAGTATTGAATGTGTGGAAGATTTATACAGGCATCTTGCAACCGGGGATCATAAAAGTGTCCAGTACAAATTCATTTAAAATAACAAAAAATATTAGAAAACTTTAAAAGTCTATGTAAAAGGTCTAACACACAAATAGATATAAAAAGTAAAAATCTTCCATTAATAATACATTCTTAATAGAAATTTAATTAATCTAATAACATTCCCTCTTATTACATACGGTGCTTCGGTTTAAATTGTAATTGTCTAGGCAATAAAAATGAAATAAAATCCTTTATTTTTAATTTCATAAAATCGAATCCAAAAGAGATCCACATAATACCTATAACCACAGTCATATATCACAAGGTCTGGCAACCTAGGTTGAGAAAATGTCCCTTTATTTTAAGCGAAAGTGCATAGTTCCTAAAACGACCGGTAGGAAGGCGATGTTGCAAGTTGCAAATGATATTTTTTGAATTCAATTTAGGTTGCTGGAGATGCAGCCATAACTTAGACAATCTTAATCTAATAATTGTTTAGAGAGCTAATTTTTCTAAGGGAACTATCAAAAACGTTCATTTAACAGGATACATCCGCTAATACAAAATACGTACAGTTTCCAGAGCTTGAGAGTGCCTATAACTCAATCGCGACCAAGACATTTCTTTACATGACTTCGAATTTGGAAATTCATTCAACTATAGTAACGCGACATTTTTCCTCATCCTTTCCTCGTCCTCAAAATACTGCTTCCTTTCATCGAGCAATGCCATGGTTTCCTTGCACAATTCCTCTTCGGGCCCCAAGTCGCCGTCCAATTCTTCGGGAAGGTTCCTCTTCGGGATTATCTTGAACAGTTCGTCTCGTGGATAATCCGGCCGATGGCAATGCAACTGGCAATGAGATAAATTTATAATGTTTTAATAGTTAATCAGAAACTTGCACAATGATGTACATTATGACGTTTCAATTACAAATACTCATTCCGTGCAGATGTCAGTTTGACATTGACTGTTACTGTCATTTTGTAATTTAGTTATTTAAATAAAATGGCGGATTTACAGAATGGTGGTGGATAAAATGGCGTATTATAGGACAGTACCTTAGAATTTTTACTTCAATAGCCAGTATACAGATAACTGCAAAGTTGTCTCTAACCCACTGTTATGTTATTTTAATAATCTTTCTTTGTTCAACTCATAGAATCGGCCATATGGCAAACAGACTTGCATTTATCCATATATTTTTTTGTTATTGTTATTACTTTACCCTGTTCATTATGTGCGGCAGCAGAAACCTTTTAATCATCCCTATTAATTTATCCGTTACGAAGCCCCCGTTTAGAAAATGGATTCCTACGAATTTGGCAGGCATCCCATCAGCTAAATATTTAAAATATGTCATCAATGAATCTATTCGTATCTTCAATATGTGCATTATTCCGACCTAAAACATTTTATAATTTTATATTTTTATGGACGAGTTTATTGTCATCACTATTCATAGACCAGTGCACAGGTTTTTTTTATTTTTGAAAAAATATTCCCACTCTCTCCAAATTTGAAAAAGAATTTAAAAACTACAACATACAGAAAGTTCTATTAAGAATAGAGATTTTTAATGACGATTCACCGACAATGATTGTAAAAAACACATTAGTACTACCACATTCTTACTATAATCATAAAAACTGTTCTCTATAAATTAGGTGCTAGGTATATTAGATCTTTTTTTGTTAATTAACAATTACGAATAAATTAATTAATATAATAGTGAAATAAAAAAAGTACATGTTTATGCATTAGTGCAGTAAAGCTCGATGTATTGTAATAAAGAAATAGGTACCTAATGAAAATGGTTATGGAAGCAGTAAAATATACGATTGTAATTAAAAGAAAAATCCGTGGAAACCCCTAAAAATTATTTATACCTAGATATCTACTGAATTTTAAACTGTGTCCACTAGCATATTTTGTGTAAAATTATAAATGCTTACTCCTTGCATGTCAATCAAATAAACGATACCGCTGGGAGGTAAATCCTCTCGCTCTATATCCAGCAGCATAAGGGCGGCTTTCATGGTCGGTATCACCTCCATATTCCTGTAATTAGTGTCCCGTAATTTAATATAAATCACTGCATTGTTACCCTCTATCCTCTCTGGCAGGTAGATTAATTTGCTACAAAATATTCGCATAAACTCAACGAAGCTAAAAAAAAAATTTTAACATGTGCTTACAAAGTTTGAAAAGCCTGTTTGAGGTCTTTCCTGTCCAAGTTCCTCTGGTCGAACAACTGCGGGGCGCTGTTCTTTATGTGGTAGTGCGAGATTATGGTCTTTTTCGTCAATTCTATGTCATTATCACAGGATAACAGGAACAACGCCAGCAGTTCCCCTTGCAACTCGCCAGGAACGCGTGAATCTTTTAATGTAGATAACCAGCTTATTATCTGCTGTAAATGCACTTCCGTGGTCCGGCCGTCTTTGATTAGGTCTTCAACGGAAAATTTGAAGGTAAGTTTCATTATTATAAACAATTAGATTTTCTAACGGACGGAAAACAACGTGAAGTAAATAAATTATTTAATCTAGCTGATTTTTTATTTATAATGGGACTGCTGCTTGAGCTTTGAACGCGTGTTTTTTATCATTAATTATCGTTTTTTGTATATCGCAAAAACTATTAATTGGCGATTAAATGCTTACTTACTGGGTGGTCAAGTATTGTGTAACAGTATAAGGTAAATCCTTGGGTAAGGTTATAAATAAAATACTAATACAAATTGGAATGATTTTTTAACATTTTTTGTTAAATTTATATCAGGTCAAGCTATATTATAACACTATATTTAAATTTTTTACTTATAATATTATTATGTATCAATAAATTGCAATTATCTATTTTAAGTTCCATTGGTATGGAGTGAATTACGTTTTTCAAATGAAATAGCATATGTATTTATAATATAATAGATATAATAATTTACACTATTTTTTCCAATAAATTGACATGTGATGTGCAATTTTTTACAATTAGTTGCGAGGTGTCTCATAATTAATTCAAATAGAAATGATAATGCCTATACAGGGTAACACATTAGTATGGAAAAGCTCAATATGGTATCTATTATTGTAGACGGACCAATTTTAAATTAAATTTCTTTAAATCGAAATATCTCGGAATATTATTAACTATATATAGGGAATGTTTAATAAGAATGAAAGTACCTCAAAAATACTTCCTGGTAATGATATAAAATATGTATAGTGTGATCCATTTATAATTACTGAGAAAATGTTACTTTTGCGTTTGGATCCACCCTGTAAGCAGTATGATTAAAATTTGCCAAAAATAAAAACGGGAACGGGAAAAACGGGAACATTCTATATAAATATAAATTATTTTAAAATACGCAGTTCTTAAGATCTACAAATTTTTGTAATATAGTTTTTTTGATATTTTACAATAACTGATATATTGAGCTTTTCCATACTACGTGCCACCCTGTATAATTTTAAATTTATTATAGCATAGGTACCTACCTATAATAAGTATCCAATAAATTTACCTATTTCTTTGTATATAAATTTAAAGTAGGTATAAGATGTTACATTACAAGGAAACAAAAGTAATAATGAACCAATTTTTGCAGAGTGATTCCATTAATAATACAATTTTTATCTTTACAAAAATGTAATGTCCAATTCTTAATGGGTCATCTTTTATATTAAATCATAGTTTTAAAATGTATCCCATATGTTCCCAAGTTTCCACATTATATCCTTTATATTGGTACTTATTAATCAATGAAAATATGTATTTTTTCCGTACGTTCAACCGACGAAATGGAACAAAAGAAGAGCAATGAATTTTCAAGAAATTTACAACACAATTCTATTATTCATTTGAAAAAATATTTCATAAAAATTCACCAAATATTTGTAATGATTTAACGTGCTTTGATTAAACAGATGATAAAATTAAACAAATACATTCAATGTTAAAATTCGGAATGTTCGTATAAGATATAGTAAAACTCCTTCGGTGATAGTGCTAGTTTCGCTTCCGTAAAAATGGATTCCCTAACGAATGCTGTGATAGCCAATATGGACCTAAATAATATGGTAGAGAGTATAATTGGACGAATCGACAGAGAGAAAATCAAAGTGCTTCCCATAAACACTATGTGTGCCTTGCAAGTTGATTCAATATTAAATAACACCAGTATTTTCACAAAAAGTACGTAAGAAATTACTTCAAAACTGGATTATTGAACACTCAATTTACCTTTCTATTTAGTGTCAGATGCATCTGCAAAGTTTCCCTATGCAGGTATGCTAGATTCAGGTCGAATGGAGCTCGGAAATTTCGATGAATGCGTGAACATAGACCAAAATATTAAGGGCATAAATATATTAGGGAAATATTGTTTAGCTGGATTAGTAATCCCCGATGTTAACGACACCTCGAATATCGATGTAAGTAATTATTTTCCCCCTTTGTTTACTGGTTTATGGGTTACGAATTAAGCGACAAATCTCGTATTTTAGAAGATGTACAAGCTTGCAACTTGCGTACCAGACGCTTGTTCTGCAAAGGATCTTCTTACACTAGCGAACGCCCTTCTAGTCGAAGATTTCCCACCGATAATCACGGATAATTTTTGTTCTACGAAATACACAGGCAAGGAATTGACGGCTGGTACCCTTTTCTCTATGTAAGTCTGCTAAATTTCACCGGATTTTTTTCGAATTCGCTTCATTTTAGGTTCCTGTTTTTCCTATTAGCATCGTTAGTACTAATTTCTTCTGTTTGTGACGTTTACTGCAAAAGAATGAATAAAAGTAAGCAACAGTTTTGTTTTGTAAATTTTATGTAGATATGGCCATTTACTGTGCGATTACAATAATTAAGGGCATTTTAAATGAAGAGCGATTTTTTTCTACATGTTTACATGCCCTTTTTGCACATTCGATACATTTTCCAAGTCTCATTTCTCTGATTAATTTCGAATGTAGAACTCCATCCGTTGCTATTGGCGTTTTCGGCCGTAACTAACACGAAAAATATACTGAAAACTTCCTCGGACTCTTCTGGAGAAAATATCCAGATATTCCACGGATTCCGGGCGGTCAGCATCGCCTGGATTATTAGCGGACACGCCGTGCAGATTTTTGTAAACGGGGTGTACCCTCTCATGAATTTGGACGAATTGCAATCGGTAAGTTCCGGTTCCAGATAGTCCAGATAATTGATAATTGATAATTTAGAGATTTTTTTTATATTTTTTATTATAAAAATTTGTTTTATTTTTCAGTTGATTAAGGATAGACTTGCGACAGTCTTGCTTGCGGCAACACTAGCTGTCACAACGTATTTTTATATGAGTGGATTTCTGTTGGGTTATCTGTATTTTAAAAGGAGTTTCAGAAATTGGTCTGTACAAGTAAAGCAATTGCCCTATTTATATCTCCACCGATACATAAGGCAAGTGCATAAAGTCGTTTGTACAACATCACCTGCATAATATCTCCTTTGAAAACAAAATAATTGGGAATGCTAAAAATATTTTTATAACAATTTAGAAAAAATCTAGTTATTTAGTGATAAATCTCAATTCCTATACCCTATACACTACAAAAATAAGGCACTTTATTTTATTTTCTTCGTTCCAACGAATTAATTATTCAACTAAATATGCTCCTTTTAATATTTCAGATTAACAGCCCCACTACTACTGGTATACATATTTACAATAAACATATTCGAAAAGCTGGGCACAGGACCGCTGTGGTACACGGGCACCCAACTGGAAATTAATAAATGCAAAAAATACTGGTGGTCGTACTTTTTGTACATTCAGAATTACTCCAACTGGGACGAAATGGTACCGGTGTATGTTCAGGGCCGGATTAACCATTTCTGGGCACTTAGGCAATGCACATTTCGAGGCTCCGAGTTGCCTAGAATCTACTGGATAATTCGACACTGATGGACATGATGAGACTTGCTTAATTGTATCGATTTTAATTTTCAGTGTTTGATACCGTTGTGGTACGTCTCGGCTGATATGCAGCTATTTCTAATAGCCCCGCTGGTTTTAATACCAATTTCGATTATCCTCAACCGGCCGAATGGATTTTTACTAGCTATGTTAACACTAGGCGCCATGAATTCCATGTTCGTGTTTCTGATTATCGGAATTAGAGAACTATTTCCCGAAACCATAAAAAAGTGAGTCTCTAAGTCTCTAATAAGTGTGAACCTTAGGGTTCCAAGGCCCTTGTTGTGTCTAAATCCTTGGGATCTAAGAACATTCATCCCCAGGTTTTGTATCTGCGTATAAGATAGTACTGGACAGTAACATTGTCTGCGTAGAGCGCTCTACTATTTTGAGTCGGTATAAGTGTGCTCTGAATATACCCTGCAGCCGGCTGTTTTTTTTCCATCGAATGCTACGTTCTCTTTCTACGAGTTGATTTAAGTGTCGTTTCCTTTCGCCAAATGGCATTCCAACAACCTGCCTTCCTGGTTGCCAAAAGGCCTCTCCTTCCTCTAGCTTCTTCAGCTACCTGTTGCCTTTAAAGGCCCTTGTCCAGGGATCCATATTAAAGTTTTACAACATTCTCAGACGAGGTTCTGCATACAGTCCACAATGTTTACTAAGGCGAATTTGTTTTAGTACGTTCGACACCCACGGCAGGCTTGCCGATTACTTCATAGGTCTCATGATGGGAATTTTCATGAGATTCAAAAAGGACGAGCCGTTCTTGGGTGACTTGAGCAACAAATCGAAATTAGTAATATTCACAACCCATTGCGATATCTCCTTAAAATAGCAATTCGTGTGATTTATTTTAGGTGATTAATTTCCTCACTTGGACCATGGTGTTAGTGGTGATGTTCTGCTTGTTCTTTTTCTACGGAGAAGCTGCGATACAATTCGGAGCGACCGATCAAACGCTCTACTATGCCTTTAGCAGGGCTTTTTGGGCCATTGGGTTGTCCTGGATGACTTATTCTTGTTATCACGGTTATGGAGGTAAATGTATCAAAAATTTTAATTGAATTCGATATACAGATAAGTGCACATTTGCCGGCGATGTAGTCTATAAGTGCAACAGAGAAAACTTGGGATTTCTCACTATTATCATTGTTATTTCTGTTCTTGTCTTTGTATCTGTATTTTTTACAGGTTTTATAAACTCGATTCTAACGATGCCCGTTTTCCAAATACTTGGTAAATTGAATTATAGTATGTATATTCTTCACTATTTGGTGCTGGGACATTATACGTTTAGTAACAGAGTGAAATGGTTTTATACTCATTACAACCAGGTAAAAATATTTGATGTTATTATGATGAAACTTATAGTTTTTTTATAGTTTTACTTGTTTTGTGGATACTATGTGGAAACACTTGGTTTTTCGTTTGTGTGGTCACTGATCATTGAATCTCCGATTATAATGATAGAAAAATTCATTTTTCGTGGAATTAGTAAAGTTGGTGAGTTTTTGTTTTATAATTTATTAACATTTGTAATTATAAAATTTTTAAATTAACGAAATGAGAATGCTCTCTATAAAAGAATGCTCGAGAATAACTTGAAATTATTTATTTTTTAGGTACGTCAATAGCAAATAATAAAAAGCAGAAAGAAAAAATGGAAAATCATGAATTGTAGTTATTGAAAGTTATTTTATATGAAAATGTATCCACTCCTATTTTGAAAACTTATAAACATATTTTTATAATTGCTTTACAATACATTTCAGTTCCACAATTTTAACAAGTAAGGAAAAATCGTAGATATTCATATTCTCCTTATTATAAAGTACCTAACATAGACAAAATATTTCTTTCTCTATGGTACATATTTATTTCAACGTTTTGAATTTTTCTAAGTGGCTGGATGCCTTAAATGTATGGTCAAAAATCTAAATAGAAAATAAAGAAATAGAAGAAGAAAAACATTGTTTTATAACCTCACTTTATATTTAAAAAAATATTTTTAATGAATAATAGAATAATAGCAAATAGCAGTTCAATAATAATATAACTAATATAAAAACCACCTTTAAAATATAAGTTACCAAATATTAGAGTTAAATTTCAAGCAATAAAGAATTGTAGAAACACGATGAAAATAACAGTTGAATTCAGGTAAGTTTAACACATTAATATTTAAAATAATCCTTCATACTCTTATTTGGCATTAATAAAATACAATTTCTAGTGGAGGAGCTGAACTATTATTTAACAACAAAAAATCCCATGATGTCGACCTGCCTGATAAAGATACAAATTGTAAGTTTGCTTTCGTATTCTAGAAAAAATATATAAACGCTGAATCTCATTTATAGGGACCATAGCCAACTTGTTACTCTGGATAAAGGATAATTTATTACAAGAAAGACCCGAACTTTTTCTGCAAGATAATTCTGTGTAGGTATTCTACTAGTACTTAATTAAAGCATATCATAGTAGGCTAGACTTTGTGAAGATTGTTGAATATGTCAATTTCAAAACAAATGTCGTTTAATCGAAAATTCATAGCCTACTAGTCAACCCATTTACCAAACTAAGATATTTTTTATTTTAGACGCCCTGGAATACTTGTTTTGGTTAACGATACCGATTGGGAACTATTGGTAAGCCCTAAAATTCATTTTAAACATCATATACTAACGCTAACGATATTTTTCAGGGATGTCTCGATTATAAAATTGAACCGAGGGATAAAATAATTTTTATATCAACATTGCACGGTGGGTAAATTTAACTTGTTTTTATTAACATTGTGATAATTTTATAACAATAAATCTAAGTGGAATCTACACTTCCGGGTACACTCGATAAATCGTCTTCCTTATCGTTTACTGTACTTTCATTTGTTGATACAGGATCATCCTTTTTCTCCAAGTCATCGGTAATAGCCAATAAATTGTACTTTTTATAGTTCACAAACTCCGGTACAACTCCTAATAAAGCGATTCCTTTAATAACCTCAACGATCACCGAAACATTCGGAACCTTCAAGTCTACTTTGTTAGCAGCGTTCACTTGAAATACTGTTTCAGCTACGGCTTTTATCACCTCGTCTCTATTCAAATTGTTGTTATTTCTGTGATTGTACACCACAGAAAACGTAGTGGGATTCTCCTTAAAATACCTCTCCGCCAAAGGCTTAAAAGCAGCGCAAATGTCTTTTATGTAAGCTTTGCAGGTCACCTCGATCGGGACCAGTCTTATTAAGAACTTTGTCTGCTGTACACCGGTACTTTTTAATTCGCAAACAATACTGTGGGCCAGCTTCACGGGATCGTCCAAGGTGGTTTTTATGAATAGAAAGTTGTTAGCTCCGGATTCGACTTGTTGGAATCGTTTTTTTCTGTTTCTGATCGAGAGTAGTTCGTTCGTCAAGGCTTTCTCGATGTCCCCTTCGTCTGCCTCATTTTCGTTAGTTGTTGCTTCTGTTGGGTAGAGCTTGTCGGCGTATTTGTTCAACAAATTGTAGGCCTCTCGGATGCAATCCTTTTCCCTGTTGTTGCAACTGCACAGGAACCCTTTCAAGTTCACTTCTAAACTGGATTTGCTGATTTTGTTCTTGTAGAATTTGTGTTTAGGTTTCTGTATAGTACTCATTGTTTACCGATGGTTAGTTGATAATACGTGTTGTAATTCATAAATTAATATTTCTGTATGTTGATAAATAACAACATAACCTTAAAAATGATTTCATGCTCTTTGAACACTTCTTCCAGTTCTTCCTTATACGGTCTGTGAAGTTATGGTATGCAGTCATGTTTGTGGCCTGTTTCCTTTAAAGTTTTCAGCTGATTAGCCTTACTGCAATTTTATGGGAAAAATGGAATTGTTCCATATAAGAAACTAGATAAACAAACCAAGGTTATTCGACTGCAATTATTGATGCCTTCTTTAATGAAATATCTTTCCGCTTTGCAGACTTGCCGTTTCGTCAAAACAAGTCGGATAAAAACGATAAACAAGCCCGGTGTCGGATATCAAAATCTATTTATAGAGGCATAAACAGCCGGGATTAGTCGGCTCGAGTAATAACAAAATACGTATTTTTTCTGGCGCATATTTGTTACCTACACGTCGCGGTATTTTTCTGTTCTGTAAATAAATTTGGTGACTATTATTGGTCGATTCGAAAAACAATTTAGCGCCGCTTCGTCGTCTTCTTTTGCCAAACCGAATTTTTTGGCTTATTTTTGAGTTCCTGAATGATTTATTTACTCGGATAACTTAGAACAATAGACAGTTCAGATTAGATATGGAGCGTGAAATAAACTAGACGAATGCAATATGATAATTTATTTTATCTTGACATAGGTTAATAGTTATAATTTCAATATGTATTGGATAATTTGAAATCTCAAAATCACCAATACAATCGATACATAAAAATAAATATTTTAGCTAATTATTGTATATGAATTCGTTAGATAATTTTCTGTGGAATGCTCGTTCGATAGATGTTTCGAGGGCAGTGATTTCTTTTTTTAGAAAAAATACATTTTCCAAAAGGTCGAACCCTCAAAAGCAGATGCGCAGTTATTACATAATGATAACAATAAAAAGCGAATACTTATGCGTATATTATATCTAGACTCTAAATACATTACCCCTTTAAGAAAAAAAGGACTCACTTAATCATTTCAAAATTTTGGACAGCAAATTAAATATAGCATAGAATTAACCTAGTGCATTAACAATACTATTACGTAAATACGACCTCGTACAAGTGCAACCTTAGTTCCAAAATAAAAATGACTGTCCAAAATTTATGAAAATCATAAACCGAACATCATATTATAAAATCTTTAACAATTCATGCAAAAATATAGTCCTCATTTTTGAAGGCAATGTTAACAAATTCAACCTATCTTAATCGCAGTCTTTTCGTTAAATGAAGAAAAAAATAAATATTAATTACTAACAAATTTAAAATACATCCACATTTTAATAATAATGCACATTTTTCAAACCAAAATAAATGTCTCTACAAATGAAACACTTTGTCAAGCTATTCATTTAAGTAAAACTCTAACAAATTGTTTAAACTACACTAACATCTAAAAACAAATAAGTATTCGAAGGTTGAAGGCATATGCGTAAGACTATTTTTCCATTCCAAAGGCAATACAATACTTTTTCCATTATAAAAAGACTGATTATTTAATGGCATTTCAAACAATACATGTGTATGAATTAATAAAAGTGGAGAAATTTTTGAATGCTTTAAAAAAGGGCAAATTTTTTATTTTCTATTACCTCAGGTCCTTTGAGGTACATTATAAATATTTGGAGCATTATTGATAGGTTATTTGAGTTCGCAAATATTACATTAGAACTTGATTGAAATGATTAGATAATGTATCTTGATTGATGAATTCTAGAAATGTTCTATATTTTCACGTTCTGCAATAAAATTGTGGCGGAATGACGACAATTCCGCCGACAGATTTCATTAAACGAGCAATACACTATCCTTGCTTCGAGTAATATTATGAGCGCACAACTCTAATTGGCCTAATAAAATTACTATAATCTTAGCGAGTATGCCCATTAAATTTTATCTTTAAAATATGCTTTATTAGCGTGTGTATCTAAAAAACCATTACTAGTAGTTTACAAAAATTTCCACTGGAAAAATAAAAATTCCATAGCTCAGAATCAATTTAGCGCTTTCTGGGAATTTACAATTGTAATGGAAATGTTATGATATTGCCACAAATTTAGAAACATTCATTGTTCCTTACTTAAATAATTTCTTATAAAGTTAGGTCAGCTTTGCTTTATCATTCCAAGGTTAAATTTATGTATTTTTTAAATATCAAGAATATATTCGTTATGTCTAATGCATTTGCATTTTTGCTCAATATTCATTATCGAAATACCAACAATGCAAGTACATCACTGCGTTGTAGATTAGTTTAGAGGCGCAGGGGATATTCGAAAAATAAATATTGGGAAAAATATTGTGCTTTCCGTAAGTTGTTGTTCCGTACTGTGCATTCCTTTAGACTTAACAAAAATATTGTTAAAAAGCTAAATATATATGACTACATATCACAGGACAACGGTGAATTGCTATACCTGAATATACGTAGTATTTGCATCCCAGTCGGATTAAAAAATTTCTAGTCTTTTCTACTCCTTACAAATCGATCCTCGCTAGTTAGAATAGGTTAGTACGATAGACTGTTATTCCCCTCATGAGCTGGTCTTCTCGCTTTCGGAATTACTCCTCAGGGACTTCTTCAATTTGTCCAACAAACGATTGTGGAACTTATTCAAGTTCGGCTCGGAGGTGTTCTTCGGGGGCGACGACCCCATGCTCTTGACGGGGCTCTGCAGGTTGCTCTCGCTGGTCCTCGAGCTGGCTCGCGAGTACTGCCTGGATGACATGTTCGTGGGCACGGAGGCCCTGTCCCTGATCGGGGACGAGACGAACTCGGACCCGGGGGACGTGGATAGGCTGGGGCCCTCCGATCGGCACTCGGACACCTTCCTCGAGCGGCACGTCGTGGTGTTTGAGCACTCGGACACCCTCCTCGAGCGGTTGGCTTTGTAAATGTCCCAATCGTTTTTCACAACGGGCATCATGAACGCCATTTTGTTTGTTTACTTTCGACTGTCGGGTTTTTTTAACTTTGCGCGATATTAACGAAGCACGGCGGTTGTTTCGTAAACGAGAATGCAGTTCTACTGACGACAACGCGACGAATTTTTCGGTTTAATCTTATCGCAGTCGGAGTCTCGTCGTTTCTTATGTCATAAAATAACACAGAATTGAAACACCACCACATAGAACATTCCAGCAGTGTTGCCAAATGGTCCGCTCACCTGCATTACCGGTAAATTATCCGATTGGAAAACTGGAATCTTATGGAATTTTCCGCTTATTGTATTTTGTTTTGTAGAATTTATTATTTCATTCAAAAAAGAAACCTAAAAAACTAGTTCCCTTAAAGTTTCTCTTGTCATATTAATTTAATTTCACTAATTCAACATTCCATTATTAAAAAATTAATTTATAACTATCAAAATTGAAAGTGTCAGGACAAAAAAACATATTGACAATGACAACCCTACAGTCAACTTACTAGATTTAACAATTTATTTTACATTCCAACAATTATTCGATCTGGAAATTTTCCACGATCGAATAGAATTATCCAGAACATGAAAATCCTCTGCACATTGGCAACACTGCATTCTACAACGTAAATACGAGAAACAACACGTGTTCTGTTATTGGTTGTTGTAGCATAAAGAGGGGGAATCATGCGAGTTTGCCACGTTTCCTGAATTTCTTGTGATTCAAGATAAATTTTTTGTGGTTCAAGTCAAAAATAATGTTTATACGTAATATTGTCGACTTCACAACTATTGCGTTGTTGAATGTAATTGTATTTCGTTCGTGAGTAATGTACTAATAATACAATGGATTCAATTTCATGCATCACCTGCATCGATAATAGACAACAAGAAAGCGGCAACATTGGACGAGCCCCTTGTGACTTTTTGTTTTGTAAAAAAGCACATGTTAAACGTCACGTTCGCCATTTCATTTCAATTTGACGTATAAGTAAATGAAAATCAATATCAACACGTAAATGCGTAGTATAATAAAATCGTTACATTTTAATTCGCGTTGGATTTTTTGGAGAAAATAGAATTTATAAATAGAAGCTGCTTGTTCTATTTTTGCAATTATAAACATGCCCAGCCAAAAATTTTATTACGTTCCTAACTTTATGTGTGTTAAAAAATAAGATATTTTCCATTCATGACACTCTTGATGTAGATTTATGATGCAATGAAATGAGGCCAAACGTCACCAAAGAAAAAGGCCAATGTAATAAATTTTGCGAGTCGTCTATGTGAATCCCTTAAAAAACGATGTTTTTTATATTAATCTTTTTGGAATTTATTTAAATTTAGTAATAAAATCGATAATAGTAAATAATAAATTACTTTGGGAAATTAGGTTTTACGACATCTTATCGTAATTTAAACCCTGTAAACATGAAATTTATTTATGATAAAGGATTTCTCTATAGCGATATGAAGGCCTTCATGATACAAGCCGATAAATCATTCAACCAATATCACAATGTGATATGTATTACTGATTTTATAATGACGCACTGCATATATTAAATATGTACCCAATGTATACACAATTAATTTATAAACATAAGGATAGAAAATATTAGGCCAAAGATAACAAAAACATTCGCAATTATTAAAGATAAGTAACACTCAAAAAATTGCGGATGCGAATTTTGCTCTCATTTCTCAAATGTAACTAAAAAATCAATTGTATAAGATAATATATTAAAATATAACAATATTTACAATTAACGGGTATAATACACCCTGTAATAAAGCGTTTTGGATCTCCACAACGAATAGGAATTATCAAATTTCAACAAATACACTCCCTTGCCGGGGTAAGGATGCGAGCCCGCATACACCTCATCCTGACAATCTCTTCTATAAACCGGGACAATTTCATGCAAAAGCGGCTTAGAAATGCCTGTTACAGTCAAAGATCCCGCTTCCAAATCGTTAGTTCGAATCGTTTCTTCATCTAATTCATCATCATCATCCAGCTCGTCTATCTCCTCATCGGTGCTTTCAGATACATGAACAGATACTTCTTCAGAAGTCGGAGTACCGAATTCAAAGTAAACGCCGAATCCTAAGAATATATCAAACGAATCAAAAATAGAATAAAGTAAAAGGAATCAATTTTTACCAATATCAAAGTGATCCGTGGCGAATTCCCAAAACAGTCTCGATCCGTTGGGGTGTGTAGGTACCCTTACAGTGACCGTTTCTCCATGGCCAACTCTTACCACACCATCTCCTTCGCCTTGAGAAACAGTTTGCTTAAAGGCATCGATTTCCGGTCGAGTCCACATGCTCGCAGTGACTATATAAGGCTCGTCTGATAAACCATTGCTCGATTTACAGACTCCATTTGAAGCATTTTCATCAATTTCCTGTAACAGTAATGTGGTCAAGTTCTATGCTTTGTAATGTGTGGTATTTTCTATACCTGTTCGGTCTCTTCGTGTGCTTCTGTTACAGAATTTTTCTGATGATCTTTACGTTCCATCTGCGTAGCTTGTAATTGGTGCATGTACTGAATATAATGCTGTTCTTGTAGTTGCTTGATTAAAGAACCTTGTTTATCGGGATCACCTGAAAGTGGTGTAAATTTAGTGTAAATAATTCATGAGATAAATTTCACGCATTGAGGCTTGTATTTACCGGGATACTGCTGTTCTGCGTATTTCCTAAACTGCTCGTAGGTTTGTTGATTTAAAGCTAATTGTATTTGCCTTTTAACCGCTTCCTGCTTCCAAAGTTCCTCTTGCAAAATTTTTTCATCCTCCAATTTTTTCTGCTTCTCTACTTCCTCTAATTTCTTTTTCTCCTGCTCTTCTAGACTAAAATGAGTTGATTTTTGAGTAAGAAATTATTTGTTTTAACGTTTAAATTGTATACTAACACTCTTCTGTCATGTTCTATTTTTTCCCTTCTGTGTGCTTCTATGTAGGTTGAAAATAAAGGACATTTTCTACTTAACAATTCGACAAATCCGGCCCTTGCTTGATCGCAAGATAATTGCCCTAATTTCTGCCACGCTACTCTCCTATCTCTTCCTACGACGTCTAGTGTGCCCAACGGGGCTAGTTTGTGTATAGCATCTACATAAGGCCCATGTAATACCTGCTGAGAAAACGCCGCTAACTGTAATTTATCTTCATAGCTAAAGTGTACAGCTTTGCCGTCTTTTTCTACAAAATACCGATATTATTTAGGGGAATTAACGAAGGTCTACACTTACCTTTATAAAAGTTAAAAGCTAGTTTATATACTTCTTTGAGAGGCAGTCCATATTCTAAGTTTGTGGCAGCGCTACTATGATTGCTTTCGGAAGAATTTGTTGGATTTTTTATGGTTAATTTATTTAAATTTTCTGAAATGTTACTATTTTCAATTTCAGTAGCCATCATCAATTTGTTGACGTTTAAAAATGACTGCATCAAAACCTAAACAATTGACATATTTCCTCTTTTATTATACGTTGTGTTGTACTTTGTAAGTTTTTGGCTGCCACGTTTTGTGATTCGAGTGAAATGACGTTGACATTGACAGACGTTTGTCATTCATGTCAGTGTCATTACTGTCATTAATAATTGAGACTCATCCTCATATTTATGGTTTCAATTTATATTGTTTAATTGAAATTGAGTTGTGAATATAAAGTAGTAAAATATAATTAAAACACGAGCTAGTATTCACTTACTACAATAACAACAATGTCCAAAGTAAATGAAGTTGCTGATTTGTACAAACAATTGAAATCCGAATGGAATACAAAAAACCCAAACTTAAGTAAATGCGAGAAACTCCTGTCTCAACTGAAGGTAACATTAAAGCATTCGATATTTAAAACACTAACATTGAACATTTTAGCTCGAATTGACTAATTTGATGTTTCTGCCAACTTCAACGGCCACAGCTACAAAGCAGGAATTACTTCTAGCCCGTGATGTCTTAGAAATCGGTGTACAATGGAGTGTAGCAGCCAACGATATAACCGCGTTCGAAAGATACATGGCTCAATTGAAATGCTACTATTTCGATTACAACAACCAGCTTCCTGAATCTGCATTCAAGTATCAATTACTGGGATTGAATCTTCTGTTTTTATTGTCGCTTAACAGAGTGGCGGAATTTCATACGGAGTTAGAACTTCTGCCGGCTGATCATATACAGAACGATGTGTACATAAGGCATCCCTTATCGATTGAGCAATACTTAATGGAAGGAAGTTACAATAAGGTAAATACTATCAAACAGAAATTGGATAATCAATAACCTAATTGAATGTTTCAGATCTTCCTTGCAAAAGGTAATGTTCCCGCAGCGAGCTACACCTTTTTTATGGACATACTGCTTGATACGATCAGAGTTGAAATTGCGGATTGTTTATCAGTAGCGTATGAAAAGATATCTGTAAAGGATTTTACTAGAATGCTCTACTTGCCGAATGAAGAAGCTGCTAAAAATTTTGCCAAAAAGGTACAACTCCTTTAGTGGGTGATATTATAATAATATGTTTATTTTTAAGGCTTTTCAAAACAAGGCTTGGAAATTAGACCATGACTACTTCTATTTCATTCCCGAACAGAAGGCACACGAACCTATTCCTTCGAAGGAATTGGCCCAGCAAGCAATTGAATACGCTAAGGAACTTGAAATGATCGTTTAAGATAATTTTTGATTCGCTTATTTATTAAGAATTACATTTTATATTGAACAATGCTTTTTTTTATTAAATTATTTTTGTTTGAAGAGAAGACTCCTATGGTAGTAATTAGTGACTGTATTCGTTTTAAAATGAGGCCTTTTTCTCAAAAAAAAATCGAAGAAAGAGCTAACTTCATGTCATATATCTATTATTTTAAAAGAAGAATTAGGTTAGCGTTAGTGTTTATTTATTTTTTGAAGATTGTGGAAGCAACTGCTGTTAGTTTAGTTTATAGTTAATTTTTTCATTTAATATTTAAAATGGATGAAGATTACGATGATAGACCGTGGGACGTCGGCGACAGAAATTACGATGTAAGTACCAAGCACGTTTTAGCTACAAATCGAAATAAATTAGTTTTTGCAGTCGGATGCTGGCGACGAACCCGAAAATCCCGAGCAAGTTCTGGCGGAATGCGCCGAAAAGTTTTCCACTCCCGACTATATCATGGAGCCGGGGATATTTTCGCAATTGAAGCGCTATTTTCAATCGGGCGGAAACCCCCTGCAAGTGATAGAAGAACTCTCCCAGAATTACACAGCCGTTGCTCAAATGGCCAATTTGATCGCTGAATGGCTTATAATAGGAGGCAAGTATAGGAGAACCTTTACCGAGACGGGCTCAAGCCAAGGTTCCGGCATTGAGGCCTCTGCTTCTGGCGGGCCCCATTGTGCCATTTTTGCTGCTCTATTGTGAACATGATTCGATGTGCCTAATAAAAAAACTAACCTCCCGTCATTTTGTAGGTGTTAAAGTTACAGACGTTCAAGCCATGGTCGAGAATCATTTAAAGGAAATGATTTTAAAGACCTTCGATCCCAAAAAAGCTGATACTATATTCACGGAAGAGGGAGAGACGCCCGCTTGGTTGACTCAACTCATAGAGCATCCTACGTGGAGATCTTTAATTTACAGATTAGCGGAAGAATATCCGGATTGTTTAATGTTGAATTTCACTATTAAAGTAAGTACTATTTAATTGTTTAAAGCAGATTGATATAATTGCTATTTCAGTTAATTTCCGATGCTGGTTTTCAAGGGGAAATAACCAGTATATCGACAGCAGCTCAACAATTGGAAGTGTTTTCTAGGGTTCTTAAAACGTCGATAATGAGTTTCCTTACGAATCCGGAAGAGTGGCAAAATACCAGCAAAGAATGTGCTGTAAGTGATGTTAATTTATTCCTGTAATTTATCCTAAAAATACATATTTATTTTTTAGAAAATGGTATGCCATGGTCAACACACTTACGTATATAGTCAGGTAATAATTCACATTTTGGCTAGAGAAACTAAAGGAGGAAGTAGCATGAAAAGGCTGTCTCAGGAGATCACCAAATGCGCTCAAAAGAAGTAAGTAAAGTCCAGTGATCCCAATAAAAGTGGTACTAAAGTTATTATTTTTAGTGGAAACGATGTTACTCCTATTACGATGGCATTAAACGGTGCTTCCGGCTATCCCACAGCTTGCCAAGCCCTCACTGCTATGCTGTCGAAAAATACCCTAAATCCTGCCGATATCACAGTTCTGTATCGAAATTACACGGCCGATGATCCTCCTCCGATCGATTTAATCAGAACCCCGCAATTTTTAGGTATGTATACATACAAAATTAACCAAAACAGCTCCTTTTTTATTTAATTTTTTTTAGAATTGTTGATCGATTCCTTATTTAAGCCGGGAGTAAAACTGAACCCCGACTACAAACCCAAATATATTCATCTACTAGCTTACGCTTCGAGCGTGTCTGAGGTGCAACAAAAGAAAGGCCAGAAGAGAATCTCTAACAAAGATGAATTACAACCGACCGTGCGCGCTGTCGAAACTGTCCATAATATTTGCAACGGTAACAAAGGGAGTTCCGAATTAATCGCCGAACTTTCGACGCTTTACCAGTCACTTAAGTAAGGCTTAATCAAATGGCTCGAGTAAAGTGTAGCGTACTAATCGTAATGTTGCAGGTTCCCCGTGGTTTCGGTGGGTATTATCCGATGGGTTGAATGCACGGTAACGGAATCGAGTTACTTTAAACTGTGTACAGAGCACACGCCTATTCACCTTGCTTTGCTGGACGAGGTCGTAACGTTGCATCCGCTTCTTCACAATCAAGTTTTAACCCTACTGGTTACGCTATTCGAATCCAAACAAGACGAACTGGAAATTTTAGTTCAGGTATGATTGCACCTAAATGTGAAGTAACGGTTTTTTTTTAAATTGTTTCTGTTGCAGCTCGAAATGAGAAAAATGGTGCTGGATCGAATGGTGAATTTGCTATGTTCCGGTTGCGTCGTACCGGTAGTAAAATATATAAAGCAATGTTGGCAACGTGGAGACACCGACATTTCTTTAATAAGATACTTCGTTACAGAGGTATTATTTATTTTTGTAAAATTGCAAGCGATTTTGTTATTATTCACATTTTTTTAGGTATTGGAAACAATTGGGCCTCCATATAGTTCAGAATTTGTACATTTGTTCATGCCTATGGTTGAAAATGATGAGATAACTGGTACAATGAGAGGGGACGGAGAAAACGATCCTGTGTCCGAATTTATTGGTATGTTTATTGGTGGTATAAACGAATGTATTGTCTTTATTAACATTCTATTTTTTAGTATACTGCAAAGCCAATTATACTGCTATGTAATATTACAAAGTAATTTACTATAAAAAAAGGTCAGGACGACGTCGATAAATATCGTTTTAGTATAAGTAAGAGATTAAATTTATAGATTATTAAATTTGTATTCGTTTTATTTATCTTAATGACAACAAAAATAAATATTTAATTGAAGAACTCAACTAATAACATAATTTTTAACATTACATTTAATTTTTAAGCAGATTATTTAATTAAGCAGTAGCCAGTCTATTTTGTGAATGTTTAATTTGTAAAAATTTGATATGAACTCAATAGTTATTATTTTTTAGTTGAGAAAATAACGAAACGATGACTAAATTCATTTAACAAATACAGTTTATCTAAATAAATAAAAATTTACATATACCTAGTATTTAAAATCACAATAAAACTTTGGTTTCAAAAATAATTGGGGCGTACAATATATACAAAATTAATAATTACTATAATGTGCAGTAATGTCATGTTTCTCATGCAAAAATGAATATACATTCAAATAAATTTTGAAATTTCGTAAAAGTATCGTTGTCAGTTACTTGCCATTGTAGCAAAAAAATCTTATTGGCAAATTACTCGAGTGTTAAACATTGATTTTCAAAGATATTTAAAAAACAGCCTTTTTAAAATCAAAATAATCCTCAATACATTTTCAAAATTTCAAAAATCTTCAGTCTGTTATTCTCCAAACAATCGATTAAAAATAACTAATTTAACCATATTACTCATTTTTGGATATCAGGGAGTATATTAATTGCTATTTGAATATATTCGTGTGAAGAACTAACATGATATATATTATTTCTACAATGACAACTAATTTAAAGAACATCCAATTCTAAAGACAATTTTTAAACGAATTCACTGGATTTTCAAGTAGTTTGAAAATAAATTTTAAAAATTTATCATTAATTAATCAATTACTATGATAATTACGTGGAAACTGGTCTTTTGATTAAACAACAATACATTTTTAAAATCATTTCAACGAGTTAGAAATGTTGAATTTGCATTAATTCTAAATATCCTAATCAAAAGTGTAACAAATTTTTATTATGCACCTACGTAGTATTAATAAGTTAATTTAGAAATCAGTGCCTAGTTTCATATAAATTAGAAATTATAAAAATAGAATACCTAGAATTTCATAAAAAATATAGTATTACTTATTTTGATATTGCCTTAAAGATTCAACGGCGGAGTATCTTTTCACATCAATTAAGTAAACGCTGCAATAATTTAGTTTTACTAAATTTAGACTTAAAATTCAACATTTCATGGTTGTTGGGCGTTTTCATTATTTACAACAACGTAATTATTAACAGGTACAACAGGATGATTATCAACTAATTGGACGTTATGTTCACTACCTAAACTTCCTACCGTTCCATTATTATCGGAAAATTTCTCCTCCTCCGAACTACGAACATCTACTAAGAGTTCCGTGTAATAATACGGTGTATTCAAGTAATCGATCATCCTCCTCGGCAGCGGAAGACTCGATATTAAATCCCTCCTTACATTTTTGTGAATAACAAATCTGCAAGAATTAACACATTAAATAAAACGTTAATAAATTAAATGATGATTTATTAATTGAAACCCACCTGCACATATGCTGTAAACTCTGAACTTGCTTAAATCTAGACACTGGATGTAATAGTTGCACTCTAACCGGCCCGATTACCGGCCTGCGATGCAGAAAAAACAAATATCTACCACTCCGCGAGTGCTCCACCGCATTCTCTATAAACTCCACGATGGTCTGAGACTTGAATTTCGTACAGCTACCGAAACTAAAATTACCTAAAACATAACAGCACTTGAAATACTCGATAAAGCTCGCTTTAGATCGACCTTACCCTGATCGTGTTCTATTCTAACGTGTCTAACGCTGTTATTTAGCTTAAAAGTTAAGGAGAATATATAATGATCGTCGCTGCTATCACGAACAATGAACGATCCGTCCGGCTCGTTCGACAGTATTTTTTCAGCTGCTTGGCAGGATATCGGACCCCAATACCAACCATACTAAAAACAAAACAGGATTAATACAATCAACGTAGAGTCGAACAAACGTTACATACGTCTTTTACTCTTTGAATGCTAGTAGCGAAATCCAACATCTTGTGATCTCTGTTTTCGGCCTCCTGTTCTTCCTTGCACGGAGGCAACGGAGGCAAAGCTCTACTGCTGATGCTAGTCGTACTGTGCAACACGTCCTCCGACATCACGTTGCTTTTACCGTTGTAAATTTTCCTATTGTCCTCTTTGACCTCGTCAGGAGTGAACAGCTTCTTAAATCTAAACATGTTGCACAGCATCTGCTTCAAAGAAAACACTTTCGTCGGCGATTTCCTCCGCTTCTCGTCCTTCCTGTTCGACAGGTTGATTTGCTTGCCCGTGTGATGATCGCACGAATCTTTCACCTTCTTATTTTTAATGTTTATGAACAAGGTGCTCTTCTTCGATCGACCGGGCGCAACGGTAACGGGCTCCTGCTCGTTGCAATGCACCAGGTTCTTGTTAACGGAATATCTGTTGTTATTCGTGATGATTTTAGCCTTCGGCGGCGCTTCCCGGGATATCGATGAGTCCGACGAACTGGAGTAGAGCGTTTGCAAATACTGGCGAACCTCCTGCAGCGTCACGTGGATCGGTTCGCCTTGCGTGGACGAACCGGCCACGCTGTGCCGCTTGCTGTCATTTTGAAAACAAAAAGCCCTGCGGAACTGCAACGTGTTCCTGTTGCCCAGCATGTGGTATTGCCTGAGCTCGACGTCCCTGTAACCGCCCGCCGTGTTCCGGCGCTTCTTTTTGACGTGCTGCGACCGTTTCTGCTTCAATTGCGGCTTGACCGTGTCCACGGGTACGGCGTATATGTCGCTGTCGAACGGCACATTGTACAAATCGCTGATTTGGTTGCACGACAGGGTGTCGTGCGAGACGGCTTGCGTTATGAACGTGGAATCGTCGACTTTCTGCGCGTTAGGAACGGCCAAGGAGTTGTGCGAACTGGATAGTCGAGAGGAGCCCAGCGAACTCCTCGAGCTGGGCCTGCCGATGTGGCAGGGACTGAACGGAATGAATTCCGATGGGAAGCAAGGCCTGTGCAGTAGGTATTGCGGCGGTTTCTGCAACTGCAAGTGGCACAGAACTTTGATCTTTCGGTGTTCGACTTCTTTGTATTCGTGCAGGGCTTTGCGTATTATCTGCTGGGCGAGTTTATCGCAGAAATAGTCCAACATCGAGTGCTTCTGCGGTTTGTCTTGAAACTCCGGCGGCGGTTCGATGGGCGAGGATTGCTTGGTGGCGAAATCTGTCCAATTGGGTCCTTTCTTCAATGTGTTGAAATTTTCTCCGCACATTATATCCGACATACCATCTAAAGAATCATCTTGCGATAGGGACTTTTCCTCACAGTCGCTGTCCTAAATTGAAAAATTTTCTATCAAATCTATTATTAAATCTACAAAACAATTATTAATTTACATAAACTTTAAACTATACAGTTATTATATAGGACAAACCTTTTTATGACTCGAGACACCCTATGACATACAGACACATACAATCAGTGGCTAAGTATTTAAAATTTAAGTCAGAGTAAATGTACCTCGAAATGAAGGCATTTCCTTCCATTGCGACTATTTACACTACCGGTGGAAGCAGATTCGTTGGTCAAAAGCAGGCCGCTGTCGTCGCTTAAAATGAATCCCTCAGACCAAGTTGAACTCGATGGGGGAGATTCCATGACTCATTTAGGTATGTTTGTTTAATCAGATTAATTAAAGCGTTTCCATTTTGATCACATCTATTTATAAATACTGAGCACTTCACGCTTATCTTCGGTATTTGTTTTACAACGGCACGAATTCGCGAAGAACAGTGGGAGATAATGTAGGTTTTTTAACTTCACTTTAGAGGTAAAACCGAGGAAATTTCTTTATATTCGATGGAAAACACTATAAATACAGTTTGTTACTTGTGTTGGGAACATAGCACAGAAAGGAAATCGCTTTGATGGGCCATCTTAAATATCATTTCTTTGCTGAATAACATTAAATAATCCACTTTTAATTTAATAGTTTCGCTTTATAATAGGAAATCACATAAAAAAGAACTAAAAATTAAAAATTTATACAATTTTGCTTGACATCTTGACAATGACATGTTTGATATGCTAATTTTTATTCGTTTCTCAACAGAGAAGTTGACTTGTACTTTTATTGTGTACAGTTCGGTACGAAGGTATTACAAGTATTAGTCATTATCTAACAAGGAAAGAAGTGGAATTTAACTATAAAAATTTTTAAATTTTAGCCGGTATTTGAAATTTCTAATCTAATTGTAATAAAATGTCTAGACGACCATTTAAAAGATATAAATCAAATAATAGAGCTAAAAAATACGCTGGAAATAATCCCAGTGACATTCACAAATCGGATAATCATGGTTACCCTGGATTTCACTTATATTTCCCCGAAGAAGGTGATTTCATAAATTAACAACATACTCTTTTCACAATTACTTTTTTAGGCAATATTGACATAGATGAACTAAAAACGCATATCGACGTTTTCATAGATTTCTTAGAACGAAACCAATCACTTTATTCCTTAACAGACATCGCTATTAAGAGATTTTTCATGTTGGATTATAAACTAATAAGTGAAGATGATAACATAATTAGAACTTGCCCGAACTTTAAACCCGATTTCTTGAACAACACGAAATATTACTTGAAGTGTATAGGCTTGGCAATGTATTATTTGACCAAGAAGCATTACGAAAACAGGAACCAAGAAAACATACTCCAATACGATGTAATTTTAGTTAGAATTTATAATATCGAACCGATAATGCAACTGAGAGATCTAAGAGTCGAATACATGGGTTTGTGCATTCGTTATCATTCAAAATGCATAGGATAATCCGTTTTCCTTTCCAGATAAATTAGTTACAATAAGAGGCACAGTAATAAAAGCTAGTCGTGAAAAACTCGTGAGCCAGTATTTGACATTTTCTTGCTCAAATTGCTCCGGTACGCAAATTACAAAGCAGTTAGACTGTAAGTACACAATCCCTACAGGGTGCCTGACAAAGGACTGCAGGGCCAGGTCGAATTTTAAAGCAGTACTAGATTCCCCGTTCAATAGAGTTATAAGTCTACAATCTATAAAAATACAAGAAGTGCTTTGGATCGAACAGGTAATTATAGAAAAGTTTTTGGAAAATGTTTGCGAAATGAAACGTTTATTTTTAGCAAGATGGTGCTAAAAATGCCCAAGTTTTGGAGTGCGTGTTAGCTGAAGATTTAGTAAAAACTTGTCTGCCCGGCGACGATGTTACCGTTACGGGAATAATTAAGGTAAATTGAGAATATCGGTTAGGATAATAAATAGTTAAAGTGCAAACACATTCTAGGCTAAGCAAATAAACAACTACAACAAAATGAAGCATTCGATTTTCGATTTTTACTTCGAAGTCATATCCGTTCACAACAACAAAAAGCAAAACGTGGGGGAATCTTTTTCGAAAGATGGTTTTACTTTCAATGAAAGCGATTACTTTGAAATTAGAGTAAGATTATACACATCCATAAAAATTACCTTTATCGTAGCTATTTTCAGAAAATTTTCGAAAACCCCAACACCTTCGGTCTACTCGTTAACTCTCTATGTCCAAATATTTATGGACACAAGATCGTGAAAGCGGGCCTAACATTATCTCTTTTCGGCGGTGCCAAGTCTAATGTATTTAGAGGAGAGTCTCATACCTTAATCGTAGGCGATCCCGGTTTGGGCAAAAGTCAAATGTTACAAGCTTGTGCTAGTGTAGCACCAAAAGGTCAGTACATTTTCAAAATACTACCTACAGTTTGTTCACGTTAATAAAGCAATAACGTTACAACCAAACATTGTTTTAGGTATTTACGTATGCGGTATTACAAGCACAACCACGGGTTTAACAGTAACTGTGACTAAAGACAAAGAAAGGGGCGAATTTTCCCTAGAAGCTGGTGCTTTGGTCCTGGCCGATCAAGGTTGCTGTTGCATTGACGAATTCGATAAAATGCCCAATCAACACGCTGTAAGAGCCATCTAAATTCCTACTCGAACATCGGTGAATTATTTTGCTTTCAGTGCTTGCTGGAAGCGATGGAACAGCAAAGTATTAGCGTAGCAAAGGCGGGAATCGTTTGTACGTTGCCCACTAGAGTGACAATCTTGGCGGCAGCTAATCCAGTCGGTGGACATTACAATAAAGGGAAAACCGTCGTCGAGAATTTGAAAATGAAGTCCCCGATGATGTCGAGATTCGATTTAATTTTTATATTATTAGATCAAGGCAATGAAGTATACACATTTCGACGTTCCTATATTCCGTAAAATTACATTTCAAATATTTTAGGAAGAAGATTTGTTGGTATCGAAACATGTGCTAGGCAGTCATTCGATTAACAAATCTGAAAAGCATTTGTCCTCTACTACAAACATTCCTCTGACTAACGAAGATTTATTAAACGATACTTTAAGGTAAATCTTTCCAATCGCGTTATTGTTATTGCTATTGAATAAATTGTTCTTCTTAAAATGATCTAAATATGTATTCACGTCCTGAAGTATCAGCATTCAATTTATACTCTGTGTACTACTAACCAAATGTGTTTACTTTTAGGGGCCGCTTAAGAATAGATACAAATCAGAACGATTTGATTCCACACTCCTTGTTTCGAAAATACATCGCTTATGCTTTGAAATACGTCAAACCGACGCTATCCGAAGAAGCTAAAGAGTTATTAAAAGAGTTCTATCACAATCTACGCAAACAATTCAGGGTTGGAGATTCTACGCCTATTACAAATCGCCAAGCAAATTCTCTAGTTAGATTAACGCAGGTAAATAAATTAGATATCTGACGGCTTATTAGAACATCGCCTATAAAAATTATTGCGCCATACTGTACATTTTTTAGGCGAGAGCCAAAGTTGAATTAAGAGAAGTGGCAACAAAGCAAGATGCGTTAGATGTAATAGAAATCATGAAAACTAGTTTGAAAGATGTTTTTACCGATAATTATGGAGCTTTAGATAAAACTAGATCGCAAAATGGAACCGGAACTAGTACAAAAGGCCAAGTATGTATAATAATAAAGGCCAAATACCCATTAAAGTGGTAACCCTTTTAGTACAATTACCAGTTTATGAGTAATAATGAGGATATGCTTTTTGTGACCATAGTCCTAATGAAAAATAACTTATTTGTAGATAACGAGATTATTGAGGGTATTGCAAAGAGTAGCCGAAACTGAAACGAAATCTATCTTTACAATAAAGGAATTGAAACAGTTTAGCGAACAAGTCGGAATAGCTAAGGAACATTTTTATAGAGTTCTTGATAACATCAATTTGCAGGGATACCTTTTGTTCAAAGGAAAGGAGCGATACCAATTGATCACAGCTTCGATATAAACAGTAACATAGCTCAACGACTAAACAGTTATTTTTAGTTACGCCCAAATTTACATTTTTATAGAAGATTTTAATGTTGATTAGTAATGGTTACACACTTGTTTTGTATTAGAAATAATTACGTTTATCAAATTTCAAGATATTTTTAATAATCACAACTCGGTTTTCGTTGATTTTTCGTCTAAAATGTGAATACATATTAAAGAAATGTCTCTATAGAAATTATCACCTTTTGACTCAAGCTGTGCTAAGTTTTCGTATCTATTTCTGAGGGTCGAGAGAACTTCTCTGTCATAATGTTTGCATTTGTTGGACAGCAATTTCATTGCAACTAAAATTTTTTCGATGGAATCATGATCATCCAGGTTAGCGTTTACGACAATAGTCAATGCCCTATCGAGGTGCAAGCACCAATTTTGATCTATAAACTGATTTTCTAAATTTACGGATTCATATTGGCTCTTCACTATTTTATTCGACTTTTCCGCCGAGTCTCTCTTTTCTACGAACAAATCGTTCAGCAGTGTTATTATTTTCACTTGTATTTTCAACGTGGATTTTTCGAATAATCTCAGCATGACGAATATCCCTCCGTTTTCGACAAACCTTTGCTGCGCCAAAGGAAACCTCCTAAGAAAACAGCCCAATGCAAACACAGCGTTACTTTGAAGATTTACTGGCTCGTCGGGACTCAAAAATCTCAGTAATACATGAAGACTGCTCGTTTCAAGTGCATGAATTTGAACTCTAGCATTGTTCTGCACAAGCGAACCCAACAGCCTTAGCGCTATTTCCTGAATTGGGTTTGAAGAAGAATTCAAACTCTTGTAAATTACATCTCGGAAACCATTCAGTCTCACAAATTCCAGGGCATTATCGAACTGATGTGCTAAGTAGTTTAAGTCCTCAAGAATACTTATAATGATATTTTCATCGACTTTGGGGTTTTTGATTTGGTTTTTGTGCTCTTCCAGAAGATCGCTGATTATCTCGGCATCTGTTTTCGAAGTTAAATTAACGCCTCCTAGGTCTTCCTTTAATTCCTCGTAAGAACGAAATTTAGTTTTTCCGCCATCCTCGGATTTGGACTCATCGCTTTTCAAATTTTTGAGGGCTTCTTTGATTTCTTTCACGTCAAAATCTTTATGTTCTTCGACTTCGACATTTGTGGCTAGTAAATCTTTTCGATCGTTTACTTTTTCGTTATCAAGCAATTTTGCTTCTTTCGTACCCGTTTGTAAATTGATTCGATAGTGCAGCCCCTGAGGTACTTTCTGACCTTTTAATTGAACAATACGGTTATTTTTTCGAATAAACGTTACGAAATTACCACGTACCTGTTTTTATGGACTGCCATTCGTTCGTAGGAACGAACTCCTCATCTTCTTGATCGTCGCAGGATGTTTGAATATAAGTAAATGAAAAAATAACTATAAATAATAAAGCTTTTGATATAATATGTGGCATATTGTTAGTACTTAAGTCATTTTATTGGAATAATTTTTGAATTTGTTTACTTAATTTTAATTCTAACCTAATTAAATATTAAATCTTCTTTTTTTAATTTTTAATTTTGACACATGACATTTCAATTTATTGGGGAAAAAATAAAAAGTACTATATTTAATATTTTGTGGGTTGGCTACAATGAGTAATTGACATTTCCGAAACTAACCTTCAAATTCGTATGTTGGACGTTTTGATTACAAAATAATTGATTCTCCTAATAATTTGATTAATCATTTTCTGTGTAATGTCGTACTTGTCAAGAAAAGAAGTGGACGAAATAAAGCCAACACTAGAAAGAACGGTACACAAATTTTTGGGTACGAATGATGCCTCTGTGCTCAGAACCGCGGTGGACTGTGTCAGCAGTGGATACGATAGGAAGAAAATAGCCGATAAACTCGGCGGATATCTAGACAACAAAAAGGCATCTCGTTTGGCCGATAAGATACTCGATTTGGTTCAGGACTTCAGATCCTTGCATAATTCGAAAAAGAGGCACCACGAAGATGAAAGGGATCGGGATTCGAAACGGCATAAGACCGGATCTAGGTTCGATAGCAAAGAGCCCGATAAGCAAAAATCCAAATCGCACGAAAGTTCGGATAAGAAAATGTACGAACCGCCTCCAGTTAGGAACAATGTGAGTATTGCTAACTTGAATATACCAACACCGAGTATTTATGGCATACCCGTGGGTTTACTTAACAAAGGGGACGCTGACAAAGCTAGGAAAATTGCTCAGTTGAATGCCCAAATCAAGAACACTTTGTCGTCTGGAATATTGGCTAACGTGATTCAAATACCCGTTAATCAGAACAAACCGGCCCCTCTGATTTTAGATGCCGATGGTCGTACTATTGATAAAACAGGTTTGTACGATGCGATTTCCACCGATTCGAGTTACGATTATAAACTATTTTTTTTGCAGGTAAAACTGTGCAACTCTCCGTTGTCACGCCTACTCTCAAAGCGAACATGAGAGCCCTCAAAAAAGACCAATACAGGACTTCCACCAGCGAAAGGCATAACGAAGAGAGCAACGAAACCAAATTCATCGATCCGAGAATAGGCGTTAAACCAGCCACGAGGAATAAAAGAGCTCTGCGATTTCACGAACCTGGCAAATTCCAACAGCAAGCAGAAAGGCTCCGAATGAAGGTACAAATAAAATTTCATTAAATTCTTAATCTGCAATAGTAATTATGTATTTTTATTAAACCTAGGCTCAACTGGAGAAACTGCAAAACGAGATATCCCAAATAGCCAAGAAAACCGGGATATCATCGGCTACGAAACTGGCATTAATAGCCAAATCGGAGGGTCTGATCGAAGAGATACCCCAAATGGAATGGTGGGATTCCGTCATTTTGATAGACAATTTAGATACCATGGTAGGCGATAAAATTGCTATTAAGGATTCCGTTATAAATACTCTGGTCGAGCATCCAACGCAAATGAAGTGTCCTAGTAAGTAATTGCGATTCAAAATCATGTACTTGTGCTGTATTTCATAACTCACTACAATATTTGTATCGTTTTAGCTGACCCTATCAAACCAGTTTACATGCCAGTTTTCCTCACGAAGAAAGAAAGGAAAAAGCTCCGCCGGCAAAACAGACGGGAAATGTGGAAGGAAGAGCAGGAGAAGATCCGCTTGGGTCTAGAACCGCCTCCGGAACCGAAGCTGAGAATTTCGAATCTAATGAGAGCTTTGGGTACGGAAGCTGTCCAGGATCCGACGAAAATCGAGGCGCACGTCAGAGAGCAAATGGCGAAGAGGCAGAAGGCCCATGAAGACGCGAACGCCGCCCGTAAGCTGACGTCCGATCAGAAGCGCGATAAAAAAGTGAAGAAAATCAAGGAGGACGTGTCGTTGGGTGTGTCTGTATCGGTTTACAGAATAAGGGATTTGCACGGATTGGCATCGAAGAAGTTCAAAGTCGAAACTAACGCTAAGCAACTTTTGATGACTGGATGTGTCGTTTTGTATCCAGATTGTTGCGTTGTCGTTATCGAGGGGGGTCCAAAGCAGCAGAAGAAATACAAAAGGTACTTCTTTTGGTTTAACCACATCTGCTTTAATGACGATCGCAAATTTTTAAGGATTTTTTATTAGCAATTTTATATTTTCAGATTAATGTTGAATCGTATCAAATGGGAGGAGGATTTAGTGAAAGATCCCGATGGAAAAGAGGTACCGAATAAATGCTTGCTAGTATGGGAAGGCACGACGAAGCAAAGAAATTTCGGTGAGGTGAAGTTTAAAGTTTGTCCAACTGAAAAATTGGCGAGAGAACACTTTAAAAAGCATAAAGTCGAGCATTATTGGGATTTGGCGTACAGCGGAGCAGTTTTGGAACAAGCCAATGATAACGTAGAATAAGTTTAATGTATATTATAGATAATCCATTTTTTCTTTTATAAAATTTATAAAAGAAACTAAATTTTAAATAAAAATTATCCAAAAAAACAAATATTATAAATCACTGTAATTTCAACAACGTACAAAAATATCTTATAGATTTAAAGAAGAAATATACACAACATTATGCTATTTCCGTAATTATCTTTATAGTATTTTCAACAGAACCTTTGTGCTCCTCGATATCTTTAAGAAAAATACAAATGTTCAGACATAATTTCACCAACTCCGTGTACAGTTCACTATCATCAAATATAGCTAAAAAATAATAGTTATTAATCATCGGTATAATGGAATTAGTCCAACCTTACCGTTATCTTCGACCAACAATTTTTTCAACTTTTCTACATTTAACATAAAATGCTTTAGGAGTTTCTCTTGAAACACTGCTACCCAGTATTCTTTAAATCTTATCAAACAATCAAGCAATGACCAGGGTGGATTAGATAGTAGGTTCATTTTAGTCCATACGTCACCATAGGCTTCCTGCGCACATTCACAAATAATCATCGAACACAACACCGACATTTTGCTTTTGATTTTTCGAGTTTTATCGGTTTTCCTTAATTTCGAAGTTATCTTCATAATGATCTCGTTTGCTGACGAAGGGGTCAAGTTGTTGATCATGGCTTTGTTTTTCAAATTCAAATCGTTAGACAATACTATCTAAAAACAACCAAGTCGAAGATTTAGCAATGTAAAGTTGTACAGTTGTATTAAAAAAAAAGGGTACAAGTAATAGAAAGAGACATTATCGTCATCTTATTTGTGTAAAACCGGCTGGGATTATTGGAGCTTATCAAATGTCAAAAGTTGTCAAAAATGTAAATAATTTAACTATCATTGGTCATTATTTCGTTTAATTGACTCCCAACGCCAATGATTTCCATTTTTTCAACATATGACATTTGATAAGCTAAAATAATTCTAGCCGGTTTTACGCAAATAGGATGACATTAATGTCTCTTTCTATTACTTGTACCCTTTTTTTTATACAACTGTACATTACATTTATGTAGCAATGCAAAGGTAAAGTTGTAATTTACCTATAAAAATTTACCAGCGAATTCGGTATGCGGTCTACCTATATTTATTGTATACAAAGTATAACAGCAAGATTTTGAAAATTTACCCTTCTTTAAGCAAAAGAAAAAAATTACTGGAATTTTGTATTATTTATAGAACATCATGTGGGTAATTCAATTTACCGAGAATTGGGGAAGTACCAATAGTTATTTAAACGTAAATATACCTACCTACATTCAACAAACGAAAAGATTTTACTACTATTATAAATAATTAAGCATGGAATAGCAGGTATGTAATTCAATTTATTGAGAACTATGGAACTACCAGAATTATACAGGGTGAGTTTTTTTCGATGTTTAAGTACAGGGATCTCGGAAACTGTAGGAGATTGAAAAAAGTTTAACTTGACCAACATTTGCAATTTTGTGAGACATGTTCAAAACATGTTTCAATTTTGCAAAATATGACCCGCTCTCAAAGTATTTAAATATACTTGACAGATGAAATATGTGGGTAGACCGCATACTAAAATAATTATTAATAACTGTTAGTGTTAGAAGCATTTCTGTGAGGTTTATAATACAGGGTGTTTCATTGGGAAAGGGCAATATTTTAACCCTATATAGAGGTCACCCAGGGGATCATAAAAAACCCATATACTATGGGTCTTGCGCCCTTTATAATCGAGTTACAGGGTGTTTTTTGAATTTGGCCAATTTTTTTCGACACCTATATCTTTTGAATCACTCAGTATATTTTTTTGATATTTGGCATAGATATTCTATACCTTTAGGACAATTTATTGCCACATTAAAAAATTACAAAATCCAGGTCCGGATTTAGAAAAATTAATAAAATTTTACCGACCCTAAAACAACACCCTATACATCATATTTTTAAAAATTGAATTTCAAATTCAGAAAAAGCATAAAAAACTGAATGTATTCATCAACTTTTTATTTTCCCGCATGCCATTTTTCTACCAAAATTTAAACGTTAAAATGTACATTATGAGATTTTTGGTCCATGTAAATTGTAATTGAAGGGATTTTAATTATTTTTTCCTTAATAAAACCAGATTTACTTAACACTTTCATGGAAATTCCTGAAATAGACCTATTGAACTTGAATTAACATTCACATAAACCAATAAAAATTACAATTACAGATCCGCACTTAATAAAATTAAAATGATTTCATTTCATTTAATAGTTAATCATTGATTATTCAATTTTTACATTTATACATGAGAAAATTCAAAACTTAACTAAGTAATTTACTAGATTTTTTAAAAAAGATACTAGAATAAGTATTCTTTTCAACACCACCAAGAAGTAGAACACAAGGCGCGTTTTTTAATGTGGTATCCCCAATAGGCCTAATCCACACGAACTGGCAAAAAGGAACAATAAATAAAAAATATGAAAAATAAACAAAAAATTAACAAAAAAAAACTCTAAAAACAAAAGAAACTAGAAATTTGGTTTTTAACCAAATAATCATTATCTACTAATTTAATACTAATTATAAATAACAAAATGATAACTAACAAACAACAAAAAAAAAACACCAGAAAAAAACATTTGCCATTTTAACCATTGCTCAAAATGTTTTCCATTTTGTTTGATACATAATCTAGCTTTCCTAATCAAGTGGCAAATAAATCTTCTAAGAACATTGGGATTGTTTTTTAATTCTTTAAAAGTGCTTACTAGGTAAATGTGTTCTATCTCTTGGTAGTATGGAAAGGAGTACTTTTAGTATCTTTTGTAAAGAAGCTAATAATTTAGATAGTTAAGTTTTGAATTTTCTCATGTAGAAATGTAAACATTGATTAATCAATAATGAATTATTAAATGAAATTAAATCATTTTAATTTTATTAAGTGCGGATCTGTAATTGTAATTTTTATTGGTTTATGTGAATGTTAATTCAAGTTCAATAGGTCTATTTCAGGAATTTCCATGAAAGTGTTAAGTAAATCTGGTTTTATTAAGGAAAAAATAATTAAAATCCCTTCAATTACAATTTACATGAACCAAAAATCTCATAATGTACATTTTAACGTTTAAATTTTGGTAGAAAAATGGCATGCGGGAAAATAAAAAGTTGATGAATACATTCAGTTTTTTATGCTCTTTCTGAATTTGAAATTCAATTTTTAAAAATATGATGTGTAGGGTGTTGTTTTAGGGTCGGTCAAATTTTATAAATTTTTCTAAATCCAGACCTGGATTTTGTAATTTTTTAATGTGGCAATAAATTGTCCTAAAGGTATAGAATATCTATGCCAAATATCAAAAAAATATACTGAGTGATTCAAAAGATATAGGTGTCGAAAAAAATTGGCCAAATTCAAAAAACACCCTGTAACTCGGTTATAAAGGGCGCAAGACCCATAGTATATGGGTTTTTTATGATCCCCTGGGTGATCTCTATATAGGGTTAAAATATTGCCCTTTCCCAATGAAACACCCTGTATAATTTACATAAAACTTTGAAAACCTTTCTCATTTCTTTTACATAAATAAAAAAAAAGAATGGAATTGCTGCAAAGTCTTTCAAAAAATTCCTTAGCAAAACAAGGCAAAAATATCTACTTCATTAAAACAAAAAATTACCACATCTTCGTATTTTTCCAGGGCCTGCAAACATGTAGCGATTATTTTATCATCTGGACTGCTGCCAATACATTTCTGAAAAGCCATGTCGGCGACTGATTGGCCTAAAAACATTTTCCAAATGCTATTACACAATAAAATCGTTTAGCAATTGGCTCAAACCTTTCACGCGCGGGTTTTTCTCATTCAACATTTGATTGATGAATTTAATAGCCTCGAATGCCTTGGTTTTCAAATCGCCATTTTTCGATCTATCCTTCAATTCATCCAGCTCATTCACAACCATCCAGGGTATGTAAATGAGGGGTTGTACTGGCCCTAAAAAAATCAAGTATTATCTACTTGCTTTCCTGTAAAAGCAAATTCTTACCATCTTGTCTTAAAAATACAATGTCTTTTATTTTGGCAAGGTCTTTTATAAAAATGTTAGTATCCACAACAATTGAAAGGTATTTTTCTTTTTCTATTTTAGCCGGTTCGCTGGGTACAGGTACTTCTTTTTTTTCTTGTGGTTGTGGTGCCATTTCCAAATTATTTCCATTTCTAATTACTTCGGGCTCCGCCTGTAAATTATGGACGATTTTTACTATAATGATGTGACACCGGTTTTAATTTACTCACGTTAGTCCACTCCATTTCTTCACTGGTATCCAAATTAGCTAATCTTTCACTACTCGATTGGTACAAAGCTGTATTAGAACAATTAAAGGAATCATTTATATCGGATGAAGATTCTCGTTCTTTCACGTCATCGAAGTCGTGATTTCTGATCCACGAAGCGGTCAGTGCCATTTTGTAGCTATCATCGTTTCTAATAAACTCATCGATTGGTACAAGAACTGGTGAATGCGAATTTTGATTTTTTGTTATAGATTCCAAGTTACTCTCTGTGCTATTATTGTTATTTTCATTCATTGCTTTGGCCTCGATTAACATTCTTTTTAATCTAGTCATTCTGCCGTTTGCAAGGTTACTGGGTGATATTCCTGATTGATTTATACGATTGCTTGTATTCTGTTTAGAAACAACCGGATTTAAATTCAAAGCAGTTTTCAATCTCGTATTATTTGAATTTGGACTATTTTGAGGTAAATTGTTACTAGACTTAGAGGATTTTGAGCTGTCCATAGGACTATTAATTCCATTATGGATATTTTGTTTTATTTTGTCCAGCCTCGAATTCGCTAGATTGGGTGTACTGAAGGTTTTATTTGCTGAATTATTTGGTACCGGAGTATTTGGTGGTGAAGCTGCACTAGAAGTGCCGGCTTCTGAATTGGTACTAGGTTTACTCTCGTTTTGTAACGATTGTTTCAATTTGTTTAGCCTTGAATTTGCGAGATTCCTTATAGCCGAAGGGGGATGCATTAACCCGTAGCATATCTTCTTATTTGCGGAAAATTCCAAGGATTCATTTTGGCGTCTTTTAGTGGCTAATTGTATTTTTTCCTGCTCGCTTGCAACTGAAGACTCCGGGGGCCGTCCTTCTGATTGTATAAATTTATCAAATCTTTTCGGTTTTAATTTTTTTCTGTTCGAATTAGGCATCTTTCTTGTTACCAATCTGGAAGAGGAAATTCTGAATCAGAATTACTTTCACACTCACTAATTTTTGATTTTATTTATTTAATTTACTCCATCTTCCATCACAAGTCACCTGTCACCTGTCATAAGTCATAATAACGTTTTTTTAATAAAAATAAATCTTTCTTGCTCTATGGTTTTTTTAGGACTCTTCTTTTATATGATAAATATGTGTAATTAAAAAAGAAGATTAACATAGCCTAACTTTTATACTTCCCAAATCAATTTTTAATATAATTATGGTAAATATTAATGTTCTTATTATATTTAGGTATTAATAAAGTGTTTATTAACCTTTTTTAGAGTTATTTAAGGCAAATTTTATTCCGAAGTCCAGGAACGCTTTCAAATGTAGTCAGGCATTTGTGTACTCAAAATGTAGCAAAAGTGGAAGCAACCCAAGAAGAACTCGACAAATTATACAAATTTGTCGAATTAGAGTTAAGGGGCAACGACCCGGCTGTTTTAAAGAGCTTCTGTAAATTTGCTGTTACCACAGGAAATCACCTCGACATTAATACAAAATCGTAAGTCTTCTTATAATGTCTGCCAAGCAAATATATCATTGTGAATTTATTTCAGTTGGACGTTACGGAAGCCCAATCACGAGAGATATACTGTCTTGAAGTGTATTCATGTTAAGAAGAAACATAGAGTACAGTACGAGTACAGAACATACTATTCATTTGTACAATATAAGTATTTAACTGGATCGACCGCTGATACTGTGCTTGAATATTTAGAACGAAATCTGCCCGAAGGAGTCGCCCTGAAGGCTACTAAGGTTTCAATTCGCCATGTTGTATTAGTAGAGCTTTTTAAAATGTTTGTTTTTTTAGGTGGAGGTTCAAGCGATACCCGAATATTTAGTTCCCCCTGAATCGGACAAACAATCAAACACCACTGTTGATACTTAATTTTTAATTGAACAATGTAGTAATTAAAATTAATTAATATTATCTATTTACAATGTTACTATTCTAGTAGTTTGTTAAGCAATCAAAGTCTTTCCAACTAGATGAAAATTCCAACACCCTTTTCTTTTGCTCTTCGAACTTTTGAACTTTAGGTTTTCGCCATTTGCTGTGGTGCAAATCTAGCATGCCCCCTATAATTTCCTGAGCGAAATTATTAGGAAACAACTGTTCGTCTTCGATAACATGAGCAAAACCCTCTTCCATCCCAAAGGAAACGGAAAAGTACGCCAATCCCTTCGGTACTGCTTTCCTGACGTCTTTTCCTGCAAAAAAAGTTACGACGATTCGTGAGTTAAAAATATACAGGATGGTCTATCGAAAGTAATGTGAAATCCTCACCTTTGAGATGTATCAGCTTTTTATTCTGCGCCCATTCGATTTCGGATTCGTCTATAGCTTTTTTGAAGTAAATCGGCGCCATGTCTCCCTCTTCCCTATCGATAGGGATGCATTCTATAACCATGTGTGGAAATTTGTGCAAGCGCATCGCGCATTCGAAGAACACACACGTCTTATTTGAAGCATTGAATAATCGTACCAACGATTTTCTCACGTCCATAACGTCGCTCCATTCGTTCTCGTCTAACTGGGTAGCGCAGGGGGTGTGCTTGATCGGTACGATCATACAGTGGCCTTCGGTTAAAGGTTCGTATGCAGGTAGTGATAAATAAACCGTCTCGCCCATGGATATCATTAAATGCTTAGGCGTCGATTCAGATTGGATGCATTTATTGCAGTTGTCTAGGGTTTGGGAGATTTTCTGGTGGTCGCTGATGGCTTTGTTTTTGTTTCTTTCGTCTACTTTTCCTTCAGATTCTTTCTTTCTGATGTTATCGGAGAAAATGTCGTCTAAATCGTCGTTTTTCCTGATTTTTCCGAAGGATTTTATAAATTCCTTGTCTTGATTGTCTGCTGTATTGTATTTCTCGTTTTCAAACATTTGCTTTAACGAGTATTTATCGTCGTCAGCGAAATATCTCACCCGTTCTTTACCTTGGTGTGTCTCAATCTTCTTGCTTTTCGATTTACCCCTGTAAGATTCGTGTTCCGATTCTAATTTTAACGGTTTCGACTGCCCTTTAGAATCCGTTTGCGTTAGAATATAATCGTCACTAGGTTTTGAATTTGCTACATGCTCTCTTGCTGTTTCCAATTTCTCTTTTAACTCCTTTATTGCCTTCGAGTTTCCCATGATTTCAGCTTTTACCAGTTTAGCTGCTAAAATGTTCAAGTCCTTTTCAGTGTAAATTACTTCACTAGTATCCTCTTTACTCGACGATGCTTCCTCTTTTTTATCGATGTTATTGATCTTGGAAGTTTTATGTTTTGATGGTTCGTCTGATTTTTCTGGTTTCTTTCTCCAATTGGATGTTCTAGCTGTATAACGGTTATTAGACGATTTGTAATCATTATATTCTTTTTCAGTGTCTACAGGTTTTTTAAAAGTAGGTAAACCGTCCCCTCCGTGCTTCCAATAAGGGTTTAGCTCTCTGTCACACTTCCTAGGATCGTATTGTTGTTTTTCTCGTTCAATCCGCTTTTGTTCATCTCTTTCTCTTTTACGATCTGAATTTGAAGTGGTGGCAAAGTTACTTTTCACATTCATCCAGGATTCTCTTTCTAATTTCTGATTGCTTTCTAACTGTGGACTAGGCAACCGTTTCCTGCAATTTTCCGCTTCAACCCACTCAGAAGAACGATCAGAATCGCTGCTAGAGCTCGAACTCCGTTTCTTATGATGCTTCTTGTGCTTCCTACTGATTTTTTCTTCTGAACTTGATGTACTGTAATTTCTCTTTCTATTTTTCTTCTTGTTCTTTTTACGTTTGTAATTCTCTTCACTGGAATCCTCTGAAAAACTACTGTAAGTTCTGGACTTTTTTGGTTTTCCCTAAAAAATGTCAGTTATCGGTGTTTAATAGTGTTGAAATAAATAATTCGAGGTACGTTTAATACCGTACAAAATTTCTCACCATTATCAGCAATAATACTAAAAATAATTCAATTTTCAATTTTCTTCCAAATATTTATTTTTAATGACAAATATGACAGTTGTAACTTGTAACCTCATTTACTTCTTTTTTGATAATAGGGTGGCTTTTTCTTTTGTGACAAACAGCTAATAGAGCAGTGTTACCAAAAATTTTGAACTTAAACGAGCAGTTGGCAAACATGTCGGTCCGTGATGTCTATTTTTTGCAAACGAACATAGCGAAGGAGCATCTTGTTGAATTTTTATTATAAATAAATAAATGCTCCTACAAATGTCAACATGTTTAGGAATTCTCTATCGTGGTATATTTTCGTCGTTTCAATATTCGAATTAATAATCAAAACCCATCCGACTTTACATGATAGTAGTCATGGTAAGAACATTTTCTATTTATATATGCTTTGATGACATTCAACATAATCGCTTATTTTTTGTAGGATTTGTTAGCAAAAATCCGAGATATTTCGACGACGACTTGTATCTGAACGTTTTACAAGAGGTAATAGCACAATTATGTTCTCCAAATGTATTCTACACTTACTTTTTTTTCTAGGAATTGGGTTTACCAAAAAAATCTAGTCATGTACCACAAAAATTTCAGCTCAAATTCGATTCAAATTTTCTCGATTGCAAAGCAAGGTCAGTTCGTTGTTTTTTAATATGATTTTAATTCATGAGTTTTTAATCGGTTTTAGGCCAAAGGGACAGCTCGTATTTGATCCATTAATTATTTTAACTTCTGATAAAAACAGTAGCAATGATGCGACATCAGTATCCAAAGATACTGTTAACGTTTTTAATTCATTATTTCAAAACAGGGTAAGCAATTAGAAATCCTGAAGTTAGTGCAAAGCATGTAGTGAATCCCCACTGTGTAGGCAGTATATTAGATTTTGTTTTTGTTGATATTCTATGTAGTGTTTGTTTAATGAAATATTTAAATTCTTTCAAATGAAAGCATCTATTGTTAAGTTGGAGATATACTATAATTGAATTATGTTTTTGCTGTTTAGATTATCGGAGCCAATACCTTTAGCCATTACAGGATACGGCCATTGGTTGGTATCAAACTACCGTTGAATTCAACATTTGCACCTTTAATTTATTTGCACAACTCACATTTGGAACCATTGCAGGTGAAGTTTTAAGTTGTGCACAACAAGAGAATTTTATATTAAATTATTTAATATCTGCAGATTGTTGAAATTCACAGCAGCAGCAACAAATTTAATTTGGAGCTTCCGAACGGCGAAGAGGAAGGATCCAATTTTTTGTGGGAAATCCCTCCGCACGAGACGAAAGCTATAATTCGAGTGCATTTCTTTGCTCACGAATTGAAAAACTATTCAGCCAGTATCAGGTACTTCTACATATTGATTGGCTTTATAGCAAAGCCTACATTGTTTTTTTACATTTACAGAATTAGATTGCATAAACCTGACAGGACGTTGATGGTGCCTGTGGAAGTTGAAGTAACTCCTGAAATGCAACTAATTCATCCGAGAGGCTACATAGATCTGGGTTTAGGAGGTAATTACGATCCTCCTAAAGAATTCAAACTATGCCTACTCAACCCAAACAAGAAACCAGTTAGAGTGCATAGTCTCACCACTACTTCAAAAGCTATCAAGGTAGTATATTGTATAGCTACTCTTACATATTCGTTACCTAAATGTACATTTTGCTTTTAGATAAAATATTACAATATAAGGATACCACCTGCAATAGAGTTGCAAGACTCCATGTCACAGTGTGTCGATGTTGCTACTCTAACCGTTGACTGTACGTATTAAACGAATTGCACAGTTTTTAGAAAATCGACTATTTTTATTATCTTTCAGGGAAGACTGCTTACGAAACCAAAGATTTTTCGGGAAAAATTGTCGTTAAATTCAGAAACGGCAGAAACAAATCGGAAATATTTTATCATATGGATGTCTTGAAGGGCGGTTTGACCTACGATCCGTTGATAACGACCTATTTTATAAACGACAAAGCTAACGGGCTCTCGTTGAGGGCGTTCAAAGTGAAAAACCAATTCAACGATTACATTTACATATTAGACGTACTTTTACCAGCTGATATTCAGTCCTATTTTAAGGTTTGTTTTTTTGTTTGCGTTAAAGGCTTCAATTTAATAACCATTTTGAATTTGTTGCAGGTAAAAGTTCTTACTCCCAAGATATTGAAGCCCGGCGAGGATGGAAATATATTTTTCATCGAGTTGAAAAACAACATGAGGCTCTCTGATTTACAGCTGCAATCTCAAATAGTTATACTTACAAACATTTCCGACATTAAAGTACCTTTGATCAGTTACAATGGAAAACTCCAAGTCGTAAGTTAAATGAACTTGATCGCTTTTGTTGCGAGAATTAATTTTTATTTTATTTGCAGCACTTGCCCTTCAAAAGTAAGGACTATTCCTTAGATATCGGTCTAGTGGGATTCAACGCTAGAAAAGAAGTGTACTTTATGATTGTTAATGTGAATCCCGTAACGCTAAACTTGAAACACATTCATTCGTCCATTCCCATGACGAGTGCAGAAGTAATAGGTTGCGCTTCGGGAGAATACAAACTTGCACTGTTCTCTCCGTCTTTTAAATATCTTAAAAAATGTGTAAGTATCCTATTGCAATATACAGGGTGTTCCTAAACATCGTGTACATCCAAAAGAGGGTGATTCCTTGGCTTATTTTATGACTAAAAGTTCATATAAACGTGGGTCCGAAAACGCTTTGTTACCGTTCTACAGTGTGTTGAAATTTCAATTTTTATTTTTTTTTTGTTTAAAAATTATTAAATTTTTTGTCTAAAATTTATTACTACCTAATTTCAGCACTGCAGCTTATGTTGTTATGCAAATTTCATAAAAATATTTAAAATGGTATGGAAATGAAAGTAAAGAAATTGATTTTTTTCTTAAAACTTTAACACCCTATATCTCAAAAGTTAAGACTTTTAGGACATAGGTTGATATGAAATTTTTTTCTTAAAATGGGTCCAAGTATCATCCCCTTCAGTATTAGCATATTATTAAAAAACACCCTGTATAAAGGGTGCACAAATTCTTATTACATAATATAACGAGTTACATTTTTAAATCTAATAATATCTTTGTGAACAATAATTATTATTTCTCTGAATAACTTCTTATGGGAATCTGTTATTTGTACTGGTGCATAACAGTCTGCTATCTGTTACATTTGTAATATTTTAATTATTTAAATTTTCTAGCACAATTTAAAAGCTGGCAATCACGCGATAATAAAAGTGACGGTAGGCACGACGCAAATCGAGGGGCAAGTCTGGGGCGATATTTACGTAGAAACGCAGTTCGAAAATCTGAAAGTTCCTGTTCATTTTAAAATCGCTTCAGGAAAATTGGAAATCGGTCCAGATAAGCTGATATTCGATCAATGTTTTCCGGTAAGTATTTCACGAAGGTCTCCTCGAAAAATTAATAATTTTTAACGATTATTGATTTTTTGTTCTAGGGGAAAGTATGCTCACATCCCTTGCGGATTTATTCCACATTTAATGATCCTATGATTATATTGGATATTTTAGCCATACCGCCCGATAAAAGAATTAGTAGCAGACATACGGGTCATATCATAGCGAGAACCTCTAAAATAGTCGGACATTTATTTTTTAATCCGGACTTGGAATGCCGCTCTGAATGCTATACGGGATTGCAAAGCGATACAACGGGTATAGCTAAATTTCCGTGGTATTTTTTTTTGCATTTCTTTATTAAACTGTTTATTGGTTTACAGCTCAATGGTTGACCATATTCAACTTCTCGAAATACGTGGCAGACTTCGATCTCCATCTTATAAACACCTTCTACAATCGGTACCTTAATGTTACATCGCACGGAATGAAGAAATGGCAAAATCTCACCTTGCGTTTGGATACAACCGAAGTAAAAGGCCACATATTTAATTCGAGAGTGAAAATGAGCTGGCCTCGGTTGATCGTCGATCCGAATTTGTACGAAAAAGCTACCGTCAATTTCCCGCTCACGCAGGTCGGAAACGTCACCTATCACAACATCACCATCAAAAACCCGGCGAGCTACAACGTGGTGGTGCAACTGGTCTTCGACAGAGACTACCCGGGTTTCGAGACCCTCTACGCGGCCATGCCGCCCAGTCTGGTGATCAAAATGAACGACAAGCACTCCTTCCGCGGCTTCTTCTTCCACAACAGGACCAGAGAAAGGCAACAGCATCAGTTCTTCAACATGCTGGGCGTTCGAGCGCACAAAGAAAGCATCCCGGTGCTGCTGACGCCCGGCCAAACGTACACGTTTCCCGTCGGTTTCTACGCCGAAGACGCCGAATTCCATTCGGCCGTGTTGCTGTTGCGCAACAATCTCACCATACTGGAATTGGTGAGGTTGAACGCCAGAGGCGTGCAGCCCACGTTCAAATTCGGCAATCGCAAGCCGGGCTCGGCGCAGCCCCTGACGTTCGAAATGACCGACAGGCACTTCCACGATTGCGAGCGCCAGAGATTGTATCCCGAAGATTCGAATTTCAGCATCAAGAGAACGTTCACGGCGAAGAATATCGGAGAGGTGACGCTGTACGTCAATTCGTTTTACATAAACAACTACCGTTGCGAGGGCTACGGTTTCAGAGTTTTGAATTGCGAACCGTTCGCTTTGCATCCGAATCAAACAAAGAAGATCGACATAGCCTTTACGCCGGATTTTACTTTATCGAAAGTATCCAGAACGTTGATTATATTGACGAGTTTGAACGTACCGGTGAATTACACGCTCTTCACGACCATCCCGCCGGTTTATTTGAACATGTGCTCGGATGTGATATCGCGACCGACTTGGGAGATATTCCTCAGTTATTTAACGGTCGTTTCGATGGCGGTACTTATTATCGTTATACTTTGCTTAGCAGCTATAGACGCCGAACGTATCAGGCAACAGGCCATCAGCTCTTTCATCCTTCCCAGTAGCATGACCGTTCAGCCCGTGCTAGATTTGAGATTGGTGGGCCAGCAGACTAGGGAGGAAATACAAACGTCGAAAATCGCCGCTGCTCCTGTCAAAGAAGAGAAGAAAACTGAATGTACCGAGAAGGTTGCGGAAAAGGAAGTCGAAGTGGAGGTGAAACCGAAACCGGAATTGGAAAGATACACGGTTCTGGTGCCTACGACGGGGAAAGTCAAAAAGAGATTGGCCAACAGAAACGGCGAGGAACGCGCGCAAAACGAACAGCCCGAAACGCACGCCGGAGCCGGCGAAAATAAAGAGGAGAAACCCGACAGAAAGAAGGAAAAATACAACCAAGAAAACAAGTACAAATCTAAGGACGCCAAGGAAGCGACTTTAGACGATAAAGATAAAGAGAAAGAAAAAGATAAGGATAAGGATAAGGAAAAGAACGTGAAAGAAAACAAGAAATACTGTAACAAAAAATACGCCAAAAACAACATAATAGTACCTGTATACCTCGAAGAGGAGACCTCGTCGACGTCCACCGACAGCAGCGGCGGCGTGAACGAGGACCCCGAAAAAGAAAACAACCAAAGACCCTCGGCCAAGCTGTGCTCGAAGACGAAAAGCCCTAACGCGAAGCGAGACAACGCGAAAAACGGTTTGGTTACGGAAGCGAATCCCAATCATACCGCCGAACTGAAGTACGTCAATTGCAACCAAAGCGGCACCAAATTCAGGCATCAAAAGACGATCGACAAGAAAGCGAAAATCAACGAAAAACAGAAGAAAGAATGCAAGGAATACGAGCCGATCAATCAGAAAACCACCGAACAGTACAATCAGCCTATTGGAAAACACGGCCATCCACGGGAACTTAAAAAGCGCGAACGAATCGTCAAAGAACGAAAAGAAAAAGGTATTATAACTGTTGCTTTTGATATTGCTGTTCTTCTACGTTTGATATACAGTGAGGACCAAAAGTCCGTCGCCCCCCCCCTTTAACTTTTGAATGGTAAGAGCTTTTGTCGCGCAATTTGTCGCGTTTATATTGGAGTAAAAATACTATTTATTGACGTAAAAATGACAGTTGAAACTTTCAAAATGACAGGGAGGCGCCATTTTGAATCTTTTTTTCTTATGAAAAGGGGGGTCAAGTGACACCTCGTTTTAAAGGTAATTTCATTCTTAAGTCAACTCCCAAATTTGAAAACATTTTAATAACGCGTATTCACGTGAAGACCAATTTAGTTTTAACCCCCGGGCATATTAATACATTTAAGACTTAATTCTGAACGTACTATAAAATGTTAATTGTTGCTATGGTTTCTTGGCTTTGACATTTATTTGTCAAATTTAAAGTTGATGAAAGTGACAATGGCTCGTCCTTTAAACGAAAAAACTGTCACTTTCATCAACTTTAAATTTGACAAAAAAATGTCCGAGCCAAGAAACCATAGCAACAATTAATTGACACATTTTATAGTACGTTCAGAATTAATTCTTAACCCTTGAATAGTCGCGCGAAAATGTTTAACATGAGTAGTGGCGTCGGTCTCACAGACCGTAGGCCCATAAATACATAACGGAATGTACTTAAAAAAAAATAAATGTGGGGTTGTTTAAATAACAATGACTAATAAATAATGACTAATAAAATGACTAAAAAAAGCCAAATGCAGTACTTATTGTTATTTTTTTAGCTTGATTTTTAGAATATTTGGTAAACAACGTTTGTAGTCGGTCTCACAGACCGCGGCGCGACTATTGAAGGGTTAAATGTAATAATATGCCCAGGGGTTAAAACTAAATTGGTCTTCACGTGAATACGCGTTATTAAAATATTTTCAAATTTGGGGGTTGACTTAAGAATGAAATTACCTTAAAACGAGGTGTCACTTGACCCCCCTTTCCATAAGAAAAAAATATTACGTCAATAAATAGTATTTTTACTCCAATATAAACACCCCAAATTTTGCGACAAAAGCTCTTACCATTCAAAAGTTAAAGGGGGGGGCGACGGACTTTTGGTCCTCACCGTATTTTTAGGGACTCCCTGTATCAATTTGAAAACGTGCAATAGCAAATTATAAATAGTAATTAATGGTGAAATTTTCTAATTACAGTGCACCACCGAAAATCCTTGGACAAAATCAAGCAAGCCGATCGTTCGGGCGTTTCAAACTCTTCGAATAACCCGCCGAACGCGTTCGCGACCACTCTAACAACCGCGAATAACGGCGCCAACGCCGCCCAGGACGGTCACGAGCGATACAACAAGAACTCGCCGACATTCAACGTGCCGCTGCCGCCGCCGCCGCCGACGACCACGGTGAACACCGTGTGGGGCGAGAGCTGCGCCAAGTTCAGCGACGTGGTGGCGCGCAGCGAGCCTAACTCGGTCGCGCCCGCCAACAAAACGGTCGGTTCGGCCGTGGCGCCGCCGCTGGCCAAGCTGGCCGTCGCCAAGCCGGCGGCGTTCGTGGAGCCCTACAAGCAGGCCTCGTTGACGGAGCTCGGCCCCATCGGGTCCAGACGGTCGGACAACAGGCGATCGTCGGCCGAAGCGGGCCAGGAGGCGAACGGCAGACGGAAGATAGAGTTAAACGGTAACGCGTTGAATTTGCTGGTCGGCGACGGGGCCAACAGCTACTTTTCGGATTCGATCCGCTTGGACAACGTCATCAGGGAGAACGGCTTCGTCAACGACTTGAACGCCAACAGTTGGAATCCGCACGAGAGCTTCGGAAACGTATTGGATACCTCCGAATTCGCAGCGGCCGCCGATAGAAATACCATTATGGAAGGTGAGGCCTTTTTTGGTTTTTGTTGTTTTCGAGATGGTGCGCACCGAGCGCTCTGAATTGACTCCAATTTGGGAATATCTATTCAATTGATATTATCTCTAAAATTTTGATGGACTATTCAACAATTTTAAGATACTTTTCCAATAACTTGGTGCACAACTATCTCTGAAATTATTTTAATTACACTACATACATTAATGCAAACAATTTGTTTCCGTTTTGCTTCCTTCAGAAGAAAATATTAACGGAGAAACGGGTAAATATTCGCAATTGAATTGTACATTTTTTAAAGCGTATTTTTACCATTAATTTTCAGACCCCTGGAACCAAAACTTGTTAAATACAAGTACCTATTGGGACAGTTACAATCCGCTGTTGGGCGACAATCCCCTTTTGAACGGCGCCAATTCCCTCTTGGAAGACAATTGCCTGTTGAACAAAAACTCGCTATTGGGAGACGGTCCTCTTTTGGGCGAAAATTCCTTCTCGAATAACGACAAGGAGGTGGTTTCGACGCCGTCGAACGTTTACTTGTGGGGATCGTCGTCGGTTTGGCAACCTTGGGCGCCCGAATGTACTTCTAATGCGAGCAGAACGCCCACCACAACACCGCCCGTTTTCGATGAATTCCTGTCCCGAACCGATGATGTAAGTATGCAAAATTCTAGTGGTCTCCCACTATTAAAACTGAACTAAAATATCATTTAATTACCGATTAGAATTTTGGGTGACAAAAAAAGAAACAATTTATTTATCATTTATGTATTCTTACAAATAGGATTTTACATTAACGACGGTTTTTAGATTTATTAACTAATCCATTTAATTTAACTTTCAATAATTTGTTTTTTTTCTTTCCTTTTTTTGTAATAGTTTTTTTAACTCCCTCTTTAGGTTTAGGCTTGGAAACTGATCTGTTCGTTTTCTTATTTTTCGGTGGCACGTTCTTCACTGTAGGCTCTACCTTAGTTTCTTTTTCTGGCTCCTCTTCTTTTTCAATTTCCTCCTTTTCTAATACCTCTCCTCGGAAAATGTCATCGAGAGGCTTCAGTTTGTAACTGTCTGTAGGTCTCGTTGCTTCTGCATGTACCTTCTGTTGAATTCTGTTGACGTACTTTCCTTTAGCTTTCAAATTTATCTGATGTCTATATTTAGTCGGACTGATGTAGTTTGGATTCTCCCATAACGCCACTCCTCCGAAACTATTGGAGAATATTTTGACCGGATTCATCACAAATCTAGGTCCGATTTCAGCTAAAGCTCCATCTTCCGAAAGTATTTGGAAGTTTCTGAACCATATTCTGTTGTCCAGTATCGAGAAGGTATAGACATGGTCAAAGAATGGCTGGCTTTTGGGATGGTGATTGGGAACTCCGAACACTTGAGTGAACAATTCCTTCAACAGCTTATAATGAGGTTTGTCGTTAAAAGCTTGGTCGAAACTCAACAATGGCCTTGAACCTCTAAGGCAATTACCAGTTAATTTAAGTTCATCCATCGTGTAGATGTTTTCGATTAAAAACTTTACGCTAGGTCCGTTTGGAACATTCGACAACCACATGTACAGGTCTCGTTTCTTCCTACCTTCGAACAGTATAACTTTATTGCAGTTTTTTATTTCGCACATCTCGTTGATAATGGACAGTGTTTTGGAACGCTCCATTTTAGCCTCGGGTTTATGATGGGGTAGGAGTTTCTTCAAATCCTCCATTAGGTGCCGGTCTCGATGGTTTATTCCCCTCGAAGCGAAGACCATGACTCTTTGCTTGTTGATCCATTTTTTCTTTTTCTCCACTGGCGCTTCTGACAATCGTTTGGTCGGAGGTGGTTCTTGTGAGGGCTCCGATGGTTCTGTAACTTTTTTTAAGTTTGCTTTCTTAGTTTTTGCCATTTTCGCAACACGTGCCAACGTTTGGTGATTATTTACGAATTTAAGTTGACAGTTGTGAACGTAACCTCACTAATTTCTCTTCTATTTTTTTTGGTCTTCGCCTTGTGAGTAATGTAGTTACTTTTGTAACTTGTCTTTTATAAGTAGGTAATACAACATCACTAATAAATTGTTTAATTTTATTTTTAGTGTCTTCAACCGCAAATACCACATGCACGAGAAAACTACAGTCCTTTCAATACATCACCTCTGTGGACACAACAGCAGCAGAATCCATGGAACTACTCTCAGGGACAGTAAAATTGTAAAATATATAAAAAAAATCATATCTACTCATTTGTTGGTCCTTTGCACTTACATTCCTCGTTTTGGAATCAATTGATTGTGTTTTTCTTAAGACTGTATGTAATAATGTGAAAATACTCATTTGTGTAGGCGTTGTTTAGTCCTACTCTTGTCATAATTTTTCAATTTAATTAGATCTTCGGATTAATGGTAAAAATTATCTTCGATAAACGTTAAAAACTGATCTCTCAGTTATTAAAAGTCGATCCCTAAATAAATGTTAAATAAGCAAATTGAACTATTGTATTATTTTTTAACCAATTTTAATTTCACACGTTAGTACCCAAAGCAGCGAATTTGTTGGAAGTTAATTCGACGTCATCGTCTTCGCTACTTTCATCTTCATCCTCATATTCCTCATCCGTGGATTTTTTTGTTTCAGGTTTTTTGCGTAATTTTGGAATCTCATCATCATCCGTATCGCTAATGGCAACGTTAAATTCACTGTAAGATGCAGAATCGGCATTCTTCGCTTGAATTGATTGAACAAGTTTAATATCTGGATGGTTCTCCCATACATCTAAAAATTATCAGTATTTTTTAATAAAATAGTTGCGTTATGAATGCAGCGTCAGATTGGCCCAACTGCGAATTGCATTTACTGGTACCAGTTAGGAAAAGTGCTGCATATTTTCTAAATTTCCAGTGTGCTTGGGTCCAAATGGCCCAAGTATGCACGCTGTATCTATTAGTGAATTAGAAAAGCTCATTTGGGCCCTTGTAGATTTGAAATTTAAAAAATATGCAGCATTTTTCCTGATCGATACCAGTAAAATGCATTGCCCAGTTGGGCCACTCTGGCGCTGGGCGACTCAACTATACTGAATAATTACGTTTTTGTTGACAATATCCAGGCGGCCTAAGACACAAGCAGATTTTTCCATCTAAAGCCATTCTCAATAAACTATTTGCAGCTCGATAAGAGTCGAGCCGAGCCGCTTTAGCGGTGTAGTAGCCTCTCTTCTTAGCCCAACCATCGCAAATATCCATCGCTGACCAAGTGTCATCATTGGTTGGATGATCGATGCGAAGTAGGGAAACCAAGTTCAGCCTCTCGGCTACAAAAAATTAACTGTTACTTCATTTATATGGCGCAAAACGGATTAAAATTACCTATGTATTTTACAGTTGTAAATGGCTGTCGCAATTGTGCTATAGGAAAACTTCCCATCAACACCTGCAAAGGTTTTGGTACTTTCGAAGGAAATACTAAACCCGGGCAATCACATAGACGTACAGTAGGTGTTAGGAATATCGTTTGAAAATGCTTTGTGTGCCCCGGCGTTTTGGACACGCTCACGACTTTCTTCCCCATTAGAGCGTTCATAATCGAGGATTTTCCCACGTTCGGTTGTCCAATACAACCGATCGTTAATACCTATAAACATCAAATTGTTACTATCAAATGAACCATTAACTTGGTGAGAATATCTCACCCCCTTGTTGTATTTCTCGTACTGGAAGTAATCCGTATCCACACATTTTAAATTAACTTTCTCATCGATCTTAACGGCTTCATCGTCTTCGTCGCTGTCGCTGTTTTCGACGCAGCATTCTTCTTTGATCTTAGTATGCCACGAAGAGAGATCCACTTCGCCGGTGACTAGTTTTTTACATACATCGAAAATTTGTTGGGCTCCTTCGGCGGCCATGCGAATTCGCCCGCGACGCCTGCGCACTTGCAAACCTAAAAAATACATCCTTGTTTACCTACTTCACAGAGCAGGTACTTTTTGATATACTCGGGTAGGGTGAAAAGTTCACGGCCTGAATCATTCGGAACTGTCTAGACCAATCTAGAAAGCTCCAGAATCCTTTAGAACTGTTTAAAACCGTTTAAAACGCTTCGAAACGCTCCATATAGAACGCTCCAGAATCATTTATAAATGTCTAGAACTATTTTCAACGCTCCACAGTCATTTAGAATGCTCCAGAATCATTTAGAACTGTCTCGAAATAAAGATTTCGACTTAAAACAAGTAGAATAATGTAATTTGTCAATTGAAAATCGCGGTCTTTCATTGTCAGGTCGAGATCTTTTTACCTTACCCTTGTACAGGGTGTCCTGCTTAAAGGAGTAACCTACCGTTTTCATTGCCCTGATTTCCAATTAAATTGTAGCCAGGTAGTGTTGTAAAAAGAACAATTTGCAAATTTGGATATCGTTCCTTGAAATAAGCCTTCCACGCCACAACTAGACTAGGAGGAGCTAAATCAATCTTATTTATAACTAAAATAAAGTCCTTCTTTAACGTTTTAGTAACGTAAGTGTATAAAGAAGGTGGAAACATGACGGCCTGAAATGTAATGCTTTAGAAAAATATTTGTGTAAAAATATTCATTACTTACAGCAAATCTGATGTCTACAATAAACAAAACAATGTCGGACATTTCCAGTACCCTCCAAAGTTGCCTCCATGTTTCAAGATTTAATTCAAACAGACTCAAGTCTTTCCAATCGTACTTTTCCTCGATATTCCTCACGTACTCCTGAATAAGAATTATACATAATAATATAACTTTACATACATTTAAATACTTACAGTGAAATAATGATTCTCTTGCTGATCGAGCTTCTCTTTGCTTAAGCCAAATTCCCACGGGGGTCTCTTTGGGAAATCAAAGTCGGTGTTGAAAAAGTGACTTCCTTCGATTTCTAAATCCTGTTCTTCTTTGACTTCTAAGCTTTGTCTAGCGATTTCTTTTTGTTTAACTATTTCTTCCTGGGTTTCTCTGTAGAATTGCAGAGCGTATCTATTGGGCTTCGATCGACCATCCCTTGTGGGTTGGAAATTGATTTTTTCGACATTTCCCGATCCTTCGCCGAGATCTCTTTCACCTTCTAGCAGAAACGGATTCCTATTGGGATTATGATTGGGCCCTGCAGATGAATGTTTAGGTAGTTGTGAGCGAAGTGTGGCGTCGTAAATAATACGAAATTACCTTGTTTAAATTGCTTTTTAGCTTTGAGTTGCTCTTTTTTCGCTTTTCCGCTGAAAGGCGTTTTTCTGCGTCCTTGTGGCATTGTTATTCCACCGAATAAAGCATAATATGGACACTTTTAGAGTTTTCCGGGTTGAGAGAAGTATTTTTTCAAATTATCTTTAGTCAAATTTAGACAATACTCTTCTTCTACAATACAATTTTCCGATTTTTTCTAGAACTACTCGACTTGGGGCTAACTTCACTATATTTCTCTTCTGCTTAGCTATAATTTTATAGGTATACAGCCACACGAAATATAATATTTCAGATTTTTATTTTATATGATGAGCGTTTTCACACGCTGCAATATACAAGGGTAAGGTGAAAAGTTCTCGGCCTGGCAATGAAAATCCGATATTTTCAATTCAAAAAATACATTATTTTATTTATTAAGTCGAAATCAAGACAGTTCTAAATGATTATGAAGCGTTCTAGATAGTTCTAAATGATTTTGGAGCGTTCGAAACGGTTCTGAAGTTTTTTAAACGGTTTTAGACAGTTCTAAATGATTCAAGCCGAAAACTTTTCACCTTACCCACGTATTGCAAGCAAAAAACAAGTAAAAACCTGCAACATTTTGCATATAGAACATATAACACGAATTTGCACTATTAAACTATCGCTGCAATATAATGCACCGTGATAAAACGGTCCAAATGTCTAAGAATATAATTAAAAAAATTAATGTGACAATTGTTTATTAAATTACTTTTTACACGTTGCCTATTACTAAGTTTATATTACACGTTAGATAATTATATACAATCCTAATCGAAATTTACACTTTTGCACTTATCACTAACTTATAAATTAACTTAAGGCTTATTCCTATTTAAAAATTTTTGAATCACATATGAACTTATAGCACTTTTTGCGAAATACGCTTGCACAGCATTACACGTTCTGGCATATCTTAAATTGATTAGAAAATATTTCAGACAAATATTGTACCAAACATTGCAAAAATTAAAAAACTCCTACTAATCATACTGGCTTCTATCTGCAAAAGAAAAAAAATAAAACAATCATACCCATTTGGATTTAGGCTTCGAAATAAATTAGAAACTAAACTAAAATAGTATTTTACCACAATTAACGTAGGTATCCCAATGCGGATTATTCTTCCTACTCCTCTTCACCTGTTCCTGGACCAATTTGTGCAACTCTTCGAACACTTTAATTTGACTTTCCGAACAACTGAAAGAAAATGCATAATTATTACACTGAAAATCTAGACTCGATTTTAAATAAATTTTACCTCTTTTCGATATAGTTGTTACTAAAAGTGGTGGTCCCGCTCTGTTCAGGGATTGGCGATTTTGGTATGTTGGACTCATCGTGGATGATCTCGCAAGGCTGTTTGCGATTTGAATGACTCGAATTTCTCGAAGAAACTAAAACAAATTATAACTGAAGCATAATGTTCAAATACTTTCAACGGGACAGTCTACAATATTTTTATAAGGATCTCGTTTACACAGCGATAATGTAGAAAGAAAACAGTCATCAGTACCTTCATTTGGACTCCAATAATAACTGTTAGAAGATTCCGTTCTTCTGCCATCTCTATTATTATGGGTATTGTTCGAGGATTTGTGGTTATTTCGATGAGGTGACTCGTGGTGTAGATTTCTCTGCACAGCTGTAAATGTAAACATTTTTTAGTTTTTTTTTAATTCTTTGTCGTTTTGATAAATAACGCTAAAAAATAAAGTCAAATAGTTTATCAATGTTACTCAAGGTCGCCACTTCAGGATATTTTTAAATTAGATAACATAGGTTCAATAATTCTAGCAAGTAGTCTTTCTTATATTTAATATAGAGACTCCAAGCGATGATATCTCCTTTTTAAAAATCTTTTGCCTCAAAAACGCTCCTTAATAATTAAAAAGTGTGTACATAATTTCATAAAAATATCTGGAGTAATAAGAAAATTATAATAGAAAAGTAATGTTTTTTCTTAAACTGTAACACCCTGTAGCTCGAAAACTAAGAGGTTTATAACATATCGTTTGCTCCATTTCCGATTGCAACATGGTCATTTCTCTGAGCGGAACAAAGAAAGATTAATAAAATAACAGTTGTCAGAGTGAAAAGTTGCAATGACACAAATGTCATTCTTTCCTTTTCCTTTATAAGTGTCTAATGGAAGTTGTTTCACATCCTGAAGTATCGACACTCAATTAATTAACGCCCTGTATAAATGGGATTAAAAAAAACTTACTATTGTGACTGTTGTCAGGTTTGAAATAAGGATTTTTGTTCCCTTCTCTCCTCAATCGATCGAACTCGCTGTTGTTGTTGGCGTGCTTGGCGGCGCCCTTAGTGACGGAAATTTTCATTTTCAAATCGTCCAAGCTGCTTTCGAACACGCCCGAAGCCTTGCCTCGATCGCGAGGCGGCGGCGGCGTCCTTGTGCACGCTTCGCTCAAATCGGGCAAACCTCTGGCGTAACCGTTGGACGTTTTGTTTCTGTCCCGAGGAGATGTCGGCGTCGATCTGCGAGTTTCTCGCGGTTTTTCTATCGACTGTTTCGCCGCCGCCTGCCGTCTCCTAGATTTCACGGTGTCGTACAAATTGGTCTGTAACGAATTCGCAAAATTATAATAACATGCAAACCGTCTCTTATGGGGTAGTAAAATAATATTTAATAATTTATAGTTCTCTTTAAAGGTTTTACAGTTCAGTTTCTAATGGATATAAAGTGACTCATGAATAGTGAATATTAAATATACTCATAAATAACATTAAATTCAAATAAAGGAAGAAAAGATGTGGAATCTCGATGGTACAATTGAGACTACTTTAGAACCTGTTGTAATTAATCTCAATGAATCTGAAAGTGAAGATTCAGATTTTGATCCGAGCCACCATTTGCTCATAGAATAGAAATACTGAAATTGCTATTTGAACAACAAAATAAGCTCTTTTTAGAGGGCAATTCAATATTATTTGAAAAAATTAAATATATTCATTTTATTTGAATTTGACATGACTCCTGCACCATTTTTCATAACATTGACGGATGAGTCACTTTATATCGATTTGAAACTGAACTGTAGTAACATGATTTGAAATGTACTCACTCTAGGATTTTCGTCGGAATTTCGTTTCCATTCGTCATTCTTCAGGGGATAGTCCTTGGCTGGCCTGCACTCAGATTTGTTATCCTTCGACGGACAGTCCTTGGAAGGCTTGGAATACATTTTGTGATCCTTCGGGCTTCGTTGCGGCGAATTACTTTTACCAGAAACCCTCTCGTCGAGAAGTCGATGGGCGTCGAAACGGTCGCGTTCGATTTCCCGGGCGGCGGCGTCCTGTCTTTTAGGCCCGTTGTTAGCCTTAGTCGGTTTCCTGAAATTCCTCGGACTCGTCTTGTTGTTCTGCCGACAAGGAATGCCCTGGCTAGACGACGACTCGGCCCTCGTCTCCCTGTTCTGCGCCTGCTTTCGCTTGTGGAAATTCACCAGTTCCGCGATGATTTCCGACTTGCCGGCCGACGGTTCGGTCTTCGGCTTCTTCTCGACGGGCGTCTGCAGGTGCCACGGATCCGAAACGGTTTCGTCGTTGATGATGGCGTCGATGGGAAGCTTGTCGGTCAACGTGCCGAATATGTGATCGGAACAGGTGCTGTTGTTGTCGTAGGGCACCTCCACCTCGTTGCCGATGTCGATTTGTGAGTCGCCGTCGGGGATGTGCGGCGACGTGGAGATGTGCTTCAGCGGCGAGTCCTCGACGCCCCAGACGATGATGTTCGTCGGATCGATGTCCCAATCGGTGTACGATTCCTTTCGCTTGTAGGATTCCGGTTGGGCGGCGGACAGGCCGATTTCGAATATCATGTCGAAATCTTGCTGGAACTCATTGCCGCCGCTCATGATAGGATCGCCTAAAAAATGTTTTATGTAGTTCATTCTTTCCTCGCTTTTATGTATGAATTAAAATTACATGGTTTAATCAATTTAACATTGTGGTATGGCGCAACTGCACAAGTAAATTTAACATCTTCAAAACGTAAGTAAACATGTACTTTCGAATGGACTTTAAGCTAGGAGTTGCCCTATAGAAACGTTTTCCAATTCTTTTAACGAATGCTCGTAAAATGTCATTTTTAAAGGGTCTGTACCCTTCAAATTTTTTACTCTACACAATTTTATATAGATTTAATAATTTAAACATAAAATTTTCACGAAATAATAGGCCGCTAAACAAAGATATTGGCCCGTATTCAGCGCCCTATTTTTAACTGAAACATGGCTCTCTAAAGGATTACTCTAACGTAAACAAAGTCCCTAGTTATTTTAAACAACAATGTAAAACTGTCAAGTTACGGGCCATTCTGTACAAATTTTCACGAGTAAAGGTTTAAGGTCCAATATATCTTTTTTATTTTTATTAATTTTTTACAGCGTTTTCCATTGGTAAAATAGTGCGCACTGAAAGTGCACTCAGAGCAAAATTTTTGTTCCATTTATTGGACTGTGCGAGTATTTTGATTTCCAAAAGTGTTTTTTGGTGGCCAGATTGCCAAAACAAACATTTTGCCTGTATAAATAATAATATAAATACCCAGTATAAGTACTCACTTGTTTTGTATCCATGATCGCTCACTCCGTTCGTCGCAGCCTTGACTGAAGCATTTCCCAACGGCTCCTTATCCACGTTATCGAGGGGATGCTCCACGTCGAAATTTTCGGTTATTTCATGAATGATAGTCAAGTCGCAGGCGTTGAAACTCATGCTGTTCCACGGCGTATCGCTATCGACGAACGGTTTATCGGTGGATATCGAAGGCGGATTCTGATCGTGCGGAATCATCGTGATGTCCCCGAATATGCCCAAGCACCCCAAGCCGATGTCGTGCAGCAATTTCTCGCTGGTGGTTTTCTCGCAGCCGACGTTCGACAACAACGACGGCTGTTGGTTGAAATTGTTGGTCGACTGCGGGTCCGCAACCGGCGGGGCGGTTTGCTTGCATTTCTTGCACAACGGTCCCGCGTTCTCCGACGAGCTCTTTCGCTTCCTTTCCGTCACCGGTTTGTTGATCATGTGCTCCACTTCGTGGACGAAAGCCGGATCGGAGTTTGTCAGATCGTTCGAGAAACTCCTGGTGCCTTGCATGTTTTTTATTTGGGCGTCCAGTTGCTCCAAAATGTTGTCGTGCTTGGATTCTATGTGGTCGAAGGGGTATTTTTCTTCAGGTTTTGTATCGATTTCTGAACGCTCCTCGCTCGTTTTATCGTCATTGTTTGGAATACTTTCGCCTACTTCGAATCCTTTGTGCGTCGAGAGCTCGTTATTTTCAATCGGTGGTGTTAATTCGGATTTTTCTTCTACAACAGATTGTTTATTACTTAAGTCCAGTATGACTTCCTTGATGATTTTTTCTTCCAGGATATCACTATTTTCAGTAATAATTTTTGGACTGGACTCGGGTTTTGCCGATTGAGTTTTGTTATCAGACTCCAGCACCTCATTTGAATTGAGGCTCAAAGATCCGTCGAGCATTTCGACAGTGCGATGAATCTTGCTACTATCAGCGTGACTGGCAGTCTTCCTTTTCGTTCTACTCTTACCCCTCAGTCGCTTTATCAAATCGGAAGTGGAGATTTTCTGTTTGGGCTTCTCCGAGTCCTCGGAGCTTTCTTCTGGTGGGCCAGTTTCTGGTGAGATGATTTCATCACACGATGAAGGACTAATTACAATGTTCGATAGGATAACAATTTTACCGGCCGCATCGTTTGGACACGTTGTCTCAACATTTTCTTCAGAATGTCCTGATTGTGGTTTATCCTCTAGGATTTCGGAATTTGTTTCAGTCGATAAACCATTTTGAGGTAAACTGAATTTAGCTTCTTTCGGTACATTTTCTTCTAATAGACGAGCCTCTTGTGATTGATTTTGCTCCTTATCGGCGAGTGGAAAATTAAGCGTTGTTTCCTCTGGAGAGCTTTCAATGGCTTCTTCAACTTTTGGACTTTTAAGTTCATCTTTTTGTACATCTAATTCGTCTACAGGAGGAACATCCAATTCTGTGGTACAACCAATCGATTTTTCTGTTAGCGAATGTTCGTTTTCTAAGTTGTCATAACTAATTTCATCTTCAGGTGTAGTTTCCATCTGTACTGTATCTTCAAATTCTGGTTTTGTATGATCTTCTGCTTGTAGTTCCACTTCGTTTACAGAAGTTTCGTCAATTGAATCTACCACAAAGTCATTTGAACATTCTTTGAGCAAATTAAGATCTACAGTTTCCTCAACTTTTGGTTTTATATTATCTTCTGTTTGTAGTTCTAGGTCAGCTAACGAAGGGGTTTCTTCATTTCGATGTGATGGATTATCAACTTCTAATGGTTCTGCGCTCGGATAGCTACAAGTGGTTTCTGTTGGTAAATTTATTTTCACGATTTCGTGATTTTCGGATGCGTTTGGATCGAAAAATTCGATTTCCATATCACTTTGCAATTTTTGTTCGCCTTGATTTGCCGCAGATGTAAATTCATTTTTAAATTCTGCTTCAAATGCCACAACAGTGGATTCAATTGCAATTTGGTCATGTACTGGTTCCTCTTGATTTTGTTGTATGTTTTGGGGTTCATCTTCATATGTGGGCATACTGGATTGAATTACAATTTGATCTTGTACTGATTCCCCTTCCCTCCGTGTATTATGGTGTTCAGATTCATTTGTGGGAACACTTTCAATTGCCGTTTGATCTTTTATGGATTCCTCTTGTATATTTTGAGATTCTTCCTCATTTTTGGGAAGACTTTCAATTTCAAGTTCTTGTACTGATTCCTTTTGTATATTTTGTGGTTCATCTTTATTTGTGGGGAGACATTCAATTTCAATTTGACCTTGTACTGATTCATAATGTGTATTTCGGGGTTCATCTTCATTTGTGGGGAAACTTTCAATTTCAATTTGATCTTGTACTGATTCATCATGTATATTTTGGGATTCATCTTCATTTATGGGAAGACTTTCAACTTCAATTTGATTTTGTACTGATTTCTTCTGTATATTTGGAGCTTCATCTTCATTTGTGGGAACATTAGATTCAGTTTCAATTTGTATTTCTTCCTCGTGTATAATTTGGGATTCATCTTCATTTGTGGGAACATTAGATTCAGTTTTAATTTGTATTTCTTCCTCGTGTATAATTTGGGATTCATCTTCATTTGTGGGAACATTAGATTCAGTTTCAATTTGTATTTCTTCCTCGTGTATAATTTGGGATTCATCTTCATTTGTGGGAACATTAGATTCAATTTCAATTTGTATTTCTTCCTCGTGTATAATTTGGCATTCATCTTCATTTGTGGGAACATTAGATTCAATTTCAATTTGTATTTCTTCCTCGTGTATAATTTGGGATTTATCTTCATTTGTGGGAATATTAGATTCAGTTTCAATTTGTATTTCTTCCTCGTGTATAATTCGGGATTTATCTTCATTTGTGGGAACATTAGATTCAGTTTCAATTTGTATTTCTTCCTCGTGTATAATTTGGGATTTATCTTCATTTGTGGGAACATTAGATTCAGTTTCAATTTGTATTTCTTCCCCTTGTACAATTTGGGATTCATCTTCATTTGTGGGAACATTAGATTCAGTTTCAATTTGATCTTGTACTGATTCCTCCTGTATACGTTTGGCTTCATCGACATTTGTGTGAAGACTAGATTCAATTTCCGTGTCTTGTTGGAAACTTTGTTGGTCATAAATTTGTTTTTCGCCAGCTACTTTTACCTCAATTGCGGGAGTACCAGATTCTTCTTTTTGAATTTTTTCTTCCGATTCATCTGTTGCAGAAATTATAATTTCCGTTTGTTCCTCAATGATTGAAGTTTCAATTCTTTCACCGACAATTTCTTCAACCTGTGGGCTTTTATTCACATCTTCTCGTTTATCTTGAGGTTCTAATGAAGATATTGCTTCAGCATCACAAACTGCATTTGTTGTGTTTTCTATTGAAGAATATTTAATTTTGTCTTCTGCACTAACTAGTTCTTCGGATGTTAAAGGTGTCATTTCCGTTGGTAAAGTTTTGTTAATATTCTCGTTATCTTCTAATTCTTCAGGAATTAACGAACACTGCGAATTTACTTCTGTAGCATCTATTAAATCTTCGTCCTCCGCATTGTCATCTATTTGTGTATCTAGTTTATTTGAAGGTGTACATTCATCTTCCATTTCCTCATCGGTGATCGGATTGTTAGCTGGACTTTGTTGCTTCATATTACCATCTATTTGCACTTCTCTTTCACTTAAAGAAGCAACTTGTCGAGTTGCTCCAGGTTCATACTCAATGGTTTCTACATCAACTTCAGAACAGTTCGGTTCAGTTTCAGGTAAATTAACATTTCGTTGAGTATTGTCAGTTTCTGTAAGAGGTTCTTCTACCCGATCATATTGAATTTCCTGTTTATTTATTGGATAATTTGGTAAACTTTCATTGTTCATTTGTAAGTTTTCGTTACTTTCAACCTCTATTTGATTTGTAGAAGAAATATCTCGTTGATCAATTCGCGAGTCTTCATCAGTATTGGGGAATACTGGCGAAGTTTCTGCGGGTAGATTTACAATTTCGTCGTTTTTAAGATGCTTATTGTTGTGGTCTGTTTGCATAGGTAATTGATTAAATATGGCAACCTGCGGTATTTCTGTAGGTAGTAGTTTATAGCGAGTTTCCTCTTCGGTAACCGTACTATTGATTGAACATTCGTTAATTACGTTTTCATTTGGCGGGCATTCACCATCACCTTTCTGGTGGTTTAGAGGAGTTTCTTCTATTTTTGAGGATACACATTCAATTTCAGCACCTATTTCATTTGCAAGACAAGTTAATTTATTTTCTGTTGAGGGTTCTGTTTGTTCTTCCCTCGAATCGCTTTCAGATCGATCGAAATAATAAATTTTTCTAGTTTTCTCCGGAGTAATTTCGTAATCTGGTGAGATTTCGAGCGGTAAAATTTTTACGATATTTCGGTCATTTTCTAACTCTGCATTGATTTTTGGTTGTTTTAAAGAAAATTGTTGCGAATCTGGCGATGTTGATTTGTTATCAAGCAAATTTTCGTGTAAGTCTTGTACAGGCTTTTGTGTTACCGCATTAGGAGAAATATCTTGGACGTTTCTCTTGTTGTTTCGATTCTCTTTATTAATTTTTGTGGGTGAATTTTTACTTCTTGTGCCGTGCCGGTTTTTAACAACTTTATTTCGAACATCTTCATCAATATGAGGTAAACCTTTGTGATTTTTGTTGGGCGATGATTTACTTGGAGTTTTTGGTTCAATTTCAATGTGGTCCGTCGGCAGGAATTTCTTAAGATTTTCCTTGGGTTTGTTTTTCGTTTTTTGTTCAGCGTTGTGAACAGGAGAAATAACTAGGCTGTCCTCTGTCAGTAAATTCCTCGTCATCGAATCTACTTTGTATTTACTCTTCTTCTGCTTTTTAATGAAATTGTCGAAGGAAATTTCTTCGGCTGGCAGCTGTAACTTCTTCGAAGAAGATCGGGTTTTTGCAACGGGCGTGTCGTTCTTCAGAATCTTCGACAATCTTTCTATTTGATTTTGATGAGGAGAACCTTTATTTTTTTTCAGAGATAAACAGTTTAGTAGGTTTCCATTACTTGTATTTGTATTATTTTTGTCCACTTTTTGATCGGTTTTATTTTTCGTCTTTTTAACGTTCCAAGGCGTCGTTTTCAAAGTGACACTGATTTTTGAAGGTTTCTGAGTCTCAAAAATATTCGTTACAACAGGTAATGATGTAAAATCATCGTTATTTAAAGTCACCTTTGGTTTCCTACCCCTGGTATTTTTAATCACTAGGTTCTTTCGAGTGGAATTTGTCATTTCGTCGCTCGTCGCTTCGATTATGCATTTAGCAAATTTCAAAGAATTCTTTTTCCTATTGCCTCTGGCCGGTGTGAAATTAAATAAGTTCGAAATCGTATCGGAATCTTCGCTTTTCGAGCTACTTCTAGTTACCCGCCTATCGCCCATTTGCCTTCTGTTGTTTCGTTTCCTCCGAGGATAAATTTCATCGGTGTGCCTTTTGAACTCAGCAGCATCGGCCAGCACAAATAGACCATTTCGAACATTGTTTATGTTCTGCTGATGATTTTCAATGTCAACTTGGGCCAACTTGTAGGCAGTTTCTCCATTAGTCGGCTCAATATAGTGAGTTTGTCTGGTAATTGGTTGATAGATAGTATTTCCATTAATCTGTTCATTGTAGAGAGTTTCTTTATTAGTTGTACACTCATTGTGGAAAACTTCTCCATTCGCCTCATTGCAATTAGTATCCTCTTTACTTGGTCCATTGCAGACAGTTTCTCCATTAATTGATTTATCGTAAGTAGTTTCACAATTGTCCATCGTTTCTCCATTGGTTGGTTCATCATTGAATGTAATTTCTTCGTTGGTAGGTTCATCTTGGGCACCCTTTATTTCGGTCTCATTTGTCTGATAAGTATTATCAGAATGTTTCCTTTCTTCATTAACAAATTGTTCTACAGTGTCCTTGAGATCTTGAAGATTAGTAGACAATCTTTCAGTTTTTTCTTCACCGATTTGATTACTAGGTAGATTTTCGATAGTTTCAGAATCCAGGCTTTTAGGTGAACTTTCAGGCATGCATTGTAAGGTATCAACTTTCACTTCAAGTGTATTGTTCAATTTTTTTTCGGAGCTTTCTCTATTATCTTCTTCTTGAGTTGTTTTATTTTCTTGGTTAACCTGGTCATGATTTTCTTCGACTCCTAATATAACCGAAGAATTTTTATCTTCTTCCAATATAGAATCTAATTTTGATTGTTCACTTAACGCATGAGGCGAATTCAGTTTTTCTTCTGCAGAAATGTTTACTTGAACTTTTGTTGGTAAATTCGCATTTTCCAGCGCTTCCACTTGAACTTTTGTTGGTAAATTCACATTTTCAAGAGCTTCTAATTGAACTTTTTGTTGCAACAATAAATCTTCAGTCTTCTTCTTGTTGTTTTGTTCGAGGAAATAATTCTGGATGTAAGTTTTCTTGTAATTGCGGCTGGGATTAAACATTTGATAATCTTTTATTGGTGCACTTGGTACATTACTTGGTTGCTCGATATTGCATTCGATTCCTAGTTTTTGAGGTTCATTGTTATTTATTTTGGAATTGTCAGTTAGATGATTCACTTCTATTTCGGATTTTTTAATCACTGCACAAAATTTTTCGTTTGATGATTGAAATGTGCTTTTAACACCACTTTTAACTATTTCATCCGCCTTGTCGACAAAAATAGATTCATTAGTGTTGTTTTTACATGTTGGTGAACTTGTTTCGTCATCATTTGGAGTAACTTCTGAGCTAATATTTCCTCTAACTGGTGAACAAGATTGTTCGGTAATGTTGGGTGGATTATCTAATAACGTAGGAACTGATTCATTGTTATCACTAGAGCGAGATTCCGGCACAATATTTGATGTAGACGGAGCCGTTACCTTTTTTAGAGCAAGGTCTTTTCGTTTTTTCTTTCTTTGCGAACTGTCTTTCACTCTTTGTTTTCTCGAGTCGATTAAAGCATCTATTGCATCTAAGGAATTTCTGGTTAAACATTTTTTCTTCTCTGTATCATTGGTTAAATCAATTTCCACACAGACATCTTCCTTTTTCTTAACATTTTGCGAATCGTCTGTTATACTTGGTTTTCTCGAGTCGATTAAAGCGTCTATTTCATCTAAACAATTAATTTTACTAAATAATCTATTTGTTGTATTTGTTGTTGTTGATGTGGGAAGACAAGCGGAATTGGTTGTTTGGTTTTCATTCTTCTTCTCATCGTCAGTTAAATCAATTTCATCGATTACTTGTGGACTAGTGAATAATTTAACAACTCCTTTCTTTTGCGTAAATCCTTCTACAATTCGTTTCGAACTCGAAGGAACTTGATGATCTTCAACATTCTTCTTTTTCGCTGAATCGATTAAGGCATCTATTTTGGCTAATCTATTACACTTGGATAAATTTATAATGCTATTATCTCCAACTTCAACTCTGCTCGTTTGGGACGTTTCATTTTTATCACCGGATTTTTTGTTATTTGTTTGGTTTTCACATTTAAAATTCCTTGGTCCCAGTTGATTGGTACCACTCGAATTAGTTGCTTGTTGCAAATCAACCGATGGAACCGCATGTTGATCGTTCTGCAAATTTAGAAAATAGTAAAATGAAATTAAAACGAGTGTATTCAACAGAAACTCACGGTATCATCTGCCGGTGTTACCCACGACGCACTCGGCTGTTCAGAGCGAGAATATTTTGCTATAACATTGGTAGCGAATATCGCCAAATTTGGATCCGGGCCGTCCTCTGTCGAGCGTTGCTGGTTCATCGACGTTTTAACCTTCTCATACAGACCAATCGCTTTCAAAAGCAAGCTGAAGCGCAACAAAAATATAAGAAACAATACTTTCATCGGATTAGTAACAACGCAAAATCGTGGAAACTTACATCGTCATGCTTTCCAACAGTTCGAAATTGGCGAGGGGATTGCATTTGAGTTCGACGAAGATGTCGAAAATTGGCTTTGCGGAAATTTTCGCGATATCTTTTCCTTTCGGTGTTATTATGCATTCGAAATATTCATTATGGATAAAACGTAGTAACCTTAATATTCTGTGTTGAATTTGAAGTTTCCTCTTTGCCGGAAAATGTGGGTTCTTGTTGAGGATCTCGCACTCCACCAAAACGTACTTGCACAATAATTGAGAGAAGTCTGAATATGGATAACAACTTGATAACTAAAACATATTTTACGTGAGTCATATGTGTAAGTTTGGCGATAACAGGGAAAATGGAAACTTACCTCAAACGCTTTCATGTTAAGTTTATGAACGTATAATATTTGATTTCTCAAATTATTAACATATGCTAGACTTCCACTCGAATTATTTCTTCTGGAATTTGCTTTCCTAGAATTTATTAAAAATTGACTGAATTAACTTAAGGCTAATAAAATGTGAATTTGATAAAAGTTAATTATTAATTGCTAATTGACGCTTTATTTAAATGGGCTTCTTTACTCATCCTCTTCTCATCTTCTTCTTTGCAGACTGGATAATCCACGATTCTTCTTAGTGCACTGCTTCATTTTCAATGTATTCAATACAATCTTTATAAATTAATTTATGATTCTACTCAAATTATATCTATGTGATTAGATAATATTTTTGATTGACAATTCAATTAATATATTACACCTCCATATGAAATATCTCAGGCTTCATTCTTGTCGATGTCCTTTTCACGTTTGCTTCAATTAAAATATCTTATATAAGAAATATCAATTTCTAAGATTTTAGAAAATAGTATTTTTTTATTGAAACCAATGCTTCTCCTCTCTTGTTCTTCTACATTCTTCTTCTTCCATCGTTCTTCTTTCTTCTTGAATTCCTCTCTTCTTTTACGTGTATATATTTGGCTGATAAAATTTGTTAAATTGAAATATTTAAATATACAAAAATACTTATATGATTAACAAAAATCTTATACGATTACATAGTTTGAACCTGCATAAAAGTAACATATGAAAAATAAACCGTTATACATATTGTATTGCTATTATAAATACACACCTAAGGATGTTCTGCATGATAGATTTAACCAAAGGGACGCTAATATGTTCACCGAAAGCCGGTTGCAGAAGAGTGTAGTTGAATTTTCGAAATGCCGGATTTGATACTTCAGCTACAACAGAAATAGTGTATTTAATAATAGTACTACAACGCTTAAGTAAGGGGAACTAATTAACTTTCAAATAAATCCTTAGTTCAACCATTAAAACCTAATGCATAATAACTCCGTAATAGAAAAGCTAACCATCGTCAATCTCTCTAATGTCATGGAGGTATTGGTTGCTCAATGACAAATAGGAAAGGATATTTCTCGAATTTACACAAAGCCCTTTTTCGATCAATTCGAATCGCACGCATTTTAAACCAAATTGTTCTTAGGAAAGTACCTTTTCTAACAACCTTTCCGCTTACTTTTAACAGCAAGTCTGTACGAAAACGTCAGTATTGAGATAAACCTGTAAATTGTTATGCGCCACATGTCAAATAGGCAATATTATTTGATAAATTAAATTTCACTATAAAAACCTTTACCTTCGTAAAAGAAGTTTCAGCCTCTTCATAGAGTTCATTTTAATATCTCATAAAAGTATTTTATTAAGGTCATTACATACATATTCTGATGAGATATTAGCAGCTTTATTGGCCATCGATTAGTCAAAGTTGGTTTTTGGTATACGGGAGAAAAGAAGCGGATAAATGCTTGGGATAATCAGGCTTCTGGGACAACATATTGAATAAAGTATCTTATTTTGTCCTCTTCTCTTACAAGCTGAAGGGTAATATTAGGACAGTGAATGTTAATTACCTCCATTCTCAGGTACCTGCCTCCGATGTTCTCTCACTTGGCCATTATCGGCTGAATTCTGCATCCTATTAGATCTAGAAGTGAATCATAGAAGATTAATTTCTTTTTACAAATTACTTATAAAGTATACTGAAGGTGGATGTTACATTGCTAGCGAGGTAAAACGCTCCAAAAAAGAAGTATCAAACAAGAACAAGTTTAATGGTAACATTTAAATATCCAGTGACCAGTGACCTGTCATTATTGGTAACCAGGCATCACGCAAAATTGTAAATAAAGCATCGGAAAAATTAAATGGAATATTGACCTCAAACTTGCTCTTGCAGCAAATCATAAAAGTCGAAATGCCAATGCATTTGAATTGTGGAAAGATCTGTTACACATCCTATTTTGGTGTGTCGTCATAGTATAAAGCAATCGACACCCATGATTAAAATTTCATGTGTACGCACCTTTTTCAACGTTATCGTCAATGGTTTTTATGGGAGAAAACGCAGGAAAAGATCGTCAAGTTGTACAACTTTTGTGTTTTTTCACAATCACTATCTAGAACCCACCGTCCATAGCCTTTCTCACACGAATTATTCTTCTATTTTATTTTCCGTCCTTGTCCAATCCTCACATAGCAAAGCAAACTGGGCCCGGGGGGGTCGGCGCAATACTACAAATTGTTTTGTTTTCTTCGCGTTACCAACTTAAATTTAGAAAATGTCCCAATAATCATAACGACCAACGCCAACGAATAATACTATTTATTCGTAGCTTTAGTACTAATTTTGTCTTATAGATAAATCCTGTCTAATAATTAAAACCAATCGATCTCAACAAATGTTACAGCCAATATAAATACTAGTAATTTTAGTTGGTAGCAGTTGGTAGTACGTGAACATTTCACGTCAATGTCGTCGGCCAATGAGATAACACGAGCATTTCGTCTTTACTGCGAATTGTTCCTTATGTGACATGGCGTCTGATAGAAAAGTTTCTTCGTAAACCTATTCTAGCGTTATTATTATTTTTATGACATCTTTTGGCGAGTCGGCTTATTGTACAAGCCACAAACATTTCTTAGAGATTTGCATTGATGGTAATGCATGCAAGGAAAACGCAGCGGATGAACGATGGGTAGGCATTACGGTCTTCGGGCTACGGTTTCGATGTATATTAAAAATGATGTTAATTTTACAGCATCCGTCATTTACGTATTATTTACTAATTATTCGTTCTTTTCTTACGCAGGTACTTCGAGAAGCACCAAACCCATCCCTATCAGGTAAACATACAATGAGAGTATAGGTAACGTATAAATTGTAAATCCGAATTCCAAATTGAAGGGGACATAATTACTTTTGTCGATGATAATATTCACGTATTTTGTCAAAATGCTCTGGTGTTTTTAACCTAAATTGGGTAAAAACCGAATTAGGCTTGAAAGGTGTTGAAAAAAACCATTGGGATTATCATACCGATTTAATGAGGTCATTACTCTGTTAGGGACTTCGAAAAGCAAAAATGTTGTTAACAGCGACATTTTTTAATATCTGAAATCGACTATTAAAACGTCCTTTTTAAAAATATTGAGGTAAAAAGATTAATGTCAAAACAACAAGAAAGATGGCTGCCATTAAAATCTTAACCTATTTCCAATTATGTCTATTTTAACAAAATACATAATTCACACTCGTATTGCTAGATTCATTCGGTATTTTCAACGAAATTGGCAAAAATTTAAATGAAGCTTCAATATTAAACCTTGCTATTAAAGGTAATTGAAAAAGTAAACACTTTGAATCTGTCAGAATTTGTTTTGATACATTCTAATTCATTAATTATTTCATAATCCAATTACATTAAACATTACCTGAGCATCTACAAATTTATTAGAAACTGGAAATAATTATTAATTTCAAATATGTTCTATTAAGTTCGGAGAATTAAAAAAATGACTTCATGTAGTGTTATTACAGAGTAAGAAGAGGAAAATCCTAGAAAATAAGTAGTATAACAGCACAGTATAAGCCTTATGTGGAAGCCTAGTACAAGTATTTTGTACTTCTAGTATTTATTTACCTATTTACAATTTATTAGATATATTCCTCTTGTTTTCTATCCATTAAGAAGATTGGTCCATCAATTTCATTGTAGTCCCTAATGCAATGAACTTAATATTCCGGATAATACAATTGTTTCATTATGTATTATCGCTTTTTGCCTGATACCTTTTTACAATACTGTTGAATATAATTTCAAATCTTCCCCTACTTTGTCAATTGAATCATGTTAAATTCGGTCTCTTTGTTTATTTTCCAGAGTTCGAAGTACAGTTCGTCAAAAAGCTATGGATCGGGTAATGAGAGATACGAGAGGATACGCGACTCCCCCAATGGAAACTATCGTTCGGACAGTCCGGATTCTCAATCGCCCAGGGACCGGGACAGATCTTATCAATCTAAAAGCTCCTACCTGCAGAAAGTACGTGAAAAGGAGAGAGAAAACAGAGACTATAAGATGTCGAGGGACAAGTATTCGGGTAAAATTGCGAAATGTACATCTGCACGGTGTGTATGTTAAATTGTATGTTACTTTGTAGATAGTGCCAGATCACCAAAGGATAAGCGCAGCGTTAGAGATTCCGATCACCGAATTAACTCGGATAGGAATGATGATAAAAGTATCTTGCATCCGATAAAAACGTCACAGTTATCCTCGAGAGATAGGAAACCTTTGCATAACAACTGTCTGGATAAGGTAAAGGTATAACCAATGCAAATTTTAACTTAATTGTTCGGCTGCCCCTACAATTTATCCATATTACGAAGCTCACCGTTTAGTATTAGAATCTAATGTAATGTACAGAGAGCCAAAGAATGTATTCATCTTTTTATTTTTTTTAGAGAGAAGAAAGAGATAGAGTCAACAGAGTGGGCGATTGGTCAGAGCACGTCAGTTCATCGGGCAAGAAGTATTATTATAATTGTAAAACGGAGGTGTCCCAATGGGAGAAGCCGAGAGAATGGATAGAGAGAGAACGCGAGCGAGATCGCTTCAGAAGTAGAGACAGGGACAGAGAATCTGATAGAATTTATGGTGGTTCTGGACGTTCGACGCAGAGTTAGTTCGCCCCTTATATCGGCTATCGCTAAAACCTAAAATTTTTTGTTTGTATCAGGACACGATAAACATTCCAACTCACGAGCGGCGAACAGCAGCAGCAGCAGTAGTAGTAAGGAACACAGGACAGAGAGCGCTACCAGCAGCCGGCATTGGAGCAGCGGTAGCAGTAGAGATGACGGCGATTCCTCGTCGAAAGAATCTTCTAGATTGTTAAGGAAGCATTCTGAGGAAAATATCCAAACGACCCAAGATATGGATATTTCGCCGGGCGACAGTACGCCCACTTCGGAAGTGTCCTATTCGACAAATACATCTCAAGTGAGTCAATATGCTGCAGAAATGTCACATTTAATAAGAGGTTTTTAAAGGGTTTACAAGGTCATTGTGATTTTTTTTTCTTCAAGAATTTGGGTGGGTTTCAGCGCCCCTTTTAAACGCTAATCAAACGGTTTTAAAGACTTTGTTTTGTTTTTAAAAGCACGGAGACACGTAACAAGTAAGCAAGTTACAAAATCAAGTAACTAAATTTAGTTTAGTAAGCAAAGCCAATAGTTACTCCATAACAATGTACGAGGGATGTGTTCAAAGTAATGGGCATTGTATTCTAGTATTACATTGCAGTCTAATTAAATTACACAGAACTTATAGGCAATGGCCCATATTCAGCGCATCACTTTAACTTTAGAGTGACTCTAAATTCGCGTCCTAAACTTGACAGTTATACATTGCTGTTATTATGTTGTAGTTAGTAACTAGGGACTAGAGACGCGATTTTAGAGTCACGCTAAAGTTAAAGTGAGGAGCTGAATACGGGCAAAATTCTGCAAAATCTCGAAAAAATCTCAAATTCTGCGAATTCTGCAAAATCTCGAAGAAGAATAATTTTCATTTTGTGTGAAGAGGCGTGAAAACTTCAGAAATTATTCAGTGTCTTCAAAGAATATTTGATGTGTCCACAGCATGCAAAAGTATTGCTTATCGGAGCATCAAGTATGATTTTTAAATGAACGTTGGTAACATCCCTTGTACAACTGTTAAACACTCGCCTACAACTTGAAAAAAAAGCTCTGAATACGGAAGAAAATTTTTGTTTTTCAATTTTTAACCGGCTGTAAACCTATTTTTCTACAGACAAACGACCAACCTAGCACAGTAGGGCCAGTACTGCTAGCAAACGCCCTGCCGAAACTCGCTTCGCATCCGATCCACGTACCGTCGACGCCCGTCGTAAGGACGGAAGCGTCGCCCCAAAATACGCCAGTAGCGTCTGCGATAACAATATCCAATTCGCCGGGTCCTCCGAACGCCAGCATGAGCTTAACCGCTTCGATGGCCTCCATTCCGAGAATGATGTCGCAATCGATGATGACATCGGATAGTAATTCGTCGGAAAAGATTTTACAGAGATCGGTGGGAGATAGTGCAGTGCTCGCTACTCTTACTGTAGACACTAACAATCATTCGGGAAGTGTTGTTGAAGGCCCTCCGACGCCTACTCATTCGGAGACGCCAGATTGTGCAAAGGGTGAGTGAATATCGAAAAGATTAACCGCAATTCAGTATTTAGCAACGTTGTGAATGGTTTTTAAGAAATATTTAGATAAGAATTTTATATGGAACTATGCCTTACTCATAGAAAAATATTTACTCCAAAAGGGAGAAATCTTGTACTTACACTAAACTCACCCTGCATTATCTACAAGTCATTTTGTTACATTTAATATCATTGCTATGAATGTCATTTAAATCCCTTTTTTTATGTGAAGATACCTTAGTAATTTTCGATAGATAGAATGGATACGACTAGATTAATTCATTTAATTTGGTTAATGAGTAAATTCTGTAACTTTGTAGGGCTTATCTTTTTAGGGTATTCATTTTTGCTTTGTGTTTTTAAATAGCTGCTGTAGTACCTGTTAGTAGTCCACCAGGAAGTTTACCAACGTTGCAAGGTGTATCTAGTTCGTTACAAGCGTTACGACCACAGGGGCCCACTATCACACCATCATTAGCTAATCACTATAGGGATGATTTGGTAAATCACGTAAGGGGATGGCCAGCCGAATTATTAGAAAAGGAGGTAAGTCGAAGCGTTGGCAACACTTGATTGGTGTTTTTTTTTTATTTGAAATTTGCTTTTCATTTTAGGCGCAAAAGTTGGCGGAAGAGGCACACATTTTGGGCAGTATACAATGTTCTAAAGTCTCGGCTGAACTGAAGTCTGCGAGGTCAATAGTTCGACTAACCGAAATCCAAGCGACATTACAAGAACAGAGGTAATTTTTAGATTATGTGTGTATTGATGAGTTCCTCATTCGATTTGTGCATTGATCGTGGGGGAGTCGTTGCTAACGAATTTTTGGTGTAAAATTCATAGAAATCGTTTGGCTTTAGGGAAAATTGCACAGTGGAAGTTTAAATGGCTCATTTTTTCCAGGTTAGAAGCAAAATACTTCATAAGTGTTTTGATCGAAATAAAATGGATAAAGTTTTATTTGAGGAACAAAGTCAAATGTAGCAGTTGCGAAGTTTTGCGTGAGACATTAGAATATTTTGAAAAACGTAGCAAATATTTGGATAGGTATTACGGATAGTTTTGTGCAGGGGTGTCCTTTACTATACAATTTTATTAATTTACATAATATTCGAGATACAAATTTAATCCTTATTATTAATCCTAATTAAATCTTATACATTTATTAAAGGCCAAATAGTAAAGTACTAATACTCTTTAATCGTTGTCAGTAAGATTGCTCATTAATAGAGAGCAAACCATTTCTCAAATAATGTCAAATTATTTATTACAATTTAATATTATAGGTAGAGCATACTGTAATTTTCTAATTTAAAGACGGACTAAATTGCAGATAACGTTATTGAGACAAATTTAAATGATACTTTTGTGAGTTCGATTAGAAATTTATAAAAAAAATTCGTCTATTTAATAGTAATGTTTTAAACAGGACTAGGCTTTTGATGCTTTAAGACTTTTTTGAGTGATTTACAATTTTTATCAAGAAAGAGCCTTTATTCTTAACCTGTGAGAGTTAATTATGCATTCAAGAGGCAATTATTTTTAAGGGGCCCATTTACCTATCCATGAGGGTATTTTATGTACTCTATAGTGTCATTTACCTACGTAAGGGCTACTTACCTGTTGTGTATGAAATTCACATTATAAATAAAATTTTGTCACGATGTAAATATTACAACAAAACTTGATAATTAAAGAAATTGATTGATATTAGAGGTTCATTGCTAGTTTCTCAAAACAAAGTTAAACATTTACAATTACCCAGTACTTATTGAAAGGGATTGAATCTTATTACATCATAATTAATACATACTTGTAAAATTATTGAAATAGAAATCATTAATTGTAAATGGGTTTCAAATGGATTATATATACAGTATGTACGAACTGATCCGCTGCAAGCATATAATGAGAATAATGAGATAGCTAGTTTAACTTTTGCTATGTAAGGAATAAAGAGAACATACGAAATAGTCACGCCCGCTATCCCCGCTATTCGCTAGTGGACGAAGCGAAGCGAATTGACGAATTCTAATATCGGCCGGCAACCGATAAACAAGTTTCTGTTCTTTACTATCTTATAGTATTGATTGAGATTCTAATTCTAACGCTTGCAGCGGAAGAATTCGTACACTCTGTATATTTAATATTGTAATTTTAACGTAATTATTTATTTTCAGAATATTATTTTTACGTCAGCAAATTAAGGAATTAGAAGAGTTAAAGTCACAAAATTCATTTATGTCAGATGATACTTAGTAGTGAATTATTACAAGATTTAGTCATATGGTCAACAAAACAACTTCAAAGAAAACTTTATTTTAAGTTTACTTGTTTAATTTTTTAATTTATTCAAACATTGTATATTTTATATTTTCCAAGTTTTTTTCAACGTCCTTCTAGATGGGCCTATCCGGCATTTTATAATTTAAATAATTTAATGGAATAATAAAGACTATCTTCTAGGTAGAATGATGTGACCTTGAATTTGTATTATATTGGTTTTATGTTTTAGATTTAGATAAATTAATTAATATAATATAGACCATAGTTTTTCAATTGTGTATATTTTCATTTGTTATTTTTGTAATTTATAATAACTTAATTCGACTAAATGTTAAGTAATATTTTTATAATTTGATATTTTTGTCGCTGTAATTTCATTTTTAATGTTAAATATATTTTTCTTTGCGATTTGGTGTTATTTAATAGTATTTATTGAATCGATTGTCTCTAAAGCAAGTATGTTGACGATGCGCTGTATAAATCAAATGAAAATATACACTCGAGAAGGCAACAAAAACGTCGGGTTATTTTTAACGGCATATTAACTCCGTCTTGTCGCATGTATTGATGGAAAGAGGAGATTCTAGGATGGAATAATGCATTTCAAGTGGTTTTTCGAATTTTTCAAAATTGCTGGAGCACTCGTATCTCATTTTCACCCAGTTGGAATTTTGATGTTCCCTTCGAAGAGGCCAAATTATCCGCTTTTTAAGAAACGTGTTGCCTTTTGCCGTTATCAGTTACTCCTATTGCAAATGTTGCGAGCTATTCTCCAAATAACTAGACGTCTACAAATTAATCTTGTGATATAAATCCTGTTGAAAGTGGAACTCTGTTTTATTTTTTAATTTCTGTAATTGTCGAATTCTCTTTATTCAGTACGTATTTATAGTACATAGTTATGAATTAACTGTGACAACAAGTAATTGTAAAACTAAAACAGTGTGCCACAGTTGGATGGTTCGATTCTGTTAATGTTTGAAGTAATTGTCGCATTTGAAAACACGTTAATTTCGTACTATCGAATTAGGTTTTTATTTTTTTAAGCTGACTTTAAATGAGACAATTATTGTTGAATCTTGTATTTCATTTGGATCCTGAAATCGGCGTATGTGCTACAGATGTGCAAGCTTCGTTTTCTTTGATGAATTTTAGCTAATTTTAAGGCTTTGAAATCGAGCAATTTTTAACGTAACGTGACGTGATTATCGGATGTAAAGTATTTGTAATATATACTGCGCTTTTTTATTTGAAATTTACACATTAAGTAATATCTGTTTCTTCTACGCCGATGCTGGGACAGATTTAATTATATTTTCATTTTCGAAGACATTGAAATTTTGTATAAATTCAAAACGAATCTGACACGTAGAACTCTCCTTGCCTACTTAGTACATTTTTCGGGTTCGGCTGAGGAATTGTATAGTTGTCTCAATGTATTTTGAGTGTATGTCTGTTATATTTAATCTTGTAAAATTGAAATGTTCCAAACAAGTAACATTAAAGAACTTTTTAATCTACGGATATTTTATTCTTTTAATTCGCTCTATGATATTGTAATACATTTTTACATGTTTTGGAGATATAAAAACCAATAAATTGCTTAACAGAAAAGCAGTCGTATTAATGTTTCTTAAACTATGCTAGGAGGCTGAAGAGGTCAGTTTACATTACTATTTTAACACTTTAAGCAGGTACAAGACTTGGGGAAGAGTGTTTATGCAGTCTATGCTATGTGCTAGGAGGCTAAAGAGGTCTGGTCGATGGTACTTCACACGAATCAGCTTGTATGCAGACTCAGTTGACTTAACAGATTTTGAAGAAAGTCAACTCTATTGCAACGAGCCGAGCCTTAATGCGCAGCATGTCTGACTGGTTGAGCCAAATCAAACGAGCTGTTTAACGGGAGCTGTTGAGGTCACGTGCTACTCTTATACTAGCATGATGATTTTCGAACTCAATTTCCTTAATTTTCTCGCCTTTATCATTTGTTGAAAAGATCCAAGACAGACCGGAACAATGCAAGTCTTTAGCGATCTCCCGGCTGCCTTTAAAAGTTTTATGCCGTTCGTAAACATGGGTTTTTAATAAAACAGTCACCTTAAGCATTAGCTGCATTTGCATCGATTCGGCCCACGAAATTCCGTTCGAAACCCAAAATATGAGACAAACTCTTTGGTAACTATTTTTGTCCATTGCAAAATTCGCAGAGCACTACTGATATGAACTGATTCAATCAGCTGCTACCACCAAACTGATCTCTCTAAATCTCTCTATTTTTTTCCAAAATAATTAAGAAGTGTTTCCTACACACAGAAACTTGAAATAGTTAAAAATATTAAGTGCAGGTACTTTTAATCAGAATTTCCGGGTACTTTTTTGTCAGAAAAGGAGTTTTTGTCTTCTGTAGAAGACCTGTGGAAAAATGTTTCTAAATCCCAATGATCTAGACACTACAAGAGCGGTGCAACTCCTGATGTCCGCACTTATTAGTGACACTGGCAGAAAAAATCAAACAATGAGCTTACAACAGCGGAAAAACTACAGAAGATCCTATGATCTATGTGGTTACGGGGCTGAAAAGACCTGCACACATACAAAACAACCACAACAACAAGGAAAATTCTCGAGCTATTATACCGCGCGATTAATAAAATTGAAGGCTAATCTCGAAAGAGGCCGGAAGGCGAAGAGGAAATATACCAACACCGCGAGGACTATCCTCCAAACGCATCCACTGAATATGTTGAAGATTTTATGATAAATGTACGTGTGTGTGATGCAATCGCGACGATTAGCCGCGCGCTTAAAGAGGCGTATTTCGAAATGGGCAGGACATTTAACAATCAACTTATGAAATTAATATTTATTTATCGCGCAACGTTGCCGCAAATAAAGGATGATGATGATGAGATGATAAAAAACGGTTCCTCCGCGCTGGCCCACATATCCACTCAAACTTTATCTCTCGCAGCCCGAGAGACAATTCTACATATTATATCGAAAAAATTGGATAAGTTAAAGTTACCGACAGATGTTAAAAAAGAAACAAAAATAACTGTCTCATTAGTTATCGACTGTGAGGATATTCACTTCTACTTATGTATGCAATGTAGTTCTGTTGGGACCCTTTTTCCTTTAGTAAAGTAACCCAATTCTACTCTTCCTATGAAGCCTTAGTGGGCACCTGAAGGTGGTTCAATGATTGTATTTCCTTCTAGATGAAATATTAAAAAGTTTAAAGTGGTTCTTTTTGGATTAACTAGAAGCTCCCAATTTTGTGTATTTCTCAATTTTTTACTCGATTACAATCGGAAATTCAGCAGCCTCTCAAAAGTTACTTTATTCTGGCTGAATGTGGTTGTACTAATAAACATCAGATCGTTTCTTAAAATTAGTTATTCGAATGATATCTTTTTTTATTTTCCGAGTAAATTATACCGTTAAATGATACATACAAAATTTATTCAACAACGAAATAACACTTAAAGAATGTATCATTTCCGAACCAAATCGTTTTAGCCGTTGATAAATAGAAAGCGATTCAAATTGACCGTATCATCCCTCTAAAGAGAACAAATCATTCTATCAGTGAATCAGGTCGTCATCACATTTTAAAGAGCATTCCGTTAATTTTCCCATACTTTCGATATTTCTTTTACATCTATTCACCGAGCAAATTCAGACTTGAATCCTCGGCGTTTGCGATTGTTTAATCCTCATTAATATTCCGATTTTATTAATTAACAGAGAATCGGGATTTGGTAATAATGGTAATGTTATGATTTTTCTAATTTTTGAGCAATATCGACGGCCTTCACACATGGTGTGTTACTTATACATTGATGGTCTTCAAAATAAAACATGAATTGAGTTAAGCAATTATAATATCCTCAAGATGTATGTTTTGAATTATTGGTACTAATGTTGATGAGCTCAAGGTTTGTTTGAAACTTACAGTGTTACAGGAATATAGAAATGTGAATTGTGTGAAAACACAAAAGGAATGTATGGTAGATGGTATGGTATAAGAAGGAATTAAGATCATTGAGAAATAGGTATACTGCTAGTGACCAAAATGGAAAAGGAATTGCAAGGAGAAGGCAAGCAGAAGAGAACGCAGAAGCGCTAATAAAGCGATAGTCCTGAATGGATAAATCAAGAATTAACATACAATGCGATAACGAGAAAGTCCGATCCTCTTCAATCCACAAACCCCGATGTCCATAAAAAAAACAGACGACTCAATAAAGTCGTAATTCACCAGCAATTTCGATGGAATTCGAGGCGGTTACGGGTATTCCTCGACGGCCCCACCAATATGCGCCACTGGTACTTCCATCGGCTGCACGGTTATAGGTATGGGTATGGGTACGGGTGTCTTCTGATGCAAAGAAATCGGTCGGCCTGGTTTCGCGACAGTCTTCAACCGTTCTTCCACGGTCAATGGTGCCGCCCGTGCTGCTTCTTATTCTCCAGTGAACAGCGGACAGGTGCATTCCGAGAAACGAACACAAGAAACCGTTTTGTGTCGGATTTTTTTTGCGTAAAGTGCGTGATGGTTTTCGGTTTTTCGCCGTTAAGGACCGCGGTCTTTTTGCTCGTGATTGGAATATCGCTTCCTAACGGTAAGCTGCGTATTTTTTTTGGTACTTGCAAATAACATTTTTGGCGGAGTTTGCGGGAAATGCAATTTTTGTGGGGAAATTTTAAATGTCTGTAATAGAAGTGGAGTTAAATAACGAAATTGTAATGGATTATTAGGTGTTATGGGTGCAGTAATTATGGTTTTTTATGAGTGGGACGAAAAACGGCACTTTCCACATCGTGCGAGTTACGTTATTTTTGCAACCTACTTTTATTAGGATAATAAAAATGCGCCCTGCAATGTTGACTCTTTTTATAATCAAGTCAAAGATTTTTTTGGTTTATTATCTAGGTACCAATTTTGTAAAACAAACAGCCTTGAATAAGAAATATTAGGTACAGTAGTAGGATGTCCTTTGAGGACCTTTTGACAGATATGACAATTCACGATTCTTTGGTTCCGTCCTTTGACAGAAGTAATTGTACATATAAATAAATTAAATCGAAAATTAAAAAAAAATATGAAAATTATATTGGTTAAATGTAAATTTGAGGTAATTACCTTTAATTTTGTTGTATTTTAGATCCGAAATTTCAGAAAGATCCGAATGTTTAGCAAAGTATACAAATTGTGTCAGAAATTTTTTGTAGCAAATGTCATTCCTGTCAATTTTTAGCCTACTGAGATTAAAGAACCTAAGAAAAGACAATTTATCAAGTACTCCAAACGACAAACATTATTTATGTTACTTGAACATTAACATTATTTTTTACTATACAATTTTTGTAAATATACAAATAGGTACACCTATGTATGTACATCTTTAATAGAAATCAACTCTAAAAGCTTTAAGCTCAAAACTCTTTCATCGAGAAATCAAAATTTTTCATAAAATGTTCATTTTGATAAAATGTCATATTTTGACGTTTATTTAATCGATTACTTGATTTAATTGGAGCATTTTATCGATTTCACTCGGAGTCAAATGAGTTGAAAAACATCCACATCAAACCCATCCTCTCGTATAACAATAGTTACCGTGGTTATGCTTTTTTTTAATCCAGACAATTCGTTTTCGGGGTCAAATCATTTTCCTGTCTACTGAGAGAACGAAATATTAAGGCATTTTGTCATTTTTTTAGTTTACCTAAGTTTCTATTAATCATTTTCGTGTTGGTGTCTACCGACCAAAACGTACCTAAAATAATAATGAAATTAAATTAAGTGGGCGTATTAAATTTGGTCAAATCCGTAGAAAACAGTTTTTGACCTATTTTACCCAGCATGTTTTATAGCATAAGGTGATAAAAATTAACAAGTAGATCGAAATTAACCCTTATATGGGTAAGTATGCAAATTTGTTTGCAATATGGTCAATTCTATGAGTTGAACACAGAAAGGTATTAAAATAACAGTGGATAGAGTGAGAAAGTTGCAATTCCATAATATCACCCTTTCTTTTTCCTTTATACGAGACTAATAGAGATTGTCTTTGTTTTACCCACAGCGCATAAATTTGCACTTATCTGTACAAAGAGAGAAAAATCAGATATGTTTAGAAGAAATGAAATTTTTGCTGTATAAATAACATAAAGACCATAATTTTTTATGTGTTCCTTACATAGTACTTGTACATTTACATGTTTCTTAGTTATGTGAAATTGCAGGTTTTTAACGCAAAGTTCGTGATTGTGTATATTTCAAAAAACAAAACAAACACACTTTCTATCCGGTAGAATTTTCGAACTTCCAACTCGACGATTACCTACATTTTAACGTTAGAATTCGTAGACGTGACCACAATAAACGAAAAAAATATAGCCGTATATTATAATTCATAATACAGTTTCTTTAATACGCCAACGCTTGTTCGATGTTTTCCTGTAACTGAGGCTCGTTAAAAAGTACCAAATGTACCAAATGATAAAGAAACTAATGATCACATACGTAAGAATTACCGGATAGTCGAGGAAGAATAAGTCAAATCTCTTTTGACTACTATATTCTTGAGTATA